TTCGTTAATCTGAATTTTTGTTTCGTTTTAATTTTAAAATTATTTATCGATCTGAAAAATACAGAATAAAATTTGATAGTTTGATTAAAAGATCAGAAGATCTCTTTAAAAAAAAAATGAATGTTTGTTATATCAAAGTCAAACTGTTCTGAAATGTGAAAATCTTGATCTGTTTAATCTGATTGAATCAACCAGCCCGCCTAAACCAACCAGTCTGTCCGAATCAATCAACTCGCTTGAATTAATCAACCAGCCTGAATCAACTAGCCCGTCTGAATTAACTAGCTCGTCTGAATCAACAAGCCCGTCTGAACCAGTTGACTCACTTAAAAATCTCGAAATCTCGCACGCAGGTGAGATTCTTGATTGACTAGCTCCTATTACTAAAGTCTGAATTCGAAGAATTATTATTTTTGAAGATAAGCAAAGTCTACAATTATTTCTTGAGATACAATCTCGTCTACATAAAGCCTATGAGAAAGACAAAGAGATCTGAAATGTTTTAAAGATCTTGATTATAAATAAAAACCATCATTTAAAAGTTATTCTGATTGCTTGTGAGCAAAGAGACAACTTCTTATTCTACAAAAACTGTTTATAGATTTCTGACAATGATCAATTAAAAACAGACCTAATCCGCCTGGCTCATGACAAATCTGTGTCCGAATATCCAAAAAAAGTTTGAATATACGAATTTTTGTTTCGAGATTATTATTGATTCAATATATATAAATATGTGATTCAATAAACAATAAATTGTTATATCTGCTGTCGTATAATTTTGTTTTATAAAGCGAAACAAGATATCTTGAAGTCTCTATCTATATCTGAACATATCTGAAAAGATATTTTTATGGATTTTATCACACATTTATTTGAGAGCGAGAGCTACGATGCAATCTTAGTTATTGTGAATTGTCTAATTAAAATAAAACATCTGATTTTATGTAATTCAATTGTTAATGTCTCAATTGTAATCGCGATATACGTGCAATATGTATAAAAATTACATAAATTATTTCAATTGATTCTGTTCAATAGAGATTTTCAATTTATTGTTCAATTCTGGAAACATTTGATCAAATGTTTAGATATCATTAACAAATTATCAACTGTCTATCATTTTGAAACTGACAGTTAGATTGAACGTGTGAATGCCATGTTAGAATAATATTTGCGAGCTTATGTGAATTATACACAAAATGATTAGAATATCTGGTTTCCTTTGACTGAATTTGTCTTAAGTGTCACGCATTTTGAATCTATCAAAACAATCTTATTTTTTATAAATTACGGATTTCACCCCCGTATGAGATTTGAATCAATATTTATTAAAAATTATTGTGATCGCAATCGATCTGCTGTTCGAAATGCAGAGTAATTTGTTATTTGAATATAAGCTATTATGAAATTTGTTCATGCAGAAATGTTATCAATTCAAATTCATTACATTAAACAAACTAATAAACGATGTTGTTCCGTTCGAAGATTCAAAAAAGATCAGTTAATATGATTAGATGTTTGTCATATTAAAACTTTACAATCTAACAAAAAGCTGAATTGGAATATTTTGAGTTTATACTGTATTAAAGAAATTATTAGCTCGCACGTTTATTGTCTGAAACTTTCGTCTAGCATGAAGATACATTTTGTATTTAATGTTAGTTTATTTATTTTTGTTTGTTCAGAATTCCTGTCTGATCAACATTATTTCTCATTATTGCATATAAAAATCAATAAACTGAAAAAATGAAAAGTCGAAGATATCTTTGATTCATTTTGAGACTACCGCGGCCGTGATCGCTGCCTGATCTATGTTGTCAAATGAATCAGATATATGAATCTTATTGCTGAGTCTGTTGAATATTTTAAACACGCAGAATAGATTGTTTAGAACTATTATCGTCAGTATCTTGATAAGTTTAGTTCTTTTCAATCTCACAGAGCTCGGCCATAAAAGAAGGGTGTACTGTCACGGTGCAGATCTTGATGTCTGAAACATCTTTTAATTATGGTTTGAAAGGCCATATTATCCGTTTCGGGATCTGCATATCTTCTCGCTTGTTTGAAGATCCTGTTGTAGCTCTTCGAGCTATGTCTTGTCTATCAGCCTGTATATAGCTTGATCCTGTAGCAATTCAGAGATACTGTGAGCTATTAGCCTACCTGCCTGCCTGCCATCAGCTCTACCACCCCCGCCAGCCCGCACCTTGACATATTGACGTGTTTTTTTTTAATACAATCTTTCACGTTCAATTGTTTTCGACCGCGGCAGCGCCTTTATAAGCCATTTTTGAAAATGTTATTGTGCACAATACGCGATTAAAAATAAGATTTCGATTACATATCATCTTGAAACCGATGGCCAATCTAAAATAACTGTAAAAAATCTCAAAAACTATTGTTGCGATTTTTTTTCGAATGCACAATTTATGATTAATGATTACGTTTTTGAAACAATTAACATGACTTCTTTCTTTGCAAATAACGGTTTCCATTTTCGTACTGAAGCCGAACCGCTTAAATCCTTGTCACACGTCGCGCATTCCGAGATGAAGGCAGTTAATAAATTGATTTGTCGCATTAAAGATATTCGCGAATTTCTTCGCAATAAGATTATTTGAATTCAAAAATCTTACATTCAACATGCCGATATTCACCGCCAGTCTCATTCAGCTTATTAAATAGATGACTGTGTCTATGTGAATATTCGCAATTTTCATTTACAATATGAAAACCAATTTCTTGCATTTAAAACGTTCGATTCATGGCCGATTATTCAGAATATTGATAACAAAACATACGAATTGACTTTATCTGACTATATGTTGACAATCAAGATCACATTCGTGTTTCATCTCTTTTTATTACACCTTGTTCCTTCGACCGACGCGGCTTACTCAGATCAATATGAAAATCTTCAAAAATCTGTTGTGATTATAGACACGAACACTAATGAAAAGCATTCAAAATGGATCGTTCATGAAATTGTTGATTGCCGGAAAACATGACAGAACACGCAATATAAAGCTTTGTTTGAAAATAACTGAAAAGATTGAAACTCGAATTCGCCGTGGCAACCGTGGCGGGATTTTAAACATTCCGTGGATCTTATTTTGAACTATCACGCTCGTTATTCTGCTAAGCTATCACCGCCACCATATTTTCTTGATCTTTCTGCCTCTACGGTCTCCTCAACTGGCTAGTTTTCTTGTTTAATTTAGACATTTTTTTTTATTATTATTGTTCACTTGTGTTCGCGCTCGAGAGATCTCACGCTTCCGTTTAAAAGAAATAATGTCAAAAATCTTCCGACTTGTTCCCAGGAACTTGTCGGTAGAATCCCTTCGTATGAAACTTCCCGTCAGGAATCTTCCGATTCCTGGCAGTCATGTTGGTAGTAAGCAATATCATAAATAAAGACTTCTGCCCACACCCAGTTGCTGCATCCCATGCAGCTTATTCTTTGCTAATACATACCTACGTTCAATGGTTTATGTTCCTTACATTGTTTAATTCTTCACATTCAATAGAATCACTGTCTTCAATAATTATAAAAATTACATTATTAATGCAATTTGTTCACATTCTATCACAAAAAGATATATATATTAATTTGATCTTATTTCTATCTTAATTATTTAAAAATCTTTCAATCATCGAATTAGTTCATCGAAATCCAGATTTGATTTTCAGACATAATTTTTAGTCATTTAAAAACAACAATACTCTTCAAATAAATATTATCCATTTTTAAGATCAATCAGACTGATCACCAAAGGCCTAAACTATATTCTAGCAACACAACGCAACACAGCTTAGGCAGATCCTAGGGTTTGACATAAAAATTGAACAATTTGTTAAAAATAAATTTTTTGTTTGAAATTTTTGTTTGTTAAATAAATTTTTATTTATAATCTAATTGTTATATTATCTGTGTTTTTATTATAAACATTTTTTATTTAAAAATTTCACGTGCTTTCATTACAATGATTGCAAGTGATAGATCTTTAAAAAAGAATAAAATAATTATTATAAAAAATGATAATTATTAATTGTTTTTATTTTAATACCGGGACAATTTCTTTTTAATATTGTTTTTTATTTTTCAATCAAATAATCTGAATAATATCTTATTATATAATATATTGTGTTTTTTTAATTTTTTTTTTAATGTTAATTGTTTTTAAATAACAATATTGTTTCATTTTTATCATTTTTTTTGTTCGAATTTATATAAAAATTTATTTAGAAACTTACATTATTTCTTTTATTTGTCGTTGATCTTTTTGTTGTATTCCAATTTTTTAAATATTTTGTCAAAACAATTTCTTTTGATAATAAATGTTATTAAAAAAACAAAAATTTTAAATATGCTGCGTTATTTGCAATTTTTAAATAATAAATCATTTTTTGCGTTTGATTAAATAACAATTAACATGTCAATTAGATAACATTAATTAAACAAAATATATGTTGTGTAAGATTTGTTTTTGGATTATATGAAAAGATTTAAATTAAATGATTTTTGCATTATTTTTTTTGTTTTTGCATTTCGTTGATAACTGCTTAGAGTGTTTTTATAAATTTATTATGTAATAAAAAAGATATTGTACTGTTTTGATTTTTTTATGATATTTTTATAATGACAATTGAATGAATGATTTTGTTTTTTTTTATAATAAGATTATCTGGTTGATCATTTACATGAGCCCGCGCGAATGCGCGGGCCTAAATGCTTGTGTTGTATACCCAACCGAGGGCCACTGATATTGCTGGCTTGGAGTGAATGGCAAAAGAGCAAAAGCAAGCTGGGTCCAAGCAAATACCAAGATTTATTCACTGGGAAAGCTTTCCAAGGCAAGGCTAGGTCAAGGTATGTCACGTTGTCTACGCCTGCATACAAACCCCGCACTGAGTGACCTCACCCAAATCAATCAAAACAAACCAACTCAATCTCTCTCTTCCGCTCGCAAAAGCTGCCCCATAACGCTGCAAAAATGCCTTTCAAGTGCGATACTATATTCGCTTCCTACTCGCTTCTCCTGCTGGTAAGCCGACTCATTCCAGAATTCTAAGCGTCCCACCAATAACTCGATACAGGGCTCCATCATCGCCCTGATCTGCGGCGCGTATGTTCCTCTCATCCCCCAAGTCGCCCAAATCGAATATTAACATCTCAATGACTTAGAATCTCATGGTCACGCACCCAATCCTACTCCCTGCCACTCCCATCATGGCTGCCTGTCATAACAACGCTCCTCCCTCCATTGACCGTCACCGTCCTAGCCGCCATCAGCATTTTGATTCCCAGAACAAGGGCAAATGCAACCGCAGCAACTAACGTCGCCCAACGCGCCCTTTTCCTCATCGACCAAGCCCACTCCATCCTCTCAACGATCATAGCCACCTTGGCGCTCGCCTACCTCTTCCCGGAAAACATCCTTTCCTGTCGCCTCGAGCAACAGTGGCAGACATATTTCAGCGCTCGGAATGCAGGCGCGATCCGCTCGATCCAAGATACCTTCCAATGCTGTGGGCTACGGAGTACGCATGATCGGGCGTGGCCGTTCAAGGACAGAACTCATGGCGATGATGCCTGTGAGCGACAGTTGGGGTTTAGACAGAGTTGCTTTGCGCCGTGGAGGGAGGAGCAACGGAGCGTCTCGTGGATGATTTTCGTGGCAGCCGTGCTGGTGTGGGCTGTTAAGGTCTGTTCCTTGTTTGTCGATTTTATGTTGTTTGGATTGATTTGGGCTATTTGGCTGACTGTTATTGTCGTTGATCAGGTTGGTTACATTCAGGTGGTCCGTCGGAGAAATGCCAGCTGGATGGAAACGCGCGCGTCGCGAGGGAATACCGAGTACCAGAGGATCACAAATGCCGAGAGAAGGGAAATTGAACACGATGGGGATCTCGAAAATGATCCTGGCAGTGGAGAGAATAGGCGAGCTATCTTGCCCCAGGCGGATCCAGAATACGGCAATGAATGGGAGGAACGCTGAGGGTCTTTACGAAAATGTCTATCGGTCTGAGTTGCGGTTGGAAAGCCTAAGCTTTGTGACTTTGTGTTCGTAATTGCGTCCGTATTTTGACGGGTATCAACAAATTCGAATTTCATTGAGAGCGATACGAAGGATTGAAAACCCAATTGGGAGGCATGTGTGAAGGTGAATGTGTCATAGCAGAAGACGAAAGTCAATTTACATCGCAACGCATTGAGGATATCATAGAATACAGAATGGAAAGCAAATAAATCGGAAGAGAACAGATATGGAGCAAACATAGGCTAGTGAAATGGTCCAATCAACTGGCCGCTAACAATTGCAGCTCAGTTGATCCCTTCATCGTCAGGAGTTCTCCCGCCACGGTCAAGGATATCTCCCACGATAGCGCATTACTCCGCCGAATATTATACGTCACGAAATCCGGCTGAATCCCAGATACAGGAGCGAGACGGGCTCCTTGAGCATACAACCCATCCGGGCGAAGAACAAGTTGAAGCATATCGCCAATATTGACTGGCTCATTGCCCTTCCCAGTGGTGAAGGCAACAGGGTGTTCCAGTTTGGAAAACAGCCTTTCTAGCCCAAGATGGTAATCACAAGATTGATCATCATAATGAGGCGATGAACTGAAGTTCCCGGGCGCGGTGACCATGGTCGTGCTTTTGATTTTCAATCGGAGCCAGTTCAACTGGATGGTCTTTGTGACGTCTTGGATACTGTCGCTTGTGCGCTCGGGGTCAGGCCTAATACCTATGGCGAATGGAATAGGCACCGGATTCTCGAATTGTATTCGGCGCGGGAATGTAACATCCACGATGAAGTGGAATTCAGGCACTTTCGAAGACCCGAACAGCTTCTGTGTCTTTTGCTTGAATGACAGATCGGCATCTTCCATCCCAGGTAGGAGTCTCTGGCTCTTCACCGATTTTGGCAGCTGTCTATGCAAGATGTCGTAGTCGAGCAAGAGAGGGGCAGGTGGTTGGCGCAAGATGATAGGAGTTGTGGCATTAAGAGTGTCGTATGACCCGCCACGGTTAAACCGCAGTTCAGCTTGAAGATAATACTCGACGAAACCCTCGGAGGTGTGATTCCAGCCGACCCGACTCGAGAAGAAGCTCCCCGGTAGCGGCTGATACGCGACGCTCTCCTGATTCAGCGGCAGGAAGCTTTCTTGCTGATCATGGCCCAGCATCACGGACGACGCAGGACCCGACGGAATAGTAACCTCGAACGGCCAAGTGAGGCTTTCATCGCTCTCTTCTGGCAGATGAAGCGGGCCGCGAAAGAGGGTCTGCGACGTCACTCCGAGAAGGTCCCATCGACCGCGATACACGCTGCGATTGTTGTTGCCGCGCTTGACGGTGATTTTGGTCTTGACGCGCCCCACCAGCTCTAGTCGCACGGTGGCTTCGGGGGCCACGATGGGCTGTCGACGCACCACATTTCCGATGATGGTGTCACCTGCGCCAAAGGTCCATCCGGGAGGTGCAGCAATCTCGAGGTTGACACCAACATCGTTTTCTTTTAACGTGATCGGCATGTTGTGTGGTTATGGTTGTTGTTGTTGTGGTGGTGAGAAAGCAAAAACACGAGATCGGCCCTAGGATATATAAGCCCCTGTGCGAGTGGGGGCCAATTCCCGGGCTTCTCGGGCGCATGCGGGCTGTGCGGGATGCGGGTCCAAGGCAAACTTGGTTTCTTGGCGTGGATGAGCTCCGTATGCCTTTCACCTTTTATGCAATACAAAGATAAGTGAATACTTCATGTCACTATATGTATCCCTTTTCACTTTGTTCCGTTACAAGAATAAATGAATGGATGTTAACCGAAGGCAAGAAACGCAAATCGCAGTATTTATGCCCTACATTGCACGGATAGGATCCTATGAAAAAAAAAAATAATAATATTAAATTGGCTATTGTAGTCTATAGCTATAATAACGAGGATTGTGATTCAACATCATGATGCTTGTTTCTTCCCTTTCAGCATCTCACCTGCCCCGGCTACGGCGGTACTTCAATAAGCGCGTGGGTCATACATCGGCCGCGGTGTTCGTACTGTTGAATTCACGGGAAATGAAGCTCATTGGGAATCCAACATCAAACACTATGCGCCATCGATTTCATCGATATCCGCGTCCGAAAGCGACATTCTAAATGCCTCAATGTTTGTTAGAGCGCTTTCGGTTTGATTAAAGAGGGGTGAAGGGAGCTTATAACAGCAATAAACGTGGAGCCTTTGCACTCAGTACCCTTCTCCAACGCCTCCAAAATCCTAGCATCACTTTCGCTGGTCTCCGCACCATGACCACTCCCATCTCCATTCTTCTTCTCCCTAGATGACTGGTCGGTTTAGTCCGTGCATGACCTCTTCCACGCTGGTCGAAAAGACCCTCCAATGAAGGCAAAGGATGTCGATATAGCCTAATTGGAGCTTGCGGAAGGAGTTAACACGGCAAAACGGCCGAGGTACATTCATGATCCACAGCTGCTATGTCGACCAGAACCCTGAGAGCTATCTTATGATCCGTGAGTTATGACGAGGAGCTATAGGGACGCGCTGTAACAATGTAACTCCGTCGGACAACTGCAATAAGTTGCGTACCATAGATCCGGAGTTAAGTCGTCGGCTGATCGTGACCTAAGTCCACCAGGGCGTCTACACACAATTTGTTTAGAGAAGGATGTATCTACTTGACTGTGTGCTACTAGACATACACACCTATAAAGCCGTCCAGGATTAGGTCTGCCAAGAGTCCGTATTCCGGCATAAGCTGCATCCCCCGGATGCCGAGCTTATCTCCGCCGCTCGTAACGGACAACGACAACGGCATCGTTATACAACAACCAGTATATATAGAAAATGTCTTTTGCAATACCTAGAGCTACCAAGTCAATCTCAATCCATTATATCATTTACCTGCATAAGCAAAAGAGAAATGTCTTTCACTCTTCACCCACCGCCCGACTCCCTCCTGGCGCGCCACCGCCAACTCTCCCCCTCCGCCGCGATCAGAGTCTCTCCCCTCTGTCTCGGCGCGATGACCTTTGGCACCGCACACGGCGAGCGCTACGGCGAGTGTACAAAGGACGATGCATTCGGTGTGCTGGACGCCTTCTACAGCAAAGGCGGCAACTTCATCGACACGGCCAACGCCTACCGCGAAGGCCAATCCGAAGAATGGCTAGGCGAGTGGATGGAAGCACGCCAGAATCGAGACGACATCGTGCTTGCCACGAAGTACACGATTCCGTGGCAGACACACCATCCCCAGAAACTGCAGTCGAACTATGGCGGGAATAATGTCAAGTCGTTGAAATTGGCCCTGGAAGGGTCGCTTGCCCGATTGAAGACTTCTTACATCGATCTGTATTATGTCCACTTATGGGATTACACCACCAGTATCCCTGAGCTCATGCACGCGCTCAATGATTTGGTCAGCTCGGGGAAGGTCTTGTATCTGGGCATTTCCGATACTCCCGCCTGGGTGGTTTCAAAAGCAAATGAGTATGCCAGACAGAAAGGGCTGCGGCAGTTTGTGGTGTATCAGGGAATGTGGAACGCGACGATGCGCGACTTTGAACGAGATATCATCCCCATGTGCCGCGATGAGGGCATGGGTATCTGTCCTTATGGGGTTCTAAACCAAGGCCGCTTCCGAACGGAGGAAGGTTTCCAGGAGCGGGAGAAACACAACGATGGACGAAAGTTCATTGCTACCTCGCAGCGTGATAAGGATGCCTCCCGGGTCCTGGAGAAGATCGCAAACGAGAAAAACGTTGATCTGCTTCATGTCGCCATCAGCTATGTCATGAACAAGGCGCCTTATGTATTTCCGATTGTTGGCGCCAGGAAGGTCTCGCATATTGAGGGCAGTATCGCGGGAATTGGTGTCATCCTGAGCGAGGAGGAGATACTCGAGATTGAGTCGGTTTACGAGTTCGACTTTGGGTTCCCCCACACCTTCCTCAGTGGTACGCTGTTTGGTCAGTCCAAGTCGAAGGGTGCGGATCAGCCCGGCGATTGCTTCTGGATCAGGCAGATGGGAAATTTTGACTGGATTGAGAAGCCAAAGGCGATACAGCCAAAGAATTAGGAAATGCAAGTAGAATGTTAGCTTCAGGGGCAACGGTGGTCAAGGGTTGGAATCGTTATACAAGTGTTTTTGTTTCTTGATATCGCCGAGCAGTACACAGACAGTTAAACGACACATCCATTTTGTACATGAAGCCTTGAAAGACCTGATGAATCAATCTATCCGTCGATGTCAATCAACCCAGAGCCCATGGGCGGGCTCAGAACGTGAGAACCCAACCCAATACGCGTTTTGGCCAGGTTAAACCATAAGTCTATCATGAGCATGTGGTTCTAAATACGGTTCGTAGCCTGCAGACGGACCCGCTATATCTTGCAATTGCTCAGAAACTGAGGGCTTATTCAAAAGTCTCAAAGGTGTTTTGGATAACGCTATAAGTGAACAGGGGTTAATTTTCATACGCTGTTCAATGACTACTAGTTCTGCCTGCTTGCTATATTTCCTCGGCCAAACCATATTTTTCTCGTGTTTTATTGAGTGAAAGTGTCCGCTGTACTCATCTATGGATCGGAGATAGCATCCATGTCGTAGAGGAGGCGTCGCCCCACTGGACGGTTACATCTGTGTGACCGGCTGAGACCCCGGACCCTGGCGACAGTGGGCAGTGTATACTGTCATTATTATTAATAACCATAAACAATTTTTCCTTCTCGCAGGTGGGCCGCAAACTGTTTTGTCTTCTACTACGGTCCGCATCCGGACAGAAGGTGCCTTTTACCCCTTCCGGAAACTGGCCTAAGAGAACGAAATAAATTAGATTTTCACCATCTGTCCCGCATTAATCGATGAATAACGAGATATTGGCCCATCAAGGCGAATTACTTTGCGTATTGCAATTGGGAACATGCTGACCAATTGGATCCAGTGCGATAGCCTGCCTCTCATCCTGATAGGGGCTGTGATCACCTTATCCTGCATTGTCGCTTGGACCTTTCGGGCCACTCCTTTGCGCCATATTCCTGGGCCATGGCTCAACAAATACTTCGGGGTTGGAATTGCCCTGGCTGAGATACGCGGGCACCGCAGCCAGCAGGTCGTTGCATGGCACCAGCAATACGGTCCGATCGTCTGCGTTGCGCCGACTCAGGTCTCTATTGCCACATTGCCAACTATTCGCGACATCTATAGTTCGACGGGTCGCGCTGACAAGAGTACCTTCTTCAACCACTTCATCTCATTCAATAGCCGGTCGGTCTTCACGACTCTCTCCTTTCTGGATCACAAACGAAAGCGAGCCGTTCTCTCCTCATTCTACCAGGGCTCGACCATATATGGGCAACCTGCCATTGAGGCCTTTATTCGTAACCATGCGTTTTCCATCTTAAGTCATATTGAAGGGAGATACCCGGGAAAGGGACCTGTCGACTTCTACCCACTTGCCGACTGGTACGCGTTTGACAATATCACCGCTCTGGCCTTTGGCCCTCTTTATGCGTCTGCGACTACAAAGAGGTCATGTGAAGAGCGTGGGTTGCTGCGAGACCTTAAACAGGCCCAAGCATGGTCTCCACTCCGCCAACGTTTTCCATGGCTGATCCCAATTGTGAAGATTGCTGCTCGGATCTCTAACTGGGATACGAGCCCACTCGAAGCGGAACGGCACTTGGCGGAATGGACATATGACCGGGTACTGCGCACGCTTGATGGCCCCAATGCTGGCGGGTTTGAAAGTCTAGTCTGCTATTTAGCGAGAAAGCTAGGGCTCAATCTCGGATCAGATGCTCCCCAGCGGTCCTACGACACCCATGTTCACAGCCTTGTACGCTATATTTCGGCAGAAGTGCTGGACAACATCAACGCAGCGGAGGCCTCGGTTGCCGCAACCATCACGTATGTGATTTGGTACGTGAGTATCCATCCTGAATGGCAGCAGAGACTCAGAAGGGAGCTTCAGGCCCTGCCTGTGAGATCGGATGGCCTGCCAAGCTTTAACGACATCGATCGTGCTCCCGTCCTCGATGCATGCCTTAAGGAGGTGTATCGCTTGAAGCCGGCCAGCGGCGGGCGTGCCGAACGCGTTATCCCTGCTGGGGGGCGCGTCGTATCAAACGTCTATGTTCCTGAAAAGGTACCGTTTCCCCCCTTCCATAGTGTGATGTGACACTCACTGATGCCTGCTGTATCCACCTGTACAGACCGTGGTAGCTGCCTCGATTATCGCGGTTCACACTGACCCTACTATGTTTTCCGATGAGTCCAGGTTCTGTCCCTCACGCTGGCTGGAAGCGGACGAGGCCAGGCTGGCCCGGCTCAATGCTTCTGTTATACCGTTTGGATATGGAGCGCGGGTGTGTCCGGGCAAGGTGATGGCGAACATGGAGATCAAACTATTGCTGGCAGCGATGTTCTTGCGCTACGAGATTGTGCCTGCCGGCGTACACACGGGCGTATCGATGAGGCAGGCTGCTGCACGGGATGGGGTTCGTAGCGGCCTCAAGGGAGAATTTTATTGCCGACCTTTGCCTGAATTTAAATGACAGAAGTGAGCTTATGTCAATAGTTGTGGTTGTAAAATAATCTCTGGTAGCGAAATATTACCGACAGCTATCCTTTACGTTTAATTTGAGGTACTTTTTGTGTTCCAGTTCATTTGATTTTGATCTATTTCTAATGTGACTGGTCTAGTGTACAAGACTAAGAAAGGGCCCTAGACCCAGCTGTCATCCTGCATATCTTGATCACAAAGCTTGCAGTCCGTATGGAAAATCTAACTATGAATTAACGACCGATGATCAGCCGCGCAACGCCTTGGATATCGCCGCCAGGCCCTTTACCAGACTATCTGCGGTCGACCAACCGTACCCTAGACGAAAGTACGTATCTGGTCGCTCAAACCATCGTCCTGGCCCAACGTACGTTTGGTGTGCTGATAGTAAACGATCGTAAAACGCTGCGGTGCCCCCAGCTGGCTCTTTCGTCATGCGTACAAAGCCCATGACGCCCCCGTCGGGGTACACCCACTCCACGAGTTCCTCCGACTGGACCCAAGCATCCACCACATCCCGACGGCGTTTCATCTCCGTAATGGTCGGGGGGAGGAGTGTATCGCAGCGCTCCAGTACCTGCTCTGCCACGTACTCATCCAGAACGCTCACAGTGATGTTGATCTGCTCCTTGGCAGCGAGGAAGGTCTGCTGTAGCTGTTTATTCTTGGTGGAGATCCAGCCGATGCGGATCCCCGGGACTCCAAAAGCCTTGGACATGGAGCCGACACCGATAACATGAGGACCTAACGAGGCGCACCCCGGTAGACGGTCGAGATACGTGAGTTCCGCGTACGTCTCGTCGACGAGAACGTAGCAGTTATGCCGTTGAGCCAGCTCGGCGATCTGCTTCAGCTCCGCCGCGGACATGCAGGTCCCCGTCGGATTGTTTGGGGTGGTGAGGCTGATGAGCTTCGTCCCTGGCTGGATGGCCTCCTCAATACGCTTAATGTCGACTTGGAACCCCTGATCGAATTCTAGATCAATGTAGGTGATCTTGCATCCGATGGCACGCGGGGTCTCGATGTTGCTGGCATAGTTGGGCCGGGTGACGATGAGATGGTCCGAGGCGTTGAGAAGGGCCGTGGCCACGATGAACAACGCAGCGGACGCGCCGGGAACCACGAGGATGTCGCTCGCGTCCAGGCCAGAACGCTGAGCAATGAGTTCACGGAAGCGATCACTCCCAAAGTGCTTACTGTACGCTAGTGGCAGGTCTCGGGGGGCGGGTATCTCAAGGTCTTCCAGGGTGCGGTCGCCGAGAGAGCTGTCACTTAGATTGTGAATAATTGGCAGAGGAACCTCTTCGGGGGCTTCAATCTCTATGGCTGAGCGCTGGTAATGCATTTTGGTGGTTGTATCCCGACTGTGGGGAATCCTTGCCCGGGGATAGAATGGTCAAAAGAGGTTTTGACATCAGAGATTCAACGCAGCAGTAGAAGGGGATATAAAATGGCTTGCACAGACCAGGATGCAACTTTGGGAATAGATATAAAGGTAACTTGACCCCGTGCGCCTGTAACCTGCAGGACGCATCCGGCGTGCGTTGAACTGTCCGGTATTGGAATATACTGCAACTGTAGAAATCCGCATGCGGACAAGGGGGTGCACATGGTAACGTGACATCCGAGGGAGGCATGTCACATTCCAAAAATCACTGACAGCAGTTGGCAAATTATAACAATGCTAAGCAACGGCAGCGGCTCAAATTAATTGCTGAGTGAGATAGACCACACACTTTTCAATCGAACTAAGAAAGCCTTCCCGCCATCGACGCCGTCGCGATGTCTTCCACCGTAACAGAATCGTTACGGCCAAGTCTACTTCTCCAAAGGGCAAATTTTGAGAGTGTTCCTATTGTTGATCTCTCTAAATTGCACTCCCCCAACATCTGGGAGCGGCAGGAACTAGCAGAGGAGATCGACAAAGCCTGCACCCAAGTTGGCTTCTTCTACATTAAGGTGCAACCCACTCCGTCCACATCTTTCCAGTGCTTGCTTGATTTGAACCCAAGGAGCTAATTCCATCTCGCCTTCCAGAACCATGGCATTTCAGAGGAGCTGATCAGTGAGATCCATAATGCAGCTCGTCAATTCTTCTCACAGTCCGACGAGGAAAAGATGAATGTCTACGTGGGAAAAACAAAGGTACGTCTCCAAGGGTTGATGGCATCCCCGTGGAACAAAGGTCTGACGGCAACGTGCCAGAACTTCCGCGGTTATAGCCCCCTGTATGGCGAGAAGTCGTCCAACCCCGACTTGGAAGAAAACGCCATGGGGAACTCCCAGGGAGCTCTATCTGAAGCATTCGATATCGGATACGAAGTATCCGGGGACCTACGAAAGAGTTCTGGAGATCGGCTTCCCCCCGATAGCTTCGGGCTTCATGGGGAGAATCAATGGCCAGATGAGACTCTCGTCCCTGGCTTTCGAGCAACGTACCTGAAGTACTTTTCCGAGGCCCTTGAGCTTTCAAGAGCGTTGATGAAGATCTTCGCTTTGGCCCTGGGTCAGAAGGAGGATTTCTTTGACCCGATGGTGAGGTATCCGGGGGTGACGTCGAGAATGTTGCATTACCCGCCCCAGCCTGTCCAGGGAGTAGAGATCCCGGGGTTGGCGGCTCATACGGTGAGCTGTCCGTCAAGCGCGTAAGCGTCAGTACTCTAATCCGGTGAACTATCCCTAGGACTACGAATGCTTTACGATCCTGGCACAGGACCGGGTTCCGGCTTTACAGGTTTTAGATAACCGGGGCGAATGGGTGCTTGCACCTCCTATTCCAGGAACCTTGATTGTCAATATCTCGGATACCCTGTCTTTTTGGTAAGTAATGCGATTGCGGCGCTTTTGGATCGCCACCCTTTAACGACTTTTCTAGGAGCAACAAAAGATTCAAGTCAACTATTCACCGGGTGGCCAACCTGTCTGGAGAAGAACGATACTCTATCCCGTTTTTCTTTGGTGTGGATTACGATACCACTATTTCTGTCCTCAAAAACCAAGTCTCCGATGATAACCCTCCCTGTAAAGAGCCATTCAAGGCCGGCGAGGTACGTGAAATGGCATCCCGCTTGAGATCGTCTGATCAATTTTGTATTGACCATATACATCTATAGTACGTACGCTGGAAACTCTCCCAAGCATACATAGGATATGGTGGGGAGCCTGCTGGTAAGAGCGAAGATGCTTGACATCAACTCGGACTGTTGGAGGGTTTTCCAGTACCAAGGCAGCTAGAAATAGAAGGCCGGCACTTCCGGCTCTCAAAAAAATCCAGTTCTTCCGCAAGAACATAGTTGTGGGGCAGAATCTCATATAACATACGAACTTTTTTCTCAGAATAACAATAATCTCTTGACCACAACATACACATAATTCACATCGCACTACTGATTTACTGGACTGAATTTACATTTGGCAGAATGGGACGGCAAATCCGCACCGAACTGGCTGAGCGCCGTACCCTTGGGGACGGTTGCGGATTTTGACGGAGCCAGGGAGACCCGCATGAATCTGTTTTAGGACCGGGTTACATTACGTCTTCAAAATAAGTTTAATGTAAACTTCTTGAGTGATTTCGTGCCGTTGTCATCAAGTTCTGCTTTCAACAATTGGATTGCTTGTTTTTTTCTCCATTCCGCTCTGCTGATCCATTCCATTCTTTAACAACACTCATGTTTTACTTTTTTGAAATAGCTTTTTAGGCCTGAAATCCGCTGCGAGCGGTCCTAAACGGCCCCTGGGACAATTCTAGGATCGATCGATCATTTTCATATCCCATTTTATGGTCTACTTTTATCCTTTAGCGATCCGCCCATCTAGGCCAAATCGCCACATAAGAATGAGAATGAAACATCTTCTGCTCTCAAACTGCATTTATTCCTTTTTGTTTGGCCGGTGGCGTCAACGAGCTTGGACAGGACCCATGCGGGCAAACAATTAAAGCCTGTGATTGACGCTAGATGATAACATTTCTCCTCTAACGCTTGACTGTGCTATCCCTCACCAGATCCACTGTGGCACAGTGGAAAGATCCCCCAATACTGTTGACATGTTTAAAGGGGCAGAGGATGCATTCCATCCCTAGAGATTCGTACCACTTGGCAGTCTGCTGATCGCTGGCCTCGACCACGACCCGTTTCCCGTCCAACACCAAGGCATTTAGGCCCAGCCATGGACTCGTCATATAAAGCGGCGGGTTCTCCGGCTCCTTTGGAGTGAATGGGTAAGGGTGGGCTTCTGGCTATGAACTCTATGATCGCATCTCAAAGCCTTACCAAAAGTTTCTCGAGGGCTTGACGGCAACATTCGTCCAACCCAGCTATGATAGGTTGATACAGAAGCTCAACCACCAATTATACACCCAGCCAAGAGGTTCTCCTGAAAATGTAGGGTCCGAGTTTGTGGCGGTTCATCCCGTGGTCCGCACAAATCCTGTTACCGGCTGGAAGACAATATTCGCAGCTGGAAATCATGTTCAATGTATCAACGGTCTGGAGGAAGCGGAGAGTGAAGGCATCCTGCAATGGTTTCGTCGGTTGATTACCGAAAATCATGACTTACAGGTGCGATATAGATGGCAGAACCAGAATGATGTCGGTAAGTCTTGAAGTAGTGCCAATACCGCGGAGTCCTCAACGTTAACAAGTTACTGGATAGCACTATGGGATAATCGATGTGTTTTTCATGCAGCTACTAAAGATATCAATATCGATGACAAACGGGTTGGGCATAGGGCTATGGGGGTAGGAGAACGTCCCTATCTGGACCCAAAAAGTACGAGCCGACGGGAAGCTTTAGGTCTTTTTTGAATCGAGATCGCTTGAACAGATAGGAAAGATTTTTCGTTTCAGCTAGTAAGAAAGAGATGTTTTGTTTCTTTTCCCTGAATTGAAATGATAGTTTCCCAAATTCTGCTGTCTGTTATTCTCAAGTTGGCATAGCTACAATCCTTGATAGGGAGTTCACTGGTAATTCAACTGCGGGTAAAATAGATGTGCTACCTAGACAAAAGGACAAAAGAAAAGATCTGAAAGCAAAGTATAGTCCATTATCGGCGCTAACATGATTATTTCCGATACCACATCCTAGTCACCTTGGTCTTCCTCATCTTCTTCTGCAACTGAAAGATACCGTATAGAAAGGCTTCCGGCGTCGGAGGACACCCAGGGACATAAACATCCACCGGCACGATCCGATCAACACCCCTGACCACACTATAGCTATAGTGATAATACCCTCCACCGTTGGCACAACTGCCCATACTGATGACCCATCTTGGATCCGGCATCTGGTCATAGCATTGACGAAGCGCCGGTGCCATTTTGTTCGTCACAGTACCGGCAACGATCATCACATCGGCCTGCCGCGGAGAAGCTCGGAAGATGATGCCGAGCCGGTCCTGATCGTAGCGAGGCATGGATACATGCATCATTTCGATGGCACAGCAGGCGAGTCCGAAACTCAGTGGCCATAGGGATCCTTGTCGGGCCCAGTTGACAATTTGGTCGAAAGTAGTACTATGCGGAGGTTCTGGTTAGTTGTTCTGCCCTGGCGCAATTGCGTTATTTGGGATTGGATCCGTACAGGACGTATTCCGCAGCATTGGAATTCTTCGGTTCTAAGGAAGTGACTGTTGTAGAGGATGGAAATTGTTTGGCTAGGGTTTCGCGGGCTACGAGTGCGTTTGTAGGTGAATGCTTTCGTCGGTTGATTTGCAGGTGCGGAATGACGCGAGCGGAAGCCGAGGTTCCAGATGTAGGCAAGGATGTTAAAGGCCCTTAGAAAGATAATATTAGCAGCCTAGTTTTGGTGAATCTAAACGAGCAACGCACTTCGGAAAAGGTATAGGGACGGTCGAGACATGTTTGATTCACTTGTAAACTCAGCTTTGGACAATTTCTAGTAACAAACATAAGAGAACAAAACTAAGATCTGAGTCCAATTCTTGTGAAGCTTTACAGAGAGAAGAAAGAGCTCGCATTGCGCCCCTTAGTATACAAGAAAGGCCCGGTGCCACCAAGTGGGTTTTGTCCGGCCAAGTGGGATTTCTCCGACTTGTGTCTGACCCGCTGTTAGATGACCCTACTTCTGCGTTGATCTCAAAAGATAATGTCTCTGATTCCTTAAGACTATTAGACAGGCGCTATTATTGCAAAGAAAGGTTCAAAAAAATTCTGTGACCGCGCACCTGTGAAGCAATAGGGCTTAGAAGATAGGACCCACTAGTTCCATCTCGTTGGCTGCCGACTTTGGGGAAAATCTAATTCTCCCGCAACATCCATATTATCGCCCACAATCATGTCCCCTAGCGCTTGCGACAGACAGTACAAATGCATAGAGTGTGGCCGAGGGTATTTGAGGTCCAGCCACCTTCAGCGTCATCAGGCCACCCGTAAGATCTCTCGCACTCAGAACGCATAAGCCCGAAATCTGTTAATTGCCACTTAGATTCACCGGCCCAACGGAAGACGTGTCCATTCTGCCATCGCCAATTCCTCAGAAGGTAGCGTGATAGCTTATTAACCAAAGTATTTAATTTCTCACGATGATGAAAAATATAGTGATGTCTTGCTACGCCATTCCCGAGCCTGCAGGCTCAGGGACACGCGAGCAGTGCCGCAGGGGCAAAGACGGGGCAGGAAACGGACATCTTGCGACCAATGTTCCCAGACTCACACTATGTGTGATGGGGATTGTCCATGCGAAGCTTGTCTTGCTGCATCTTTGAGTTGCTCTTACAATAGTCTGAGACAATCAAGCCCCGCGCCTGCTATGCCTATTCAGCATGATTCTACACAACCCGGGATGTCCGTTTGGCAAACTGGACAAGAGTCCACGAATCCACCCGACAAGATATCTATCCCCTTTATTCTAAACTATACTGACCAGTCGTCAAAATCTTCGTTTGATCTGCACTGCATGCTGGGAGGCGAGTCTTTGAGTTTCGCCGAAAATCCTTCCCCGGCAACCGCTGATCCCTTCCCGGAGCTTTGGTCATCATTATTCCACGCGTTTATAAACCCTTCTGCAATGGAGACTCAATGCCATGACTCTACCCAGTTCTATGGGCTGGACGACTCTGACGGGCTCTCTGAAACAACTGCGCGGCTTATATCACATCTCGAACGTTTCAATATAGGGAATCCCGAACATCAACAGGTTGACATTCCAGCAGCAAGATTCTTCTTTTGTGCTGCTCGGCTTGGTGAATACGTGCATAGCTTTTTCGATCATTCCTCACACACAAATTGCATTATTCATAGACCCTCGTTCAATATAAACACGACATCGACGCATCTTCTGCTTGTGATAAGTTTACTGGGAGCGGTTTGCAGATCACCTGAAGAAGCTATGGAAGCACGATCCTTCTCAGATTTAGTGCACCATTCTCTTTTCGAAAGTCCCGAGTTTCAGCACATTCTCTATAGCAAGAACCCGCCACTATCGAAGGACAATATCCAACTCGTCCAAGCGGTAATGCTCATGATGGTGCTACAAGCAGCGAGAGAGGAATTTGATATCAACAGACGCATTCGCACCCAATGCTTTCCAGCACTAGTGTCAGTTATACGTTCCTTGGGCTTGACCCAAATGATCAACGACGCAAAGAATTATGGACAGCCTGCTAGCCTCGATGACTACATACATCAAGAGACACTTGTACGGTGAGTTACAATTAATGTAAATCACCTTTTAGTTCCAAAAACCTAACTGCTTCTCAATAGAATTATGTCTTGGGCTTACCTCCTTGACGGCTACAGTGTCGTTTTTTATCGGTCGCCACCGCAGTTTAAAATAGTCGAAGCGAATTTCGGCCTCCCGCGAAACGATGCGCTTTTCGATGCGATAGACCCCTCTGATTGCGATGGTACCATACTGAATACCGATGCTTTTCATTCGCCAGTATCTCTTAAGCTCGTTGTTCAGCAATTAATGGGTGACGAGCCCATTCAACTGAACGAGATACGAAGGCACATTGACACATTATTTGCGCTTTCCCTCGTGCTTAATGGCATGTAGCCCAAAATATGGTTACATAGAGGGGTTTTTGCTAATTTTTCCTAGCTCTCCATTGCATCCTATTTGACATCCAAGCACTAGAAGGTTGTATAGATGCCACCAGCGCATTGATTCCCGTCGAAAGGGCATTAGACAGATGGAGGGAATTATACGATATGTTCCAGTCTGAGCTTCAGACATCAAAGCCATCGAAACCTGGATTCATGATCCACAGTCTCGAGTTTTGGTGGTTAGCAAAGCAGTTTGTTCGACGTCCTGATACGGCGTTGAATAATGAAAGATTTGCTGCGGATTCCATCAAAAGCTTCCATGCCATGGTGCAAGAGCTTAAGGGCCCCAATGAAAGCATCTGAGCCTCGGTATCTAATTTTAGCCACGGTTGTGTCGCTAACCACTGCCCATTACGCTATCATTTAGCTCCTGTCTTGTATCTTTCGGACTTCCTCGCAGCCTAAGTCCCGTCCAAGTCTGCTTGGCTCCTAATTATCGGGATTTCATTTACCATTAATTATTCGTTCTCGTGTCCCACTCCTTCATATTTTAAACCATGACCCGTGGAGGCGTCAGATCAATTATAGTTAATTACATTCATCGCGGCGCAATTCTATCGCCTAACGCTGTTCAACAAGTCATCTTCAACTACAGGGCCTCGATCCATTCCAACACAGCCTTTGGCTCCACACGCTTGAAGTAGTCCACATTCAGATACATATTCCTCACAATACCATCCTTATCCACCAGCAGAGTAGCTGGGATGGGGACTTTGAATGACTTGTCAGCGTTTCGTTGTTGTAAGTCATGACCCAGGGCCTCATAAACCGGTCTTAGGCTCTCCGGCTGCTTCCAAACAATTCCGAGCTTGCGAGCGTATTCGTTGTGCGAATCTGTCAAAACAGGGAACTTGAGGTCGTGCTTTTCGATCATAGACAAAGAGCTATTGGGAAGCTCCGGGGTGATTGCGACCAGGCTTGCGCCTTTCACTTTTAACTCGTCATAATATCGTTGCAGGCCGACTAGGGCAATGTTGCAGAATGGGCACCACTCGCCGCGATAAAAGGTAATGATCAAGGGACCTTGCGAGAGAAGCTCTGTGGAAGTTTGCTCTGCCCTATGTCGTCTTGCAGACGAAAGCTCGGAAGATGATCGCTGACTTTAATAGCTGTGCTTTGGCTGAAGGAGACTGCAAACTGTTTCTTCGCTTTATTCACTAGCTGTATAATCGAGTCGGGCGCAGTCTGTTTGATGGCTTGTTGAAGGGATTCGAGCTGTGGAGTAATGGATGCCATATTGATTTCTTGGCGGGCTCACTGTGTAACTCTCAGATTTATCCCAATGCCTTTCGAGTCCGATGCCTCATTTATATGCGATGTGTACAACGAAGGATCACCGGTACAGACTTTGATTGGCGGTGATTTCATCTTATCCGCGCCCTTTCGGATGCATCTCAAACCGAATGGCCGAACAAGTGGCTGTTCGGTCCTTTAGTTTGGGCCCACGAATGGATCGCACTCGCAAGGTTTTCCAAATTAGTTATGGTTCGTTCCTCTTCTCAGGCCGTCAGACAGATGCCATCTTGAAAAGGCGGTCGATGGTCGATCCGTTCGCAACATCCCGGATTGCGCGATTTAATCCACATGTCGCTGACAACTTCATTCTGGAAAGCATTATCAATATGGCAACCATAGCTAGTAAGTTACTCGCTTGCGCGATCGCAATGATGCCTCAATATGTTGCTCATCTGACCAAAACTTCAAGACACAAATCACCCCTTCTCAGCTCTCCGCCTTGGCATCGTGCTGTTCCCCGGCTTCCAGGCGCTCGATGCCTTCGGTCCTCTAGATTGCATCAACGTGCTCTCATGGACGCACGATGTGAGCCTCGCCGTGATTGCCCCGAGTCTAGACCCTGTTTCAACTTAATCGCCCATGTCTCCAAACGCTCTCGGTCAAAACATCGTGCCCACTCACACGTTCGATACGGCCCCGTCCCTCGACGTTCTCCTCGTACCAGGTGGCATAGGCACTCGCGGCTCTAGCGCTCCAGTTCTAGGGGCTATCGAGTTCATCAAGAGGGTATATCCGTCGCTGAAGTACCTGATAACCGTATGCACCGGGTCAGGACTCGCTGCACGGTCTGGAGTGCTGGATGGACGGAAGGCCACTACGAATAAAATGGCCTGGGAAGAGATAACACGGTTAGGACCAAATGTTCATTGGGTGTCCCAGGCGAGGTGGGTGGCCGATGGGAATATCTGGACTTCGTCTGGAGTCAGTGCAGGTATCGATGTCACTCTTGCTTGGATCGAGAAGGTCTATGGAGAGGATGTCGCTCGTAAGATTGCGGACGGGATGGAGTACACTCGGCATACGGATGCTAGCCATGATCCATTTGCTGATTTGTATGGGCTGTAATGCTCTATGCGGTCGGTGCAGGTCCTGTAAGGCTCCCTGTTCTAATTAGATTAATTAAATGAGGCGCAAAGTATGTACTATCGTTGTGCTCTGATCGACATCGGCATATCCGGGACTGGGTGTCGGAGGGTAATGTTGATAGCCCAACACGGTGGTTTATTAGGTAATTAACTCTACATTTTACTGCCAATTGCTGGTCCCTACTGGTCTGGCCTCAGTGATATCTGACAAATTAGGTTTTCCACTTTTGTCTAGAATCTGCCATTGCTCACTAATAGGCACAGAGACATAAGTAGCTGGACTGTGCCTAGGAACTTCTGAAAATATGACACAAATCAAGTACTTCAAACATTCGCTAGAACGGTGCGCCTCTTACACTTTGATAGTCTTCTCGAGATGATCTTTGGACCAAACCTAATCAGGCCCAGCCCACAATAGACGCAAATAAGCTTTCCGGGGGCGAATTAAAGAAGACCAACCCCCAGATTCTGCCATCTCCCACGCAAGAGATATCTGGAATACAGGAACGACTCAGATCGCCGTTTAATGGGACTTTGTAACAAATTCGACAAGAAGTGAGGATTTTGTTCTACGCGGAACAAGGCGGAAGCATTTTCATTCCTAATTATAGCAAAGTAGACGGGTAAGCAAGCTTCATCCTGATAATAAGCGATGAAATCCGAATGGACTATTGGGAAAGTGATCTACCACTGGGAATATCATCACTGTTCTAATTTGAAGACAATGACGTACGATCGACCGGGGAAATGGCCAGGATTGCATAGGCAATCTCATTCCTATTAATAGGCAGTGCCAATTGCTTGGCAGTCATGACCTGCTGCATTTAAGGCGAGACAAGCCAATAGGGCAGGCCAGGCAGGGGTCTTAGTGTTACCCATCCGTATGATGATATCGCCTGCATAAAAACGATGGGATTCGTTTAAATCGTATAACTGTTGTGCCAAGCTAGGAATCCTTTATTCCTTTCTGACAAGACTGATCCGTGCGACGGAAGTGGAGCTCTGGCGGTAAGGATAATCCACCAACTAATCCATAAGCACTTTATTTCTCTTTCCATTTTCCCTTTCTTTCTTTCTAAATATTGCCTTTCGGTCTACAGAATGGATCCAAATCAAGTCATGGAGATAGTGAGGTGGCTCGAACAGAGTTTGCAAAAATTAAGGCCAAGAAGATGGAACCACTCGATCAACTGACACCCGGGCAGAGGCACAAAAAGACAGAGGGGTTGGGTATCCACACATGACTTCAGCTTTACTGAGTCGAGGGCGGCGTTAATGTCGATCACCGATTTGGTCCACGAATCCCACGGAGGCACCAACATAACTCAGTTGCAGCATGGCTTGGCGCCCGATCTGTCTCCTTGTCAACGTCAACAGGGAATGGAAATTACGGCTGCACCTGTTCGATTTCTGTACAACGCTAAGATCGACCGCTCTTCCGTGGTTCGCTGCTTGCCGAGGTCAAAGAGCGCCGCAAAGAGCCACCACATGATCTGTGTTTGTTGAAAAGGCTGCCCCTTTTCCCCTGGTCGTTTTATTTTCTTCTTGCTCTCCTCGCATGAGATTTTCACTGCTGGTGAGCTAAACTTTTGGATCGACACATTATGACATACCTTACTCAGCCAGTCATGGCTACGATGCTGCCGGTGGAAATTATTCAGTCCATTCTTCTTTATATGGATATCGAAACGTACCTCGCCGCGCGTTTGACGTGTAAATCCTGGAGATACGCGGCGTCCACTTCGCTCATGACATACAAAACCGTGCAGGATATCCCAGTCGCTCTACCGCCAACCATTCGAGAACTGAGTGACAACGAATGGGGTGTCTATCTCGACCAGATCGGGCGGATCAATCTGTTGGGGTTCCGGAATCACGTGGAGAGAACAGTGACTTGTCGAAGCCGGACAGATACCTGGACGGCGCCTGCAACAACGAGACTGGGAAATCCTGGTCGGGGAGCCGTTAGATCGAAGAGATCACCGGGGGCTGTGGACGAGAATGAAATCAAGCAACGACTACTCCAATTTCCACTGGCTTCGTCACTCTATCCGCTCTGGACGTCAGTCTGTCGCGCCTTGTCCGATGGATGCACTGATAAGTGGATGGTGAAACACCAGCAGAACATGCAGCCGCATCTTGCTCTATCTTCGGATAGCCGCATTCTGGCTATAGGATTCGGGAAAAGGATCCAGGTGTTTAGCGCTTTGGATGACAAACGTGCAGAAGATACATCCCCAGTTGAATACCTGATCAAGGACGATACACACGGAATCATTGAATCGCTGGAATTCGAAGAAAACGATAAGCTGCTCCGACTCGTTATTGGCAAACAACCGAGTCGAGTCCGTTATCTAGGTCTACCGTCACATGCTTCGGAGAAACCTGATCTGAACTACTGGCGCAGATGTATCGATCGTATTTACCTAGATTCGATCGAGCTAGCAAGGCATCTCAGCCGATCAAGCACGACAAGATTAGTACTGGCGGGCTTACGACTTCTTCCATCTTCTGAGGAGACTGGCAATACAGCAGGGTCAGGAAGCGAGCAACACCGGCATTTCACCGCATGCCTTCAAACCGGTCATATAGATTCCTACTGTATGGGGTCTGTATCATTCTTCCATACCACACAAGCCAGCGGCATGCTCTCTGCAAATATCAGCCGCCTTCTCCCATCAAAGCAGTTCCAGCCATATACCGCGAAATCCCGTACCTCCTCCAAAGCTGAACAGTCGACTGTCCCAACCCACAGTCTTCCACGCGCCACAGTCGACCCAGAATACACATACGGCTACGGCGACGATTCTCATCGAAACGTCTACCAACTTACAAATATCCCGCGCTGGGACCACATCAACCTCCCCTCAGCCACCTGTGATACCCCGCAACTAGTCATTTCAGATGACAGCCGCATGCTGATAGTCTACGAACCGTGCGCCTCACAAAAGGGCCAAGGCGGCTCGGTATACGTCTATAACATCGAACCATGCACACCCATTTACCATCCGTTTCCCCGCACAAAACCCCATAGTCAAGTCGATTGGTCGATTTTCGGACAAGACTTTGGCGGACTAGGCCTGTGCTTTGTCTTTAGTGCGGCCTTTGACATGATCAAGTCCAAGATGACTGAGGTCATTCCTTCGTGGCCATTTCTTTTGGACCGGGTTGATGTGGATATCATGAGTCTGAAAGTTGCATGTGACACCACACTGGATGGCACATACACTATCACAGCCAAATCTGCGGAGGGTGATGTGGAGTGGAAGGTGAATCGCAACTAGATTTTATGGAACGACTAACGAATACAATAACCAGATACGGTGTTGATGGGGTCTGCATGATTTCGATTAGCAAAGATTGCGTGTATATATAGCGATGAAGTAAAGTACAGTATAGCATATCCATTTCTATAACTTTTTCTCAATCTTCGGCCAGCCCGTCATGCGTCACTATCACCGCGATCGGACATCCGGCGGAAGGCCCGGGTACACTTCCCCTCACTTAATAATACGAACAGGGATGTCTTGCATTTTTGGGCTGACTAGGCATCTCAATCAATCACTTGACTTTGAACCTCTCCATCTAAGCCCTATCAGATATCTCCACAGTCAATGTATGTTAGTTTCTTGCCGCGCAAAGTGTTCCGGCTCAACAGCGGGTTTTCCCGAAAATGTCAGGTTTCTCGGAAATGATCGGATATCCAGCCGCTAGACCCGATTTGGCACATATTGCCTTAGGCATAAATTGTCTTGCTTCCACATACACACCAAATAAATTGAGTACTTTTCAATATGGGTAAGATCCAAAAGAAGTGGAACAGAAGGAATCTGACATTCTTCATTTCCATCTATCTTCTTTCCATATTCCCATGTTCAACGACTCCTATGGGACGCCAGTAGTCTGTACCTACAGTACATCAGACGAGAACTCTCTCTTGTTTATCCAAATCCAACCTATCTATATACCCGATATGGAATCATGTCTTGTTACAACAGCACTTTTCGTTCAGTGGCGTGTGGAACGGTCTAGATGAGTATTCTTCATACCCAAAAGGGATTCTTGTCACGATCCCTTGTGATCAGCGGCTGGGCTTCCACTGATCAGATCGCGGAATGAACCGGGTGGGTACGATGCTCTGAAGGCTTCGGAGTATGATTCCAAGGACTGCCAACCGCGCATCACATTGTAGACCAAGGCTCCCAAGTCCGGTCTGGTGGTCATCGACCCCTTTTCTTACCGACGATAACGAGCGGCGTATATGTTTATCTTAGTTTTTTGGGATATTTTCCTAGAACGAGCAAGGGCGAACAAGGGAGGAAGAATGGTCTTCGAGAACTTCCAAGGTACAGGATATGAGTGAGGTCGCACGATAGCATAGATAAAACTCCTTATCTCACTAGCCATAAGAAAAGTTTCGATTGATTTTTATCTCCCATTTTTGCGCCTGTGTCATAACCGATTGTCCATAGAAATCCTGTTTCCCCCTTACTGACGCAAGGCAGTTTCTGCCTTGCAATAACCATTTTCGATGCAGGGCTCAGATTCTACGTTATCCAGAAACACTAAATCATGCATAGAATTATGATCCATGCTAGGGTATTCGGACGTGTGCTGTACCTTACAGTGTGCGCGATCCTAAATAAGCTCCAACACTATTGACGCGGGATATCGTAGTCTATAAGGGATAAACTGTTGATTGATAGTAACTAGCTTATAAATTCCCGACATGGCGCACCACTCAGTTCATCTTTATCTGCAATCATCGGAGCGTTCTGTCAACTCATCTCATCATGCACTTCTTTAAATTCTTGCTAATAATAACTTCTCTCTTCTGTTCAACCATTGCGCATCGGGGACCCCATCCCAGGGCAAGCAAAGCCGATCTCATCCGCCGAGGAAAGCTAGCTCACCGTTGCTCCAGTCACGTTGCGCGCTTCAACGAAAAGCGATGGGAACAGAATCTCACCAAGCGCTCGGATTCCGCCGCCACATACCAAATTACGACCGAGGCTCCCTACTACGATGCCATCCACAATGACACTTGTGTTCTCTCTGCGGATGTCACTTCCGGTCCGTATATCTGGCCACGCTCACAGACCTTACGTCAGGACATGAGTGAGGGCCAGCCAGGTATTCCATTGTGGCTAGACATTGGGGTCATGGATATGGCGACTTGTGCGCCTCTCGAAGGCGTACTAGTGGATCTTTGGCACTGCAATGCGACCGGCAGTTACTCGAGTTTTACTGGTATACCGGCGGACATAACCTATGGTCAATATGTGAAGCAGGAGAACTTGACCAATGTGAAGTTCGGCGTCACCGATTTGCATACTGATAACACTACCTTTTGTCGTGGAATGTGGCCAACCAATGGCAATGGCATTACGGAACTGAAAACGATTTTCCCTGGTTTGTTGGAAGATATCTCATTTGCCGTGTTCGTAACTAATGCACTCACGTTTGCCACTAGGGTTCTACGCTGGAAGGGCGATTCATGTTCATGTCCAAATCCACACCGATTGGTCTATCCGCGAAAACGGCACCATGGCCCACGGAAATACCGTGAGTACGGGGCAGCTGTACTTCGAAGAGAACCTAGTAGAGAGGATCATGGCCGAGGAGCCTTATGTACTCCACACAGGAGTACATCGTGTCACCAATGGCGAAGACCACGGGATTTCGAGGAGCTTCGAAGGAGGTTTCAGCCCAATGATCTCCGTGGTTCCAGTTGATGGCAAGGATGTCACCAAAGGAATGGTCGGATACATCACTCTCGGGGTTGATACGGAGGCAGTCCAATCGAAGACTTGATAGGTCATAATGGCTATTGCGAGTATGGCGTGCCATAACGGATCAACCTCCGAGTGAAGCGCGATATGTTATTTCTGGGTCACAAATTAATTATGGCTCGATCTTTCAAGCAGAATTCTGAATTACGCTGTTGAATCTTTTTTGCTACCTTATTTTAAACCTCAAAGCCGCCAGAGCTCTTTATTATTTCTATTCACGATGAACTCACCATAAGCCTTCTCCAAAAACTAATCATATCAACAAAACGTAGAACATCATGAGAGATGAGAAAAGTCATCATAAAACAACCGTAAGTTGATGATCTTACTTATCATCCACCAGGATATTTCGATGTTCGTCCTTAAAGCTCACCATTTTACTTCGGTTAACTAGGACTACCTACCCTGTTGGCAAATCCCGAACAAGGTGGCCTCAGCTTCCTCTTATTATTCGGGCTAAATGGCTCTTATTGTAGCTTCGAAATGGCATTCCGGCTTTATGGTTACTGTCTTTTATGCAGGCATAAATCCAAGAAATCTGGGCTTGAAATAAGTTAACGAAAATCCATATCAATGCTGACAGTTGCTAATTGGTTAGTAGTTCGTTAACGGACTCACGCTTGCGCGAACCTAGTCCAGTGTTCGTTTCTGTTGATGCCAATTTTCAAGATAATGTGTTCACCTAGGGTAGGGGAAATGAACCTCTTGCTAGCATTGTTTGTTAGGAAAGGCCCAGTCAGCTATAGGCTGTGCTTTGAGGGTGATGAATGACGCTGACCCATCAGCAGATTTTCTTCCGATTAAGGATATTTATCTCAGGGGTTGAATATCAATACGGTCTACACAGATAGCAACACTCTCGCCGGGGCTTCCGGGATGGCGAAAGTTTCGCGATATTCAAGCCCATACTAGTCATTTGGCGACTCGTTTCGCAACCAAAACTTATACACTTTCATTTAAAGCTCTTTCCTGATCAAGATAATGAACCCCAAGTCGAGACCTCAGCTTACAAGAAGCCAAGAAAAGGGGCCGACACTTTCAGTCTAACCTGCATTAGCGCCCTAAAACGGCCCCCAAGCAATAATTACACCACACCCTAAACCTATCATCACCCCGGCACTATCGCCAAAGACTTCCACTCAATTGATCCAGCGATATAATGTCTTTGGCCCCCATTCATGGCACGCTTTTTCCGAACTCGAGCCGGATATATACGCCACCCCTTCCCCTAGGATGTTCCGCTGACGATCACCCGTCCGTCATCCCCCTCTTGCTTGCACTTCCACTGGCAGAATGCGCGGTACATTATTATCTCTGCTGTTACAGACAGCACTTCTGTCGACAACAGGGGCTACAAAATGCTATTTCAGCGATGGCAGTGAAACAAATGGGGAGATGGAGCCATGCTTCCCGTCCAAGTCTGCCAGCTCCTGCTGCTCCACAAATAAAAAGGGCAACTTGGCGAACGACGTATGTCTTCACAACGGGCTCTGCATTGCCCAGGTCGCCCAGTACTCGGGGATGATCTTTCAGAACGCATGCACGGATAAATCATGGGAGAGCCCTGATTGTCCGAATGTATGTGGGTCATGTACGTACACAGACCGATCGCTTTCTCTTTTCTGGCCGGCGTTTTTCCTTTTCTTCAACCTAACATTATTCAGCTTTCGCCCAGAATACAGGAACTTACGTCCTCCCCTGTCCGCAAAAAGGAGTCGGATATTGGTGCTGCAGCGCAAACGGGACAGAATGCTGCGACAACGCGTTTCGAATGAACATGGGGTCTTTGGTGATTAGCGCAGATTCGTCTTCAACATCGTCCGCGACGGAAATCGAGACAGGAACAGCCGAAGCGACGGCCACGACGACGACAACGACAACTGCATCGGTCACCGTGACTGCCACCTCGAAACCAACATCTTGTGCAAGCGGAGGAACGGAATGTCCGAAGTCGAACACCACTGCTGTTGGTGCGGGTTTGGGTATCTCACTTGGTGCTTGTTTAGTTGGGACAATTGCCGCTCTGTTCTTTCAGAGACGGTCGCATCAAAGGAAGATACGGGAGTTTAATGCGTTGCATGCGAGCCAGATGGGGCAACTCGCTCATGGTGGGATGCAGCCACATCCAACTGCTCGGGCCTTCGCGGAATTACCGATGGGTCATGATAAGATATATGAGATTGGGGATGGGCGACGAGAATAATGGATGCTTTCATGGCGTGGCTGTTTCTGGGATGTGCAATGATTTAGCGGGATTATATTTGAATACAATGAACTTCTATGCCATCGGTCGATATATCATACAAGGTAGGAGGGAAAGTGATAGGTTCTATCCAACCACCGGGTGATGAACTTTTCCTCGTAGGGTTAGCAGCTCTCATACTTCCTGGAGATTTCATCTTCATATCCGTAAAACTCATCGAAAAATTCCTTTCTTTCTTTCTCATCGCATGTCTCCTGAGCCTTCTGGTCAAGCCTTTCAGCGAACCTATTTGCGATTGCACAGATAAATACCCATGCAAGAAGACCCTGCAACACATACGTCGGGCCAGCGTCCTGCACGATCCGCAACCTTGACGGATTCCACATAGTGGCATCTAACTCCGGGCGCTTTCCTTCCGGTAGGATCCTTCTGAAATGATAATTCGTGTGTTGCGCTAGACGAATTCCGAGCCTCGTCTGCACTGCCTCCAGCAAGTTATGCACATTCTCTTCGCCGACGTAATCCACTGGCGGAGTTTCAGAGACTATCAACCGGAATAGCTCATCGGCATAATATTCTGGGCTGACACGGTGTGCAGGCTTCATTATTCTAATCATGTTCTCTTTATATCCCTCGGAATTATCCTCTGGATGGTCCAGGAAAAACGCCGTATGCAATGCCGTATTCTCGTGGACAATGGGTGGGCTGGAGCGATCGATTTCCAACGATGAAGTATGGAACGTGGCCTCTGCTTGAACAATCTCGGAAGAAGGGTTGCAAAGCAGAACAGTCGCTTTTGATTTGGATGCGTCTTCAGCGTCATTATATCCGGTCAAAACAAGCCCTCTCCCACGTTCTGGATGCATCGTGTTGCACATGTCATCATCGATCATTTGCGCAAGTCCAAAATAGCCGTATGGGACTTCCAGGGAGAACGGTGATGAGGTGCAGCTAGATGGATCTGTGATATTGAGATAACCTGCGTCATTGTTGGACAGATGCGAGAATTCGACGTTGTCGGGGCTTAATGCTAAGCAATTCGATTTTGCTCTGGATGCGGGTAATGTCACGGTGATGAGCGGATTGTCTTCCGTGTTGATGTCTCTTGGGAGAGTGAATGACGGGAAAGTCATATCTCCATGTGTCCATAGTACATTCGATGATTTGAGGTTCCCTGGCGCCGCATCTAGGCCAATGTCTGAGAGATTGGCTCCTGAAAAATCAAATGTATCTGTTTGGTTGACTGATATCGTTGAACCGCTGTCAGTATTTTGAGTGATGAACAGCCCACTCGCCACGACCAAGATCAAATTTGCTGTGATAGTAGATATGATAGCTGCAGCAGTTGAGATATAGTTGCTATCAAGGAGCGAATTCGATGAATTCTTTCGATGCACGTTTAAAGCCCAAAGGTCGTAACAAGTGGAACCTCCCAAGGCAAGGAGTGGCGGAGTGAACCGCCAGACAATGGCTGTATAACCATCATCAGCATTAACATCCTTGAAGCCATTGTGGTGCCGAGAGCACTGATAGGAATACTCCAATAAGGCAATTAACAAAACAGAAGTGGCAAACAACATCAGCAGAGGCCAAAGACTGGACTTAGGAACTTCCCATGTAGGCTCTCCTTTGGTGAGATGCACTTTCGACAGTTGAGAAGCATCAGACCTCTCACAATCGTGGGGGCTTGGCTTCTCAATAGGAGCATCGTTCGAGTGATATCCTGCGGGGTTCGGACATGAGTGGTCCGATATTATACCAAAAGTTGAGTAACCCTCAACGTCGCCGGATTGAAGCCACGCTATCATCTTCACCAACAGCCCGATTGTGAGCCCCATGATTATAGTTGCAATGCCCCTTACTACCAGAAGACCTTCCAGATTTGTTGTCACCAGTCCAGTCGAGATGATGACGAGTAGCTTGACAAGAACAGTACAGCCCACTGCCAGTAGAACGCGACGGTGGCGGGCCTGCCGCAAAGACCCAAATATGGAGGAGTCACCATCGAGTCCAGGCCTCAAGCATCTTATTTCAGATTCGACATGACCCCAGAAGCATGCCACAAGAAAAAGTACTAACAGTTGCATCAGTCTCCCACGCCATCGATTGGAAACTTATGAACTCACCAGTGGCAGGCCCATAGACCAACACAAACCGCAGACATCCGCCTTCCACCGGCAACCCGCCGTTCACTTTCGGCCATGTATAGAATAGTGCAATCGAACCCGCAATCACTGCGAGGACAATTCGAAAACGGTCAAGGAGTGATTTAATCGACAAGCCTGACCTCGCACCCCACTTGCCGTCAGGGGATCTAAGATCTTGCATGGTGGCGCTCGTGTCCAGTTGAGGATACCGCTCGACAGATAGCTTCAACTCGATATCATCGGATATTGACATGCTACTTGTAAGCAACAAAATTCAAGAATTCAGCAGCCCCGGAACTCAAGTACTTATATTGCAATAGGCTGAAGCGAGGCAGATTAATTTTCTTTCGTTTCTTGGCATTGGGGGCAGGGGCCAAAAAATTGGCCCACTATTCTGGCAATTCGCGCGACTTTTGTTCCTTTTTGATTGTCCTTCATCGGCAGTGTCCCTCTTCAGGTTCTGAGAAATTAGCAAGCCTTAAATTTGGAGACTTAGGCGTGTGCATGCGAATTAGATGGAAGAGTGCCAGGTAAACTTCCCATTGCCGGGGTCATTGTTCACCCGTCTAGGTGAAAACCAAAGATCGCGAATGATGAGTGACATAGGTGACATTTGCAGTAGTCCAAGGGTCATGAAAGCCGATCTTGCTATTCTAATTTCGGAAATCTTGTTTACTGTTTAGGGGTCCAGCATAAGCACATAATGTTAGCAGATCGTGCCGACTATGGAATATTTTCCACATAAGAGGTTTGACCAAAGTCAATGCCTTGGAACAGTCTAATAGGTGGCATTCACAAATTGATGCGGTCTAAGTAATAATCGCAGTACAGGTAATGAGCCTCAATCCAACTTTGGCAGCTTGGCCCCGACATATCAGTCTCCTCAAACGTCCTGGCCAACCAGCAACTATACCTACCTGAATCAATAGCAGACGCAGGCTATATTCATGAAGGTTGGTTTGACAGGCGAAATATCACAATGACCCCTTATACTATCTTACAACTCATATTTCGTTCTAGTATGAGTCAAACCTCAAATATTACTAAGCTTGCAAGACTACGGAGTACAAGGTTTCCTGTTTTCATCATCTTAAAGATTGATCATTTAGCATCAATATGTACAGCTCTTACTCAAACCGTCTCAAAAAACCCCAGGAGCAAAGTCAATAACTTGAGCCTTCTCAAGAACTTCGCCTACACTCTTAACGAAAGCCAGATGGGCAGGATCTTTATGAACATAGTAATCCCGATCCTCGGCACTGGCGAACTCGGCCACAAAAGCATGTGTAATGCCATGCTTGTACAGGTCAGTATTCATGAGGCGATCTATAGTACATCCGCTACCAACGCACCTGTATGCCCTCCGGTGAATTGTCCAGACCGCCCGATAAGGATCTGATGTACGGTTTTTGCGACGTGGGATGAATGCAGTTGTCTTTTAAGCTAACCATACGGTTGATTGTCTAGTAGAGTCATCGTTAGCTGCGAACAGTGCTATAGAGTATAGTGTGCATTTGGAGTGTGCAATGTTGGCCATACATCGTTGATGACGTCATTGCTAACGTCCGATTTGAATTGGAAAAGAACAATGTGTGTAATGGACATTTTGAGTATCTTGTTGAGTCTGGATAGAGTCTCTGAATATCTGATCTCCGAAGAGGAAACCAGGTTAAATATGCATACAGACGGAGTGATTAGAAGAGCCGACAACAAATGGCCGGAGACATTGCTCGGAGATCGCAGCGAATCTTGACAAACTGATCAAACATGCATTTGTCAGGCGGGGCGAATGCCGAGTCAGGTGACCTGGGACGGCGCGGAAACGGTCCCGTCCATCCGATTCCGCCGGCAATCCTTGGCCTCTAGTCAAGCTTTCACGCTGATCTCAGATCAACCTACCTACGGTGTACTTACTGCATGAGCTCCAAAGATATCTGTTCAACTTCATCTCCTAAAGATGACAAGTCTGAGCAATTCAATCGACTTTTTACTTTTGTAGCCCCTGTCCGCGACGTTGCCGTTCATTGAATCCGTCGCTTGAAACCATGTTGTCACGAAAAGCAGCACATCGTGACGCGACATGTTGCCTTCATTGATCGCGGGTGCGAAGGTCGATCTGTCGGCGCCTCCATGAAGCTAGATAAGGCCAGTTGAATAGAGGCGCAAGTAAAGCAAGGGGTCCAATCAAGGGAGGGTGAAATTCCAGTTGCATATCTTTGGGGGGGGGGGGTTGTTTTGATTGTAGCGCTCGCCTTTCAGGGAGACGTTTAGCTGAAATCAATCGGCCGGACTTGTTTTCAAATAGATGAGACACGCGGTCGCTTGCACAATTCAATGTTAAGATCAACATTTTATGGTTTATTCTTGGCCATCTCAGGCCTAGCCGTGGTTGAGCCGACCCACCCACCGGCGGAAGGCGGTGGGTGGGTCGGCTCAACTACGGCTATGTAGAAGCCCATACACTTAGAAGTAAACAAGAATGCTCGCGATAAGAATAAGTCGCTAACCAAGTTATTTCGTTGCGTACATTCCAAAGAATTATGATACAAACCTGTCTCCAGGACAGTAGAATCGAAGTACCTCCCATCCAAAACAATACCGAACGCCTATGAGATTCCAAACTAACCCAAGATCCGTAACAGAGGTCATTGTGCCTTCACTTTCGCTTTGAAACTGTCCATTTCATGACGCAGTTCCTCGATTTGTCGTTTCAAATCACCCATCTTCTCATTTGATTCATCCATGTCCTTCACCTCTCCCTCCAGCTTGCGAAATTCTGCCCGGTTCTTGAAGTAGAGATCGTACTCGGTAGGGTCAAAGCACAGTCCATATCCTTCACAGTAACAGGTTGTTTCCGCAGGACAAAACTCCCCGTGGCCAGTAAACAGCCACTGCCAGACATATTCCCAGACCCGACCGGACAAGCGATCATCTAACTCGGTGTGGAGCAGCCATTCGCGATAGTCGATGTACCGTTTTCGCGGGATCCGTCGAATCTGTTCCGAGCTGACTGCGAATTGCGCACAGCATGGCTGCGACAACACATGTGGGACCGGGTCGTTGGGGAACAACTCGCGCCAGGAATTCCCAAGCACAGCGGCCTCGGGGATATTGATATCATCGGTCTGGTTGTCCACAGGTGGGTGGATGTGGTCGGGGCAGCCCGGTTCGTGATGACATCGCATGTTCATGTACCCGTTGCGAATAACATGATTGCTCTTCAACCGCCGCACCATCTTAGCGGAGTCCGAGTCGAGAAAGTCGTTGTTGTGCCAGGTAATCTGGTGGGCGTGCATAAACATGGTGACGTCATTCAGGGCGTGGTAGTGATCGATGATGTACGTCAGGTACACCATCACCTCGTGGCCTTTGTTGGTGGGCACCGTCAACGCGGCGGTGTGGTTGTTGACGGTGTAGACGGCGCTGGTAAGATCGGAATCTTCCTGTACGACCTTGTCGACCCAGGAGGTGTCGTCTTCTTGCAGTTTGGCGACCACTAGCGTCTTGGAGGCATTCTTGCCCTCCCAGAGGGGTGCAGCGGATGGGACGGGAGAGGGACGAGGAGTGGGAATCGGACTGGATAGAGCTTCGACTTTATCTGGCCAAGTAGGCGACGCATCTGCCCAGGTTCGCCACAGGACTGGGTGGTCTCGACGTTGGGACAGGTGGATGGAGTACCAGGTGATGAGCAGGAAGATAGTAGGGATGAGCAACGAAACAGCCGTGCGATGCTTCATGATTGAGTGCTGCATGACTGCGTCTCACTATTGCAGGTGAGAAGAAAAATTGCAAGGCAGGTCCATGAATGAATTCATGTTGTCTGACTTGGTGGTTGGAGGAATGTAGAGGAAAATATGGCTGGGAGATACGACGACGGATACTTTTGGGGGGAGATGGGCGCAGGTCCAGAGCGCAAGGGCGCTTCTGGCATTTCTTTGTTCTCGATGCAACCGATGCCTACGCCGAAGTGGGCCAGCCAATAGTGGGCATCGGACCCTGGCTGAGAGCCGTGGAATGTGGACTGGTTCATCCCCAAATGTCCCTCTGAAGAAGAGCCTTGGCGGCGCTTAGTCTATACAGCCTACGCAGTTGGGAGCTGGCCTAAACAATATACTAAGCCATTTTTCCTTGCCACAGTCAGGGTCTGCTGTCCTGATCAGAGCTTGCTCTGCTCTGCTACTTATAATTAGATCTACAAGCGCGCTGCCGGAGATTAGTATCTTTTGTTTTCCTGCCTGATTTCTCTCCCCTGGCCTCGTCGTTCCAGATTTACTAACTACCATGAAAGTGTCACACTACCCCTGTTCACGCAAGTTTGCTGCCTTGCGACTCATCTTGTGCACAATCTGCTCCTCAGTGCCTGCGACCGCCAAATCTTACAAGTCCAATGGCGATCTTGCCCTCAATGACCAACCCTGTTTCCCCCAGAACCAGTCTCCTTGTGCTGTGGCGGAGCACCTAGGGCGAATACTTTGTGATAGGCAGCTGCACCGACAAAACCTGGAACTCTCCGGCCTGTCCAGGCTACTGCTTTTTCCGTATGCCTTGTGTCACTGTCTCCTCGTTCCCGGACGCCTTGAGTAACCTCCCTATCCAGGTGACCATGTCCACAATAGCATCTTCCGGTGCTCCGCGGATACGTACTGCTGCGCTGATGGGCCCTCCTGTGCACGACAGGCATTAGCACCCAAGACATCGACGATTTCCTCCCTGGGTACTCGGATCTCGTCAGTTCGGCCGTCACGCTCAACGCCAGCACATGCTCTGCCGACGCCTTCCGAATCAGCCTTAGGAGGCAGCCACGCCAATACAAAAGCGCTCACGATCGGCCTGGGGGTGGGCTTATCCCTAGGCGGCATAGCCGTCATTCTCCTTGTGTTACTCTGTTTCATGTGGCGACGGTCGAAGCGAAACAAGCAGCCAATGGAGGTGAGCTTTCACCCCTTCTAACCCATCCCACACAACTCTAACCACTTCGCGCGTTGTGTGTTTTCAGGTCTCACAAACCCAGTATCCGTACAAAACTCAGCTTCCGCCTCCACCCCAGGCTCCCGTCGAGGCCCCAGCCTATCAGAATCCCTATACACATCATTCCAGAGTGAACTCGGCCGAGCTTCCGGTCTACGAGAGGCCCCTGGACACGGCATATGATTTTCTCTGGGAACGGGTGTGTATATCCATGTATGGACTACGCGACGTGATGGTTTGTTATCTCACAATGCTTATCTCTTGCTACTTTCTTCTGTATCTCTTGTACCGACTCTTATGGGCATTTACATCCATTATGACAACATGTCGTGTTACTTTACGTTTTGAATTCAATCTTCGTCATCAAACAAGACATCTGAGCCCCAACCTACGTCTCAGCCCCAGTGCAACTAAAAAAACAGGGGAAGGTTACACAATTCAAGGACTCTCTCAGTTACACCATACAGTATAATCAAAGGAAGCCTGGCCGGGACGCAAACAGTAAAATACAATTGGCAAAATGGCAAATGCCCTATAGAATAGAACCCACCCCATGGGTATTTTCCTATTCACTCAGTCTAGCGAAATCACCGTGCGCCACTAGACTAATCATTAGATAACTCAATCGACTTAGTTACCAGACATGAATTTTTTTGATTATAGAAGACAAGGCCATGAATCAAGCGCCGTAAGGCAATCTTGGCTCTTTTGGGCGTCTTAGACGCCGTGATCCGGCACCGGTGCTTTAGATTAGAACTTTGATTCTAGGAGTCTGAAAGCGGCTGGATTTTCTTAACGTTAGACTGAGGCTGACTGGGCTATCCTTATAGTATGGATAAGTACTTATTCTCAAAGTGACAGTATTGGCCATCATAATGCCACGACATTGTTCAATTTGCGCGGTTAGGTTCACCACTATCTAGGTGATGAATCTTTATGAGCATCCTCATACACGCATTGCCTATTGAGTATTCTTTAGAATATGTCCTCCTATCTCAATTCTCTTTCTGCATTTAAAACGTTGGATACGTACTTCATTTTCTAGCCAGGCCAACAGCTTTCCCTGTCCGTTCTACTGCTCACCCTGAGCGGCCCAAGGCGATCACTGAGCACGGAGTGGTCGGAAGGCTGAGTGCCTTGAGCGAGAAATGTTAGGATCGCGGTGCGATGAAGATGAGAAGGATGCTGAAATTCCTAAAGATACAGTGTAGCTGCAAGAGAGCCCATCTACCGTGTAAATCAGATGACACACTAAACCACATTAGGAATGAGAAGCATATCTCCCAAGTTGAGATCCCGACGCGCCGTCGACCCACACGACACACGTTTTCAAAAACCTCATCTCATTCCGCGCCGTCTCGCAATACGCCAACGCTCATGATTTAAACATATTCTATACTTTACCCCCCAGAAGCTTCAAGAATGAACCGTCAAAAACGAAGGGGCGGGCCTGGTGGTGGCGGACATAGCGGATCGCGCCCCTCTCACCCACGCGTCCCCCCCTCAAGATCCATCAACCCCGGCACAGCCGTCAACATTGTCCTCAAGGCCGACCAGCCCACAGGGCGTACAGTATCAGGTGCAGTGAGTGAAGTACTCACACGGGGCGATCACCCACGAGGCGTGAAAGTGCGTCTCACTGATGGGCGCGTCGGAAGAGTGCAGAGTCTTCGGAGCGGTGAGCCGACACAGGAAGGGAGCGTCCAGGAGGACGAGCACGGTATGCAATTGAGAACCCAGGGGGGTGATCCAAGTGGGAGGCGGAATCGGTTTAACGCGCGTGATATGCGGCTTGATGGGCCTGAAGAGCCTTCATCAGAGCCTCTTAATTTGGATATGTATATACGTCCCGCTAAGGGGAAGAAGCGGGGTAAAAAGAGTCAACCGGGGCAAAGTACGGGTGAAGAAGAGAGAGAGGATGGATCTATAGATGCGAGTGTTCCTGCTCAAGCAACAGCCACAGTAAAATGCCCTGTGTGCACGGAGTTTGAGGGTGATGAAGCCGCTGTGGCGCACCATGTTGCGAGTCATTTCGAGGAATAGCTGGCCAAGAGTATCAGTTTAAATCGCGAAAGAGATGTGCTATGCTACAGCTACCAATTTTGCGAGAACCTATTCAAGATAACTGTCTACACTTCAACTGCAATTTATTGTATCGAAGGCTTGGTATGTCGGCCCTTGCTGAAATAGAATGACACACTTTGAGGCACTGAGCACCCTCAGTAAAGCGGTGGTGATGTCTACAACAGGAATTATACGATAATGTAGAAAACAGGTGGGTATAGTAGCATATATACCTCCCCCTCTGCTTTTCCCAGTCACATAAAATTATGGCTACGTACTTCCTTCACGCAGGATTTCATCTCCTTTCCCCAACATCCCTTACTCCAATCCTTCCAAAATTATCTCCGCCGCCTTCTCTGCAACCATATACGTCGACAACGCCGTAAACGTGCCCGGTATTCTGGGATAAACCGACGCATCAACAACCCTCAGCCCCTTTACCCCTCGCACCCGAAACTTCGAGTCCAGGACCGCCATCGGGTCATCATCCGCCCCAATCGGACATGTACACGACGCATGATGACCCCACGCCGTGTCCCTCGCATGCTGCCGGATCTGGTCTCGTGACTTGACGCCCTCGCCCGGCAAAACCTCTTCAATGGGTAAGAGTTGACGACGGAATGCGTCGCGCGCTAGATCCACGCCCTCGGCGATAGCGTCGAGGTCGGCGTCGGCGCCAGTTTCGAAGTAATTGAACGAGATGGCTGGGACGTCCAGTGGGTCCGAGGATACGAGTTTCACGGTTCCCGCCGTGTTGCGCGGATGGGCTTTCAACACCGTCCAGGTGAACCAGTCATGTCGCGCGACGGCTCCCGCGGCGTAGCCCGGGAAATAGCCGTGGAAGTCAGCAGGCGCGCCGAACACGTACAGATCGAAGTCCGAGGTTTCTGCTGCGCGACTGGTGTGGTATATCGTGGCCCCGGAGCCGGCGGTGGCGTATGTGCCGTGGTTTCCGAGAATGGGGTTAGCCCAGCGCGCGAGACAGGGGTCGTCGGCTGGGGAGTCGGCGAAGGTGCAGCCCTTGAGCACGCTGTAGTCTTTGGGGGCGTGGCCTTGGACGGCGACTTCGTAGTGGTCTTGTAGGTTGGTGCCGACGCCAGGGAGGTCGACTAAGACCGGGATGTTGTGGGATTCGAGCTCGTCTTTCGGGCCGATGCCGCTGAGCTTGAGCAGTTGGGGGGAGTTGTACACGCCGCCGGCGACGATGACTTCGCGGGATGCGCTGGCGGAGCCGGGCGTGCCGGTATTCGATGGCGAGGAGCGAGGGCTGGCACGGTAAAGGTATTGGCCGTCGAGGAATTCGACACCGGTGGCGCGCGGGGGCGTGGATGAGTCTAAGACGACTTTGGTGACGAAGCAGTTAGTGCGGATGTCCAGGGGGTACTTTTTGGCGCCGGTCAGGGTGGTGGCATCGTGTACGGCGCGCAGGAACTCGCGCGGACCGTTGCGATGCGCGTCTTCGGTGGCGATGGGCACCTGGTAGTATCCCGATTTGGTGTCACGGGCGGCAGAGTCCTTGTTGGCGTCGCCGGCGATGAGCGTGGCCAGGTTGATCACCGTATTGGTGAGGTTTCCGATGGCGAAAGCACCGCCGAGGATTAGACTGATGAGCTGCGGATCTTGCAGCACGAGACTAATCGGCGCGACGTCGGTGTGCAGCCATCCGTCGTAGCCATGGCCGGGGGTGAGAGGAAGCACGTATCCGGCATTCTCGAGGCGTTTATAGTATTTACGCATGTTGTCCGCGGACCACGAGGAGTCGCCAGTTAGAGATGCGATGGAATCAAAGTCAGATCGGAATGGATATATCGTGATGAGGGCATTGTGAGCAGTGCAACCGCCGAGAGTACCAGCGCGAGGGTACAGCGTGCCTTTGATAGACGAGCCTTCGGGGGGATTCAAACCGGTATACTCGCCACCGCCAGGGGTGGTGTAGGTGGTTTTAGGATCGCGAGCCTGCTGCTCGTCGTCGGCATAGTGACGCACGAAGAAGTTCCACGCCAACGCTTCATCTTCGGACGACTTAGCCGAGAAGGCGGGAACAGTGTAATTGTAACTGTCGCCCTGGTCGTCACCAGCCTCGATCAGGAGCGTTTTATGGCCTGCGAGGGCAAGTCGCGCGGCCAAGGGTCCACCTCCAGCGCCAGACCCGACCACAATATACTCATAACCCGTGAGGTTGACAGCAGATGCCAGCGATAACAGCCCTAAAAGGGCAACCAAGGGTGGAAACATGGTTGTGGTACGAAGGGATGATAGGGGTGACTGGCCCAAACGGCACGGGCCATCATCCTTTTTATGTCCATAGGGGCCGACTACTGCAAGGAGTAGATCCAGCGCTGTTAGGAGAGAAGAGCCCCTCTCACATAGACCTATGCCTGGTGAAGCCAACATGATCCCCTTAATCTATTCGTGCATCTCGTATTCAGGTTCTCAGGAGAGAAACAAGGCCACGTACCAATCAGGTGTTGTCCCACGTTCGGCTGGCAAGGCTCTAACTCACAGCTGAAGGCGGGAATGTAAGTGGGGATCTGCATGCCTTCACCTCTTCCCCTTTTGGGGCGCCGATCTCCCTTGTAAGTGGAGGGAAATCTGGTGACTCTTTTTAATTAGCGTGTGCCTCGGCAAAGAGGGGTGCATTAGCTTCTCTGGAGCACATCTTCAGGGTGATCAGCTTTCAAGAGAAATGCCGAGGCTCTGGTTTGTTATCTTGACTCTTTCCAATTCGAGTCTCGCGTTCGGCCATCCAGTTAGGAGGCCTCTCAGGCACATCCCGGTATGGTTGAGAATTTTACATGGGGCAAACCCGGAGTGCAGTATCTCATAGTACTCTCTTTCACATACCCAAATCAATGACTCCTAAATCCCATTGCGGGAGTGCATTCTCTTGACGGGAAATTGTGTGTGTTCTACTTGGGCTCAGCTCCACAGTCTAGTCAATCATCAGTCTCTCGGCGAATTGGCTCTAATGTAATTTCAACTTCACACTTGTCTCAGCAAATGATCTTAAAGACTTGTGTTCTTTGTTGTCTAAGCAACCACCTCAAGTCAAAGAGACGGCAGGTAGAAGAGACTGGCAAAACATGCGCTAGATAGAGCTTGTGAAGAACGAGATCAGATGGATAATTAGGAGCACCCTGTGCTGCACAACCCTGCGCATCAAATAAATACAATCGACGTCATTTTGAGATGCTGGATTCTGTACGAAGTGTACACAATAGAAGCTGAAAGAATAGCTAGTGTTGAGTAAATTCACTGCACATCCTTCTCAGCGAGCTAGAGTCGGGCAGCCTATGTAGCTAATGCTGTCATTTTGATAGCAGAAACACGACCAAGTACTATAACGCGATACTCGTTAGATTGTTTGGTTCTGATGGCATGAAGTAGTATACCAGTCCAACTAACTCTTCAGAAGACACATATTTAATGCGAAAAGAAAAAAGAATCCGAGAAAATAAGCAACATGTGCCATGGAGTCGAAAACCATTCAAGCACTGGTGACATTGAACATTTTGACCAGCGATTTTTGATGGTCCGTGGATTTTGTGTTGTACTCGAGAGAGAGCGATTGCATTAAAGCATACGAAGACTTCAGTAAATGAGTATGAGCGATTCTGTGGGTATTGCTCTGCAGGATGCGACCCTCCATGCTATAATCTCTTTAGGGCTCGTCCGATCACGGGCATCCCTCGCCTCTCCCATGACGGTCATTTATCTCCATGTAGGACAATGATAGTGCTACTCCTACGATGCAACCCTGACAGGCTGATTCGCAATCTTGGCGGGGATGAGGAGATCGCAAAGATAAAGAGGGGCTCTGATATCATCCCTCCTCCGTCGTCCATCCTCCATCTACCGATAACAAACAACATCACCATCATGGCCACCCTAATTCAAATCCCAACTCCCAATTTCACCCTCGAATCCTTCATTCTTCCCTCCACAAACCAACGCATCCTCGGTCCCCCACATCCCCCCAACACCGCAATCCCACTATCTCTCCGCCCAACCCACTCCGCAAACCCAAACTCCCTCACCCTCGACACAATCATCCACGACATCCAAACCCTCCAACGCGACAACCAATTCTTCACAAAATACCTCTCCCGCCACGGCACGCTCCTCTTCCGCGGTCTCCCCATCCACAACGCCTCCGACTTCAGCAATTTCGCACACGCCTTCGGCTACCGCCCACACGAGATCATCGGCATCGTGGTCGACCGCCCCGTCCTCGCGCCCAACGTCGCCCCCGCCAACGAATCCCCTAAGGAAATTCTCATCTACAATCACAATGAATCGCCCCAGGTGCCGCACGCGCCTGAATATATCTTCTTCTATGGCCACCGTGCCCTAGGCGCCGGCAGGGGCGGGGAAACGCCTATTTCCTCGTCGTTGGAACTCTTTCAGCGCGTGCAACAAGATCTCCCATCCTTTGTTACGGACCTGGCTGAAAAGGGCATTCTGAGTACCGTGACATACACGGTCGATGCTCCGTATAAAGGCGGCGCGACGCTGAGGCAGGCATTTGGGAAACATATCCTCGACAGCGATGATGAGGAGACTCGGCGGGGGAAGATCGAAGCGCAGATCGCGCGGTACGGACGCGGGGAACATACCACGTTTGAATGGAGAGACCAGAACACTCTAGTCCTGACGCATCGATTACCAGCTATCCGCACGCAGGTGGGGACGAACTTGCCGTCGCTGTTCACGGGCCTGGCGGCGTATCATCGCAATGCGAAGGTCAATGGACGAGGCAATGCGGCGCAGCAGAGATATGGTGACGGGACGGCCATTCCGGAGGAGTATCTGGAGCGGTTGGCGGAGATCACGGATGAGATCCGTGTGTTGCATACGTGGGAGGAGGGCGATGTGTTGGTCTTTGATAATGTGATTGCGCAGCATGGGAGGGAGCCGTGGAGGGGGGAGCAGGAGGATCGAGTGGTTATGGCGAGTTTGTTTGATGGGGAGGTGCCGGGGGCGTATGGGTTTGGGGAATGGGCAAAGATGGTTCAGGCTTTGGATGATACTGACGCTGATATATGAGAGAATGACCTGGGAAAGTGTCCTGGGGGGAGGGAGGTCTTATCGGCACATTTATATATTCGGGATGAACAAGGCTGTTGTGCGGGATTCTGATGTTGAAATGCATATGGGCAACCAATTAATAGTACAATTTAATGAGAAAGTGAGTCGCTAATATACTAATCGTAGAGAGTTAACTGACATGCATGGATATCTACCATATCTTTGTGATTCTTCTGGTCTGTAACTGAGCCGATGATATTGAATGTAGAGGAGGTTGTGCACGCAGAGTCGTAGAGCATTAATTCAAGCACAATAATATCAACTAGCATCATTGGTCTAGTGGTAGAATTCGTCGTTGCCATCGACGAGGCCCGTGTTCGATTCACGGATGATGCATTCTTTTTGTTTCCTCAATTTTTGTCCCGCTCCTGCCCGCCGTCAAGCCATATCGGTATACTAAGCAACACCATAAACAATTTTATATGCAGAGTTACCCCCGATCCAGTTAAATGCAGTTCATAAACTATCATCCAATACCCCATTAAATCTACGCCACAAAGAAATCTGCCCCCAAACTCCTCGTCATTTCAATCCACCCTTTTCTTTGACTCCCCTTTCCCAATCCCTCCCTCACACCGTCACCCTCGCCCCTACCCTCACCCTCATCTTCCCCATCCATCCCCCTCCAAATCAAAACTAGCACATCCATCGCAAATGTCGATGTCTTATACGGCAGGGCCTTGGACACCGCAGCCAGATGCCGTAACGCCCAGTTCCGATGCTCGGGTCTGGTGGCTTCCGCGCCGGCGATGAAAGACGGCCAGATGCTGGATTTGAAGAGACCGCTGTCGGGGTCGAGTTGGGAGAGTTGGGTGACGATAGTGTTGACAAGATGTTCTCTTTCGGGTTCATCGTAGCTTTGGATCTGGGTTTGGTTTTGCTCGGCGGGTGAGAAGTCACCCACGTGTTGACTATGGCGGTTAGTTGAGGATGTTACCAGCCTCGGTGCATACAATGCGATCGCTGCTTGATAGGCGCTCGCAACCCACGTCCTTTGGTGAAGGTCCGCGCAGGGCGAAAGGCTCTGCATGGAAAGGGCCCATTCGAATGGGTTGAATGACCGTACGGTGTCGAGGACCCCTGCGACGGTGGACTCGTGTTCATGCGTGTATGCGGGAGGCGACACCTCAGACAACTGCACCAGGGTCAGGATACATTGCATGAGCTGGGCGGGACAGGAGGCGAAGTTGTTCGTCTCGGCGGTGGCGAGCATGGCGCTGAGGTCGAAGCCGTCTTCGATGCCGTAGATGGAGGGCGTCAGGGGGATTGATTTGGAGATGGTGCTGCCGATGATGTCGAATCTGCCTTCGAGTTAGTTATGCGGATTATATAATGGTGGATCATGGACAATTGAACGGTTGAGTGGTAGAGGAGAAGTACACCAATAATTCCGAGATGAGCCATCGACGAAGAACCCGTGCAGGGAATGAGATAGCTGACGACCCCGTCTGCCGTCGGAGACAGTTAATCAGACGCTTTGCGCCCTCGAGATGAATGCGCCAGACGTCGGTCCCGGAGTCGATGAACTCGAGATACATGAGGACGAGGATAGCCGCGACGATAAGGTCGATATCAGCAGAGGCGAGGTCCGATATGGCCTGGTTCAAAAGACGCAAGGCCTTCTGCTTGGCGACCAATGCATCGCGATAGACGGTTTCCGAGCGCGCATGCACCGGCGACAGGTAATACAAATGGCAAGCGGAGGTGGCGACAAACACCTCGCGCAGCATGGGATACGCGCCCAGATAAGCCAGCAACTGACGAACGGGATTCTGATCGCGGATATCATAGATGACGATCTCCTTGCAGAAAACCTGGTCGAAATGGTAGATGTATCGCGCATCTCGCGGCCCGAGGTCCTGGAAAAGAGGGTCTACTAGGGGTGAACAGATACCGAACTGAGATGTGCTAGTGTTACTGATTTGAGACGACGGCTTGGCCGTGCTGTGCGGTGACAGGGACATATCAAACGTCTTGCCCATCATCTTCCCCCGGCTGGCGATCCCTTTGTTCCAGAGGATCAGACGGCCGTAGCCGAGGCACTCAACGCCGGCTAGGGCACATTTGTGGCACGCAGGCAAGGCCCGGTCACATTTGACCCGCCGCCGACGACACGAGTGGCAGCTGGTATCGGCCATCTCATGTAGGGAAAGGTATGCATAGCTTGGCTGATACCATGTTATGCGAGCGAGGGGTGGAATTAGGGAAGGAAGAAAGCGTTCCTGACGAGTCTGGCCCCGGATGTCATCGTGGGACGCTAGTGTCTTGGCTGCCTTTTCGGATTTACCGACGGTGGAGATCGTTCACGACTCGTTCGGGCAGGTCGATGGAAGAATAAGGTGTAAGTGGAGCCACTTGTGCGGTGCTTGCAGCTTGATACAATTTGAAGATTGGAAAATCCTTGCACTGCGATGATCGCACAAGCAGTCAAGCTTTGCCGCCAAGGTTGAAATTGAATACACAGTGGGCAATGAATTTGTCTGAGTAGAAACCAACTTTTTCTTCATAATTCGTACTATTAGATACATAAACATTACTATTTACTAAGTATTTAGACCCATATCTGCTCTATACCGGCCCAACCACCTCCCTATACTCTGGCGGTGCTATCGCCACGTTCTCGTAGCCTGGTAGCAGACCAAAATCTGCCCCCTCCAGCATCCTCATCACGTCGGTCGTGTTCGCATACGAATGTAACGGCACTGGAATCGTAGCCCCAAAGCCTCGGACGGAGTTTCGTCGCGCTACGAGAGATCCGTTATCACGACTGACGGTCTCTGTGCCCGTGACCATCTCGACCATCAACTGGTGCCGGACGGTAAGAGACGGAGCGTTAGAACCGGATGTGCTGGCGTCAATGTCGAGATCGTTGATCGCCTTGACGTCTTTCGGAATGCTAATTTCCAACGGAATGGCAATATTCATGTCTTTGATGAGTTGTTCAGACAACGGAGCTCGTGCCTTTCGGAGAGCTGTCCAGCGGCCCTTCTTAGTCCCGCGAGCTAGAGTCTGGCGGTGCGTCGTGGTGGGTTCGGAGTTTTTGGCGTCCCAGGTGATGATCTCATCAAGATGCCATGATAGAACCTCCACGACGAGGAGTGTCAGTTCAGACTGTCTGGTACCAGGCGTGGCAATGTTTCGCAATTGAATATCGGTCGAGTAGCGGGTGCATTGGCCCGATCCGGCTAGTTGAGGCGAGACGGTAAACTCGGCCTTCATTGTAGAGCCTGGGAAGCTACGTGAATGCGTCGCAATGTCCCAGGGATCGGGAAAGCGGCGACAGATGAGCTGCACGGGTTGAGAGTTGGTGAGGATGTCGTCATTCTGTAGAGTGGCCGAAGCGAGCAATTCGTAGGAGACTTCGAGCGTGCCAGACGGGATGGTCTCCGGGGTGTGAACGGGGGAGGCGAGACAAAAGTCGAAGTCGTGGGTGACAATGCCGTCGGGATGGATAGTCGACGAGCTCGGGGTGGTTGACAGGTTGCACCGGATGACGTCTTGCACAAACGAGGATGACGTGGGTAGCGTGTTGGGGATGGGTGTAGATTTCCGCCATGACAGACGGGATTTGAGAGAGTTCTTTCTAGATGATATGGATGCATTTGTACGGAGTCGAACAGTCCGGACGAGAGCAATTTGTAGGGACTGTAGCGAGGAGATCTCGCAGGAGACGTGGACTGTCCCGGACAGCGGATCGCCGTACAGTTCCCCGTCCGAGTCGAGGTAGACTGTGTGGGAGGTCGGACCGAACAGCCAGACGGAGTCAGACATGATTGGAGCAATGGGCGCGGATGTAGAGAAGAAGACAATCGGGAGAGAACCACGAACTCTATGCAAATGTGTGCAGATATTCTGGAGGTATACACCGTCAGTCCATGTCTTAGTCATCCCCATCTATGGCAATCCAACGTCCACCAATCAAAAGCAACGAGGGCGTCGATGCAAGCGGTCTGCGCTAAACCCAAACAGGCAGCCAAGCCACACGGGACGCCCCATCGGACGAATCAGCAGTCGCAAAGGGCAAGATGGTTGCATGATGGCAAATGACAGCATCGCATTCCCTCGTCTTCTAACCGTCTTCTCTCTAGTCCGCCAAATCCTGATGACACGCGGCTGACGCTTTTCCCTCCTTTTCCCACCTGCTTCCTCGTTTTTTTCTTTTTCCTTTCCTTTTTCGTTTGCTCCCACGTTTTTCTGAAAATTTTTCCAATTTTTCCTAATTTTTCCCCTTACCACACGCCATGGTCCGTCGATATTAGTCGATCCTAGAACGATACTGACCCCTCATTCCCCCCCCCCCGCTCTGACTCTGCAGTAGTCGTAATAGCAAACAGCCTGAAGCGAAACCGAAAGTCCAGACTCCATCCGACTCAGACCAAGAGCGCCTATTTCCCCTTGCGACCATCAGCATGTCCTCCTCGCGTCAGGACGATCCCCTAGGGAACACCGTCCTGATTGGTGCCAGCACCGAGGAAGGACGCAAGTTCGACAAGTCCACCGCAGATGAAAACCTCGAAGGGCTGGGATATGTGCCCGAACTGTCGCGCAACCGGTCCACCTGGCATGTGGTGTTTATGTGCTTTATCCTGTCCTCCGTGCCCTACGGTCTCTCCACCACCCTAACGTATCCCCTGGCCGGGGGCGGTCCCGTCGACATCATTTGGGGCTGGGTCGCCGTCTCCCTGATCATCCTATGCGTCGCCGTCTCCCTTGCAGAAATCACCTCGGTCTATCCCACCGCCGGGGGTGTGTACTATCAGACGTTCGTGCTGTCTCCCGTCTGGTGCCGTCGCATTACCTCGTGGATCTGCGGCTGGGCCTATGTGGCGGGCAATGTCATGATCACCCTGGCCGTCAACTTCGGCACTACCTTGTTCTTCGTGGCTAGCTTGAACGTCTTTGAAAAGTCCCCCGGCGTGGGTATCACCGACGACTTCGAGGCCTGGCACACCTACCTCATCTTCCTGGCCATCACCCTACTCTGCCACGCGATCCCGGCTTTTGGAAATAGATGGCTTCCCTTGTTAGAGGTAACCATTGATCCTATCCTATCCTATCTTTCTGTCCCATGCGAAAAGAAATAAGACCAGAAACAGACTCCCCAAGCGACATTCCCGTTTCTTCTGTTTGTATCCCCATTGCGCCTCTACTAATCACTCCCATCGCGTCTATAGCAATTTGCCATTTTCTGGACCTTGGCCGGTTTGATCGTCATCGTCGTGTGCATCTTGGTCCTGGCCCGCGAAGGCCGTCGTTCGGCCAACTGGGTCTTTACTCACTTTGAACCGCAAGCTGGGTGGCCTGCAGGATGGTCGTTCTGCATCGGTCTGTTGCATGCTGCGTACGCCACCTCGGCCACCGGCATGATCATCTCGTAAATCTTTCTTTTCTTTCTCTCTCTCTATCTTCTCCAACGCGACATCTGCATATAGAATCTTACTAAACCACCCCATAGGATGTGTGAGGAGGTTCGCGAACCCGCGATCCAAGTCCCCAAAGCCATGGTAGGAACCATCGTCATCAACCTCTTCGCCGGCCTCGTGCTCCTGATCCCGCTCTGCTTCGTGCTCCCGGACCTCACCTACCTGGCGAACCTGGCCTCGGGCCAACCCGTGCCTCCGACCCTCAAGGCCGCGACGGGCAGCTCCGTCGGCGCATTCTGTCTGCTGATCCCGCTGCTCGTGCTGGGCATCATCTGCGGTGTGGGCTGCGTGACGGCCACGTCGCGTTGCACGTGGGCGTTCTCGCGCGACGGCGCCATCCCCGGCTCAAAGTGGTGGAAGACGGTCAACCAGCGTCTGGATATCCCGTTGAACGCGATGATGCTGGGCATGGTGGTTGAGATCCTCCTGGGTTTGATCTACTTCGGATCTAGTGCTGCGTTTAGCGCGTTCTCGGGTGTCGGTGTCATCCTGCTTACGTTGAGCTATGCGTGTCCGGTCGCTGTGTCGTTGATTCTTCGACGGAGAGCTGATATTCAACATGGGAGCTTCAATATGGGTATTCTCGGCACGTTTTGTAACGTCGTTGCTATCTGTACGTCTTCTTGTCATCCCCCGTTCTGTTCCACTCTGTCTTTCTGCAGTTTTTCACGTCCAAATCTAACCATAATCTAGCGTGGACCCTCCTGGCCATTCCCCTCTTCTCCATGCCCACGTTCAAAGACGTCACCGTTGACACGATGAACTACGCGTCTGTCGTATTTGTGGGCTACGTGGCTATCGCGGCCGTGTGGTACTGGGTCTGGGGCCACAAGAACTACGTCGGGCCGCCGACGGAAGGCGTGGAGCCGGAAGCTGTCCGGGCCCCGTCGGTGCAGACCCACAATGTTGCGAAGATGAAATAGTGGAGTATGCATCGTCAGATTGTGTCTGGCCAGTGGCCATTCTGGTGCGGGCTGTCGAGTGGAAACATGAAAAAGGGCAGTTTACTTTGTACATCGGAGTTGTTGCTCTGTGCTTTGTGCATAATGGGCCTGATGCGAAGGATATACCCATACCAAACCCATACCTAAAGATATGCCTATGTTTATACCCGAAAATCATGAGTCTCGGTGGAAAACGTCATGATCTTGATGCATGTATATACGATATGGATCTTTGAATATAATCAAGTGATATGATTACTACAGCTTACGAGGCGGTCACATGTTGATGCCGAGGATAGACTTTATACGGGTCCATCCATGGTACTGAGCGCCATATCCAGAACATGCCCTGCGTGACTGGATTACGATGGCGTTCTGGTCATGATTGAAGTACTTTGTCCAGATTTGAGCATGGTAGCATTATAGACTTGGGACTGATTAGCCCTTTGAGTTATGTTCAGAGAACTATTTCCCTCTATCGTTCTCTACAGTCCAACGTTACTCATACCCTATCCACAACTCAATCCACAACTCAAGTTAAATCTAATCCCAAGAGCAGTAAGAAATATGGAAGATTCACCAGATTCACCTCCCCCCAACCCATCAAAGCCATCAAAATCAACCATGTCCCACCAACCTCTCCCACCCCGACCCCAGCCCTGCCCGTCACGTTCAACGACGATCGACGAGCTCCTCTAATCCTACAAGCTCCTCGACGCCGACAGACCTCTGAAAATCATTGTTTTGAGGGGCGGCGGATCGGTCTTTTGTGTTGGCGCTGACCTGTCAGTTGGGTTTGGAGATTTAGTAAACTTTGAGGCATTTGTCTGTTGTGTTACTTTTGAGGATGAGTCGTGTTTCTGCCCGTGAATAATAAGACGTCGATTTATGTTTGGACGATTAATATGGCTGTGTAGTGAGTACTGTACATGATCTACACGCTTAGTTTATGAGCTAAACAGTCCGAGGGGATAATGCTGAATGAAACGCCGAAACAACATCATTCCGGCGGAATCCAGGTGCACGACCGAGAATGACAAGACCACGAAGAAGTTCTGCACTGGTTAGAATCACTTAAAAGATAGTAGGGTAGGTAACACTCACTTGAAAGGAACGAATCGATGTCCAGAATGCGCTGACCTCGCTTGGATGAGAATTCTAACCTCGTCAGTCAGCCTCGTCAGAACACCAGATATCAAAGAGAATACATACCGTCCACATCCCTCACACTCCCCGTCTGAACCGAATTCAAAAGCGACGCTTGCAACTGCTCCGCCGCATCGCTATCATTCCCCTCCCCCGCTGTCCTCTCAGACCTCACCTCCGGAAACAACCCCCCGTCCAACATTACCCCCATCTCCTTCAAATACCCCTCCACGTCTCGACAGTCAAACCAGGCTCCTCCAAGCCCATACGCCTGGAGCCATCTCTCCTCTCCCTCTTCATCCTTACCCCCGTCTCTTCTTCTTTTACCACCACCAGCCCCTTTTCTCGCCAAACCCACCCCATCATCAACCGACAAACCCCCCAACACCCGTCTCGGCAGCCTCCGATTCTCCGGATAAACCGCCCTCCCTGACCGATCCAACGCGGGATAATGGGTCCCCGCGCCTCCGACACAGTAAAACGGTAGGGTATGTAGCTCGAGCGGCTCGTCGATGCTTGCACTGACCAGACGGCGAAAGTACGGGTCCATTTTACTTTTGTCGCGGATGCAGGGCACGAGGCGGAATACTTGGTATATCTTGAGTGGGGGCGAGCTTGCATCGCTGAAGAGGTGGAAGGCGTATTCGAGGCTGAGACGGTGCAGGTGGCGGGTGAATGTGCGTTCGTGGTGTGAGGAGCTGGAGGAGGTGAGGGGGGGAAGGAGGGAGGAAGGGATGGTATAGGGACTGGGATGGGGATGAAGATGAGAATGTGAGGACGTCTGGAGGTGGGTTATAGTAGTGTCTGCACGATAGGTCTGGCTCTGGCTCGGACTCCGGGCAAGCGAGCAAGCATCGTCAACACTCCTGCTACTTTCCGATCTTCCCCTCGAGACTGACATGCCCTCGTCCGATCCATCAGCTAACAGTGCATAGATAGCATCCAGTCTCCGCACTAGCGCGGGGCTTGTCTCCTTGACACCGGGGTCTAGTTCTTGCATCATGTCTGCGAAGGACGAGGACACGCGCTCTAGCTTCTGTTCGAGATCGACCACGCGCTGTTTGGTTTGCTGTAGCGTGGCCTCCTTCTTGAGACGGTAGGTTCGCTGGGCGCGACGGACTTGCTTTCGTCGATCCTGTTTGAGGTTAGTTCATAGACATTTTAATATGTTGAAATCTATATTCGCAAGGGAGTGGATGATGGGTTCAATTCGAACTCGATCTCGAGGCCGTGCATAGCCGAGACAGTCATAATACATAAATAAACAGGCTCGAGTGGGTAGAAGAAAACATTAAACAATCTTAAAGAGATAGAACGGTTGGATGTAGTAAGTGATGCATACCTCCGATAGAAGCGCTCCCCCGGCCTTGTCAAGACGCGGCCGTCCGGCTTTTCGAACCCGTGGCCCATTCATGTCCTGTTCATGCAGCTCGGACTCAAGAGCATCGTTATCCTCTACTGGTAATGGCTGTGAAATCACCGCAGGAGTCACCGTGATGGTGGGGACGTCGACATCGGCATCGTGATCGGCCAGGGCGAAGTGGCGGGCGGACAGGATATCGTGGAGATTCTGCGTATCCGACGGGGCCATGACTAGGCGATGCCGACTGATTTCTTGGCCAGAAGGAGCTCGGTTATTGTGACGGGGTGTATAACGTGTAGAGTATCCGGCGTAGTTATGGTTGTTGAGTCAAGAAGAAGAAAAATGCAAGATGATGATTTTATCAGGAAGATATTGTAATCCACGGAATCGGCCTCGGCACGACTGGAGACTTTAATCGTTGGGGCCAACCAAGTGGGTCGACCTAAATTTTATTCGGTGGGTTTGTCTGCTCAACATCATCTCTTCTCTTGTCGATAATCAAGATCTCACCGTTCAGGTAGACGCTACTTTAATCTAAGTCTCACAAAGAAAAAGCTGTACAGAGTAGTTCAGAGTAATCACCGCCACAACAGATCCGTATACCTCCCCAAAACGCGACTCACGTCCGGATCAAACGAATTATGCACCGCATCCCAGCCCATCTTCAACTGCGCCGCCTCCAAATCTCTCTTTCGGCGCTGTTCGATCCCCTTCAACATCTCTTCCATGCCCTCGTCTTCTTCTAAATCCCCAGAATTCGGTAAAAGCCCACACTTGACCAGCATCTCCCGCGGCGGAAACGTCCTCCTAGCCTGCTTGAAAACGTATCTCGAGACCGCAGACGCGAAGACTTTTTTCTGTGCGTCTTCCTTGCCTCCAATCTCATCTCTTTCACATTCCCCCACAGATCTAGATTTCGGTGCGGATGAAGGTGTAGTCATAGAAGAAGTAGAAGAAAAAGTCCGTTGCAAAACCCTCCCACCAACCCTAAACACCCCCCTCTCCACAAAATGCGAAACAATATACACCCATTTCTCATCCCAGCTCATAACCCTGGACCAAACCTCATACCCCTGATACGGCTTAATCTCGCGCCGAAACACGCACTGCACGCCACTTAAAATCATGACGGCGTGGCGCCGCGAGGGACGAAACGACAATCCTTGGCTGAAAAGCAGCAGATTGAGGTTTCCGCGTGAGATATCTAGGTCCGTGAAGTATGTTGAGTTGGACTTGTGGATGTTGTAGTCGCATTCGGAGGCTGGGGAGCGGGTGCGGTGGATGGCGGGGAGGAAGAGGTGGGTTGGGTGGAGGTGGTGGTTGCGGATTGGCGAGATGAGGATGCGGGTGGTCAGGGTGCGGAGGAAACGGATCTAGGATTGAGAGATTGTGAGATTGATAGGGGTTGGGAAGGGGTGGAGGAGTATGGGATATGGATGGACGTACAAGCCACACGAAGGGGAGGTTCTTGTATGTGAGGATCAGGAGGAGGATCGGGATCCAGTTGTCAGCGAGGAAGGCTAACATTTTCTCTGTTCCAGAAGGGATTCTTTTTGATACTATGTGATTCTTCTTTCATAGTGGTGATCGAGTTAGGACTCGGACTATTTATCTACTTCATATCCTGCCGGTTATCATTTGTTGAGATAGACCCTGCGGCGGGTCAGGACTGGTTGGGAGATTCAGATGTATGAAACCTGTGGAGAAGCCAAGTCCACTCTTCTCTGCCTTCTAGAAGCGTTCATGTTAGGGCTGGTTGTAGCGACGGTGTATTCAGCCTCGGTATCAGAGAACCGTGTTGCTGGTCCGTGTTAAAGCGTCTAGACTAGTCTATATGTTATCTTACATGTACGTGCATCCAGTAAATTATTTTTGGATAATATAGAGATATCGATCTAGTCTTTCAGCAAGCCCAGTTGATGCGCCGCTGCTTACAATCGTGTGGATCTGATGTCGGCGTCTGATATTATAATCCCCACTCTGATCATTTGATCTAGTTGAGCCCCAACTATCTTCCGACATTCTACAGATCTCATCCAAAATGGCAATGGAAGCGTTTGGTGCCGTGGAACCAATATTCCGATTCCATCATTTCTTGCTAAACTGCGAATTCAAAGGCGATAGTTTGGCTCATCATCAACAATTTATGATTTCGGGCAGGACGGAAGAAACGAGAAGAGGAATCAGAAGAATCGCTAGCAAACAAAGCCGGGCCTATTCAGAGCTGAATCTCTCTCCTATTATTTTTCCCATTCTAAATAGATAAAATTGGTATCATATAAACTATAGACTGACACGTTGATTTGGTTCACTAATTCGATTGTCTTAACGGGAATCATTACAAGCAAGAACGCAACAAAGCAACCAACCCCAAATTTAAAGACACCCTTGCTCATTATCACACAACCTAATCATGTCACTAAAATATTTGCGCCTCCCATCTCATTCTCATTGTGAAACGAAACTGGAATGACCAAGACCCTCAAAGCCCTGACGACATTCCACACATGTCATCAGGTATGCACGATCTGGAAGTTATAATATTGGTCTTTCTCCCTTGACTGGACGTGGCATCTAGTTCTCCAATACCGAAATTCTATCTATCCCGCGACGTCGCAACCTCATCTGTATGTTTTAACTACTTATATTCCAGACTTTCTACTAACATGCATCGCATACAGAGATATTATGCGGTTCCTAGTCGTCTCGCTTCTACTCTGTCTGGCCACAGCGTTACAATCGAGAGATCAAGGTCAATGTTCCACCGAGGGCCAGGCGTGCTTTGCTAGTAGTGACATCTACCCGTGCTGTGCCGGGTTAGCGTGCCAAGAAAGCAGAGAAGCCGGCGATGGTATTCGCATGCCCGGTATTTGCGTTCCTTTGGCGGGATGATTTTTGGGAGAACAATAGGCGCAGACAAGTGGATGTCCGATGGATGGTCTGATTCCGGATCACGTTGGAAGTCAATGGAAAGCGCGGGATAGAGTTCGGAATAATGAATTGTCATGTTTGAGGCTGAGCTGCGTCAAATGACGTTGGGGCTTGGGTATCCTTGATATCGAGACCCGGGCGACATGGGCCAACCTCAAGAGTGATCGGTGATATCAAGGCAATCGGAAACCGCCCGAACTCGACCTCGGAAATTACACGCAGTGATTGTGTATGCAGCACCTTTCAAATTCGTCATAGTGAGCTGTTTGTCCATGCAGAGTATGGATTGTTTGCTGCGTCCAGTCCAATCGGACAATCGTGGCCCGGTAACCAACAAGACCAGTCTCAAGCTCGGCTCGATACCATCCTCAAGGCGAGACATCGCTGCCTAGTTACTATCTATACATCAGCTGCAATATGGACGTCTCATCTCCTCATTCCCTTCCAAGCAATTGGCACTGTGGATCATTTCCAACCTGTTGGTGAGAAGCTCGGGGAAACGTAGCCGTAGCCAGAAAAAGCCGATGTGCCTCGTCACGAGGCACACGTAGATCTGGGGCGCGATGCCGACGGCCATGAATGAGGTCACCCAACGCGGAATCTTTGCGGGGAAGCGACATCTCGTTTGCGGAGAAATCAGTCTAGTCGGTTTTGGCAGGTTGCGGTTTATCGTAAGATGCTTGCTTGCCATGCTGCATCTTCTGCGCTGCGGCAGGGTATAGATATGGGCTTTCGACCGCCAGGGAGAGGTCTGCATGGGTTCAGTTCTTCGATTGAATTCTCTTTTCGCTTTATCTTCTTTTCTCTTGGCTTGTGCTCTTTATTTATTATGACCGCTAGCTGGGATAGCGATATCAAAGCCGACATCTCGTCGGCACAGATCGAGAATGCCGAAGAGGCTCCATCCTCATTCTCGCCCGAGGAGGAAAAGGCGCTCGTGAGAAAGATTGATCTCTATTTGCTGCCCATGATCTGGATCATGTATCTCCTTTCGTATATGGATCGCACCAAGTATGTCACTCTGTCATTACTCTGTGGTATGAATTTGTATTGACCGCCACAGTATCGGGAATGCGAAGATCTCGGGCATGGAAGACGATCTGAACCTCTCGTCGAACGAATACTCCATTGCATTGGTTGTGTTTTTCGTGGGATATGTTGTTTTTGAGGTTCCTAGCAAGTAAGCATACCTCGCTCTTCCGTATGATGCTTCGATACTGACCTCCTCAGTCTCATCCTCAGTCGCTCGCGCCCCTCCCTCTTCCTCCCCGGTATCATGGTCGTCTGGGGTGCTCTGACCTGCGTGATGGCCGCAGTCAAAGACTTCAAGCACCTCGTCGTTCTGCGCACCTTGCTCGGATGCATCGAGGCCGGGTTCGCACCCGGCGTGTTGCTCGTGCTGTCGAACTGGTACAAGCGAACAGAGCAATCTCGACGCTTCGGCGTGTACATCTCCGCTGCAATTCTCTCTGGCGCATTCGGCGGTCTTCTAGCGGCCGTCATCACCGACGGGCTGGAAGGTGCGCATGGGATCCGTGGATGGCGATGGCTCTTCATCGTCGAAGGCGCAGCCACCATTGGCGTCGGCCTTGTGGCTATGTTCATCTTGCTAGACTTTCCGGCTACGTCGCGCAGTCTGTCCGAGCGAGAACGCTACATCGCGGTGGCGCGACTCGCCAGCGAGAACGTCACCGCCATGACAGACGACAGCGAGCGATTGACCCATTGGGAAGCGATCGTGATTTCTGTCAAGGATTGGCGGACGTGGATGTTCGTCGTTGGGTATATGGTAAGTCAGCCAGACAGCCCCGTTCTTTATGTCATACATATTATCACCGTCCTAATCCATATGGTAAAGGTCATCGTCGGCTCCAGCACCCTCTCCTACTTCTATCCCACCCTCGTCCAAGGCCTCTTCAACACCTCCTCCACCAAACAAGTCAACTTTCTCACCGTCCCCATCTACGCCGTCGCCTTCATCTGCACCGCCATCACAGCCTACTACAGCGACCGGATCCCCCTCTGGCGCGGCCTCGTCATCACCGCCTGGCTCTCCTTCTCCCTCGCCTGCTCCGTCGCCGTCTGCCTCGTCTACAACTTCACCGCCCGATACGTCCTCCTCGTCCTCATGGCCGCGGGCCTATGGGCCACGAACGGCGGATGTCTGGCCTACGCGTCGTCTGCGTTCGCGGGTCTCAGGCCCGAAGCGCGGGGCGTCAGTTTGGCGTTGGTGAATGCGCTAGGGAATCTGGCGCAGATCTATGGCTCGTATCTGTTTCCGGAGAAGGACGCGCCGAATTATATCATGGGGTTTGCGGTTATTTCGGCGATGTTGGGTGTCGGGGTGGTTGTGTTTGTGGCGTTGCATGTTTGGTTGAGGAGGAGAGTTAAGGTTGGGGGTGAAGTGTCGTAGGCTGTTGAACTTTTTCTTTGTTGTTGATTTTATAGGTGAATTCTGTATATGAGGTTAGTGTATTTCCATGTCTTGGTTGGTATGTTTTGCTGCTGTAGTTGTTGGTTGATGACTTGGTATGAGCGTTTTAGTTGTGTTTTAACCCAGACATTCAGATCGAACACAGCACTAGCGCCTGCGAATAGGTCGATGTCAAGGCTTAGCATACAGGGTAAGGTGGAATCATTCAAATGTCGAGCATCCAGGGTATATTCATTCAGTTGAAGACATGTGACTATTAGTTTAGCAAGCCTTTTCAAGACTGTACTGTAATTCCACCGACTACATGGGATAGGCAATATGTCGGATGGAAAGAAAACTATAACTTCGCGTTCCTCTCTGCCGCCAAAACACTCCAGATCATGTCATTTTCCCCTGTATCATCTTTCTTGGGAATACCGCGCTGCTTCGGCTTTTTCGGGTCGTAACCGGGGGGAGTGATGAAGTATGTTGGGATTACCCGCCCTCCCAGCACCGAGACCTCGTAGACGGTCCCGCCCTTATACTTTTCACTTTCGATCAACTCGAGCTCTGCTTCAGCAACTGTCCGCGCTGAGATCGCAAGTTTCGGATGGTATCCAAATTGCTCCCGCAGGTGTGGCTTGGTGCCCCAGAGCGGTGTGTCCACGATCCTACGCAATCAGTCCATGTCGGTAGAAAAGAAGAAAGAAAGAAAGGAAACCTACCCAGGGCAGATGGTAACCACTTTGACACCCTCGTGGCTGTCCAGTTGGCCGACCGAGCGTGTAAACCCAACCAAGGCATGCTTAGTTGTACAGTACATTGTCGCTCCAAAATGACCTTGGTATCCTGCCATCGAGGCCACGATCAGAACGACTCCCTTCTTGTTCTCTGCGAGTAGAGCTCGGATTGCAATCCGCGTGAGCTTCAGAGGGTGGTTCACATTGATCTGGACAGAGCCGTACGACTCTGCTTCCGTGTCATCCCAGAAATTTGACCAGGTCTATACATCATTAGTGTTGAGGTTTCTGATCAAAAGACAGACAAGACCTCGAAAGCTATACGTACGGGCTCAAACACTGCCGCACCAGCAACATAGACGTCAGGAACGTCGCCGAGAACCTTCTTGGAAATAACAACGATGTTCTCAAGCTCCGGCCACTTGGCGACATCCGTCGGGACGTAAATCACGGTCTTCTCATCAACAAGGGATTCCGCTTCCGGGGTGAGACGCAAGTCGGCGATTAGGACTTTAGCACCTTTCGAGAGTACCAGCTTGGCAAGCTCGAGGCCGATTCCTGGTTACGGTCAGCGGTTGCCGCCACGGCTCATTCCAGTTGAGGAACAGCTCATACCGGAGGCTCCGCCGGTTATGGCGACAATCTTTCCGCTCACGTCAAATTCACCGACTGGGCCTTGGGTCATGTTAACTGAGATTCCATTAGGAGTTGGGTATATGGACTTGGAAGGGGTTCAGGGGCGGGGGGCGAAATCCCGCCAGGACATCACGTGAATTGCTTACACTTAGTCTATACACTAAAATACAATACGCTCCTACTAAGTAAGGATTGACCCTTTCTAGTGCTGAAATATCAGGTCTAACGGCGGTATGTGGTAGGTCATCAACGTTGTCATGGCCATGTCATTATGGACAGCAGATGCTATGACTTCGGAGAGACGGTTCGATGGCAGGAATCCTCGTTTAGCAGTTTGTCCAGCTGGTTGACTGCGGGATGTGATGAACGTAGACGGGTTCCGTCCCCGGAGCGTACCACAATTGATTGAATTTAAGCAAAGAAAGCTTGCGTGGCGTTAATGTAGGGTTGATTTCCATCATTTCCTCGTGAAGTAATAATCCCAGGTGCGACTCAGTTTTCCCTCGCGGTAGTCTTCCGGCTGTAGAGCAGTTAGTGAAGATCACCGTAGTGCCATCGAAGAAACAAACCAAATTCTTCACGAAATAATCCACCAATTCAATCTCATCCTGCAGCCACGTTTGCTGTAGAGACGAAAGGTCATCTACCGGAAGAAGTTGGGCAGAGTCGAAATCTATCCATAGCACCCTATCTGGTTTACCGTCACAGCCCGGACAGACCATTATGTTTCTAGGGTCGGTGTCACCATGAAGAACCCCTGCTTCGTGTATGTCGTGGAGAATACGTTCTAATTGTGAGAGTCGCGCTTCCGAGAACGTAGATAGATCCATTTGGTGCATGTTGTCGATATACTCCAGAAGAACTGCATTGAGAGGCCATCCGTCGTCAAATAACGTAGAGATCTTCGGCCAGAGGTCGGACTGTATGTTTGTTACGATGCCGTAAAAATAAGGAATGGCACCTCTCTCGCAGAACCCCTTTTCTTTTAGCCGTCGATAGGCCGAAGATTCGCGAACGAAGGGGTTCATTTCGCGCTCTAGCGAATGATTCCGGGTTGGAGGTACATTGCGAAACCGTATGCGCTTTAGTAAGAGTCGGGTCAGGAGCGGGTACACTCACTACTTTCATAACTCTAGTTTCGCCGCAGACAGTCACCTTTAAGACGGTAGAGTATCTGGCCCTCCGGAGGATCTCGAGGACCTCCACATCTGATGAGCTGACTTCAAGCGTACCAGACATGTCGGAAGGGGACGAGGTAACAGAAATCCTCGAAGTCCCTGTGGTGAATGTTCGGCCTGACTGACTGACGACCGTGGATCTCTTGCAGCACTGTCGCGGTATGAAGTCGCACAATATCTGCTTTAATATAGAATTTCTCTCTGACTCAGAGCTGCTCGGGCAAGAAAGCACCTAACCAGGCTCGTGGAATCTAGGCAGCAATCAAGAATGCTGCTCCAGGCCTTCTTGATCAGGAGGCCTAAGATGTGACTGCAGTTCATGTGCTCCCAAGTGTAACTGGCACAGATCTCCGTGCTACGGCTGGCCTGAGTGGGGAAACAATTGGTTATGAGCAATCAGGACGATTGTCTATCCCCACTTCTGGTCCAACCTAGAGCAAGTAGGGCAGGTGGTCTTGGCGTTCATTGTTTTTCGCAGAGAATGAAGAGGTTTGTGCTGCACGCAAGACCCACCAACATCTCCCCTAAATTTTTTGTTAGTACCGTTGCATCCAGGTCATTGCGTGTTGTTCTAGCCTTCTAGGTAACCCTTGTAGCTTTAGCTTGAGAGAAAGTGGCAGGGCAACGTCGACCATGAAAAATTCTCCGTAACTTTCTCTAGACTCCCTTGCGGTCATTGTACCCTCTTTCCCCATTGTTAGATTTTACGTCCGTGCCCCTAATCCAATATCCAACCCAATTGATCCAGATCCGCACGGACATCTCTATCTATCCGCAATGGCATCCTTCGACCCCTTCCTCCTCACCCCGCTCGACCACTACCTCGTGGTCGGCGGCATCGGCGCATACGGATGCAACTACTTCACCTTCCAGACGCCCAACGCAGACGACGCCCTAGAGGCTCTCCACACCGGCGTCGCGCGTCTGCTCCGGGAACTGCCCTTCCTCGGCGGCGAGGTGGCGCCCCGCGACGGCGATCCCCGCCATCAGCTGGAGATCCGGCCCTCGGCGCCCGAGCGATTCGAGTCCCATCCCATGGTCGTCGTCCGGCACTTGCACAAGCCTCTCCCTGCGCTGTCGGAGATCGGTCACGCCATTGACACGAACGGCGATAGTGCGTTTCGGCCTCTCCCGAACAAGGGCCCCGAGGGATTCAAGCCCGTGCTGCGGTTCCAGGCGAACGTTTTCCACGGAGGCATCGTGCTCTGCTTCTGCTGGAATCATCTCCTGATCGACGGGCCGGCTGTCAGCAACATCATCAAGGCGTTCGCGCAATGCTGTCGCGACGGCGACGACGTGTCCTTGGCCGAGGAAAGACGGCAGAACGAGCTCGCCAGGGAGATGATTTTCGATATCATCAATCGTCCTGCCCCCGAGACTTCGACCAACACCGACGAGATCGAGCTGCATGAGCTGGCGCCCTTCTCGACTGAGGATATTCCCCGGGAGACGTTCCTCTTGTCGCCGCGTCTCATCGAGGAGCTGAAATCCGCCTGTAACAAACACCTCGCCGAGTCCGGCCGGCCGGACCAATACTGCGCCACTAACGACATCATCATGTCGCTGCTCTGGATCGCCACGGCCCGTGCATCCATCCCGCAGGAGAAACGGTGCTACTCGATGCACTTTGCCGTGACCATGGGGAAGCGTTCCCAGCCGCGCATCCCGGACTCATACATGGGGTCGACGCTTTTCCTAGAAGGCGCGCAAATCGGACCGCAGGAGTTTGCCGACGCGTTGGCCTTCATCGACTCCTCCTCTGTATCGACTCTGCCCACCGCGTACATCCCCCTCCTTGCAATCCTGTCATCGCGTATCCGCGCTAGGATCCTAGCCACCGACGACGCGCATCTCACTCGGACCGTGCACGAACTATACAAGACGGCCGAGTGGGACGCGCAGCCGGGCAAACTGGGCGATATCCTGTTTAGCAATTTGTCGTTTAACACGTGCTACCAGCATGACTTTGGGTCGCGGTTGGGCCACGTTCAAGGATTTGAGCCGCGCACGGTGTATCCGAGTATTGCGTATTTGAAGCCTCGGAAGCCGGTGGAGGGGGGATTGGGGCCGTGGGAGATGACGGTGATGTTTGATAAGGAGAGGTTGGAGGTGGTGAAGAAGGATGCGTTGTTGGGGTGGGTGAGGGGGGAGTTGTAATTTAGATTTGGTGTGTTGAGTTCAGATATGTTAAGAGTATAGAGGGGCGGAAGTATATATAGTTCGAGTCTAAGTTAGATGATAGAATAGAATGTCCGTGCTCTAGAGACCGCATCATTCTGTTTATTTTAATAAGGATAATATCGAGATTGACAGTTTTCTACATATTTTCAATTCAGATCTTGAAAACCGACACTATGTTTCGCATTGCCATGACTATCTACTGTCTGTTGACAATACTTCTCAAGAGATGTAGAGATGATGTCACGGTAGGGCACGTGAACGGGTGCTTAGCTCAGCCGGCTACAGGGCCAATCACACGCAGCCAATATGCCCGAGTCCCGTGACGCAGCCCTGGCAGGAATTGCAGAGGCAGACGATAGAAGGGATACCACAGAAAATGGAAAGAGGAAAACTGTATATATCACTATATAATAAGATAGTAAGATGAATATAATCCTGCATATGAATATGATGTCCTATATCAACCTGTGAATCTGTCAAAATCAATGTGCGTTCTGTGTGGGATCAGCCCGAAAAGAACAAGAATAGGGCTTCGTACCCGCCCGCCCCCATTGGCCCTGGCGCCCTCACCGCCCGACGGCCGGGTTAAGCGAGCTTGGCACAGAAAACCAAAGACACACCAAAATTGAAGCCCCAAACCTCCCTCCCCCTAACCCCAACATTCGCAGCATCTCGACAACTATACCGCCAACATGGGTCGCGTTCGCACCAAGACCGTCAAGAGGTCCGCTAAGGTCGTCATCGAGCGCTACTACCCCAAGCTCACCCTTGACTTCGAGGTCAACAAGAAGATCTGCGATGAGGTGGCCATCATCGCCAGCAAGAGGCTGAGGAACAAGGTATGGAGGACCCGACACCAGCGATTCGACGGGGGGATGGAAAGCGAGGACGAAAGCGATTGGAAAAACGGGAGGAAACCAGGATGAATGGCTAACATACTTTGATTTGACAGATTGCCGGATATGCCACGCACTTGTATGATTTTCCACCCGATCCTCGATAATTCGACTCGTCCAGACCCAAATCAGAAAAACGACTCTAACTGAAATCTCTTCACAGGATGCGCCGTATCCAGCGTGGTCCCGTCCGCGGTATCTCGTTCAAGCTTCAGGAGGAGGAGCGTGAGCGCAAGGATCAATACGTCCCCGAAGTCTCCGCCCTTGACTTCTCCCAGAACTCCGAGACTGGCAAGCTTGATGTTGACCAGGACACCAAGGATCTGCTCAAGAGCATCGGCGTATGTGTTTGATCGATTCGACACCGGAGGTTCAGCCAGGCTAACCAAAATACTTTTTTCTCGAACAGTTCGACTCCGTCCCCGTCAACGTCGTTGCCGTCGCCCAGCAGAACATTGCCGAGCGCCCCCGCCGCTTCGGTAACCGCCAGTAAACATCTCTTTTTTTGTCGCACCTGGGAATGAAAAAAAGAAAAGGATGATCCGGACGAAAGCTTGAGCGGATGGAAAGAAGAAGACGTTGTGCTAGCGTTGACTTCGACCATGGAGGTGGTATACAATTCAAAAAGATGCTGCTTCTATTGATGGGTGATAAATGGCGTCAAGACTATTTTTTTTTTTCAAAGGACATGGTTGTTTGCAAGAATAGGTTCGGGCATCTTTTTCTTTAGGATGAAAATAAAGGAAAAAATGGATACGCCAGGCCTTTTTGAAAGAAAAAACACCCTTCAGTCTCCCATCGATCGCGTTTAGCACTCGGGTGGAAAGTTCTGTACTTCGCTGAATTTGAAGCCTAGATGAACCTATTCATGATCAATTGCACGATGATTCCACACTTTGTTTTGACCTTTCGCTCGGATGGATGACTTGCCTGGTGCATGCCGTCCTCAGGTCTGGCCAAAGTATGCCTGGACATGCTTCTATTCGCATTGATATGACCGGATATGCGACACTGCCATCGACAATCAGACCCAGGAGAAACCCTTCACCCAACCCAAGCAATACTCTTGCACAACAACCCGAGCCAAGAACCAGACGAATGCACATGTAGACTTCCCCGTAAGCAAGCGTTGAATCCGATATCCTTGACCAAGTCATACCTTCAAGACCCCACATAATCCAAGCAAGAGGCCTCCATTTGTCTTATCAACATTCAATCCCTATCTTCGTAAAATTCAAATACCCCACGAATTCGACGAGGAACCCACTTGCGTGACCAAGTCTCAGCAGTTGATTGGCCAGACCCGTACCTGATCCACCGGAATTCGCCTCTGTATTAGAACAGTGAGTTGGTAGGTCAACAGGCAGGACTGGGAGAACTTCTCTGGACTAAATTAAGCAAATCCAAACCCTACGAGAAGCCTAACCCCTGCGCTGCCGGACGCCCGCCGTCCGCCGCAGCCGATGTTCTTGTAGGTCCATCTAAATCAGACAAACCGAAGCAATCCCCCCATCCATCCACTTACGGAGTAGTAACACCTCTCTGGTTGTTCTCTCGGATTCAAACTTGGACTTTAGTGACTATAAGTGCGTTTCTTATATCGAGAATCGAAGGGACTATGTATTTGACAACATGATATATATGAACCTATACGGACTGGACCTTTCTAGTTAGCAGTTACAACTAAGGGTTTCTGTAAGCGCTCCGGACGATGCCTTAGGCATACAATATCACCTCGTCTCGATTCTGTTAAGAGTTAGCCACCTGCCTAGTTGAGCCCAGGGAATGTCCTAATTTAGTTTGGGGAGATTTCTAATTCTTGAGGTAGAAGATCCTAATATATTGATAGAAAGCTCTTATATAGTTAGGCCCATCTAATGTATAAGGGTCCTGACGCAGTTAGCGTTGTATATGCAAAACCTTAGACGGAGGTTTCTGAACTTATTTCTAGGATAGAATGATACAAGGTGAACTAATGCAAAGTGATTAATGTCTACCTATCATGTTTACCTTCCAATAACCTAAAGTCAGGACAGGACATAATACTAATACGAATAATGATGTTTGATGGCAAGAGTTTTGTTACAGGAGCGACGACGAAGCACCAAATTGAAGCCGCATGCTCTTTGATATATTCACTCATCTTATGTGTAACTTCTGAAGCGGATAGAGAATTGCGGCGACATATCTTTCAGGCATGAGCCGCGCTATGGCCGAGGCCAGTTGCACACCCCAGTCCAAACACCACCATCGCGAGCTGTATTGCCCTAGTATTACAGCATAATGCGCCAAGATGGCCAGTGACGCGGTATTCCTCTGCCGTAGCAGGTCCATATAGTCAGTGTGGACGATGTTCGGCCATGCCAAAGGTCTCAGATGTCTCTTCAGACCAAAGCCAAGGCTCCCTTGAAAATCTTGAAGGGCTTTAGCGTTGATACCGCGAACAGCCGGTGGATCATCGGAAAGGTCAATCCAATGCTGCAGCTCCGCGACAGCAAAGTCCAGATCACGGTCCTCTGAAAGGCGCGCTGCGTCATCGAGAATATCACCGTCCTCGAGCCATGATTTGAGATCTCGTGCTTTTCTCCAGGGCTTGGTGGTATCATGGATCGTGCCGTTTCCCTTTATTAGAACCATGATACGAATCATCTCGTCTAGCACCGTGTCTTCGCTTCTATCTCCTCCCTGTAGCAACGGAAGTGCAAGAGCGTAGATAGACAGGAGAAATGGAAATTTGCCGACTGCGTGGCAATTGGCATCGTTGATGTACTCAGCTTCTTTTCGAAAGGATCTCATTGCATCCGAGCATCCGCTTAGAATGAAAGCGGTATGTTTCTCGCTGAAAGATGGCGACTTAGTAATTCCCATATGTAGTGCTGACAGCATGAGAATCATATGTAGTATGAATGGGTACCGCATGGCTTCCCGAACCCCCTGATCCTGCCAGCTACGATGAAAGCCATGACTGACGGCAAAGGTACCGGTGACATTGATGATCCAGTGATGGATTAACTCAAATTCCCACAAAGTTAGGGCTGATTTGGGCGACCGGTGATCTGCACCAGCCGAAGGTATTTGAGAGAGTAATGTCAAACCCCCATTTGGAGACCCCACTCCGGAAGCATTAGGAAAGCTTGGGGTGGATGAACTTTCCGTGGAATTAGTGCCAAGACTGTTGCTGAAATTCACCTGCTGAGCACTAGTAGATCTAGTATTCTTTGTAGGCTTCAGAATACATGGCTGGTTGTATTTCGCACAGGCCCCACAGGTCGGGCGGACTTCATCGCATTTCAGGTGCTTGTCTCTGCATCGGAGACAGCCTAAGCGGGATTTCGTGTGTGGTCGCCGGCTGGCCATAGGGGAAAGAGAGAGGCAGAATAGATATTGGACCCGTCATTGTGGATGAATGAAGGTGGATTTTCTGGATATATCCCAGTAGCTGGATTGGTGGATACCCGGAGAAAGGAGATACTGTATGTCCGCCAACATTAGTCATATATCTGAGTCTATAGTTAGTTAAATACAAATCATGAGATAGTTTCGTCAGCAGACTAATACCCTGTGAGAGAGCGGACGGCGCAAAAAGCTCATCTGACCAGTTTACTATCAGAATGGTGCTCGACATTGGAATGCCAGTACGCAGGTAGGAGAAATGGAGAAATTGGAAGGCCACTGACTATGCTAAGCTTAGAAAGTCGAAGAAGGGCTATAAGCAAGAGACCTATCTGAAGTAGACCAGACGCAAATTGAGCGCTAATGCCAAAAATTACTAGATGTCGTTAATTCGGAGATCGATGCCTCAACCCCACGGGCGACCCCTTTGGCATGGTCAAACCCCGATTCCGATGACGAACGAAAGTAAGACCCTGGCAAAAAGGTACGGGATATGGGATATAGACTATTCCTTATGTGCTCGAAGCTTTAGAAGGAAGTTCTGTAACAGCTACTATGTTATCGGGTAATCTGTATTTCGAAGAGCAAGTTCACATATCACAGCAATAACCAATCATTATCAATGTATCTTAGTACAGCGATTCCAATCAAAAAGAAACAAGCAAATCATAAAGATACATCGCTGTCTCAGCGAGTCATAACAGTATCAGCCAGATCCACCAATTAAAGCTACCCAATTAGAGGCAATGTAGACCTGACCATTTGAAGATCGCTATAGAGCGCTCCGACGCTTATTGTTGAGTTATGCTCAGGCCTAACATACGGTAAACTGTGCGAAGGAGTGTCGCTACCGTCGCTTGCTGAGAGTGGGCGAGGTCCTGTAATGTCTGCAGCGTGGACAAATCGGGCCCCGGTGGCGTCTCAGGGATTTTTCCGGGGTCGTTCTCCAAATACTCCCAAATCTCGCGGGCCTCTACTAGGCGCTGAAGCCGCTGGATCCATGGCCGCCAGTCAGCTGCCGATTGGAGAACAACACCAACGGCTATAGAAGAGGTGGAAGTGGTGATGGTATCCATATCAACGTCCTGGAAGATGACGGGCATCTTTCTGATGGATTTTCGTTAAGCCTGAGCAATTTCGACGGCGATGTGTGCACTTCGCGTGGCTGAATGGGGGTTTCTCGTTTCGAGTAAAATTGTATGTGAAATGTCACCGACAAGGGCTGATATGCTGAATGTTGACGTCTCTGCAAGGTATTCTAGAGAAAACCGTCTATATCGCGGCAGCCGGGAATATAAATGTTGAGTTCTGCTGAGGCCCAGCATATAATAAGATATGGGAAAGAGTAGTATTCTAATTGCCTGTATACAGTAGCTTAAATCCATAGTATGCGCCACTATTTTCTGCCTAGACTAGGCAGCACCGTGAATATGTTAATTGTGAATCAATCAAAATACACCTGCAAGCCGACAGGTCTTTTACCGTATTTTGACGTTACTGTGGGTTCCTGCCTGACTGCAGTGGCGCAGCTGTAATCACTAGATATGCATTACAAGCATGGATCCACGAGTGTGGACAAGAACAGATAGAAGACTCATGTAATTGATACCAATATGTCTAGGCTGCGGCAGGTCGTACGACATCAACATTTTTTCATTATCGTAGTCGGCAACCGATACGATATTGATTTTTTCCAATATCGTTGTCGTATATACGATATCTAACAGACATCAGACGATATCGATGGATATCGTACAAATATCCGCACTAATATAAAACTCGCTAATTTATCCTATTCTGAACAATCGGATGATAGTTATGAAGCTGACCAATTATTATTTTACAACTGAAAGTTTACATGTTTGGTTATGACGGTATTCATTTGTTATTTCTCTCACTTATCATTGAAAATAATAAGATGTAATATTGTATTTATAAGCTAATATTGTTAATGTAACAGTATATATTTTACTTAGATAACAAGCGTGTTATTGTTGCTTGTAATTTTACAATTATTAGTTGATAGGTGGTTGTTAGGTAAAAATATATATTTAATACACAGACAATGTAGTACGTTTTTTTACAAAATTTTAATATAGTATCTGAATTTATAAATATTACAGTTTTGATATTCAAAATAATATTTATGGATTTGCGAGAACTTTGTTTCATTGTAAAATTACTTTATTTAGTATATTTACATATAAAAGTAAAGCGCAATTTATGTTTGAAGTTTCCAGCTTGCGGATTTAAACATTTTTCTCAATTCAAACAATCGCGGGATAATCGTCCGATATTCAATATAGATCGAACAATATCGTTCGATATCGTCCGATATCGGTTGGATATTAAATAGATCAATTAACAAATATCCACTTCTACTTATTTATACTCAATTAATATTGAATATTATTTTTAGCACGTTGAAATTACACCAACATTTGCCTATAATCCCATTTTTATTTTATAACTGAATTCTCTGTAAGGCTCCTATTCGTGAATCTAATTATTCTACTATTCTTATCTAGTCTTATATCTATCATGTCTCATTCTCAAGCATCTTCAAGCCAATATACAATGTCTCAATACGTTGATTCATTCATTGATCCAGATATTCTACAATCAGATGATTTTCTAGATGCGACAAATAGTCAGATTACAATACAATCAACTCTTTTCTCTGAATTCCTCTCTCCGCTTCAATATCCTCACGCACCCGATTCACTTACACACATTGTTTGCAAATCCCGCCAGCAGATCTATATACTCTATAACAGCGATAAAAGTGATCGAACAATGGATGAATTATGGAAGCATTTTGTCGAATGGTGATTAATGACTGAGTTTGGCGTTAAAAAAGAATTTCAGAAATCTGTTTACTGGAATAGTAATCTCAAAAAGTCTGATGTTTGAGAATCATTTGATCAAGTTGCAAATATCAAGACTGGCGAGCCTAAGATTATGTGTAAATGCTGTCAGAACGTAATTATTCACTTAGAGATTAATTGTGTTGATTCATCGTCAATGAAAATCCATTTTATCAATGTAGTCTGTATTAAGTTACAGAAGACTATAAAGTAAGACATCAATCATTTATTACAAAAGATGATAAGTCTATCTTTAAATCTAATCTATATTATATATTAATATTCTCTATTTCTATTCAGCCATGTCAATCAACAAACACGGAATTCAGTCAGATCACTTTTCAAAAAAAGATTTTCAAGTTTATCACAACTATCTGTCTTCCATTCCGCACTGTTGAGCATCCGGAATTTAAAGAGTTATTGCAATATATTAGACTTGCTAATTCAGAGTTTAATATCCCGTCTGCCCGCAGTATAAGACAGCTTTTAAATAATGAAGTCCAAGAATAGCAGCAGAATGTTCTTAATAAGCTTTTGTTTAGAAATTATCTCTTTATTGCATTAGATTGCTGGATTTCTCTTTTTGATCAGGCATTTATGGCAATCATTGGATATTTTTTTGATCAGGACTGGAATTATTGTAAAATTCTTTTTGGATTTAAGCATATACAGAGATCACATATTGGGACTCAACTAAGTGAGATTGTTATTCGAATCCTTCAGAAACATAATATTACTAATCGAATATTGTCAATCACAATTGATAATATATCAAACAACAACACAATGATCGAAGACATTCAAAAGATAATTTAATTTCAGATTCTCTACAATACATCTATCTTCCGAATATCATGCATTATGTACGTCATGCAGCTTAGTCTAAAGGATCTTCTTGGAAAGATTAAAGCGAATCCAAAGAATGCGGAAGCCGAATCAGAGTAATTAAATGAATGTATAAAATTGTTATAGATTATTTCGTGTCATTTTTTAAGAAATATCGTGACTACATTAAAGAAAATAAATGTATTATATTATATCAAAGGATTATAATTACTAAAATATTCTAGATTCGAGAGCTTGCTGTATTCATTAACGTTAGTCTTTAGTATCGAGAGACTTTCCGGGCGTTCCAAACAATAGAATCAAAGTTTTTATCTATTCAAAATGTTCACACACGTTGGAATTTTACTTTTCTAATGCTAGAACGTGCCAAGAGACTACAATGAGTTTTTAGCCAGTACTGTTCAATCCACCAGTATGTTCAATTTCAGCTCAATCCAGAAGAATGACGTCAAATAAAATATCTTCTTTTGATTACAAAACCTTTTTTTCATTATATCAAGATCTTATCAAAGATTCAAGATATTATTGTTCATTCTGTCTTTAGTATCTATAATGAGCTTTTTGGCCATCTTGATGATGTTGAAGAGTTATTAAAATGTAAGACTGTTTTTTGGAAAAAGAGAATGCTTCAAACATTACAGACAGCGAAATAGAAACTTTCAAAATATTATAAAGTAATCGATATCGAATCATTTGATACAGTCTATGCAATTGCAACTATTCTGTGTCTTTCAAAGAAACTTCGATTCTTTGAAGATAATGACTGGAAAAAGAAAAATGAGAAGGGAGAAGATATTTATTGAATGCTAATCTATCGGGATAAATTATAGAAAGAATTTGATCAATATCAACAGCGTATTATTTTTCGAAACGAGCCTTTTCAAGTCCAAATTATTTAAGGATCTGACGAAGAAGAGTTTGATCTTATGATGGACTCGCACGCTATTTTATAAGGTGAAGTTGACCGGCCGGAAAATGAAATTACATGGTATCTTGCAAAGGATTTGTATATTCTCTTGCTTTATTATAAAGCTTTCTAGTTAAATTGTCTAATAGGTCTTATTAAAGGCAAGCCAAAAATATTCTAGAAGGAGCATGAGCATGAGTATCTAGTGTTTGCAGCGATAGCACGGGATATTCTAGCAACACCTGCTAATGATACTGGTGTTGAGCGGTTCTTCAACTATGCTCGTGATGTCTGTCACTATCGCCGGGAGCAATTAAAACCTGAAACAATCTGATCTTTAATGCTTCATTTGTTCGCATCAAAGTTCGATCTTCAACAAACCGAACTTGAAATGATCAAAGAATATCTTTCTAGCGATGAAATTACTATATTTAATCAGACATGGAAACTAATTTCGTCGTTTAATGATATCGAATCGATCAGTGATAATGAAGAAGAAGATTATCAAATTGAAGATATATCGGACGATTTATATAACGATTTAAATAATAATTATGCAATTGAGCAGACAAATTTTATACTTGTTACAATCCAGGACAAGCAATCACGGTGCAAGCAGTCTCATAGTGCCGTTGAGACTCAGAAAAATAATGATAATGATCTCCCGTTTTTTGAGATGTCAACTGAAGAATACACGTAGGAGCGATCGGGAAAGATTCGAAAAAAATCAAAATAATTAGACGGATTTGAATTTGATAATCTGTAATATAATCTTGAACAATTGAATATTCGTTATTGCAATAAAGAATAACAAAGTATATTAATTAGCAAAAAATATCGTAGAACACAAATTCACACCAGTAAATATGGGATCAATTACATATTGAATACTTCAAAAATATTGTGGAAAATGCATAATCTATGTCAATTCGTTCGAGTTAGAAGTCTTGGACTGTTTGTAATATTTGTTATCAAATAGATATCGGACGATTATTCAACAGCTTAAATTGAATATTGTAATCGTATCGGACGGAAAATCTAAATATCATAGTCATATCGATGTCAGCTGCGATACGATACGATATGATATTATCGTACGATCCGTCCGATGCTGCCGCAGCCTAAATATGTCTATTCCCCAGATTTGCAATTATGTGTCAATGGCTCTTTTCATATATCTTTATTAGCTTATGCCAAATCTGTAAATAGGAAAAAAGGTCGCCATATCAATGCCCACCATACCTGGACCGTAGACGGAGTAGAGTCAGTCTTTCCAAACGGTTCCCACTGCCAAATATGGAACTTAACGCATACGGGCATACGGGCACACGAGAATACGGGCATACGGGCATACGGGAATGTGGATATCCTTTCATAGTCTGTCATTGGTGGATCACCACTTCATCTACTGGATGTACTTACATCCGGCTTTCTCCATGGTCCTCAGTAGCGAAAATATAGGCAAATTTTTTATTTTCTTACTCTATGCTTTTAGGAACAATCACATATCTTACACAAACTGCGTCTAGGCCTCTCAAAGCATATTGAGGCTGCCTGGCGATGGTTTCTGGTCCACTAATGCTTCCTTCTTGGTAGAACCCATCCCGACCTACAACCAAGCATTGATCATAAAAGGGGTCTTTCAGTTCGCTTAGCTTCTCGTTCCACTTATAAAATGCCCGTCCTTCTGATATAGAGATTGCATGTCTAATTTCTACACAGATACTCGGCGGAGGCTATTCCAAAATTGCCCCCGAATTTATTTTCCGACAATCATCTTTCGCCCAAAAAGTCACCATGGCACCAACGGTCAAATATATGGGCATGTACGATTTCATTCCCTCAAAAACAACGGCAATCGTGTTTGGGATACTGTTCTTCATAACTACGCTACTACACCTTTTCCAGCTCATCCGCAAAAGGACATGGTTCTACATCCCATTCTTCATCGGATGTCTATGTAAGATCTCATATCTAGCTTGGACGATACCAGGTAATTATTGTGCTAATTATCGTCCTTTAGTCGAAGCCATCGGGTACTTCACGGTACGTTGTTATCTGAAAGGCTTTCGCAACAGTCACTGACATGTTTGAGATAACTAGAGAGCCAAATCCGCAACACAGTATCCTGATTACGACCTCGTCCCTCAAGTCCTTCAATACATTCTTATTCTTGTTGCACCTGCTCTACTCGCTGCGAGCATCTACATGGAATTTGGTCGACTGGTCATAATGACCGACGGAGACAGGTTTTGCATCATTCGCCGAACGTGGCTCACGAAGATCTTCGTCATCGGCGATATCATATCATTTCTGGCGCAATTCAGTGGTACGCACAACCCCATCTTCCTATTGTGGCTCTTATCAGGCAAACGATATGCTGAAAACAAACAGGTGGCGCAATGCTCGCGAACGATGACACTGCGAGCAAAGGGAAAACTATCATGAAAGTCGGCGTCGTTGTCCAACTTCTATTTTTCGGGCTCTTCCTCGCCACGATCATCGTTTTCAACATGCGACTGTCTAAACAAGGCTCGAGGGCAAGGGACGTCGTACCCTGGAAGAAACATATGGTCGCGCTATACAGCACGGGGATATTGATTCTGATTCGATCGATTTTTCGACTCATTGAGTTTGTGGAGAGCGCGGATGGCCCGCTAAGCAGGTACGAGTCGCTTTCGTATATATTCGATGCGGTTATAATCCTTGTATCGTGTGTGATATTGAATTATATTCACCCTGGTGAAATCAAAGGGTATCTCAAGGCGGTCCAGTCCCCTATCGGGGGATTCGACATGTTGTTACGGACGGACCCTGCCACATGAGGGACCTCAGCTTACAGATGGGTCGCTGTACCAGGGACCTCATATTAGATAGTTTGCACACAATTTCATTAACATTTTATTTTATGGTCGATACTGGAAAACCGAAATATTCAGAACATAGATAGACAAAAGGACTATATAGAAATTATGGGTAGATGGATCATTAAGCACAAATAGAATAATTCCAGTCTGTACATCTTAGACATGCTTGAGCCAGCTGATATTGAGCTCTTTTAACATTTCCTACTTCTATCTACTTGCTCTTCTAGACTAAACGAAAGAAGTTTTTGCTTATTCCTTATTAATATCGACACTGGTATTATGAATGTGCAAAGATTTAATTGTATTAGAGTCAATTATACAAAACCCGGAGTGCAATTCATGGTATAGTCCAGTAAGCAATATTGGTATATTCATCAAACATCCTATCAAACAAGCAAGTAAGTAAACAAGTGAGTACCCGACTCATGATCCACACCCTTTCCGATTCACGCTATCCAAAACCTACCTACTTTTCTGATATAAAACCAAGCCTCAGCTTTATACAGATCACGCAAACCAAAATTACAAACCAATCAGACTCGGTCCTGCCCCACGACATCATATCCCTTAGACCCGTGCACCCAACCCCTTGCATCATCCCAAAGACCCCTCAACTTCTCCCATCCGAGGGAATAATACACCAAAGCCGACAAGGCAATCGCGTATCCGATGACCTGCAACGCGCTGATCTGCGTGTGCCAGATCACCACGGAGGCGAAGATCAGGAGGATGTTTTTTGGGATGCTGACTAGCGTCATGGTCAGGCCGGAGGTTTTGCCGATCTAGCAAATAGATTAGTCTCAATCTTTCTTCGTTTGCATCTTTCCATGACGCCTAGAGCGAAGAGCCGGAAAAAGGAGTAGGGTATATCTCACGAGAACAAAAATCGAAACATTCAACATAAATCCCACAGCCGCATTCAAAACCAGCGCGGCACAGGTATTATGCGAAACCTCCCCGAACCGAAAACCCGCCCACTCGGTCTGCCAAGCGACCAGAAAATTCATGACTGCGCAGACCGGCGCCGAATAATACAGACTCACGAGGGGGTCCATGCGCTGGCCCTCATCCGACAGCAAGATCTGGATCATGACGAGGCGGTTGGCGTCGAAGACGAGACTGGCTAGTTGGAAGAGGAAGCCCAGCCAGGAGAACTGGATCTCGCCGGCGACGGCGAGTCCGACGCTGGCGGCAATGACGAGAATATTGAGGAGCACGGAGAGGGAGGGTTTCGCGACGCCCCAGGTCCAGCTGGTGAGGAGGGTTATGACCGGTCCGGCGGCCTTGCGGGGGATATTAGTATTGTTGGAGGAAGGATATATTGAGGAGGGAGAGGAGGCAGTACCTTGATCATCTGCACAAAAGAGACGTTTAGGTAGAGGTAGACGACGTTGCTGCAGACTAGGCTACCGCTGTAGAGTAGCCCGATGGGAACGATGGCGCGCAGGTAGACTCGCGGTGTCATTTCGACGGTCTTGCGAGCGTCTAGCAGCGTGGTTGTATGCGCCATGATCTGGGTGACTAGCGTAGCGAAGACGAGGTGCCATGTTGTGAGGATGACAGCTTTGCGTTTTCCTTAATTTAGTTTAGGACATTAAGTATAAAATAGGCAGACTCACGGTAATCTGTTCATGTTAGCAAACGTCGTATTCAACCGATCATATAAGGAAAATGACAAAAGGAAGGTAGACATACGGAACTCAGTCGAGCTGATCACCCATTTATTGAACAATATCGTGAGGTTCGACCAGAACACCCATGATCTGACACACGCACACCCAATTAGCCAACGACTCAGCACAGTCTGCAAGAACAGTCAGACAGACTACCTACAGCATGCCCAATACGATACTCCAGCTATCATTTCCTTTCTGAAGTCTAGAGTAAATCATTCTGGAATCGTGCGCCCTACTAGTGACGCCGGACAGCCAAACGAGCAGAAGAGCACAGGAAAAAGGCAATAGAAAAACGTCAGAACCAGCGAAGAATAATCTACGGCCTATATGCGCCCGCCATGGTCGGAGAGCAGCGACCAGACCGGCAGGGCCTTGCTTTCTGAATCAGCCAGCCCGGTTTGCTGTTTGGATGGTTCCGTAGTGTAACGTGAGAGCGCCACATTCCGAAGACAACCAGCGATCAGAGAGAAATACAGACGGTTGAAACGTGGATCTGGGTCAGGTTCGTGGATTTAGGTTTGGACGGGTCTTGCTTGCTGCTTCATCTCGCTTAAAGGATGTTTGCTATCTACTGCTAGGATTGGAGATTATGGGAATTGAGATGTAGCTCAAGAAGGCTAGATTGAGGAACTTTGCTAACAGTGTTAATGTGCTGATAGAAGGGAAGGCAAAGAGATTATTACAGAACCGTTTTCATCAACGGAGACATGATACATGGTCATCTATCTGGGGACGAATGCAACGTCTACGGGTTAGGGCTCCACATATCCGGATGCGGGTATGAAGATCGACATGAACACTACTGTCCTGTCCTGACCTGACCTGATCATTCCAGGCCTCGATCTGCTAACTCATTCAAATCGAAATTAGTAATTCTATATCATTCACATAATCCTAATCAATTCCATTCCAACCTATACACATTAAATTCGCAGAGTTATAGTATCTTCTTACACCCCCAATCCCAGCCCAATCCCATTAAGTCAGATTAGACCACATCACCATGAATGCGTACAATAAGTAATGAAGTAGCTCGGCCACTCCTCAACATCAATCTCCCGTTTACACACCTCTGGATCAAACTCGGGATTACCGAACGCAGCCAAACAAGCCTTCACGTCGTCATCAACCCAACTGAACGGATAGATCTGCCGCTGCGGCAACAACACCAACGAGTCGTTGATTTCGGCATCGCAGAACAGCGACCAGCTCGGCTGTCTCTGCTGGATCTTTGCGCACACTTGCCGTCGCACCGCCCCCGGTCCTTGCTTCGAGTCCGCGAGGTACTTCTGGACCATGCGCTGCAGGGCCCCGGGGCCTGTGAGATCCTCGACGGACCCGTCGCCGCCGCTGTCGGCTCGCTCGAGCACGTGGAGTGCAGGGAGCAGCCAAAAGGGATGACCCGGGGAAGAGGCCATCCAGCCGTTCGGCACGGCTGCGTTGCTGTTGAGGTCTGGGCTGCGGGACATGCGGCCGAGGAAGGCGCGTTGGGTTTGGGGGTGGTTCTGGAGTGGTAGGGGAGGTGCTTTATTGAGGGAGATTCGATGAGAGAGGAGGGGTGTATCGTGAGATAGGAAGAGCGGTTCAACGGGACGAAGGGCTTCGGTGTCCACGTCCGCGTACATTCTATCGAGCATTATTTGTTAGCATTGAGTACCTTGTTTGGCATATACCAAATCAAGGAGCAAAACAGAGAACATACCCTCCAACCAGATACATGTAAAAGTTTCTCGCAACGTCAGCCCTCAGAATCTCCTGCGGCAACTTATCGTACGTCTCCAGAAACCAAGGAAAGTGCTGCTCCACGATCATGCGATCTGTCTCGTCGTCCCAGAGCACGTATTCCCAGTCAGGGTTCTGTGCGCGCATAGTTTCCACCCAGACTTGGGCGCGCTCAGACATGTTGCTGCCGGCCGGGAACCATGTCTGGTGGATGAGTTTCGGGAGGGTCTTGAAATCGTGAGGGAGCGGACGGGCGAGGAGATCACGCGCCGAGAGAGGCCGGGCTAGTTTCTGGCCCTGGTCGCTCTCGTAGAGCGGATATACGACAGGAGGGAGAAGAAGCGTGCGGAATTCGTAGATGATGACTAGAATGACGAAGATAACGAAGAGATATGAGCATCGTCGACGGGAGGCTGGCAGGGCGAGCCATTTGGGGAGGGTGTCGGCCGCCATGGCTGCTGGATCTTGGCTGAGATGAGGATAGGGGTTAGAAGAAAGTAGCGCAGCCGAAGAGCGGCGATTTGGGGTGTTGAATCATTTTGAGACCGATTCCCAGCCTCCAATGGGTCGAGGGGGTCAAAATTGGACTCAGATGCCACTTCATTAGGCTAGTTGGTTCCATGGATGGCCGTTTCCAGGATGGATACGAACCAGAATCAAATTTGGCACACTAGAAGAGCTTTCAATGCTACAAATAGAACGTGGCCAAATCAAGAGGGGTCCTGGGACGTTGGAATGCTGGTCTGCTAGGGCATTCCCGATGCGGAAATGAAGAATGTCCCACGGCCCGGAAGGGGAAATGGATCGGACCTGACTTGCATTCGTGGGGTCGCATAGCGGTGACTAATTTAGTGGACTGGTCATGAGTGCGGACGTGGAACCTGGCATTGATTTAGCTCTTGCCCAGGGGTTTGGATGTCTTCAAAGGCTCGGGGAGCTGGATTAGGGAGGTTATGATAATTGGACTTTGAGGACTAGGCCATGTCAGTCAGCAATTATCTATAACTATGTTAAGATTGCTAATAATTGAAATTTGTTTATTGTTCTGATTCCAGCAGGCTGATATCTTCCTCAGAGTTGGTAGATTTCTTCGTGGATCCAGCCCTAATCGGATGCGCTAACTCGGATGCTCTAAGGATTGTAATCGACGCTTCACCTGATCTGATGATTAGAACAGAATAGCAAGCCTGTTTTTGTCGTTTGAGAAATAATGAATATTTTCACAAGATCAAATCGCAAAAGGATACTAATCCAAGATGACCCCTGCCACAAAGGCAACAAACATTGTAGATACCGACCACCCTCGGCTCTCGATTACAATATCTCGGCCAACGCTCAACGTCCCAACACATGCATGCACGATGGTTTAAATACTTAAATAACCTTCAGAAATTCAGTCCACCTGTAGCTGTTCAATGAAGCTCATTACATTACAACCATGACACCAAATCATCTCACCCTCCTAGCAGCAGGCGTTGCGCTCTACCTAGCCCTAGCCCGATATCTACGCTATCAACGTCGCGATGCCATCAAAGCGCGCTTCAACAACCGTCCCCTCTCGAGCATGACGATTCCCGAAGCGCACGAAATCATTCGCGAGCTGCGCGAGCTCGAATTCCCATATACAATGCACACGGCGATGAAGATCTCCTTACTCAAAGTCCGTCTTAACCCTTATATTCCTCACAGCCAGTAGAGTTATGGCGTACTAATGCAACTACCTGTAATAAAGACCGGCTCCATCCCAACCATGACCAAACTCTTCGTCGCAACAGGCCAACTCAACGAGCGCAACGCCTCCAAACGCGCCGCCGACACCGAAGTCGTCCTTTCAGAAGTCCACGACCGTCTACCCGGTTCCGATCCGCACTTACTCGGCATCGCGCGCATGAACTACCTACACGCTCGATTCCGCAAGGCCGGCAAGATCCTCGACGAGGATATGCTGCACACGCTGGGCTCCGCGGTCGTGGATATCATGCGGTACGTCGACCGCAACGAGTGGCGGGGCTTGACAGATGTTGAGAAATGTGCTGTCGGTGTGTTTCATAAGGCGTTAGGTGATGCGATGGAGATTCCCTTCACGGGGTTCTTGCCGAGCGTTGCGCAGAAAGAGGGGTGGCGTGATGGGGCGCATTTCGTGGATGAGGTCTGTGAGTGGACGTTGGAGTATGAGAGGCAGGTGGCGAAGATGACGGAGTCGACGAGGACGATTGGACGACGGTTGCTGGATTTGGCGACGTTTAATGTCCCGGGTTGTTTGAGGGGTGTCGTGGAGGGCGTGGTGGTTACGAAGCTGGATGAGCATATTCGGTTGAGTATGGGGTATGTTGTTCTCTTGAATTCCAGATTTCCTGTCTTGGTGGGAAGGGGGTAGAGCTAATTGACTTGGATAGGTTTGAGAAACCAAGCATTCTCATATCTAGCTTCGCGCATGGCATCATGGCCCTCCGCAAGCGAGTCCTTCGCTACCTGAGTCTCCCTCGCCTTGGGTTTATGCGGGTGCGAGTCCTAAACGACGAACCCGACAAGACCACAGGCTTGTACACGACGAGTCTGTGGATCGCGCATCCATGGTACGTGCGGCCTATGTTTATGCATCGGTGGGGACCGAAGGCGTGGTTTATCCGGCTGTTTGGCAGCGGCGCAGTCCCGACAACAGAGGGGAAGTATCGCGAGAGCGGATATAATATGTGGACGATCGGACCGGCAGCGCAGGAGAAGAGAGGCCAGGAAGAAATGCAGGCGCTGTTTGAGGGATTGAAGCAGAGCGGGTATGCTGAGGGATGTCCGTTTCATCGCTAGATGCTCGGTCCTAGACACTGGGGAGATTTGAGGTTCGAAATTGGTAATTTCACTTCATGGTAGGAAAGAGCGTTGCGAAAAGAAGTGAATAAAGAGATGATATGTAAAGGACGGGAGATTAAGGAGGTATTGCTCATGGCTTTCTCATTCTTTCTTTATTTTTCTTCTTGCATTCCCATGAAAGCTATACATCTATATGGCATTCTATTCCCTGTGTTTTAAACGATTAACAGTATATGTATTACCCACTACCAATCTATGCCAGTAACATCATAGCCCATCCTCGCCTCATACACATACCAGTCCTATCTTATACCCCAATTAACTCTTAAAAATCCACCCCTTCACCTCCCTCCTCACCCCATTCACAGCGGTCCAAATCTCCCTCCACCCATCATAAACCGGATAAACGACGACAGCCAAGAAAGCCAGGAACTGCCACGCAATGGCGACGGTCGTCCAGCCCGCAAAGAACGGTTTCGTGAACACATAGTCGCGGTACAGTGGCATCGGCCAGACCACGAACGTGAGCAGCACGAGAACGACCCATGTGACCCAGGCGATGCGGTACCATTTGTGGAGTTGGTTGAGGGTGGGCTGGTCGAAGGGGTGGTGGAGGCTGTCGAGAGATTCGGGTTGGGACTCAGATGTGGGCTGGGGAGGCGAGGAGTGAGAGGTTGAAACGATGGGGAATTTTTCGGGGCTGTCTGTAGGGGTGGTAGTTCCTGTGGAGTCCGGCTCAGGTGTATCAACGAGCTCGATGCGCAAGAACTGTCGCCAGTCGAACTTGTACGGCTTATAGAAGGAGATGAGGATGGAGTAGACAGCCGGCGAGAAGCACGCGGCGATGGAACCGTACAGACACGGTGCTTCCTCCATGGTGGTGGTGAGGTTGACGGCGCCGTACAGTGACTTCGCCGTACCCAGCCAGATCGCGAGACCGGTACCAAAGCCCAGAATAGGAGCCCAGATGGCGGCGAGACGCGTCTGGCCAGACCAGCAGAGCGTGAAGATGAGCGGGACGATGCCCGACGAGGTGAGGATGGGTCGGAAGTAGCCGATCCAGGTCATGTTGGCGCCGCCGTAGTTGAGGACGATGGAGAAGGCCGTGATGAAGATGGCGTGGAAGACGACGGAAAGATGACTGACGCGGATAATTCGCTTGTCAGAGGCCCGGGGGTTGATGTATGTTTTGTAAACGTCGAAGGAGAGAATGCTGCTGACGGCGATCATGGAGGAGGAGACGGTGCTGGTGAGGGCCATGAAGAGCATGACCACAAAGGCGATCACCCCCTTCTCGCCGATGCAGGCCTGGATAGCGTACGGCATAACGAAGCCAGTCAGGACCTCTGACTCGGTGAACTCGCCGGGATACGTGGGGAAGAGAGGCGTGTCGTGGAGGACTCGCGCGGCGAGGCCGATCACGGTGCCCAGGCCCCAGGGGACGCCAAAGATGGCGACAGCGGCGATGTTGTATCCTGGCACAGTGGCTTTGACCTCGGTGGCGAACGATTTTTGCCAGAATGCGGTGTCCTAGATGGATCAGCTGGGAAGAACAGGGAAGGGTTGATAGACAATACCATCACGACGAGAGCCAGGTTGCCAAACTTCAAAATCAATCCCCACATGATAGCATCGTGTGACTTCATGGTTAAAAGAGATCCCTTGAAATTACCAGGGATGAAGTTGTCATCGGAAAGAGCCTGAACCTTGTCGTAAAGTCCATAAAGGCCGCCGATTGCATCGTGCGTGAGAATGGCAATCGTGAAGTAAATGATCAGAATAAGAGCGATGGCCGTGTGCAGGTAGTCCGTCAAAAACGTTGCCTTGAGGCCACCGACAGCAGTATACATTACCACTAGAACAATCAGTACCAAGTTCAACGCAAGTGAATGGATAAACCTACCTCCCAGAGGAATAAGAATCGTGGCCGCCACGAAATGGATCCCGGCAATGCCATGGATCAGCTGCGAACCCGTCAAGATCATCGACGCGCAGCCAAAGATATTGCAAAACAGATTCAGCACGAGAAACACGACATGCGCGATCTTGCCGTATCTTTGGCGAATAATTTCCAGCGACGTATGAGCATACGGGACTCGCAACTTGGCCAAAACGCCTAGGATCGCCATCAGAGCAATCTGAAAACATAGACCCGAGCCATACCACTGCCCTCGTCAGCATCTCTTTCGCCATAAGATATGCAGTAGAACATACCATCGGTGCCGCAAGGCCAAAGCGATAACAATTTACCGCGGAAAATACTGTCTCGTTGATCCACATCCACGACGAAAACACCGCCGACGCCGTCAACCCCGTCCCGACCGTTCGATTGGCGACCATGAACATCTCCGATTTGCCCGAGTCTTCGTCCAGATAGGCCTTTTGAATCTTCACGGCGATCAGAATCACGCCGCAGAAGAGAATCCCAAGGCCGATGAGGAGTCCATACCCGGTCCCTTGCGAGACCAGGGTGACTCCTGCCGTTGTAATCTGAGCCATGGCAGATTACAGCACCTAGGGGTATGGGTATATTGACTAGAGTTACTCGCAAAGGAGTTGGGGAAGATGATGACCCCTCTGCTTAAATATGCGTCCGGTTTCGTTCATCTTGGACATGTAGACGAGGAAGTCATTGCGCCCTGGAGGAGACGTATGGCGTTATACATTAGCTTCGACCCGTCTTGATATCCCGCACGGCAGTGGCCCGACAGGAATACAATCGGCAGAGAGAGGGCCAGTCAAGGGGGAGATAAAAGTGGAGGATATTATTGTGTTGGGGGTGCGCGCTAGATAATTGCGTGCTGGGGGCGCCGGATTGCAAAGATGCACCACATAACTTCCCTGTCGGATCCATTACCACACAAACCAATGAAGATAAAATCGCTGCAATCTGGATTTGGTTCAATTATTTTCACAAGGTCGCCACTTCAGATAGGGACACGATAGGATGCCGTAAGTACTCCTTAAGGCTAAAGATGGTTTGCCGTCTCCTATAAGCCTGTCCAGACCCTTGACTTATCTGAACTCCACCCGAAACAAGATCCAGATGTCAAGTTGGAGCTGTTGGAGAAATAGTGGGTTCGTTTTGAATTATCTCCAGTCATCAGGGCCACGCTTTGCACAAGCCGTGGACTTATGCAGCCAAGCTGATAACAATAACTTGGCAGGTTGCTCGTGCTCGCTTAATGAAGGATGGAAGCTATTCGACAGACCCCGATGGAGTGTTTGCCACTGGATTACTCATGGTTTTGTTATTTCTTTACTTGCTCTTGATATGCATTGCGAGATTCGAAGTCATGCAAGTTGAAGATGGTAGGTTGGGGAATAGAAACAAAGGATTAATTGAAAGATTAAAAACTGAGATATCGCCCTTGAATCCAAAGCATGGAACTGGAAAGAGAATTAGAAGTAAAGGTTTATTCGACAACGAAGAATAACGGCCTTAGTATAAATCAAAATATGGAGGATTAAAGATTGACCAAACACTGCACCACCAAAGCACGCTCCAGTAATCGATCTCATCTACAAAGGCGCTACACCGTATACACGGAAGACCCAGGGCAGACTATAAGCTGATTCCCATCTTAGTAACCTGTCCTTTTGTTTCTGTTCTATTTTTTTTTTTTTTATTTTCTTAAAAAATAGTCTTATAAAATCCATACCATCTTCCCCAAACAACATTATTCCTAATAAATTGTGCCCATCGGACTCGTTGAGCCCGCTCATTAGTTGTCTTAATCTAATCTTCCGGCTACGCTAACCGAACCAAGGATCTCAGGATTTAAGCATAATGCAGTAGGATTCTGGAGCCAAGGTATTTGTCCGTGAACAACCACTAGCAGGATCTGTCCATCTGGTACAGGATATCAAACACATTGTATTTCAATATATTCTATTTTTTTTTTCTCACGGGCTCAAAATCGCCGCTGCCGCTCACTAGGCCAGATAGTAGCTAGTTTACTGCTCCACTCTCTGTAGATGTTGTAGTAGCTCAGAATATTATTCTCCAGGGTGTATCCTTATATGGAGTTGTATACACCCTTTGTTGCCACTTTTGAGCTCCGGAATGCGAGCTTGGTGATGATCGTGCATTTTTTCATGAGAAATGCGCATATAGCAGTGCTAAATCGTGTGTTGTCGATGTCTAAGAGACAGAAAGACTCTGCCTGTATTAAAGCCCACACATAACAACTGATTCTCTTGGTCTCGGTGGCTGACCTAGCTGCCTTATTCGCTTCGATCTGGGCTCGTTCCAGAAAAAGCTTGTACTGATCGGATAGAGCTGCTTGTTGACCAGTCCAGTACCTGCAACTCCACAGTGCTGAGAGGTTTGTCGGTAGGCCCGATCACCATTGTCTCTGAATTCACAACACGCCTCGTCGCTTATTATACTGGGCTGCTGCGTTCCTTCTCTTTCGCGCTTGGTACGAACAGATGACTACCCTTCATCATGCATCGGGCAAATGTAAGATGCCTCAATCTTAGAAACAAGGAATGAATCCCTATTATTCCTTGGTTTCTACAGTATCAAGACACCCACCGACTTGACTTGTTTCTGCTGTCTTGCAGCTGACGACGCGGAAATTGTAAGTTATCTGCGCTTCATCCTGGTATGATGTAATTTCTATTCCGTCGTAAAGTGTTTCCCCAAATCCGTCACAGGGTGTTTCTTATATCGGTGTTTGCAAAAAGCAGCAGCCTGCAGAGCATATGATATAAACAACCATATCTTGCTTTTTGGACCGCAATCATGAGCTGGTTGTTCTTGTATTCCCATGCTTCACGATGGGTTATCCTATCGAAGCGTGTGTTTGTCACAGAACACGGAACCTGACTTAGAGGCTGTAGATATGCACGGAATCGAAGGAATAGGGAACTTTTACGTTCCCCACGCGATCATTCAACATGGTTCTTCAAGCACATTCTTTGACGTTCATTTTTGTTCGCAGAAACTGTGATTTTGGAGAGTTTGATTGAAATTTTCTGCTTGGACCGAAAGACAGAATAGAGCGTCAAATATGTTCAAGGAGGTATTCGAATCTTAATTGGTGAGTCAGAATTGCATATCGCCTGTAACGCATGGGCAATATTTCTCGCAGAGTGAACGTTGTTGAGTGGGAAGGGCTTCTTGTGTGTATGATGGTTGTTTTGTCCGTAGGAATGTTTGAAGAAGACAGACATGAGAAGAAGGGGAGTTCCTGCGTGGTTATATATTCATGGATATTCACCTCCCCAGGATCTAGCAGGTGAATGGGACATTGATGGAAGACAGTGAATTGATAAAAAAAAAAGCTAACCCTGGCATATCTATTATACGAAGATGAACAGAGAGAGAAGGGAATGTTGCCAGGTTACTCCCACACAGGCCGAAAAGAGATGATATAACTCAATCTAAATCTGCCAGGCATTCACATCGACATATTCACACCTTCAACAATAACAATGTGTTGCAATTAGGCAACAATGAAACATCAAATGGCCTGGCGACTATTTTACTGCAGAACCCCAGAAACTTATCTCCAGAGTAATTAAACTACCCCCTCAATCAGAACTAAGCAGAGTACCGACCCAATAATCAGCTCGTTCGTGGCTCCAACTACTCTTTCCACCTCGAACGACGTCATACCACCCCTCCAACATAGCCCATATCCCATGATGATATGGTCCTCGACCGAGTTACACGCTATAAACACCCCAAGCGGGTCTCGGCAGTTGCAGCAGGCAAGATGACCCGGAACGGTAGTGGTTCAAGTTACCCGATTGAGAACGAACGAGCGATCGTTTGCAGAAAGCGGGCGCTTTTCTTCAGACTACAGCACCCCACAACTTCTTCTGACTCGGGGTCTCCGCATTTCCCCGCAAATATGGGCTTGGCAGAGATGTTTATCCTACAATACCAACGAGAGATTTCTTGATCTTCATGATACAGAGAGGAAGGAATATCCACTGCTTTTGGTTATTTGCTGGTTGTGGTTTTCTGTCATGGGCTGGTTTCGATGGTGTGAGTTTGTCTGGGATGATCTTAATATAACGAGGTGTTTGTTTTTGCCGAGTTGGTTAGATCTACTGTGTAAGGGAGGTCGGAGGATAGCATGGCGTAGGGCTGGGTGTAAGGTATAAGAACCTTTGACGTTCCTGTCCATCTCCAGATCTTCAATCATCGTTTCTCAACCACTACTCCTCGGTGCTAAGTCGCCAACATGGGTCCCTTCATCTCCCTCCTGGTATACCTCTGTGTAGGGCTCCAGCTCGTCGCGGCCCTGGACCGTGACTTTCTCTCCTACCCCACCAAACCCCGAGTATTCGTCCTGTCCGATATCGCCAATGAACCGGACGATGCGATGTCCCTTGTCCGGTATCTTGTGCACAGCAATCAATTCAAAACAGAAGGCATAGTTGCTACCACGTCGGTATGGCTCAGGAATGAGACCCATGCCGAAGACATGATCGAGATCATCGACGCGTATGGCAAGGTCGTGGATAACCTCAACCACCATGCTCCGGAGGACTCCCCGTTTCCTTCGGCGGAGTATTTTCATGGGATTGTGAAGAATGGATCCTCGGTATGTTTTTTCTCGCAAGTGTTCTTGTTGGGTTGAGTTGGGGTAGTCGCGGGTAAACGAATGTGAGCTAATGTATGTATGTGGTCCAGGAATATGGTATGGCTGCAGTTGGCGACGATATTCCGCTCAGTGACGGCGCGAAGCTACTCCTCGAGCGTTTGGAAGAAGACTCGGAGCAGCCGCTCTGGGTCACTGCCTGGGGCGGTACCAACAGCCTGGCGCAGGTGTTGTATAAGATCCACAAGGACTATTCGTCCGAGAAAGCGGCCGAGCTGCGGTCGCGGCTTCGCGTGTATACCATCTCCGATCAGGACGATACGGGCGCTTGGATCCGACACAACTGGCCCGACATCTTCTATATTGCATCCGTGCATGCCTGGAACCAATACTCCCTGGCGACCTGGACTGGAATGTCCGGCGATATCCTAGATACTTACGACAAAGGCGGACCCGACCTCTCGAAATTCACCCGCGAATGGATCCGGCAGAACATCCAGATCGGGCCGCTGGGCAAGGTGTACCCGGATTACGAGTACACTGTTGAAGGAGACACGCCGACATTCTTGTATCTGATCCAGAACGGACTGGGTGATCCCGAGCACCCCGAGTATGGATCCTGGGGCGGCCGATACGCCCTAGTGAATCCCAGCACTCACGGGCTGAAGTTCAACCACTATGCAGACATCCAGGATACCGTGGTTGGCAAGAACAACGAGACGTTCACGTCCAACCATGCAACGATCTGGCGCTGGCGCAGCGCCTTCCAAAATGATTTCGCAGCCCGCATGCAGTGGACCCTCACGGCGAATGCTAGCCAGGTGAACCACCACCCCGTGCTATCAGTCAACGGGTCGAGCGGGTTGGCTCCCGTCTCGGTGAACGCGACGGCCGGCTCGACGCTGACCCTCGATGCCAGCGCCAGCTACGACCCCGACGGGGACCGCTTGAAGTTCCGCTGGTTCCAGTACGAAGAGGCCTCGGTGAACGAGGAGGTTCGTGGGGCGGATGTAGCGACAATCGACATCAAGCCATTCGGCAAGGGGGGTCAAAGTGTGAAGGTCCGAATCCCGCCGGCCAACTCGTCTTGTCGGACCACCCCAGAGATTACTTCGGATCATTGCCAAATCCTGCACTTGGTTCTGGAGGTGACGGATTCTGGAAGTCCGGCGCTGACGACCTACCAGCGCGTGTTGCTTCAAGTGGTCAGGTAATTGGGGTGGCTTTGGCTGCTGGTTTGTAAATAGGCGAGTTGTATGTAGAGAGGTTGTCACGCGATTATTCGCGTGCGCCAAGCAACAGGATCGCAAGAATCAGAGTTCATGCTGTACAACCTCAAACTAAGTAACTCACTTTGATGCCTTCCGGACCAGCCATCTCCTCTAGGGGTAGCTGATACCTCGCAGCAGTCCTCAAGGTCGAGGCGAGATCGGGTCCGGCCCCTTGCGTGTTTCTCTCGACCCGACCTCGAAGCAGAAAACCTGAATTGGACGAAAGTTTAGGGTAAGAAGATGCCATGAAAAGAAGACAGCACGTGGCTGATCACGAGGGAGTGTAAGGATCAAGGGTTGGCATGCCATTGCAAGATAAACTAGTACATAATAGTACAAGATGATGATCGCGTCGGGTGCGGTCAAGACTTTGAGATCTCAAACACACCGCTGATTGCTTAATTTTGGGCGCGTTAACATCCGCTAGCCCGGTAGTCTGCATGGTCTAAAAGATAAGCCGTACATACACCGTAGACCCATGATCTGGGGAGAGACTGCAGTGCCACTCTGCACGCGGTAAATCTCCTTACTGGGTGTGCTTAGGAGAGGTTGATATGACTCAGTTGGGCCAATTCCTTGTAAGAAGATCATTGATGACGCCACTCGGTCATCCATACAAGCCTCGGGATGGCGCGAGGACCGCTGAGGCGTTCTTAGCGTCCAAGTTTATTGGATCTTGTGGGATCGCGTGATTCAAAAGTTGGAATACGAGATGCCATTCGTGCCCGACGTTGCGAAGGATTATCCACGAACTGATAGCAGGGATACTGCATCAAGTTATCTCCGAAGGGGCCAATAGTACACTGTGTTTGTATAGATAATGTAGAAGCGTTGTTCCGGTCGGCGAGTGGTTGACAGAAGGCAGATAGGTGACACCGTCTGATTAACGTGAGCTGTCATACTTCGGATGAGAAGTCGAGGGACTGATCATCTGCTTCCTACAGATCAGCAGCAAGGAATCCGATGACCAGGAGGGCTAAGTCAAACATGACGAATCTGCAGACAGAATCGACGTGTAAAAGCTGCACGTGTGCATCACGGATGCATCTCTGGCGTGTAGATCATCCTGGACGGAATATCTAGTCAGTGACTTGAGACTTCGCAGGTACTTGCGCCGTCAGCTTTCGTGCGGGGCTCACAAGGTACCCTGGAAGTACCTCAACTCAACCGTCCCGCCGTCCACCGCCTTCTCGAACCTCCACCTTTTTTCTTCCTTCTGTTCCACTCAAGACATTTAGTTGAGTTTTCGTGCCATCAAGCATATATTACTGGCCTCTCTCCCCTGTCTTTCCCCTTCCCTCTTCCGTTTCTCTCTCTGCTTTTTCTTTCCACTCATCACTATGCCCCCTGGCCAGATGCCGAGTCAGGTCGCCGCGATCTCGGGATAGAACGGTGGCTGAAAGGCTTTGCGCTCTAGATTCGCCTTTTCTTTATGGTTTACCTTTCTGGGTCATTGTTCTGAACGAGATCATTATCAATACACTGGATATTTTGGATGTGGGTGCCCTATGGCCCAGAGCTATCTCCCTGTTAGGTTGAGTCAATAGGACTGTCGCTAACCGCGAATTCTCCGACAGAAACTACCACAGCATCCTAGACTCCCCTGCATCGCATGACTAAATCCGGTACAATGGCTGAATCGCCTGGCAACGAGCGCAAACCGCCAGGTGGCGGATGGAGGAGATGGTTCGGAGCTTTATCCAATCGAGACTCGGGCGACGCCGATGCGGAAAACGAAAACTATAGATCGAAGTCGACGCTGGGTATCTTGAGCGATAAGCAGACTGACGAGGTTCCTGGTACGGCCTTCCACTTGCCGATAGACATGCGACTGGTTGTGGTTGCTAACCGATTTCATCTCATCCACAGGAACGGTCCTTCTGCTATCTTCCAACCGTAACGAGCCGTTAGGTATGAGACATCAGCCCCGACGCGCGTCCGCCTCGTCCTTACCCTCTCCGTACCCGCCGTCTCGATCCTCGTCGGTTCAATCCAGGCTTGCGCACAAGAAGACGGCCGATGGACAGATCGTGTTGAATCCTCAGCCAGACGACTCCGTCAACGACCCGTTGAACTGGCCGATGTGGCGACGGGATGCGGCCTTGGTTTCCTTGGGGTTCTATTCTCTGATGGGTGGCGGTATGACGCCCGTGCTGGCCGCCGGATTCAACGAAGTCGCTGCGAGCTACAACGTGGATACTCAGAAGGTGGCCTTCACCACCGGTCTCTACATGCTGGGACTGGGGGTGGGATCGGTGATCATGTCGCCCACCGCGATCCTCTACGGAAAGCGCCCCATCTATTTACTTGGCGCCACGCTGTTCATCATTTCCGCGGTGTGGTGTGCACTGTCGCCGAACTATCCCAGTCTGGTCGTGGCGCGCGTCTTCCAGGGCATTGCCGTCAGTCCCGTGGAGTGTCTTCCGTCGGCGACCATCGCCGAGATATATTTTCTGCATGAGCGTGCGTACCGCGTCGGCATCTATACGCTGCTTCTTCTGGGCGGCAAAAACCTCGTACCGCTGGTGAGTGCCGCCATTATCGGAAGTATGGGGTGGCGCTGGGTGTTCTGGATCGTGGCGATCATCGTCGGGGGCTGTCTCGTGTGCATCTTCTTCTTCCTGCCGGAGACGTTCTGGGATCGGACGCCGCGGCCGCGACGCTCCGGAAAACACAGTAACTTGTACAACACCATGTCTAATCTTGTTTCGCACGGTCTTCGGGGCCGGTCGACCCACGCGCACCTGCATGACGAGGACACTGCACCCGAGAAAAGCGCCGACACTGTGGTCCCGAAGAAGTCGAAAAAAGGCCGTGTCGGGTTCGCAGAAGACCACGAGGACGACCGTGAGATCGAGGCTGAGAATGAGAAAGACGAATTCCCAGAGAATCACCAACATTCCGCGACCCCCAGCTCGGCCGTTACCGAGCGCCCTACTCCCGAGAACCTGTCCAGCCTGGCGCTGGAAAAACCGGACCACGGACATGACCTGGAAACCGGCAGACAACCTGGCGTCTCTCCGGCGCGCAGCGAATCACTCGACCCCAGCGCACCCGCCAACCCATCCGTGCGCTACACGAACCAACTGCGAGAGAAGCCCCTGATGCCATTCCTCCACTACCTGCGACCCTGGCACGGGCGCATTTCGCATGACAGCTGGATTCGCGTCGCCGTGCGGCCCTTCATCCTCTTCGCGTACCCGGCCGTCCTCTGGTCCGCCGTCGTCTACGCCCTTTCGGTGGGCTGGCTCATCGTCGTCTCAGAAAGTGTGGCACACATGTACCAAGGGCGGGCGAACTACAACTTCACCGCTCTCCAGACGGGACTGGTCTATATCTCGCCGTTCGTGGGCGGTCTGCTGGGCACAATCGTCGCCGGGCGGGTGTCCGACGTGATCGTGAAATTCATGACGCGGCGGAACGGCGGTGTGTACGAGCCGGAATTCCGACTCGTCATGGCAATTCCGATCGCGTTGTCGACAACCATCGGGTTGATGGCGTTCGGATGGAGTGCGGAGGTGAAGGACGCGTGGATCGTGCCGACGATATTCTTCGGGATGATCTCGTTCGGGTGCTGTTTGGGCAGCACGACGGCGATTACGTTCTGCGTGGACAGCTATCGCCAGTATGCGGGGGAGGCGCTGGTGACGTTGAACTGGAGCAAGAGTAAGTCGCCCGTCCTAATAATGATGGGACAAATCGCTAACGACGACGGTAGACGTGTTCCACGGGTTGGTGTTCTCTCTGTTCATCGTCGACTGGCTGGACGCGCAGGGGTCGCGGACAGTCTTCCTTGCTCTGGGCGGCATCCAGCTCGGATGTCTTCTGTTCTCAATCCCCATGTATATATATGGCAAGCGGGCACGGATGTGGACGGTACGAGTAAAGTTGATGGAGCGATTCTGACCGAATGTAAGACGATAGACGTCGGAATATACAATGCTATCTTGGCGAGAACTTGCGAGATGATAAGTGATGAAATGCAACGGCGTATAAAAGAAAGCAATGACCTCGCAGCTAGCACCGTAGACAATCCATACACCTACCTATCTGAATGCCTATGATTAGAAGGACGAGAATTGAAGCCCTAGAGTCAACACACATGAGAATAAATCAGGCCCAAGTCTAGATCGCTTAGTCACCGGCCGAGGACCGTTTCCGATGGAGATGATTGCCACACGATCTTCATGCAAGGGAAATCAGCCCATCCGAGGACCCGCGGACCCCATTGATGATGAAATGGGAGGATGGATGATATGATTGTATCGAGGTCAGGGAGGTAAACCGCCCTACAAGGTACGAAAGAGGGTTATGAATCATAGGAAGACCGGGGAGGGACAGGCTGAAAGATTAAGATGATCTCCCCGAAGAAAAGAAAAGGGGAAAAAAAAAAAAAAAAAAGAAAACAAGAAATCCGAGGCTAGACCGGGTTCTCCCCGACCTGCAGGCGGCAAGGCCCAGGAAGCAGTGTGATTGGTGGCATGGGCGGCCGAATCTGGGAAGGGGCGCAGGACGGGCTGCCGCTCGCTAGTCCGGGAAGGGATTAGCGGGGCTGGCAAAACCGGTCCTGCCTTGAATTTTCGACCCTTTTTGGGAAGCCACGATGCTCCCCTGCACTTTGACGTACTCCGTATGTTATGTACACGGGAGGAAGTTGGTCGGGGAAATCACGGGGGGATCGAGGTGCCTTTAATGGATCTCTGGATAGTGATCACTTTTATAAAATGTGCTGGATCTGGATCTGAGAAAGACACTAATTCGGCATGCAGCGGGTTTAGTTGGTGCAAAGACATCCCGCCAATAATGGCACAGACGGCAGTTCCGGTCCCTGTCACCCTCGAAGTCGCCACACTTAATCTGCGAATCTCATGGCTTTGCGTCGTCATGCGCCCTGATCCCCATCTTTTGCCCGTTCGGGACAAGCCAGACATTCGAGTCATTAATTAATTCGACCCCGTTCTTGTTGGAAGTTGATCAACTAATAATAATTGTCACACATTCCAATAAAAGAGACGCTTCTCCTCCATTCCATGTTTCGGCCTTGCTTTCGATCTACCCTTGACTTCCCCTCCTTTTTCTCGCTTCCGTGCATCGTCTCTTACCTAGACTCCTTCCATCTCTTCCCCCACTCCCTCGTCTACCTCGTCTAGACTCTTCGTGCGCCTTCACATCTCGTGTGTGGCTGACTTTTTTTTGCATCGCTTCCTGGTCTATCCACTTCCGCCACACTTTGTTCCAACATCCCACGGCGCGGGTGAAGAAAATAATGGCGCAGTATTGAGGCAAAACACTTGATCTTTTTTCTATGCCCCATTATTGAATACTCCTCTCATCTCAGTCTTTCTCTCTACTTCCTACTCTCCCCCTCTCTTTTCCTCCTCTCATTTCATCTCGGGGAATCACATCACATTAGGAGGATCATGGAGCCGCCAAAGAGAGACGACGAACACATCGACGGCCGCCGTGCCCGTGAACTCTACCGATTTTTCCACCCCGAGCGTCCACCTTTGAAGAGCGTCAAGAAGTCGTTTTCGAGCGAAGCGTATTCGCCGCCAGTGAGCAACGCAGATGGATCCCTCCCGGCACCCGTGTCGCCGGCATTGCTGCCTCAACCCGCATCCCCGGCCAACTTCGGTCCCGTCTCCTCGTTGCTGCCGGAGGGTTTGACTCTGGGCGACCCCAACACGACGTTGACCTCTTTCGCGCACCTAGCAGCTCTGCGATTGAATGTGGAGCGTGTACTAATTAGGTAGGTTCTCTATCTTCAATCCTCCCCGCCACCGTTGGAGCTGGAACTTACGCAAAGACCCCCAGCGTGTCCGATCGCTCCTCGCAATTCATCATAGCGCAATCAACTCAATTCTTCCGTAAACCCTGCGATTTCGATTCGTTAGGGGATGGTGTGTGGGATGGTTGTTTCACATTGTCCTTGAGTTCCTGGAAAATGTGCAAGGTATGGCCTCCCGTCCCCTCTTCGGAGCCTTTCGCCTCTTAGAATACATGGTCCTAACCCGACAATTTCTACTGGCAGGAAACCATCGATCTTCCGCCCTCGGACAAAGACTCTGGAGAATACAACTTCGTCGTGGTGAACGATCTAAGCGAAGATGAACGATACCGAAATCTCTCCTTCGTCAAGGGGGACCCTCATTTTCGGTTCTATGCGGGAACTCCTCTAACAACGGACACCAAAATCAACATTGGCTCCTTCTTCATTCTCGACAAGAAACCTCGCGACGGACTGAACGACTCGGAGAGAGAAATCATGGGCTCGGTAGGGATGCTGATCATGGACTACCTCCGGGTAAGCCGGCAAGCATCTGAAGGTCGCCGTGCCGCGAGATTATCTCGCGGGCTGAGCTGCTTTGTCGAAGGGAGTTCCAGCTTCGTCGAGACGCCCCAGCCGTCTTACGCAGGTAGCGGCGTTCCCGGCACGCCGTCCTCCTCCAACTTGAGGGCTCACCACCTGTCGGTCGGATCATTGAATAGCTTTGAGCTTCCCTCCCAGCGGTCACAGAGCAATGATGCCCGCTCCTTCAGCTCCGCCTCCGATTACAGAGCCGACCAGTGCGCTTCCTCCGGACCGGATACGCAGTTGCCGGATTGGTGGGCGGGTAGTCGCCACAAGGTACAGGAGGAGTCCCACAGCAACACCTGGGCCTTTCGGCGGGCGGCCAATCTGCTGCGGGAAAGCTTGGAGCTCGAAACTGATGGCGGCGTGATGTTCCTTGAGGCTACCAATAGTCCCGTAACGAGCGATATCGAAACCGGCAGCGACTGCTCGGGATTTGGGGAAGCTAGCAACCCAGCCCCCGTACTGGCAATCTCCACTACCGAGGAGCCTTTTGCTCCGTGTCCGGGTTCGACGGTGCTGTATCCAGCGACTAACCTCGAGGGCGGCTTCTTACAGCAACTGCTTCGGCGGTATGTCAAGGGAAAGCTATGGTCTTTCCATCGCGATGGGCTACTAACCAGTTCGGACGATGAAAAACCGCGCAGGGTGCGCTCGCGTGTGACGAAATCTTCGGATTTGTCCCGGGGAAGTAGCAAAAAATGGCGGGCCTATGAAAACTCGATGTTGAACCTCTACTTCCCCAATGCCACCCAGGTGATGTTTGTGCCTCTGTGGAACGCGGCCAACTCGCAATGGTTTGGCGGTTGTTTCTGCTGGAATACGGTGGAGACGCGCGTTTTTAGTCCGTCAGTCGAGCTCAGCTCGATTCTCGGCTTCGGTTCCTCGGTCATGGCGGAGTGCAACCGAGTGGAATCTCTCATCTCCGATCGCCAGAAGGGCGACTTCATCGGCAGCATCTCGTAAGGTTCCCTAGCTGGCAGGTCCACTAAATGCAGCACTAATGATTTCCAGGCACGAACTGCGAAGCCCTCTTCACGGCATTCTTGCTGCTGCCGAGTTTCTCAGCGCTACGCAGCTCGACGAATTCCAGGGATCACTTTTGGAAACGATCAATGCATGCGGCCGAACTTTGCTGGATACGATGAACCAAGTACTCGATTTCAGCAAAATCGTCTCGTTAGAAAAGTCGTGGCGCCACATGAGACAGGGCCGCATCGCCCCGGACTCCAAGCCCCTGGAGAAAGTATCCGCCCATCTGGATACATACATGGCGACCGATATCGCGCTACTCGCCGAGGAAGTGGTGGAAGGAGTGTGCCTAGGACACTCTTACGGCCAGAAGTCTGCCGCCACGTACGACCAATCTGTGCTGCTCTCAAACGCCGCGACGTTGCAGGCCAATCTCTCCAAGGAAGCCGCCTCCCAGCCTCGCTCGGATGTGGAGGTGATCGTGGACATCGCTCCGAACGACTGGACGTATCTATCTCAGCCGGGGGCTTTGCGGCGTATCATCATGAACTTGTTTGGTAACGCCATGAAATACACCGAGGCCGGTCGCGTTTCGTTGCATCTGGAGGTGACCGAAATGTCGGACAGTCGCTCGCGTCGCCAGGGTGGGGATGATTTGGTGACTTTGACGGTGTCCGACACCGGGAAGGGGATTTCCGAGGAGTTCTTGCGTGGACGCTTGTATACGCCGTTTGCTCAAGAGGATACCTTGGCAGTTGGAACAGGTTTGGGGTTGTCGATTGTGCGAAGTTTGGTTCGGTCCTTGAATGGCAGCATCAATATTCACAGTCAGCCCGGGGAAGGAACTATCGTGAAAGTGTCTCTACCGCTGTCGCGCATTGAGGCGGGAGATCCGTTCGATCCTACCTTGGATACGCGCACCCCTTCTCCCCGCGAGAAGCAAGGAATATGTGAAAGTCTCACCCTACGCGACACCCACGCCGGCCGACGAGCAGCGATTTTCGGTGTCAGCCCCGAGGCTGCCGCACAACACCCTCTCTGGTCCACTATCTCCCGCTATCTCACGGACTGGTATGGCCTCGAGCTGGTTTCCTGGCCGTCTGGCACGCCATCCGACGTTGTCCTTGTCGATGATGCGGCCTTGTCGGCCAACACCTGCCAAACCCTCCACACCCTCCGACACTCGGTCCCCGCACTTCTCGTTCTTTGCAATCAGTCGATCGATCACAAGCAGATACAAGGTCAATACGCATCGCTAGCCAAAGTCGTGAAGATTATACACCGCCCCTGCGGGCCACAGAAGCTCGCTCAAAGCATCCGTCGGTGTCTGGAAGCGCAGTTGGGCTCGTCGACAACGACACCAGAGCAAATTACCCTCCCGAGACGGCCGCACCCACGCACATTCATGCCCCCACACGACACCGAGAAGACCACGTCCGAGGCTAAGTTCTTGAATTTCTCCGACAGCGTCACCGACCTCACCCCGGACTCGGGTAGTTCGGGCGCGTCGTCCTCATTGGGGACCCAGTCACCGGGCCAAGAGATTGAGCAGCCGTTAGCCACCATCGTCTCACCGCCGTCTCCTTTCCAAGGGTCACCGCGCCATCCGGAATTAGTCTCTGAGTCACCTACGTTTGAGGATGAAAAGTCTAAACCCGTGGTGACAGCCGTAGAGCCATCCGAGCCACGGCGGGCGCGAGTCCTCGTGGTCGATGACAATTCCATCAACTTGAAGCTGATGCTCACATTCATGAAAAAGCGGAATTTGGAGACTTTGGACGCGGCAGAGAATGGAAAATTAGCGGTGGAGGCGGTGGAACGACTTGCGGAGGGATATGATTTGATCTTCATGGGTGAGTCTTGGCAATTCCTGATCTTACTTTCTTATTGTAGAAAACACAAGCTAATTTTACTCCAGACATGTCGATGCCTGTCATGGACGGGTTCGAAGCTACGCGAGCCATACGCTCTCTTGAAAAAGAGCGAGATGGCGAATCCGCTATCATTATCGCCTTGACGGGGCTCAGCAGTTCCCGTGACGAATCCGACGCCCTTGCATCAGGGGTGGATCTATTCCTGACCAAACCGGTGTCGTTCAAGGAAGTGTCGAGGTTGTTAGAGGAGTGGGAGGGGGACGGGCTACGGCAACGATGCACGTAGTCCTTCCCTTCTCATCTCGTCTTCCTTAGAGTTTCCCAATCCTTCCCACTATCTATTACTCTTTTATCTCGACAGACTAGACCATTTCACTTGGATGGTCTCTGCTATTGATTTGATGTTTTCCATCTCTCCTACTCGGTCTTTGCTGGTCTCTTTTCGTCAACAGGTTGCTGCGCACTTGGTTACGATAAGTTGATATCCCGTTTGGTTTAGATTGGTCTGATTTGCTCTTTCTTTTCTTTTCTTTTCCCTTTTCCCAAGTCTCATTTACATTGACATGACCTAAAATTTACGACATGGTTTTCGCCTGGCTTACAGCACTGGGTTGGGTATGGCAGGCAACCCAAGGAGCAAGGTGTTTTGGCGTTTCGGGACATATAAACCGTTTTGGGATTTCATCTGCCATGCTAGTCATGGCATGGCATACATAGTGAGGGTTGCTCCGCACACGGACTACATGAGTGATACCCTTTGGCGTTGCATTACATTACATTACATATCTTATTTGATATTATCCATCATGAAGAAATAATTGACCTTACATCTTATGTTTACTCTTCTTAAAGTATGAGAGGAACATGAAAGGAGTCTGCAATTAAGTCATCTATCTAAATATCATGAGTAGGTAAGTAAGTAGTTAGTAGACGTCTAACCACGAACTAGAACAGCGAAATAGTGAGATGAAATAAAAGGACTAGTAGTGCATGACAGAAACACTGACCATCAAGCCGTGAATTATATTACCTAAATCTTGCTATATAGTAACTAAGTACTCTATATAGATATCACCGACCTCATCATATAGGTAGCTAGGCAAGCAGATAGATAGACGATATGTACCGTTCCTCCATATCTATATCCATATCCATCCACCTCAACCTTGCTTAATACCTCTCAACCAACCACCTCCTCTGCTCCTCCTCCCCGCCTAGACTCTCCAGCTTCTGTGCTTCCAACCTCTTCACGACGAGATAGTTGGCGACGAGTTCCTTGCCGAGGATATCCTGCATTTCGGTGTCGGTTCCTAACGCGACGAGACTCTCTGAGAGGGATTTGGGGAGTTGCGTTGTGATGCCCAGGTCGGTGCGTGCGCTGGGGTTGAGGGTTGCGGGGTCGTCTGGTTTGGGGTTCTGTTAGTTTGGTTTTGGAGCGAGGAGGAGAAGGAGGAGAGTATCCGCAAGATTTTTTCTCCTTGAGATGGGGAAGAGGTAACAAGTAGAGGAACACGGAAAACGGAAAACGAAAGGAAAGAAAGAAAGAAAGAAAAGAGACTTACACAAACAATCCTTCATCCCCAACACCTCACCACCCCTAAGACCCGCCAACCCAGCCCCCAACAGCGCCGCCACCGCAAGATACATATTGGCGAGCCCATCAAGACTCTTAACCTCCCAATGCCCCGGAGAGATCTTCCGGATAGGCGTTTCCCGATTCTGCGATCCCCACGCGACCCACTCGCTGCCGGCCCACAGACCAGACTGGACGCGGTTATAGCTGGCAGCCTGCGAGAGCGTGAACGCCACCACCGCGGGGTAATGTTTGAGTATACCCGCGAGGAACGAGTCTTCCTGCGTGGCGGGGGAGATAGAGATGTGTGCGTGTGCGGCGGTGCCCGCGGCGTCTGGGATCGGGCGCGGGTGGAGCGTGGCGCGGAGGCCGTGCTGCTCGGCGATGTGTGTGATGATCTGGCGGGCTTGCAGGAGGGTGTCGACAGCAAGGAGCGGCGGGCCTGGCGGGAGGATGAATTCGAATTGTCCCGGGGCGGACTCAGCGTGGAATTGCTCCAGGTGGATGTCTACGGAGTCGAGGGTTTCGACGATCTCTTCGAGGATGGGGAGCAGGGAGCGGGTGTCGGGGGTCATTTGGGACCAGGAGTGGTTGGAGACGCTGGGGGTAAAGGAGCCGGAGCTGGAGCCGGTGGGTCTGAGGAAGATGACTTCGATTTCGAAGCCGCAGGTGACGGTGACGTTGTGGGATTGCTGCAGTGTGGTGGTGATGTCGTGAAGGAGAGAGCGAGGACAGCCCGGGATGTGTTCGTCGTGGTTGGTCTCGGATTGCCAGAAGGTCATGACGGAGGCGGAGGGAGAGGAGAGTCCCGCGTTGCGTCGCAGAGTGTTTAGGTCTGGCTGCATGTAGAATTGCCCTGTCACAGAGCCTTCGGGCGCCACGCAGTCGGTCTGGATCATCAATTGCGTGGCCAGGCAGATGCCGATGCGGCGCTGGCGGGCGACGATCTTGCGGAACTCGCGCACGGGGAACATGCGCACGCGCGTGGTGGCCGTGTAGTCGAGGAATTGCATCCAGATGTATTTGATATCGGGGTTGTCGCGCAGGAAGAGGTCCAGCTGCGCGGTGGAAGAGGATGAGGGTCGGACGGGAAGAGAGAGGCTATCCGACGACAGGGTCTCGTTCAAGGCATAGGCCCGGTTCGAGTTATGGAACAGAATATCAGCCGCGGCCGAGCGCGCCTGCTGGAGTGAGAAATCGCCATGCTGCACGTAGTCCACCAGCACCGTCTCCAGCGCATCACGGAACTGCACGTTGGCCAGCCAGAAGGTCTCGGGGAAGAAGTGCCCGTCGGTACTCCACAGCAGGCGATTCGTCGGCACGATCTCCAGCGCCTGTCGCACGATCGCCTCCTGGGCGTCGCGGCTCACCATCGGGAACACTTCGCCTAGATCCAGATACACGTTGTCGTAGACGCAGGCCAGATAGCCCGCCTCGCGCGTGTACGGATACGCCGAATGCAACAGCACGAAGTCGGCGCCGGGGAACCGCGCCACCAGCGGCTGCAGGTACGCCGGGTTGGACAGCACCAGGTCTATATCGTTGTCGCCTAGTCCCGTATGCAGCTGCAGGGGTTTGCGGACGCCCGCGGCCTGCACGAGCGTCAGCAGCAGGCGCACCAGCCAGTCGTTTAGCGGCTTATCCTCGACGCGCGGGGACCCCTCGCGACGAAGACAGCGCGACAACGCCGATACAACGACAGTATCGTCGGGATCATCGTGAGCCTGCACGTTCAGGCCCGTCCGGTAACACACGACGGACTTGAAGCCCACGACAGCGTCGTCAGCAATGGCCTCAGAGATCTGGCGCTCGACATCGTGTCGGAATTTCAGCCACGCATCACGCATGACCGCCTCGTCGTCGAAGTCCGTCACGCCATCCCGCAGCGTGCCGAGCGTCTGCGCCGCCAGTGCTTCGATACGCACGATGCGACGGGTGCGCGCGGCAGCGAACCGGTCATGCCACCCGTAGGGCTCGATATCTTGGTCAGTGAGCAGATCATCGAGCAGCAAGGTGTGTGTGCCCTGCAGACACCGCCGCACAAGCCCGTCGTAATCGCGGCGGACATACTCATCGCGGGCCTGTTTCACGGCGTCCCAGTCAGCCGAGGCACAGCCGTACAGGTGCTGCAACTGGGCGGCAGCGCGCCATAAAGGCAAACTAGTGGGGGCGTTTTGTAGAGCCGTGCCCTGGGCCTCGGAGGTGATCTGTTCGAAGGGGTATTTGGCGTAATTACAGGCGGCGGATTGCGTCAACAGATTATGGGCGTGGTTGTCAATGAGGGGGTGTGACTGGATGAGGTGGCGGAGAGACGAGAGATCCATGATGAGGAGAGTTGGAGAGCGAGATAAGATGGGTAAGGTAGGGAGAGGAAGAGGAGGGGAGAGAGAGGCGAGGATGAGAGGATGGAAAATTCTCACATCGAGCAGCGCAGCCAAAGGCAGACGGCCAACACGTCGCAAATGTTGGACAGCCCGAATAGGCAGCTCGTTACCAGATCGGCTGCAGCATTCAAGTAAAGGAAGCGTCCACGAGATGCTGCAGCAAGGAGCAATTGCCCCATTGATGCCGGCTAGGCCGGAAGAGGTAACTTCCACGAGCTGATTCAGCGGCTGACTCATTCCCGATCGGATCGATTGGTCTTGAAAGGGTTTAGCGGATGTGCGGGCCCACCCGCCCTAACTATATTTAGATGAGCCTTGCCGGATTCCGATTGTACACCCTAACGGAGCATATTATCCCATAGCTATCCTATCCTATATCTTATATCCTATACCTCCGGACTCACAGTCAACGTCCCAGTCTTCGTCACCAAATACTCCTCCACCGCTACCCCCCGTCCGCTCTCCTTGCCATACCCCGACTCCTTCATCCCGCCAAACGGCGACTCCGCCGCCGACGAGTTACCGGTGTTCATCCCGATCATGCCCGCCTCCAAACTCTCCAGCAGCCGCCACATACGGTCGACGTTCTTCGTGAACGCATAGCTTGCCAGTCCCATGCTGGTGTCGTTGGCCAGCTGCACCGCCTCCGCCTCCGTCTCGAACCGATACAGCGCCGCCACCGGCGCAAACGTTTCCTCGCGCGACACCAGCATCTCGCGCGTCATGCCCGTCAGTATGGTCGGCGCGAAGAAGTACCCGCGGGAGCCTTCCACGCGATTTCCGCCCAGGATGACATCCGCGCCCAGCCGGCGCGCATCCTCCACCTGATCCAGCGCCTTATCGACACCCCGCGGCGTCGTCAACGGCCCCATCGTGGTCCCTTCCGTCGCGCCATGCCCCACCACCAACTTCTGCGTGCGCTCCTTCAGCAACTGCGCAAACTTATCATACACGCCCGCCTGCACATACACGCGATTCGCCGTGATACACGCCTGGCCAGCATGGCGCCACTTCAGCGCCATCAACTGCTCCAACGCCTGGTCGAGATCGGCATCATCAAACACCAAGAACGGACAATTCCCACCCAACTCCAACGTCACCTTCTTCAAGCCATCCGCGCAATGCCTCGCAATCAACTTCCCGACCCTCGTCGACCCCGTAAACGTCACTTTCTTGACCAGTTCATGCCGACAAAGCGCCTCGCTCAGCGCCGGCGTGTTCTCCAAATCCGTCGTCAGCACGTTCAGCACCCCAGCCGGGAACCCGGCCCTTCTTGCCAACTCCGCCAACACCAGCGTCGACACGGGCGTCTCGGGACTCGGCTTCACGATCATCGTACACCCCGCCGCCAGCGCCGCCCCAGCCTTGCGCAAGACCATCGCGATCGGAAAGTTCCAGGGCACTAACGCAGCCGCAACACCTAGGGGCTGTTTCACCGTGAAAACACGCCGACCCGGCACAGACGACATACTAACGCTACCGTGCACGCGCTCAGCCTCGCCCGCAAACCACCACGTGAAGCTAGTCGCGTAGTCGATTTCGCCGTGGGCTTCGGCGAGCGGTTTTCCGGTCTCGTGCGTGATGATCTGCGCGAGGTCGGGCTTTGCGGCGCGGATGAGGGAGTCCCATTCTAGGAGCCATTTTGCGCGTTGGCGCGGCGTCGTGTGCCGGTAGCTTTGGAATGCGGTGTGTGCGGCGTGCACGGCGGCGTCGACGTCGGAGGCTGTGTTGTTGGGACAACTGGCCCATGGGGTGTCGGTTCCTGGGTCTGGCTTTGTTGTTAGTTTGTTGTACTGTAGTATGCTTTGTCGAGTGGGAGGGGTCTCGTATGGATGGGTTGAAGAGGGAGGGGGTTCTACCTAGCACTTCGAACCGTTGACCGGACTGGGCCTGCACCCAGTTGTTATTGACGAAGGAGTCGAAATGCAGGAGGTCGGGGTTTTCAAGCTGGAAATCAATTATAGATAGTTAGTGTCGATTTAGTACCCGGTAGAGGGGTGAGTATAGTATAGTATACTTTGAAGGGAAGCTGATATTGAGCCATGGTGAAGTCGTTTGCTTGCAATGATAGCAATACTACAGGTCAAAGAAACAAGATGAATACAAATACTAGTTAACAAGGCCAGATAAAAGAGAGTAATAAGAGAAGAGAAAAGATCCGAAGGCGAAGAGATAAATCGAGCGACGTTGATCAACCCCGCATTTCCCCTCGGCTGTCGGTTGCACGCCGCATCATCGTGCATGGCTTGTCCTACACTGCTTACCTCTTTGGGGTTCGGTGTTCACTGCGAAGTCGATTCACTCGCTATAATGATATCGTAGACTCTCATCTCCTCAACATCCTCGTCCGCCATCCTCTTTGTTGACCGTCCCTCCTTTCCCTCCCCTCGTCTTCTGCCTCTTCAAATTGCCTCCGATCACTGACCAGATCCATCTCCATCCCTTTAACCGTTCGCGTCCGACGAATGATCTTCCATGTGATGATATTCCCCAGGTAGACTTACAATCCCCAAATAGCACGTCAGAAAAGACGACAGCGTGAATTCGGGTATGAACGCGTTTTAACCTAGAACCCCTGGATTAGCAACTATACACCAAACCAATCCACCTACACATATCCAACCAGTCAACCAGAACATGCCATTAAATAATGTAGTCAAGATAGTCATAACAAGAGCGAACCACGCTCCATAATGCTGCAACCAATTGCGATACGGCATCTGTTAGATATCGATCCCCTGCACAGTGGTAAAAGCACAGATACAAAACAAGGATGTTGACCCAGTTAAACGTCCCCAGCACCGTGACCAGATTGATGAGGAATCCGAAGACCGTGGAAGCGTCTCCGTCACGTTCATGTACGCTGGGAGACAGAAGAGAGAGGTCACTGCGACGCCGTAGATCGGGACGCCGCATTTCGTGGTGCTCATGAACATTCGAGTGGCTTGGCCATCCCGCGCGATGGAGAAGAGGGTGCGTGCGCCTACGTAGATGTCTTGGAATGAGAGATATCAGCTATGGTTGGTTCTTTGATAATAATTAGAGGAAGGTGAGGAGGTACCGGTATTCGCAGCGCTGAGCATGGTTTTCGCAGGAAACCTCCCGGAGAAGTGCATCTCGCTCCGAGGCCGAGCTCGTTTTTAGCTTCTGAACAAATGCCTCGTAACCAAGCTAATCGAGTCTCCAAGGCTTTCCAGATACCGGTGAGGTACTGGCGGTCGGTGCGTGTCATTATCGCGTTATTCACATTGATGACCAGAATGCGAGCAATTTCCACATGGCTGCCTCCGATTACATTTGATCTGGATTGTTAATCGAGGGCAATAGTCAGCCTTGCCTCACCTGATCTAGGCATCATTCAACCGATCTTAAATGCATCAATTGTCTTTTGCTGTAACAACTGTTCTCCCTACCATAATGATTTCTAAAAAGATACTAGATACTTGAGAAAGCTCTCAGGACCTCTACACTCAACTAGTTGTATCAACCATAACCTAGTAATAAACCCAGCTATACGTTTATTATTGCCAGGACTGAGAGGTGCAGATGACTTGTTTCCGGCTTCACCACTTCGCAGGTACATTGGTAAGACCTGTACTTCAAAGTTCTGCAAGATCCGTCGTTAGATGTGGTATGGGGATTTGCAATCCAAATATCTCACAGTTACAGGCACTCATTCAACTAGGCAGAGCCCAATTTATTCCAGAGCATCCCTCTTAAAACCTCGAAACTTAAGGATATAAATTTTCGAATCTTACATTCTTCAAATCAAGTTGTGACAGTTGGATGTAACACTGAGCAAGTAGCGAGGATATCTGTTAGGGGCCAGATAAGTTGCTCAAATATTAGGGTCAGATCTCCCATTTTTCTCTAGAAACATTTCAGCCATCCTGCGTAAGTCCTCATATTATCCTCGATGTATTATGCCCCCCGATGGTAAGTCAAGTCGCTTGAGACTGCCACTCTAAGTAAGCCGCTGAAGAGATGAGGCAAAGGGGCAAATAGGGGGGAGAAAAGAAAAGCAAAAACCCCACTCACATTGCATGACCAACCAACATTCTATCATTTGATGAATTAATCCCATAGGGCTTCGTAGTACGAGTTGCGTTGGCAAGCTCCATATCGAAGCCAATCATGCACTCTGAACCAACCACGAAATATTGGTTTAGACCAAGGTCCAATCTCATACCCCTTATATGACGAAGCCTAAACACCTCGTTTAGGCTCATAAGGACCACGCTGGTACTGAAAAGCCGAGAACGACGATCCTGAATATCTGCCATATTGCCGTACTCACCCCGCCTGAACTCGTCGGGCTGCTTCGGGGAACCGATTCCCACATCCAAGAAGTATTTATCAGACAGTTCATCAGGCATCTCAATGTCAGTCGAAATAACCAAATAGAGAATGACTTGATATGTTGCAGGCGGTATATTCGTCAGGAGAAAGCGATATGTTCGTCTATCAAGGGGTAGAGAGATAGGGAACTTGTCAGTCTGGTTAAATGGCGGAATAAAGCTGGCTGTAGTGAGAGATAGAGTTCTAGAGGAAACTCTATGTTCTTGTGTATGTTGTCGAGCACTGAGCTCGAACTTAGCTTTCATGTAACACCCATTATGGAACTCGACATCACTGCATTGGTCACAAGCCATCATCCATGAGTTGGTAATTGGCTCTTTGCAATATTCGCAGTTGAAATAGTTGGCAACCTCCACCATCGCATAAGCCCCTAAGAAGCAACTTGGAACGGATTCAGAAGGCAGATCTGTGCGACGTGATTCGGTGGGCAATCCGCAAGAATCAACCGGCTCATTTGAGGTGGCTGGAAATCTTTGTTGAGGAAATACTGTATTCATGAATGGCCTTGGCCGAACGTCTAGCTTTGGTCCTGCTCTGGTAACAGCGCTACTTAGGGAGGAAGGCGCCGTAGATTGGTTTTCTCGATCAGTGCACTCAAAGCCCGAGTGTGCTGGCGATGAGCGCAAATTGCCACTCTCTGCATATTGTCCTTGCACAAAGCTCCGGGAGCTGTTTGAACAACCCTCTTCGGGGGATCTCATATCCCTCTCCCTATATACCATCGGACGAGTGGCTAGGGAAGAGACTGGGTCGGCTCGGGTGCTATGTATTCCATTGTGCACCTCCGTGGCATTTCTTAGGTCGTTTTTGATCCATTGAGATACCCAAGGGTAGCAGCTTCCTTGACCTCGCTTCAGCTTCACCATAGTTGAATGATCACCCGCAACACTTTGCACGTGCACTTCCTTTTTGTGGCTCAGTACCGCAGATGAATAGGAGACCATGTGAACCTCGTCGCCCTCACGCACCCACTGCCCTGCACTGTTCTATTTTCATTGTTAGAACTGCCTATATTTAATGCTTGATAATAGCATACCTTTATGACTGTCTTCGTTTTTTGGGTTTCGTAAAGAGAATGGACGACGAAGGAAGCTTCTTCCAGTACCTCCGTGAAGCGCCTAGTCAAGCGGATTATGGTAGGGGAGTCTCTATTCAACTCATTGACTAAGACCTGAGGAGGGCTTCCATGTACCATGCTAGGGAGCGTACCATTGGTGTCTAGCCCTCGATGTGGCACGCCAAAAAAGATCAGTGAGCGTATGGGTAGGCGATGGCGAACATCCTCCATTATGTTGCTGATTGCCTGTAATTATGAATACACATCCATTTTGCAGGCTAGTCTCAACATACCTCCTTGATAATCAATCCTCCTAGACTATGTCCCTAGGGAACGTCAATACCCGAAATACCAGGCCCCGAGATACTTACGATGAGCACGAGAGGTCGATTCTGACACTGCGATAGGTTAGGTGATATTGCGATGTTGCGGTAGGATACGACTTACCTCGGGATTGTCCCTCATAGTCAAGAGATCATTCATGAATGTATCGGCGTGATGCGTCAGAATGCTTGTAGACTGGTTGTTTCCTTGAACTTGGGATCTGTAGCCGTAGACCAGAACTCGTGCGTTTGGTATACTGGATGGAAGAAAGTCACGCAACCACATACGGTCGGGCCTTTCAGCCCAAGAACCATACGCGTGGCCTGCGAGACCAGTCACGGCAATGATACTTTGTGAAACGAGGTCAGCACTGTGTGTAAGGACTTGGCTTCATCTGAAATCGAGAACCTACTCGCCTATGACATCTTTCTTCGGATTGTTCAAAGGTGTAAAGCCACTAAATTCTTTATCCAGTTCCAGGTCTGCCTCGCAGCTACTGTCCAAGACAGGCTCTTCCGAGGAAACAGGGCGGAAGAGCACAGTGGCTGTCAAAGTGTCGGTTCCATCTGTGTTCTCCGGCCAGTAGTTCATCACGTCGGGTGCTAAGCTCTTCACCACGATGTTGGCTCGCTGGGAGTAAATAAAGGCATTTTTTAAGTGTGCCTCATTCCAGTCTAGAGGTATCCCCTGTACTCGATATGTCCACGGTCGGGGACGCGGGGGCCCGGCTGGCATACTGGATGAGAGGATAGCCATACTGGAAGGAAGCAATAGTTGAGTGATAGGATGAAGTACAAGTTGGTCACAACAAGATAAACGCAGATCTGGGAATGGTCTGCGGGTGACGCTCGGGAGGAAGATGTCTCCGATGCGTGCAAGTCCAAAGAAGGCACGAATAATGCGACGGTCGGGTGTCTTAATGACTGGACGAATGCCCAAATCTTACGTGTTCGCTTCGGTCATTTGTTAATTTGATACGTCGCCCTGAGGAAGGGACATGCTGTGTACTCCCTGTCCGGTCACTCCACTGATCGGCAAGCTGGACAGCCACTACGAATCGACCTGTACAGTGCTTCGCTTCGCTCCAATTAAAATTCTCATGGAATACGTGGTCATGCTTCTCATTCAGCCGGAGGTCTCGCCAGCGCTCCGCCTGACTGCAGTACCCCCTCTGGCCTGCACATTGCAAAGATTCCGAATGCTAAGATAGTTGAATATCGCCAATTATGCAGTATCCAAAATTAGGTACTGGGTACTCAGGCTCGATCTCCATTCTATTATGTATCTATGTTTCTCACAGTATAAAAGATAAGCCCTAACCAAATGCCAATTTGCGGAGATACGCAATATACAGGCCAGAGGGGGTATTCATCACTGTCCGGGCTATTCACCCCGGTGCTTTCTACTTGTTCACAGCGGGCCGCTGCAAGCTCATCACAGATCTACGGAGTGCGGAGTACCTTGACATGTAATTCTCCCCTTGTCATCTTTTTGTGGCTCACTTATGATCTTAAACAATGCTTCAATTCCCGTCATTGAGTCCTTCCTCCAAGGGTGTATCCATGGATTGCCAACTTCAAGTGAGTTGTGTCAAGCTTTATATAAATTTTGCCTAATCCTAACTCTGATGATAGCCCCCGCCCTTTTCCAGAGCTACATCGTCGGAATTGGCAGGCCCGAAGGAGGCTTGGAATCCCATCACGCCAGCTACATTTCACGGAAAAGCCATCGCATAGTTCGAGTATCCGATCGAGATGTGAAGGCGTTCGTGATGGCTGACCTAGACGTTTCTCGCCTGAATGCGATGCACTCGCATCTGTGGTATGCGGGTCGAGCACGATGCTGTCGAGCGCTTCATCGGCAGCGAATGATTGACCGACAAATCGTCATTACCGAACAGGCCGATCTACACATGGTCTGGTATGAGTCGCGCATTCTCGTGAAACCTCTGCCTGAATATCTCTTGGATCATCAGTTCTGGGACATGCATATTCGAGATGTTCATCTCCATGCCTCCGCCTGTGGCTTTCTTCTCTCTTATACATGGCTCATAAGCCACCCAAGTGACCTGAATATTGCACATGAGCTAAACTTGATCCCGGCCGAGGTCTCATGGCAGGCGTGGACCGCATTTGTCGACGACCTCCTCTCCAGCGTTGACTTTGAGCACTATACCAATGTCAACAAGCGTTATCGATATGGCGAGCTCCGACTCCATCGTCTAAGTACCATCTACCGGCTCACCCACCTATCATTTCACGGCTTGCTCCGCGGCTACTTATATTTGCATGACCAATATTCCGTCTTCTTCGGGCGGAAACTCGCTTGGTCGTTGGTGGCCTTCTTATATGTGAGTACGTTGCTCGCTGCTCTACAGCTCTGTCTGGCCACCGACCGTTTTCAGCATAACCAGGACATGCAAAACGCCTCTGTGGTTTTCGGTGTTTTCTCAATTTTCTTACCGGCCGTGGTGGCGGGGTTAGCTTTTGGTTTCTTTGTTGTGATCTACATTATGAATTTCATGCGGGCGCTTGGCTTTGGGAGGGGTTGGAGGGATGGGATGTATAATGACGAATCACAGAGATAATCTTTATAATTAGTTAATCATAATTCACTACCTTCTTGTTCATAGCTTTACTCCGAAGACCGCTATCATAGATAACGCACTGATCCATGGCTGGGTAGTGGTGCATGCATGACAATCAGGCTCCCTATGACTCGTCACTTTTGCCCCGGTCGGTCTTTCTTCCCGAACCTGGGGTTGGCTCCACGTCACGCGTGAAGTTAAATAGAACGATGAAAGGGGAGGTTACACTGCACCAGGGAATCCCGTTACACGGATTTCTAATGAGCCGGGAAGACACTACTGGATTTAGTTACTAGAATGAGAGCACGGCGAACCGGGGTTGGACAGCCACCCTACCTACATGTTGATGCTATGGTACAGAACAAGATATAAGAAGAGCACTTGCCAGTGTCTGATCGTGCTTGCATCTCAGAACATCTTCAATCACGCTCTTCTCGAAGAATAGCTCCCAGCTGTATCAAGTATTTCAATCCAAGGTGATAACTCTTCTACCATCCTGTCCAAATTCGCACTAATGCCATCCAAGATTAAGAAGTAATCAGTTCCAAAACAACCATGTCAGCCCCTGCCACAACCTCGCAGTCCAGCGTGCGCCCCTTCGTCCTCAGCAAACAGCAAATCGACGCGCTCCCCTTCGAGAACTTCGCAGGAGACAGAAAAAAGGCCACGGGCGGCTGGCGAAACATCTTCTCGAGCCCCCAATCTCCCACGGACAGTCTCACGCTAGGCATTGCCACGTTCCCGCCACGCACCGCGGACGAAGAGTCCTTTGAAGCCCTGCACAGACACGCGCAGGCCGAGTTCTATTACATTCTCTCTGGGCACGCAGTCGTGAAGATCGAGGGCGTGGACCATGAGGTGACAAATGGACATGCATTGTTTATCCCCGGCGATGCGGAGCATGGGTTTTGGAATACGAGTAGCGAGGAGGAGTTGGTGTTTCTTTGGGGCTTTGGTATTGATGGTTTTGGGGAGGTTGTGTACCGGTTTTCTCACGAGTGAGATTGTGATATTTGGTCCTACGACCGACGACAATTTAGCCTATAGCTAGCTAGCTAAGTCTGATTAGTTGTCAATACCAGAGATATATACCCTCCTATTGATAGGGAGGCAACCTGTGCGTGTACTCAGGTAGCGCTGTATGCATTACACCAGGCTATCACTTGTCAATTTCTGCTTCGGAACCGAGGGATTACTGTATGTTATTGGATGGAGAGTCCTCAATCTTAGCCTGCTGTGGTTTCCCTTCGAGCAATATATCCCCTTACGGAACTATGACGGTCCACGGCTCGATCCGCGGCCACGACTCCCGGTTCCATCATAATTGACATTACTCTATCTAGTATCCATGGATAACTTGCCATAGTTCACAATGAACCATCATTGCATTCATATCACTGACTAGTGTTCTCTGCCTTCTTCTCTCCTTCTGTTGTTCTCTTGTCGTTCTTCAAGGCCTAGCTATCAGTGTTGTAGTATGCATCGTGGCTACCGTAGTTTACCCCCTCCCCTAAGAAGAAATCCTTTTTATCTATCTTGAAGTCAAGCCCAAAAGACGTCTGTATTATGTTATTTCGTGGGACCGTGAGGCGGTACAAAGGAGGAAATTACCAAACTTGATTTCCGTAAGTAGAAATATATATTCCGGCGCTCAGTATGTCGATCAACAATCATGATAAATTGACCTATGCATGTGCATTTCTCATTTTGACATCTAAGAAAAGCCAAACCAATTGTTCCTTTCTCGATAGAAAAAGGGAAGAAGAGCATCAATAATATATAAAGATAGGCCAGTCAACGTCTCCGTCGACAGCCACCAAATCAACATTAAAGGAACCGTTACCATTTACCCAAGCGAAAAAAGAGAAACCAAAAAAAAGAACACCAAAAAAGATGGACTCTAAGGGAATCGAACCCCTGACCTCCCGCATGCAAAGCGGGCGCACTACCAACTGTGCTAAAAGCCCAGATGATGACTGAGCATGGAAATTAGTACTAAGAGCGGACAATGCGTGGGTAAAAGGTGCCACGTGATGCTGAGCAACAAAACAAACAAACACAAGATTGAACTTGGTAACTAGACAAGACGGGACCCGTAGACTCCTCCGAGCGCATCGCATCGCATCGCATCGCAGCGCGTCTCTTCCATTCTACCCCCCACCTCAATTCAACAACCACTAAAGACAATGGATCCAACCGACGACCCCCAACGACTCGAAGAGTCGCTAGATACCGACATCGCGTCCATCCGCGCAGAGAGTGCGTCCCCCATATCCCCATCCCCCATATCCCCATCCCCCATTTCCTCCCTCGCCCAATCCCCAAACCCAACCTAACCAAACTCCAGTCCGAACCCTCGAACGCCGCAAACGCTTCCTAGCCAGCAGCATCCTCTCGTCCTCTCGAATCCAAACCCACCTAAAAGCCCTCCCGCCATCAACCCTTACGACGCTCACGGAAAAAATAACCCCCCTGGTCCACGCCGCCGAGAAACACACTGAAGTGAACCACCACCGCATCGCCTTCTCGGCCACCACGTTCCCATTTAAAGACCCCTCGCCGAATACCGACGATCCGAATCTCCTGGGCGTGAGGATCGATCTGTGTAAACGGGATGGACGATTCGCGAAGCCGTATTATTTGTTGCTGAAGCGGGTGGCTGGGAGTGCGACTGCGACTGCGGGCAAGGAGAGGAAGGAGATGGGTGCGGGACGGTTGAAGGTGCATAGACATACGATTCCGGCGTTTATTCCGATGGAGGGGTTAGAGAAGGTTTATTTGCCGGCGACAGCGAACAACGGACAAGAGGATGGACAACAAGAAGAAGAAGAAGAAGAAGAGGCGACGCTGAAGCCATGGAAGAAGAAGAAGTCAAGAAAACAAGATCTGCAAGGCCTAGTACGGGAATTGCGGCGTCAGCTGGTGGCGTGGCAGCTACGGACGGATGCGATCGGTCTGCTACGGGAGAAGTTGGGGGTTGTGCGGCGCGGGGTGGATGACTATCAAGACGACGATGGGGTGTGGGAGCGGAGTTTTCTGGATCAAAAGGAGACGAAGCTGGCGGCGAACGAGTGGGGGATTGTGTCGCTGGGACCGACGGCGCTGGAGGCTGTGTATGTGCGCGTGGAATGGACCAACGGACAGGTGGGACGGTTCAAGATCTCGAATTCGGGTATCGTGGAGCGGGCGGTGGTGATTGGGGATGATGGGAGAGATAAAGCGTTGGAGGTGGCATTGACGGGTGGTAATGGGAGAGTGGAAACTGTTCTTGACCGGTTGAAGAAACATGCAGAGACCAAGGAGTGAGTGTTTGAGATAATTGTTGGAGTTTACTGGGCTGGCTTATTATGATGCGATGATACCCACATAGCCTACTATCAATTCTACTTGTATTGTTTTCAAATAATCTAATTGCATTGAGCTGTAATCTATATAAACCCCAGTGTCCAGAGCAAAGAATAATAAGTAATATGCACATGAATTCAAACCAGAAGTCCGCCGAAATGTATATATAATGCCCGCTCCAAAGGCACAGCAGAAAATGGAACGAAAGATAATTACAAAATATAGTATGTCTGCCAACCTTGGCTTTGGGCGAGAAAGAAAGAGATATTATGCCAGGAAGGAAAGAGTGTAGACGATGTAAGTAATATGCAGGATCAAATAGGTCGGGCAAATGCAACGATGTATGAATGCTTGAGAAACCGCAGAAAGAAGAGAAACGGAAAACGGGGGTATCACTTAGGAGAGACATCAAATCATTATTTCAAAGCACCGATCCCTCTCTCTTCTGGTGCGTTTGTTCCTCATCGCCGCTGCTCGACTCGGTGGTGTCGGTGACGCAAATGGCCGAGTCCCGCGTGTCGTAGTGCGAGTCGCTGAAGGACAGCGGAGGGAGCGGACCGTAGGGCTGCTTGTGTTGCACTTCGAGCTTCTTTCTCAAAATGGCTTCCTCGAGGTTCCACCGATGCTGTAATCGTGTTTTCCTGGCGTCAAAGGCCTGCATCACGGCCATTTCCTCCTGTTGGTGCCGGCTCTGGAGCCGGGCAAATCCCAGAGCATGTTTGTCGATGAGATCGTCTAGTTCCCGTTCCATGCGAGCGATCGCTTCCCGGAGTCGGATCTCCTGTCGGTCCCGGAGAACTTTAATCTTCGATTCGTGGAGTTGGTCCATGGAGTCTCGGTCCCGGTATTCCTGGGCCAGCTGGGCTTTGTGCTGCGCCGTGAACTGGCGGGTGGGTGGTGAGGGCATGTCGGGTGCAGACGAAGGTCCTGCTTGAGGTGACGAAGGAGGGCTGGCGTTGTTGAAGAATCCTTCCATGTATTTTATTCGCGTGCGTGAATTGACTTTGGCGCGTTCAAACTCCCGCATCTGGTCCATCTCGACGGTGAGTTGTCTTTCTTCCATTCGAATGGCGGCGGCGGAATTCTATGACAGTAAGCAATCTGGACAAAAAGCGACACGAACGAAGCGAAGGCTCACTTTTTCACGTTTTTCCTCTTCCAGCTTCTTATTCGCTGACAGCGAGTCGGCGACGGTCGTCTGCTGTTTCTGGCGCAGCTGACGCATAAACATGTCCTGAAAAGCGAGGTGCCGATTCATCTCCATCTGGTGGGCATCGCGCATCTGTTGCAACTCTTCACTGTCGAGACTCCTCTGCAGTGACTCGTTGTCGAACACCGGAATCTCCAGCTTCAGCACTTTGTTCTCGTCCTCGGCCCGCGGCGTGTCGGGTTTGGCCTCCACGTAGATTCGATTCTTCCTGTCGTTCTCCGCGACCGTGACCTGCGCCGGGGGCGGAAGAAGCACAGCCGAAGGCGACCGCCTCTTTCGAAACTGGATTTTATCGATGGCGGACCGGATGCTCGATTTCCTGCGCTCCCTCTTCTCGCCAGATCCGACGCTAAGAAAGGAGTGTCGTTGGCCCGCTGTCCGGCCGGCGAGGCTCTCCAACCCATGCGCCAGCCTCCCTTCACTCGAGCTAAAGGACGTCGGGCGGGTAGACAGCGAAGCGATCGATCGGTTACTACCGCATTTGGCGGGATCGGAGGACAGGGTGAACTCGGACAGCGAGGCGGCGACGTGGTCGAGAGGTGGAGGGGATTCGTGGATGGGCGTACTCTCGCAGACGGAGTTGCGATCGGTCGACGAACCCGAGGACAGGATCGGGGAGGAGAGATCGGCCATACCGGAGGCGATCGAGGCGGTTAGCGATGCCACGACCTCGACCTCGGGCATTTGCAATCCTAGCTGGCGCGCTTCGTCGACCAATTTCTGTTCCTGCGATAACTCGGCTTCCTCGGAGGGTAGGCCGAGGACGTCATTGCGGTATTGACCATCGTCGAACTCGAGGGTCTTGACCGACTCCATAGTCATAATGCAATTGTGGTACCGTTTCCCCCAGCACACATGGAGCGCATGAATCAGACGGATAGAGCGACAATAGGTAGAACAAGGATACGAGCCGGGATGAGGTCCCCGAGAAGATATTAAAACCAATCACACAGGAAACAAATAAAGAAAGCGAAGAAAAAACCAAGGTGGGAAAAGAAAACAAAAAACAAATGGAATCAGGGGCACGTGTCGAAGGATAAGAATAATAGGCTCGTCCACGGTACTTGAAGCACGGTGGACGAGAAGAAGGAGCTCAAGAGCAGCATCCGACTTGCGGGGAGGGAAAGCGCGCTGGGTTGAAAAAAAGAAGGAAAGGAGAAGGAAGTGGAGGAGATGAAGCGCCAGGACAACCTGATTTGGGCCTTGATATTGCGACCCACGACCCGCCTGACCGAATCATTATTATTAACATTAACTAAGAGGGGGGGGGACTAAGGGCGTGTCTAACCATGGGGCCATGATTAATCAGAATCCTCCGTCATGGTAATCCTCCCAAAGGGCAGGACAATAATTCTGATACAGAGACTGCTGTCAATCGGTCGATCATACTCGGTGTAGTCCTTGGGTGAGACACAGTTGACAGGTAGAAAGTATCAACCATCAACATTCACCTCCGGCGTACCACCGTAGGGACCGCTCCTTTGGGCAATTAGGGTCTAGGGCAGGACAGCCCCGGACCGACCCGGCGTCGAGACGAGAGACCAGCCGTGGTTTCACAACTGCTTCACCACCGGTTGGCTTCAGGCACCGCCGCCTCATGTGGAAATATTAAATAAAGAGGATTGTCGTTGGCCCACTGTTCCTCATGTTGTCAGTGGATTGATCTTCAGGGTATTGAATACACTTGACGGTTGACCTTCCTTCAACTTCTACTGGGTAGTCTACAGACTACACTGTAAGTGATACTATACTGTGTTCTCCGTATTATGTCTAGTTCCCAGCCCCCGATTACCGACCAGGATTCAACTAGTCGCAGAGACCGTTCAATGACTAGCAGCCTCACATGATCAGTCCGGACCTACTCCGTACTCCATAGAGCCAAGTCAGTTACAGGCATGGGGGGTGAATTTATCATTCACCGCAACTTTCGTCAAGTGGAGAAGTGGTGGAGAATAGGAGGAGGCAAAAAGAAAAACGAAAGAAGCCTCAAGAACAAAAGAAAACCAAAAGTGGAACTACCAAAAGGAAAAATAAGCGATCCAACGGTGAAGAACAAGGTCTTTCTAGCGCGCCAACATGCTAACGGCCAAAGCATACGCCTTCTCTTTGGCTTCCCCCTGGACGGTCCCCGGCGCCGCCCTCTTATCCCAACCGTGGTTACACCCTCGCATCCTTTGACACACCACATGGCGACCGGGTTCCTTTTCTATTTTGGCCGCCAACGCCTCGGCTTCTCCCGCTAGGTTGTCACCGCCCGCCGTGATGACTAGGATGCGATCCGGGAACCGCTCTGGCTGCGCGTAGGACGGCGAAATCCGCGGGTCCCTGGCATCCACCGAGGAGGGGATGTAGCAACTGTCGAATAACCGAGCCACGAAAGGGGGGATCGGTTTCCCCTCAGCGTCTGGAAACGTTTTCTCGGCCGGATCAGTGTACAAGTCCAGCGGAGGATAGAAGGCGAGAACGGATCGGAAGGTGTCGCGCGGGAAAAGAGTCGCCGACGCCCCCAGTGCCAGGTTTCCGCCCGCGCTGAACCCAGAGATGGCGACTCGCGATAAATCAAATTCCCCCGGTCGCTGCAGCACCCAGTTGACAACGTCCTCGACATCGTTGACTGCCGCGGGGAACGGATTCTCGGGCGCCAGCCGGTACTGAATGTCGAGCACCGTGTACGAGGTTTCGCGACTCACTTGTCGACAGAATTCATCGTCGCTACCGTGCTGCGGGATGATAAACCCGGACCCATGGAAATTGAGGAGGACAGGCGACGGGGTTGGCGCTGATGCCGATCTATAGACGTGCGCTTTGATCGTTCTCTCGGCGTCGCGGGACTGGATTTGGAAGACGTCATTGGGACTGGCCACCAACCGTCGCCGCATGAGAGCTCTGATCAGCACGGCAAATAGTTTCTGCCAGAGGTAGGAAAACGAAAACATGATAGGCCCGTCTATAGAGTCCGTCGGTAATTAGAACGTGGACTTGCACAGTAGGATTTGATAATGCCAACTGCGCACGGGTGCCGAAAAAGGGGGAGAGGGGATTCAGAATGTTTGATTGTCAACGGCTTTTCTGGAATCCACGGGGATTTCCTGAGGAGTGCAGACAACCGAGTTTCACATCGGTCGATCGAAGGCGATGACGCTCCAATCGAGCGATTTATCTTCCGGCACAGTGGATTGTCGCCTGTTTAGGGCGAGACTAGGAGTCGTAGTCAATCCGAAACTAATTTGGTGTCCACTCAACGCGTGGAAAATAAGGTCCGCAGAGGCTGAACCACTGAACCATCAACCCGTGGTCATCATCGTGGAGATAGGAGAATGATAGTCATTGTTAGTCTCTGGTGGCTCCGCATTGCGTGCATATCAAATTTCGGCAGTCGAGCGGCCATTTCACGCTTGGATGTGCCGAGAGGAAGCTGCCGGTGTGATGTTCGCTGTATAGAATAACTAGAGCCATCATCACTGTCAGCGACTGAACTTTCATGCGCTTCCCCCTTTCTCCGACTCGGATCAATGTACTTGGTACAAATGCTTTCGTCATTGATTGACATCGCCTAGCTCCACCAACTTGTTCCCTGCAAAACTGTTGGTCGCATGTGGCTCCCGTGCGATCCCCGAGCGCAGCTTCAGCTGACGTACTGCCCTGCTTCTGCCTTCTACGGAGTACGGAGTACGGACTAGGACTATCATCCTTTGCGTGAAGCTGTTCCTCCGGCTTTTGGTTTGCCGAAAAGCTTCCCCCAGCCGGCCAGAGCTGGAGCTTGTCCTGGAGTCGACTCTTCCCATGTCTACCTGTGCCCGAGCGATACTACGTGAGCATTATTGAATGCTTTGATGCGATCACCGAAAATCTACTACCTATTCCAATCTATTAGCATAACTAAAAAGGAACTGACATCATGATAATCAACCCTGGTCATGTGGGTTGGATATAGCCTGCCAACTGACTGGCTCTCAGACCCGGCCTCCTGCGCCGTAGAGGCCGACTTGCTAGTAGCTCTCAAGCTACCCCAGATCAGCAGGATGAGCTTTTAGCAGGACATGTGTATGGCCGTCCCGCGTGACTAACACTCGATTATGAGCTTTCTTTGCGCGTGGCACTTTCAGACCTCTGTTCGATCGAAAAAGTTCCATGGAAACCGCCACAAGTAAAGCTCCAGATTGATAAGGTCGTGGCGAATGATTAGACTTGAAAGTGTCCATTATAATTCAACGGAGTGTTATGGCCTCTATGCAGGCCATGAGCTAGTACACGTTACACTAGCTGATATCAGACATTCTCGATAACTCTGCATTGGACGCAACTAAACACATACATTTCAACCATCCTGCATATTACCGCAAGCTCCTTGGTCGTGTTTCTTGCGAGTTGATACTATCGATTTGACATGGCCGCCAACAGCTGTTTGTCAGCCGTAGTTCATGTTAATGGCCTGCAGCTGAACTATAAATCAGTAAGGCACAGCAAGAGCAAGGTTAATTGATGACATGCAGATCCATTGATAATATGACATATCGTTTAGACCTGTCTCTCTTCGTCGACATTAAAGATGACTCGAACACCACCGATGACCTCGGATGGGTGTTTCTTTTTCCTTCGTGGTCCCTCAGCCACTTTGTTCAAATACAAAGCTCACTGATGGTTTGCTGTACCTTGAGTCCCTCTGGTTCTTCCGTACAGCGAAGAGTTCTCCTATCAGGCCAACCGAGTACATGCGGTGTTACTGAGCATCACCGCGCCTGCCACCACACTAGTCTAGTGAAAAACCCCGAAGATCATTGTCACTCTGCATGATGGCACTGACGCAAGAACAAATTGGACCCACAGGGATTTCTATTGCATTCAAATCACTTTTTCTTGGACCTGGAAAGTTATCGATAGCGGTGTGATGTACTTGAGATGTAACGAGTATGCTTGTGATCTGTTCTAATGATTGAATTAAGGAGCGCCTCGAGGCTGATTCTCCTAATGTCTGGCTGAAACTCAACATCTCGCGTTGTTCTTAATGCCATCATCACTCTCCGCCTCTTCTCCTCTTCTCCCTCTCTTATCGGATTCATTCACCTGCATCCTCTATCCATCGTGTCTTCTTTCTTCTCTCCCGACCTTCGCGTCTCTCGATAGTCACGAGTCATCGGATTTGACCAATCAGTTTTGCTATCCCCATGGACGTGAACGCCTCAGACTGGGGCCACAACGGGGATGCTGAATTCCAGTCCATCTCTGCTTTCCCCAGCAAGCTCGCCGTGCTATTCCTTGGATTGTTGGCTCCATTGGCCATCATCATCATTGTCCAGGGACGCTGGAAACTCCCACCACCGTGGCCAACCGATGTCCCCTCTCTAGGCGATAAGGACGGCTTTGCCTCGTGGATCTGGAAATGCTACCGGCGGTGGCCATTGCTCTCGCGGAATTTACAAGAAGGATACGACAAAGTAAGGTCAACATCCTCTCACAGGAGACCACTATGGCCCCTGCCATACTAATACGACACGAGTTCAGTTCAATCGTTACGATCAACCGTTTCTTCTCCCGAGTTTCTCCTTACGGCCTCAGGTTATCCTGCCAGCCAAGGATCTGGACTGGCTCATCCGACTACCCGATACAGTCGCTTCGTCACCCGAAATCCAAAACGAGAACATAGGACTGGCGCACGTTTCTCCTCTCACGCGCCCGCTCCCCGGTGAGAAGATCGTCATGACTGCGATCCACACCCACCTCAATCGCCACACGAGCCGCATCCAAGCGGACATGTACGACGAGCTGAGGGTGAGCATCGACCGCGAGTTCGGCACCGACTGTTCACAATGGCGGGAAGTGCCGATCTTCAAAGCAATGGACAGTGTGGCCCAGCGCGTTGGCGCTCGGGTGACCTTTGGTCTGCCGATGTGTCGCGACGAACAGTGGCTCGCTTCGGCGAAACGAATGGTGAGCTGTTTCGGTGCGGCGATTATCAGTGCGCAGTTGATGCCCTGGTTCATTCAGCCAATCGTTAGTCCCTTTATGAGATTGGTTTGCGACACGGTCCGGATGCGGTGCTTTAACTCTATCAGACCGATCTTTGAGACCTGGTATGATAGGATCCTGCAAGAGCAAAGAGACGGCGGAGCTTGTGATCAAAGTGTGCCATACAACTTCGCGACATCGGTGATGCGGACTTCTTTGAAGGCCAGTGATGAAAAGCGCGCGAGTGTGTCCATGATGTTTACGACGCTTTTGGTTACGGTAAGTTGAGTTGAAGCATGTCCCCATCTTGCGGAACCTTGCCTCTAACAGCGTAATGACATCAAAATAAAATAGGCTCTTCTTCCATTCAATGGTATTGCGCTCGCCTTCACGGCCGCATTGCTCGACATCGCCAGCTCAGCCCCAGAGGAGGAGGTCCTTAAAACCCTCCGAGAGGAAGCCATCCAGCATGTACAGTCCGACGAAGACTGGAACAACCTAGCCTCGTTCTCCAACATGCCGTATACCGAAAGCGCAGTGAAGGAGTCCCTGCGCCTAAGCCCGTCACAAGCAAGAGTCTTGAACAAAGAAGTCATGCAGGAATCCGGACTGACGTTGCCCAGCGGACAACACCTGCCGAAGGGGACCTGGCTGGGAGCCGCAAGCATGGGAACCCACCTCGATGACCGATTCTACCTCGACGCCAAGACATACAAACCCTTTCGATTTGTCAAGCAGGGGTCGGAACTCAGCCGCTGTGATGTCGCGGCCACGGGGGGAGACGAAGGAGGCGCGGGTTCGGCGAGGCTAGAGGCTCAGGATCGATTTGATTCTCGAGTGCCGTTTCTCTCGTTCGGCGCGGGCCGACACCGCTGGTTAGTTTTTCGTCCTTTTATAATCCTCTGTCGTCTGTCGCTGCGTTTGGAGTGACTTGTATAGCTGACCTGGTGTTCTGGTTCGTTGTAGCTCGGGACAAGCGTTTGTGCTGCATTTAAACAAGCTCCTCGTGTCGTATATTACGACGCACTATGAAATCGAGTCATTGGATGCTAGGCCAGCGAACTGGGAAATTGGAGACTCTATAATTCCGCCTCAGAGTGCGACCATCAGGGTCCGTCGTGTTGCTGGAAAATGATTGCTGATATCTTAGCTTCAAGGAGAGGAGTGCGAGCTAGGCTTAAAATGGAGTAAACACACTTCACCAAACTACATGTTCCGTCATTGAAACATGGCAATCACATTCGATATGGCGTGGGTTTATGGGTAGTATTGGGAGATGATAGAAGCGAGAAGAGAGGCTAGATAACAAATCTACTAAGAGTGTGCATCATCAGGCGTTCAATAAAGAGTCCTCGTATCTCGAGCCCAGTAAGCAGGTAAGTTGAAGCAGCCCACTCGCGGCGGGGATGTTACAGACATCCAATAACCAGTCCTATCTCTTGAACATGTTACCCCTGCTGCCACCTTTAGAGTGCTTACTATCGTATGCATGGTAGATCGAAGAAGTTTTATATTAATATCCATCAATGCATTTGTTCGTTTTCGAAGTCATTAAAAAATTGATGTATCACAAAGTTACAAATAGACCCCTTGCGTCTGAAGCATAGCCTTTCGCCATCTTTCTTCCTGCCCCCGTATGTATGTTCATCGGGTATGCAATAATATGCACAGAGGACTCTGTAACTATAGACTCCGATCGAAATGATATAGAGATCCCGGATGTCCCCACATAATCAAGATAGAATCAGTACAGGATCAGGTCATTTCTTAATGGGGGATTAAGTGGTAAAGGGGCGTGACATGCACGATGGCACCCCCTTACTTTAGAATTTTCTAAGCTAAAAGCCTAAGTCCTTCTGAATGTTGGCAATAGAATCTAAGCCACTTTCAGGGATTGATAATTAATGCGGAGGAGATAATCATACTCATCATATATGAGATTGCCGATTCTCCACGCGATTAGCTTCACTTCCTTCCAGAGATGAGGAACTATCTATTTAACGGAGAGAATGGGTCCGAACTTCTGACTTACTTGACTTTTCTTGCCTGTACCAACTTAAGCAAAATTTCAGCATGGGCAACAGTAGTGACTTGGTCAATGGATGTTTTGTGACGGGATGTCCTTGGCTACGCGCTGATCAGAATCATCCACAGGCGCCTCTAAAGATACTCATGCTTCATGGTATGCTATATAACGTAGTTACTATCATGTTAAGCAATATAACTGACTGCCAGAATCTTTAGGACACGGGCAATCGGGTCAAAAATTCTACTACAAAACCCGCATTTTCCATGCAGCGATTCAGAAACAAATTTTCTCTCTAACAAACAAGCCAGTTGAGTTTGTTTACCTGGACGCTCCGATCTGTCAAATTCCGGGTGACTTTGATTCACGGATATGGGTATACGGTAGCCATGAAGAAGCTGGGATTCGAGGCTTGAACGAGAGCATTCAACATATCATGAGCGCTCTTCAGAACAGGGGCCCATTTCTAGGAATAATGGGCTTTTCGACTGGGGTGACATTGGCAGTTATTATTGCCTCGCTACTGGAGAACCCTAATAGACACGCGGAGTTCAATGTTAAGGTGAGACCTTTCCAGTGCTTTGCTTGACTTTGTTGTACAGTATATACCCAGCGCTGTCTATTATTCTGTACCCTCCGGCTGACATTTTAGGCACAACAACCACCCCTACAATTCGTTGTGGCATACAGTGGTTTCATGCTGTCTCATCCGGTCTACAAGTCCTTATATTATCCCAAGTTACAGACTCCTATTCTGCATTTAATCGGAACGCTAGATTCCATGATCGCAGAGCCGTTGACCCTGCGTTTAGCCCAGCAATGCCAGACCCGGAAGATCCAGTATTTTGCGGGCGGGCATTTTGTTCCTCGCCACTCGGAGATAGTCTCCGAGGTTGCTGATTTTATTGGGGACTCTTTCGGTTCCGGAATAATGTTAAAGACCGGGGGTGATTGATTGGATCTGTAGCATGCTTTATTTTGAGAGGAATCTGTGTATAAATATTGGATGGCGAAGGCAGTAACCGGTTTGCTGAATGGTCAAGTTATGACCATGGATATAGATAATATGCTTCGTGAAGTATATACGAACGATTTAGAGATCTATATAATCACAGCTAGGCCAGATCTCACTACGCGAAAGCTTGTCGACTCGATATTGTGGAAGATTCCGGTAACTGCATGAAAAATGGAGATTTCCGTCTTCCTGACCACGAGATCCTGCATTCGAGCCGTGAAGCTCCGGTATGGTGAAAGTGGAGGATTCCATTGATTTCACCACTGTATTGCATATAAAGAGGCTCTTCTTTTTATGTAAATAGATTATCATCAGAATAATCAATTTTCAATTCATGAAATTCTTGATCACCTTTACTGCTTCTAGTATCCAATATTCCAACAGATTATAAGCCCGGCAACGTTCTAGTGTGTTATTCGATTAATTTATCGACAAGAAGCAGATATATCCGGAAGCCATATCTTTTGTCAGGAACCTTCCGGCTTGTTCCCAGGAACTTGCCGGTAGGATCCCTCCGTATGGAACTTCCCGCCAGGAATCTCCCGATTCCTGGCAGTCATGTTGGTAGTAGGCAGTATCATAAATAGGGGCTTCTGCCCACACCCAGCTGCTGGAACCCATGCAGCTTATTCTTTGCTAATACATACCTACGTTCAATGGTTTATGTTCCTTACATCTTTGACAGAATAAGATATCTTAAAAGTCATAATTTTGATTATAGGATAGAAAATGTCATCATTGATATGAGATCTTCAGAAAAATATTCAGAATCTCTATTGAGGGAGCCTGACTTTTTCCGTGCATGAGCCGCAGCGTTCAACACAGAAGTTCGTTATCGCGAAGTCTATTTTGTCGCTTCAGGCGAGAGAAAGAGACCCGAAATGTTTTCTTCTGAAAGAGAAAAAGTTGCAACAGTTGAAAAACTTAAACAGCTCGAAGTGATGCAATATTAATGAAACAAGAAGAACTCCAAAGTCATCGGCGTCATTTTCAAAACGGTTTTCAAAAAGATTGAGCAAATGTATCAAAATTATATAAACGCGGCAGAGCTTATTGCTGCGTTCAAAGAGAAATACGATATTATTTCTGATATACAGTCTCTTTAAAGCTTCCGGCAAGCTGTCATCACTAAATTTGACAATTGTAAAGATATGGTGGATTATTTCGAGAAATTGAAGATTGCATTTAAGCAATTTGCAAGGAGTTTGAGCACGGATTTGGAGCTGGATGATTCTATGAAGGCTCAGTTTATATTCATGAAATTTGGAGAAGAATGAAATATCTTTTTGATCTTTTATCTTCATTTCAAATACGACTACAATAAAATTATCTTTGAAGATCTTTCTGACGTCTTATTTGAGGAAGAATTTCGCATGAAATATAACAATGAAGTTGCGAATCTCGTAAAGACGCAGAAAGCGAAAGCGAACAAGAAGAAGAACAAGGATTTAAAGAGTTCAAAAAATTCAAAAAAAAGTCATAGAAAAGTCAAAATTAAGGTTTTCGGTATCCCGATCGTTTCTGTACAGAATGCAAGAGACATGATCATACAATTGATCATTGCTGGGTCAAGCATCCTGAGAAAAAATCAAAAAGTTGGAAAAGAAAAAAGAATGAAAAGAAAAAAGAATCTTTCAAACATTTTAAAGATATCGTTTGCACTGTTCAATCAGCTGATAAATCGATCGATTTTGACTGAAAAAGTTTACCTTTTTTAACACAATGACTAGATCATCGATTCTGATTCAATCTGTCACTTCACTGGCGAAATGAATCATTTCATTTCTGGAACCGTGAAATAGTTGCGTAGAACGATTCGCACTGCCATCAGTCAAATTATTTATTCGATATTATCAAGTGATATAGAAATGATCCTGAAATATCCAAATTATGTGAGAAAGTTCATTCTCACTGATGTTCTCTACTTGCCAGAGATAAAAGTTAATCTCATTGAAACGATCAAATTGAATCAAAAAGATCTTGATGTTAATCTTCTGTTAAAAGAAGTTGTGATCACGAAAATAGAGAATAAAATTATTGTGAGATATGGAGACATTTAAAACAACATTTATGTTATAAGAATCATCAAAAATGACACACTTCAAATCTCCGAAAATCTCGCTCTAAACGATTGTAAATTGCTTGCTGACAGTGATGAAGAAACAGTTCAAAATACAACGCAGAAAACATTTCGAAATGATCACGAAATCATCAAAACACGCTGTCAGCGTCATACAGCTTATTATCACACGATTTCGAAAACAAAAAATATGAGAAAGAAACGGATCAATTTACGCACTTGGCACAGGCGATTCGCGCATCTTTTTGTGACTAATGTTAAACGTCTTTCACGAATGGTTAAAGGACTCAACATTGAGAGTTTTTCTATATCTAAACACGCGTGTGATCCCTGCTTGAAGGCTGCAGCAACAATCTGAAATGGATAGGAAGTCATGATTCCTGCAAAGGCGTGAAATGATCGTGTTTTCGTTGATTTAAGAGATAACCATTTTGACATACCGCCTGTCTTCAACAATGATGCGAAATACTGGCTTTTATTTCTTGATCAGTATATTGGATATTGCACGGTTATATTTCTCAAGACGAAAGATCAATGTTGTATGGCAATTCAGGTCTACACTGATAAAAAAAGCTATGCAAAATTCTCAATTATTCGTCTTCACAGCGACAATGGCAAAGAATTTGACAATGCTGATCTTCGAACATGGGCAAGAAAGCGAAATATTTTATGAGAATTTGTTGCATTTTACGTTCACAGTTAAAACGACTCTATTGAGAGACTTTCAAGGACCATTTTCACAAAGATCTGTATTGTGTTAATTGATAGCGGCCTGTCTTGAGAACTATGAACAAAAATAATGAAAACAGTGGTTTTTCTTCGCAATATCTTGTCTGTTAGAAAGAAAAACTTGACGCCTTATGAAATCTGCAATTCTAAAAAACCGAATGTGAAGAGCTTTAGAGTAATCGGTTGTGAATGTGCGATGATTGTTTCACCCGAGATTTGTTTTAAAGAGAAAATCACGAAGATTGATTTACGTGCATATACGATTAAATTGGTCGGCTACAATTTTCTTGAAAAGCAATATGTCGTGTGGAAAGTTTCAACAAATGAGTTTAAGCATGTTAAGAACATCAGATTTAATGAAGGATCAGATTTTGAAATTTATGGATTTTCAGATGATGATTACGGCAAATGAAAGAAATTTCTATCGATACAAACGTCAGAATGAAATTCTCATGAAATCGCCTCTGATAATGATTTTAAAGATGAACTTTCTCAATGTGTGGTTGTTGAACCCGAGATCAATGATTTCATCAATTGCTTGATTGAAAGTTTGCCAAAGTCGTTTTGAAAAATAGCCGTTCACATGTTTTTCATGGGTCATTTTTTCGTCAGCGAATATCGCAATGATTATGATGGAATGATCGAATCTTTCTTTTATAAAGAAGTTATGACATCTTCTTATAAAGACAAATGAATGGAAGTCATGAAATCGGAAATTGAAGATCTTGTCAAACACAAATTATGATTCTTTATCAATTTATCGGATGGCCGGAAAGCATTTTGCGGACGTTGGGTCTACAAATTCAAGATAAATGTTAACAATTGTATTTCACGATTTAAGACAAGATGGATAACAAGGGGCTTTATGCAACGATATAGAATCGATTTTTAAAAAACATATTTTTTTATTGTGCGTTCTGTTATTGTTCGCGTTTTCTTTGCGATTACCGTTGTCTTCGATTACGACTGTCTTCAAAGAGATATAAAACTCGCGTTTTTGCAAGGCAATTTTTTTGACGATGAGATCATCTATGTGAAACAATCAAAAAGATTTAAAGATGGCAATAAGAAGGTCTGTTAATTTTTTCTGCTTTTTTACGGTTTGAAGCAATCCGTAAGAATATGGTTTCTCACGTTCCGTGCCAAAATGGCAGAAATAAATCTCTATTCTTTTTCTGCAAATGAATGTCTTTTTATCAACGATGCAAACATTTTTTTGATTCTGCATATGAATGATTCATTGCTTAGTAGGTCTTGTGAAGCCATTGAGGGGGTGCGTGTAATAATTAACAATGTATTCGACGGCGCTCACTTTCAAAAGGCTGTTTATTATCTTGGAATGAAAATAGAAAGAGATCGGTCAAATCGGAAAATCAAATTGATTTAATTTGTATACATGCAGCGCGTGTTTGATGATTTTGACCGTGATTCGAAGAAGATTTCATTCATTTCAATGTGTGAAAACGCTCATTTTTTTAAATCAATCTCAGAACAGTCTAATTTTACATTGATGAAGCGCTATTAAAGATTGTTAAAATTATTGATGTATATTACGCTTCAAATGCGTCTAAAAACGTTATTTTCAGTCAATTATTTTATGCGATTTGCGTCAAATCCTGACGACTCGCATATGAGGAAATTGACGCATTTGTTGCATTATTTTTGTTCAACAATCGATAAAGACGTTATATTCCAAGCGTTTCCGGAGGATGAGAATGAAAAAAATAAAGAAATCTACAATTTCAAGCGTTTAGAGATCTTGAAAGGTTACGTGGATGCTGATTTTGACGGAGATCTTGACACAAGGCGGTTTATTATCGGTTTCGTCTTTACGCTTGATGAAGGGCCCATTTCGTGGATTTCAAAGCTTCAAACGATTGTGAGCTTGTTCACGTGTGAAGCTGAATATACGGCAATTAGTATAGTAGGCAGAGAAACTCTCTGGCTTGTTAATTTGTTTGAATCAATGGACTTTGGAGGAGTCAGATCAGTGATTATTTACACTGACTCTGAGTTAGCGATGAAGCTTGCCAAAAACGCTCAAATGCATGCTCGAAGCAAGCACATTGATATTCGCATGCATTGGATTTGTGACGCGATTCAGAATGGCGATATTGAGCTTCATTATTTTTTTATGGAAGAAATGATTGCTGACACATTCACAAAGCTGTTTTCGAAGATGAAGTTTGATCAACACGCCAAGGCTATGGGTGTTGAATGATCTCTACTGCATGTAGGTTTCTTGATGATAAACAATGGTGTTTAAGACTTTGAATAGCTGCATCTCGAGGGGATGTGTGGAAGATTCCGGTAACTGCATGAAAAATGAAGATTTTCATCTTTCTGATCACGAGATCCTGCATTCGAGCTGTGAAGCTCCGGTATGATGAAAGTGGAGGATTCCATTGATTTCACCACTGTATTGCATATAAAGAGGCTCTTCTTTTTATGTAGATAGATCATCATCAGAATAATCAACTTTCAATTCATGAAGTTCTTGATCACCTTTACTGCTTCTAGTACCCAGTATTCCAACAGATATAATATCTCGCATTAGGAGAATATGATAGTGAATTTATGAGTGATGAGCTTAAGCTATGGTGGATACAAACATGTGTAAAGAGAATTCTCCATAGAAGTAGCAAAGAAAGGGGCGGAGAAGAGAAAAGGTGCATACTACACCATAAACTACATAGAGAAGTCGAATGCTTGACGAATTTGGGAGTCATTACAAAATTAGCGGATTTAGATGATGTATTCCAAGTCAATCCACCGTGCTACCACTGTCTTGCGTATGGAGTGGAAATATTATGCTAGCGAGAGAGTATTGGAAGGTTATGTCTTGATTGTCCTGTTTTGAGCCTTCAGAGGCCGTGGACATGGCGCCCTCGGAGCGCATCGTCAGCTACTTTTTTTCTGGTCACTGCTTTACTCGCGACTCTATCTTCTCTGGCCCATGATTTCTGTCGACAACGAATCATAGTGCAATCGGAGCGTACCTTCATAATTTGGGTATTTTTGCTTGCGAGGGCTATTCTAGCTAGTAGGTTTGACGTTCCGCAATGGAACGAAGCATTGATTGTGCGACATGTAGTGCTTTTGGATACCTTGCCATTCTCACGACGGTGTTTATCGGAATTTGCAATTCACTCTACCGGAACCAGATATAGGTCGGGGTATTGACAAAGATGTCACAGGAGGCATTTTGGTTCATTCTGCGTTGGCCTGCCTCCTATCCACCAGTGGTATTGTGGAGTGCAGTTGTGGCTAACAGCTAGGTGCCGATTTGGTACGCTATCAGGCCGCAGGATGTCTTTTGCCGACGGTCACTACTCGATCAAGATCCTCCGACTGGGAATCTGAGACCCACGGTAGTAGCAAAGAAGAATGGGCAGCGGCCGGTTTCAGAGTGGTATCTTTAATTTCAGGCTTTGTTCTGGCTCATGACCTGGTTGTGTATTGGTTTTCCATATTGAAGCGAATTATGATGGTTTAATGGTACTTTTACAGCATACGTTAAAGTGACAGTGAGACATATACTATCTCGAGTCCGGTAAGCAGGCAAATGGAAGCGCACTTGCGGTGGGGACGTTAAGGATATCCGCCAACCAGTCTTTTTGAATCAACATGATAAATCCTTCGCGCAAATGGCAGGTATGTCCCGACTGGACTAAACCGAATACTTTTAGCGCCAAAAAGGGTGAAGGCCTAGACCGCTAAACATGGGAGCAAGGACGAGATTACCGTTCAATTTGATTTGGGGGTTGAGGGAATGCTTTGTTTACCTTCTATCATCGTACTATATATGTATTTGCATATCTATTTACAACCACGCAGCGATGTCTGTTCACCATCATTTCCCAAGCTTTGCCTCCAGCTTCAACAAAGACTCAGCCGTATCCTTGATACTCTCTTCCAGAGAGCGAAATTCCATCCCTAGAACTGTCTTGGCCTTCTCATTCGAAACAGCATATCCGCCCAATTGCGCCTCCTTCGCAGCCGGAACCTTCTCCGCACTCACCCCCGGCACACGCGTGCGCAGAACGTCGCACATCTGCTCGTAAGCGAACTTACCCGCGGTCGTGAAGAAGCGCTGGTTAGCGGCCGCCTCGGACGCAAAGGCACGCAGATGCGCCTCGGCCACGTCCCGAACATCCACCCACGTCGGGAACCCGGTGGGAGGGATCTCAGCCGTGCTGCCATTCATGAAGCGGTACACATCGGCTGCGCTCTCGTTGAGACGATCCATGCTGGCGACGTGGTGCTCCACGGGCCCGTACACCATGGGCGGGCAGATGGTGGCGATGGTGAAAGCGGGCTTCTCGCGCTCGAGGAAGTCCCACGCTGCCTTCTCGGCGAGCACCTTGGATGCGCAATATGCCGTGGCGCCGTCGGCTGTCTTGGCCTGCTCGTAGGTCACAGGGTTCCAGTCCGCCTCGGTGTAGGTGTGTTCGGGCCACGAGCTCTTGCTGAGGTTGATCATGGCAGCGAACGAAGAGGTGATGACAATGCGGCGAACTTCGGGGGCGTAGCGGTGGGCCGCTTCGAGGAGCTCTGAGGTGCCCCGGATGGCCGGGAGGAGGAGGTCGCGCTCTTGGTCTTCGATGGCGAATTGGAAGGGGGAGGCCGTGTGGATGATCTTTAGTCGTTGGTTAGTTCTTACGGGCCATTAGGGTGCCTTGGCTCGGGGGTTTAACTCACGCCTTGAACGCCCTTCACGGCCTCATTGAATGCACCTGGCTCAGCAATGTCCTTGACAATCGCAAAGGACAGCTTCTCGGCATACTGCGGGAAGATCTCGCGCACGTTGTTAGCGGTTTGCTCGGAACGGACGGTTCCCCGGACGAGATAGCCACGCTGCAAAAAGGCACGGACAACGTGCGTGGCCACGAACCCGGAGGCCCCGGTAATTAGGATGGTCTGATTCTCAACGCTGGACATCTTAGTGGCTTTTAGGGGAGCGTTTCTTCGTGACTGACTTTTTGGTATGAACTCGAGGGTACCTTCGGCACTCAAACCGCGGGGTGTTGGGCGATAGTTAAGTAATTGCACCTCACCGCTACCCCTATTCGAATCCATTTCCAAAGGGGCATTATTTGGGACTAACCTTCACGTCATTGAAGCCGCTGGAGCCGTTAGAGATGCTAGTTGTTACCGCTGTGGGGACCGTCCCGTCCGAATGCCCCTCTATCAGGCGCAAACTTCAGACAAGTATAATATTACGGAGCATATACACCGAACAGATTCATAATGACTTGAACGTCACTTCAATTGTTAACAGTGATTGGTATATAGATGTGAGATATCCCTAGATCTCTTCACCTTAGCTACAGGTGACTGTGAGTTATTCTTATATTCAAATGATTCATAACTAACGGACACACTCATGTACTTACGATGTTGGTTGTTCAGGTAGGATGTTACTCAAACACTCATGACTCATAGCCGCAAGACGATGTACTCCATAAGAAGGTGAATGACAAAAAATTAACACTAAGCCCTAATGATCCCGTTTTCGGCATTTCCTTGATTTCCTCGGAAGAGGCGGGATTGAAAGCCCCTCGGGATCGGCGTACCGCGTGTGGGACCGGGCAGGATCGTCGAGACTATCCGTTCGGAGACTTCGAGAACCAAGAGACATGATGGACGTAGACTTTTGTCGTGTTTTTTTTTTTTTTTTTTTTTTTTTTGTTAATGACAAATTCACAATCCCCGTGAACCGCATCTCAGCGCTATTCCAGTTCGTCCTGTGATGCGGTAACACGTGTGGTGGGTTCCGGAGTTTGAGCGATTGATTACATGGCGATAGGAGATAAGAGGTCATCACCTTCATAGTAACAGCAGGACGGGTAATACAATAAACTATCCCCGTTCGAATGATTCTAGGGCTGTTGCCAATTGGTTGTTGAACTATGACTACCTAGTAAAAGGAGACTTCGTGCTAGCAATACGAGTATAAATGACCTATATACCCTTAACAACTACAATAGAGCACAAGGTAAGAAAGTGTATAGGTGTTTGCTTGCGTCTAGTATGTTGACAAGGTATGTGTTTATATAATTAGGCCTATTTGTTAGAGATTCATACTTGATTTTGATCGAGTTTAGATCTCTCTGCCAAGTATTATTTCCTCTATAGGAAGACCTTATCATAGTTAAGGGATACGATAGTCTGTCTATCTTATGTCTCCTTTAGTTGTTTGTATTGACCGCACAAAACCCAACAATACAATATTTAATCGAGATGTCTATGTAGATGACTCCCTAATTGGTCTATAGAGGGAACAAAAAAGAACAGCAAAAACATACAACAGCCGGGATTCGCTGGTGGTCACCCACCCAACTACTAACCGGCCGGCGTGTGGCTTAAGTACGGCTGAGCGGACGGGAAGCCCTGTTCTCCACACCCTGTGGTCGTATGTACTTGTTGCTACTTACGCCTGGAATATATGGCAAGTTTCTCTGTCCGGCCGCGTACGTTTCAGAGCTGCTAATGTTCATCTCAAGTCAACATCGCGTAAATATAGTCCAAGTGTGGAATTACAAAGTCGAGCTTTTGGCTACCTGCCATGAAGGATAATATTCCAGAAGAAAGGCAACAAGGAGGCTCTGCCCCATTTTGCATTGATGAAAATTCTCGAGCTATCTCTCGCTCTACCCCTGCCTCCTTCTCCTTGCCTTCTAACTATGGTCCGAGTCATGCGCCTGCCAGTCCAGGTATCCCGGTTCGGCCCTCATCTTTTCCATCAAAGCAACATGCTTCTTTGTCTCCTCCTCTTCTTCTTTCAGATACTCCTCGGTAAGCTCTTCCTCCAGGCGCTCCATACGAATGAACCTCTGCCGGCCGTTACACATCATTTTCAGAATTTCCTCCAAAATCGTCGGCTTGAGGATCTCAAGAATAGAATACTCCAGTTCGTTTATGAAGTAGTACTTCCCCCCGGCCGAAATGAAACCGTAATGGTCTCCAGATTCCGGGGTAGTACACATAAGGGCAACCGGACTTTCAAGCCCACAGCGACTTGCGATTCCCGCCCAATAGTCTGCCAATACGTATTGTACCCTCATGGGATCAGTCGTCCAGCCCTCGGGGACATTCTCTTCGGGGATCTTTGAGAGTCAGCTCTTGCTATACTGCCAAGACTTAGTTCTAATTACTCACATTCATGACTTACAGTTGTGTTGCTCATATCAGGGAGACAAACCGGGGCAAATATTTAGGTATTCAGCCAAAGGAAAGTTCGATTATGTCAAAGTGATGACAGGCGACTACGAGAACTTTGGATATAGATCACATGACTGCATTGATTTGGTAAGTTCTGCTGTATGACGCATAGGGCTTGCAGGTAACAACAAACTGGGGATGATGCAACTCGGCCCCATGAGGTTAATAATATAGAAGAAATATTGCTGTAGCCATACTGTCTGTCGACTGGCTGTGCTGTGCGTAAACAATGGATATTGGAGTGAGGGCGGCCGGAGAATGGAGAAGCTAGGCCTTCAGGCTATACTTAGGGCAAGGTAGTTCTTATTTTCTCTCATTTCTTTCTTTTTCCTTTCCCCCTCTTTTTTAATATTCTTTTTGTGTCTCACTCGACTGTAGCTGAATATATCTTCCTGTTCATGCGTCTTTCTCTTTGTATACAAATGCCCAGGAAGAGGGACCAAGGAAGACTCCGCATGGACTCTCAGGCTCATGGCGTATCTCAACCAAACGATGCAATGTGTTGACATACCGACTCACGTGGCAGAAGTGTTTACTTCTACTTGAGCATGGGCACGTGCTGGGGGCCATTAGGCTGAGGTCGGCATTGACCCTCACTTTGTCCACTTCGTTTGCTTCCAATTTCTGGAAGTCTCGTCTTCCTCAATCATCCACAAGCAGCCACCGTCCATCTTCTGCGTGTCTCGTAATTGAGCCATTCCTGTCATCCCCTCCAACTTCATCACTGAAGCAAACGTGGCAGACACTAATAGCTCCTCCTCAAACTGTAAGCAATGTCCACGACGCTTGATCAGACTTGAATCCTAGCATTGCCAAGGTGCCACCACATCATCTGGGTCTACTCCTGTGGCTGCGAGGAAGCAAACCGGACCTTCATACAGTGTGGTCCCCGTCGCGCGACAAATATTAAATGCGATCCTGAAGATCCGCCCGTTACTGAACACCTTGAGTACCCATGCTTCGACCACACCGTGCCGGTTTCGGACTGAGTTGGGGATGGCGGCCGGAGATTTCCGTTTCTGAAAAGAGATATTATTGCCGCCCTTGTTATGGCGTCCATTGCATTTCCTGCAAGCGAAGTGAACCTTTGCGCTATCCCCCATTGCCTCATTTCTTAGGCCTTCCATTTCCGCAGTCACTTGGACGTAAAAAATCCCCTCGGTTCACCGCAGATTTCCTATTTTCCTACTCAAGTATTTCCCTCGAAACGAGGCAGAACAACCGTGGGACAGACTATGATGATCGATTAGCTGCCTTTCAGCTTTCATCTTCAATGTTCACATCCCAGGATGGTACTCGCTCTTAGCAGCGATTAGCTGATCCGTTTGATTAGTATATCGCCCGGTTTCCCTCCTCCTATAAGTCGTCCTCCGTTATTCGGCCTAGACGCTCGCTTTCCCCCATACCTCCTGGGAAATCAGGCGGAGGAAGACCCTTATAGAACTCCTCTCGCTAGACACTCAGGTAGAGTCTATTCATCTCATTATTGAGGAAAGAAAACATCAACCACAAAGACACAACTTTTAATAAACTGCCAATAATCTCAGCATGTTCCAAAGAAGGTATTAATGCCCTTTTTCTCAGGAGTCATCAATTCTGATCATACCCAGATGCTTTAACAAGATTGATAAAAGACTTAGGGAGTTGGAATTCTGGGTCGCAAGATATCGCGACTCGCTATGTAGGCTGCTTTAGAAATCAAACCACATGGTATTGGAAAGTTCTTCCAACCACGTGGATCGCCAGCTGGAGGGGCGCTTGAACAGAGAATGGCTCCTTGAGACTACTAGGTTGTCTAATAGATGCGTCAAGTTTGCTAGGTATTAACAAAGTTCTCAGGGTCTCCGGTCTGAAACCAGATCAACGCTGAATTCGTTCGCTCTCGTCTATCAACAACCAAGCGGTTTAGGGGCTTCACATTTATGATTTGGACTCGAAGAAGAAATTTAGAGACATGGGCTGTTGAGAGATGTGTCAGCTACCATGCATGACTCGTAAAAGGATGCCATACATTCTTGGCATACATATCCAAATTTGCCAGTATGCAAGCCGGTCAGACCCCCGCCCCCTGCTTTCAGCCTTGTCTTGCGCCCCCGATTTATTCCTCGCGTTTTTCTCTCGGGTCGTCGACGCTCTTTGCTTTCCTGTCGCATGTTCATGTTCCAAATTAGGCTATTCGATTGTGTACCATGAAGCAGTTCACTTTCCTCCTGGCAACCATTCAGCTCGCCTCGTCCTCCTCGGCCGATGAAACCACCTGCTATAGACCCAATGGACGCAGGTCCCCCAACCATGACGCGAAGAAGTGCAACGGCGTGGAGGGCGCCGTGAGCATGTGCTGCGCTCAGTCCGATGAATGCCTCAAAAATGGCCTCTGCAAGGTCGCGGGCGATAAGCCCTCGAACACCTCCGCAATATATTGGCGTGACACGTGCTCGTTATCGTCCTGGCCTGACGTGGGCTGTTTGAAAGTTTGTGCGGTATGTCGGTATATTCGTCGGATCTCGATTGAAACTGAGTCTCTTTCTCAGTCTTGGCAGGGGAACGGAATGCTAACGAACAACATGGCAACCAGGATGGCGATTTAGAATCTGAGAACACACAAATGACCCCCTGCGATGGCACGGATTATTCCGAGAAGTGGTGCTGCGGTATAACGGCCGATTGCTGCGGAACTAAAGACGAGGTGTCTGTCCCGAGGAACATTTACATATCCACATCCCTAACGAACGGACTGTCCACATCTACGTCCACACAAACAAGTGCACACTCTCAAACTAGGTTCACATCAGCCAGGGCCGATCCTACCTCATCGCTTAGTTCAAGTCAATCGTCAAAGCCCGAATCGTCGTCAGATCTTTCCACAGGTGGAAAAGCGGGCATTGGCGTTGGCGTTGCTGTGGGTGCCATCGCGGTGATCGGATTGTTGACTTTCTTCCTTCGTCGAAAGCACAAGAGCAAACACCCTGCCTTGACGGTGCCGATGATGTATGTAACAAGCTCATGCGATGCACGTGAACTGGACGCCGCGTCTGTTTATGAGAAACCTGCTGGGGCTGAGGACTCGAGGCATGAACTACCAGGTGATTCGGCACCTACAGTAACCAGGCGGTAGATTGCAACATATGACTTTCTACTCAGGGTCTTACATGTTGATAAGGGAAGAGGAAGATGCTATATACCCCTACCTATGATATAATATTTTGTTATCATATATCAGATATCGCATGTCACAAAGTTTATTGGTTAAAGCGGACCACATACCAACAAGGAAATCACAATGAGTATCCAGGATTAGGTGTGGATACTTACTTCTTTGGCCGCAAAGTAACTCTTCTCCATGGCTGTTTATCTAAGAAGCTGAAAACAGAGAACAAGAACGGCAGCCACTCAAGCGGTTGACTCTCCTAAGTGAGACCTCGGTGTGCAGCTGTCACATATTGACACGCTCACTTACTAGATCGGGGCATAAAATGACATTCCGATAATTTGTGCCACGACGCAAGCGCCTCAAGGTTTTCTTTGTAGACTTTCAGCCCGACATGACCTTGTATGGTGACATCAAATCCCCCGTATCCCAGCCGCGAGAAAGAATCATCCATGCAGGAAATCCAGCTTGAGTCATCCAATACAGCCTGTGAGGTCATGGCTAACCTAGCAAAGTGCCATTTAACTAGGAAGGTCTCGTGTGCGACTACACTTCTTTACTCTAACTACACTGTCTACGCGCTCCACCGCCACCTGGCATACCAAGATACGGCCATATGAGCCTAGGACAACATGATGGGTAGTTTCGTGAAAATCCCACGCATTCGCAATTTTTTGCCTTCAAGCTGTAAGACTATCAACCTGAATCGCTAGTATCCCACTATCGTCCCCCTTTCCACTTCCAAACGCACATCCAAAAAGAAGCAGATGCCACAGAACCTGACTGAGAACAACGCTTCGAACAATCAATCACACTTTTGGCACCGCACCATTCGGCTCCCACCCTGGATTCGCCATCTCAAAGCCCTTAAACTCAAACCCCGGTGTCACAGAGCATCCAACAAGCGTCCAGTCTCCCAGTGATTGTGCATGTTGCCATTCTCCCCGCTCGATCACGATCTGTGGTCTCTGATCTTTCCACAGATCCGGACCCAGAACCAGGTCGCGGACAGGCTTGCCATCGTCCCAAGACAGCGAGAGCTGTAAGGGTGCACCAGCATAGTAATGCCAAACTTCAACGGCGTCGAGCACGCGGTGCCAGTGCGAGAGTCCAGACTCGCCTTCGAGGAGGTAGTAGATATAGGTACCGCATGAGCGGCCGTCGGCTGATTCGTTTCGATCGCGGAATGTCTCGATGTAGTAGCCCTTCTCCGGATGAGGGGCAAGATTGAGGGCTTGGATGACGTCCTGGGCTGTGTGGGTAGACTCCATTGTGGCTTTTCTGTGCTGTGCGGGCTCTTTCGCTGGTGGTAAGGGGATAGATCTTTTGGGCTTCAAGAGAGTCGAACCGGCTTTTGCTGGATGGATGCAGTCAACAGATTCAAGAGTCTTCGGAGAGCTCAGGGGCACTTGTGCGTTTCCCGCGGTTCTTATGGGGTTTTATTTGCTAAGGGGACCATAGATCCAACAAGAGCTGGCACTATTGAGGACTAAAATCTCCCCAACAAAGAAATGCTGATGTGGCATGGGAGGGGGCATTACACCAAAAAAAGCCACTTGTGAAATTTGCAGGGTTATCCTTGTCTTATCATTTTGTGATAATATACTGATTGGGACTCATGCAGTCCTATTTAGTATCACTTGCTCTTGAGAAGTTTGCTAGTTAACACACGTGCCTAATCGGGGAGCGAGTAGCACAGTCTGTTATATGTCAACCCTAATAGTTGTCTTTTCCGGAGTCCAAAATCATCAATTTCCAGCCATAGTTGTGGTCGTGGTCAGTCCTATGGCTTAGTTTGACAATTTGTTAATTATTGTATGTGATCAAATTGGACGATTCAAGATTCTAGAGTGCCCAAATGTTTTAGGGAATCAGACCCTATGGACAAGCTTTAACGTAAAGAGAAATCCTACCAACCTATATTGCTTTCATTCTTTTTCCTCTAAATGCAAAAAATGTAGTTGATCGATCATAATATCAAGTTGATACCTTGGCGTTTGATACTGCTTTCTTTCGTAGATCGTGACAGGCTACTCGTGGAGCTTCAGTATATGCCCCGACAACATCGATATCACCACATGAAACCAATAATTTGATCTCCTCGTTTTAAACACACTCTCGTTCTCTCATGTCATTATTTACCTTTACGAGCGAGTTCCATACTCAAGCTAAAACACATATTGAGAATTCGATAATACCCGCGTTCCTATTTTTGCACGGCTGGAAAGACCACTATACCTTGCTATAGGTATTCTCGGTCATGCGACCTGAAAATGTTTGCTGTTGACGCAAAGTATCCAGAACAGTTATTGCATATGGAGAACAGGGATGCGCAGGTTCTGCAGGGTATGTTAGGTGGTCAAACAAGATGGGTAAGCAGCCACCAAATGTGACCTCCCAAACTCGGTGAAGATATGCAATCTCCTTGGATGCTGCATCTGTAAATGGCCTGGTAGCAAAGAAAGCCCCTCATCATAAGGTCCATTTGATAGGGCAGATTGAATTAGAAATAGCTGCGCCGCGCAGCCGCTCCTGTCCCCCATTTTTTCAGATTCTGGGCCGTAACTTCTCCCCACAAACATTATAGAGCCTAATTCTTAATATAGACGCGAACTCCGCAAGATCCGAAAGAGAAGGCATAAACTTCTTAATATGAGCGATATCAAACAAGACCTGCCCCTGTCCATGATAATGGCCGCTTTTACGGGCATATCATGGTACATAGGAGTTGACATCAACGTATCTCTTTTCCTGCTCTTCAAGCGCCGTCGCGGATTGTACTTCTGGTCCTGCGCACTCATCTCGTGGGCGGTTGTCTTACAGTCTCTGTTTATTATACTAGCAGACTTTGGTGTCTGGACAGATTTGTTACCATCCATAATCATGATCTATCTGACGTGGGTAATTATGGTAGTCCCGCAGAGCTGGGTCCTATACTCCCGACTACATCTACTTAGGTGCACTGCAAAAACCCTAAAAATTATCAAACGTGTTCTCATATTCAACTCAATTGCATTTACAATACCGACCATCATCATCGGTACTGCCGCTGTGAGTATTTCCCACATAAACTAGCTGCAATGACAGACAGCTACTTACATGGCCCTCCTGCATAGCAATCAACCACGATAAACCCAAATCTCACTTCTGTCAACCTCATTTGGGACCGTGTTCAGCTTGTCGTCTTCTTCGTCCAAGAGACAACTCTCAGCATCATCTATATATTCCAGACACGCAAGTACCTGGGTCAACGCTCACCACTTCTTGAGCGTTCCTGGTCTACGCCATCTGGCATCCGCGGTATCAATCGGGCGCAAGCGAGCGAGCAGAACGCGGTATTATGGCAGCTCATATATGTCAACATGCTGATTATCGCACTTGATATAACGCTTCTCGGCATCCAATCCGCCAATTTGTTCCAACTGCAAGGGGCATTCAAACCGTGTGTATACGGAATCAAGTTGAAAGTCGAATTCGTCATCCTGAATCGCCTGAGAGATATTATCCAGAAGCCAGTCAATGCGGGAATGTGCCTCAGGTGTGGACCTGATAGCGCTGGGTCAGGGGCTAGCACAGGTTGGCACGGACAGCGGTATTGTGAGGCCTCGGGCACTACATGCGGCCATATACATGATCCTGCACTCTCGACCTTTCACCTCACGAACCATTCCACCTAGAGGTGTTTCGCTTGGTTCAATTAGCTCATCCACCGCAGGATTTCGGCAGGTAGCTATAGACAGCTTACTGTTGTCTTGGCTTTCTCATGTTGGGACTCTTTAACAGTTCCAAACAAATACTCCACTTTCATCCCCGTGTGGATACTAGGCATATACATGGGGAGATTTGGGCCAACACGGAGTCTCTTCGGTGTTTGTTCCTACTTGCTGAGAGGAATACACTAAACCGGGCTAACGCGTTTCTTTGTTCTGCCCCTAAGCCCCAACCCGAGATTACCGAACAAGGCTGAGCTTGATCCTTCGCCTTCTTTTCGTTGTCCGTACCTTTGGTCTACTTTTGATAGCTAATTAAACATTTAAGCCAATTCTGCTCCGTTAACCTCTCACTTCACTACATGCTTTTTTCCTCATCCATACTTAGGAAACAACATCGATACCACCAAGATGTCTGCCAGCAACTTCAGTATTACGGAGCACATTATCCCCGCCGGTCATATTCGAGAATATGCTGGTAGTATGACCAATAGCCAAGAAGAGTTACTGCATCTCCATGTGAAGCAATACACACCCTTGGAACAATCGACGCCGCTTTCATCTAACGCGGTGACAATTATTATGGCTCATGGGGTTGGTCTGGCAAAGATAAGCAAAGAACTGTCCGGCTTATCGAAAGATCTGAGGATATTGATCAGCAGTAATGCAGGAACTATACGAGCCGCTTTGGAATGAACTATTGCAACGTTCAAAGCGAAGTCAGACTTTGCAGATTCGCAGCATTTGGATTGCCGATATGGTCAATATGGAGATGAATGGCATTCTCAATGAAGATAAGTTGAGCACAGACTATACGTTGCGTGGCTATGAGCCATATAGTTTAGTTAACTAATGCTTTACGTGGTTGGAGCAAGAGATGAAAAAGTTCGTTGAGATGGAACGCGAGTGGGATAAAACAAGACAGGCAATGAGCAAGCGCGACCATCTTGTGTTGAGCGAGAAATGGTTCCAAACTATCAAACCGATCAGTGCATTCCGGGCTGCCAAACCTAGGAAGGGGAAGCTGTGATTGAAGTACTCCATACGGAGCTCATCTTCGCGAGCAGTTATCTGTTACAAGACATTCTTTGTACCTGTTGAGCAGTGCTTTCCATATATAGCCACAAGAATCAGTTCCTTGGCCGTAGAACAAATAAGCCAAGCAGTGATACGAATCAGAAAATCCTGATTCTTCAATCCTATAAATCAAACTACTGTCAACGAAGATGTACGCAAATACCCTTCCTATGCCTCCACAAACAAATAGATTACTCGGGAATTGGTGTTGGGTTAGTGCAAAAGGGCGTGACGCCCCATCCGTATTCCCGCAGATAGCTTCCCATGGACGCATCTGGGTTGAATAGAAGAAATTAGCCTTCCAGCAGAGATTTGGATCTTGGGAATGAACGGAAAGGACAGGATCCTTACAGCTTTTTGCCCCATTGTTTATTCTAATACCCAAGTAGGAAGGCTTATCCTGTAGAAGAGCGTTTACATCAGTCACGGGTCAGGCGCAGAATTCGGCAAGGATTTCGATCTAGTGTTGATCGAGTGGAAGCGGAACTCGGAGTGGAAGGGAATGGTTATTCCTACATTCTCGGGCGCCCACAGCTGAACAATCGAGACTCAGCAATTGGAGTGTGTTTCCTCTTCCGGAGTCGGGCAGTAAGGTATCTGTCGATGATTCCAGCTGAAAGCCAAATGTGTCTACCCGTCAGGCGTCATAATCCACCTACACCAATGGCATGCATGCTGGATGTAACATCCTCCCTCCCAGACCCACCACTACAATTCATTCCGACATGCGAGTCCTCAGTACAGCACTACAAAACGATAGATATACTGTAGGTGTAAACGACTTGGGGGTTGGTGACCGTGCAGTGACTTGATGTCAACATCTCCACTTCCTCTTGCCCACCATATCCAAATTAAACTCAGTATCTGGACATAGAACTATAAATTGGCATCCCTGGTTATGTGACTTCATAAGTTGAAGAAATCGATCAATCTTCGCAGCGAAACGATAAGGCATTTTTCTTACAACTACCCATACCACTACTGAAATGGCTCAAAACCCAGCCGAACGACAAACAAAGCTAGCGTCTCTGTTCGAGGAAACGCTCCGCAAAGATGAGTATGCCAGTCTACTGAGAGGTGAACCTTCTGTTCAAGAGTACCTGGCTGCCGGCAAAAGACTTTCGTTCGAGTCCATACTTCCGCTGGTGACAATCCCAGGCCTAGCGGACTTCGGTCCGGACCAAAGAAACTGCTACTGGAGTGCGATACAGAAAGCATTTGCTTCCGACGAGGAAACAGTTTGGCAACAAATTGTGGAGGATACAGCCGCTGAAATTGATGATTACAGGCTCCGAAAGACTGGGGCCCTTCTTCGTGTTGCGGAACTTCTGGGTGCTGAATTTGTTGAAAATGTGACGCCATTGCAATTGGTGAGATACCCTTTCAAGAATGCCGCCTGCTCTAGGATATTTGCTGATGTAGGGACTGGAATGACCAGTCCTTGGGCAAACTCCTGTACAGTAGTTCACTGGTCGCTGGAGCATTGTCCCTTTTGACAGAGAGTGAGTGATACATACATCCATTCGCGGGACCGGCAAATTCGCAATGGGTTGAAGCTTATCGTTACTTGTTTCTCACTTAAGACTTCGATATCACCCTCATTCCTTTGTGTGCAGACGACAAAGTACCCGTGTGGAGGCGAAAGCTTGCCATAGCACGCGTTGTCAATGTGATTAGGAAAAGAGATCCAAACCCTGGAAGGCGAGATTGAGGACAAGGAAACAGAGATCCGGGGTATCCAGGAAGCCCGGTCAACACTGACCACTCTGCGGGACTCGAATCTAAAATCAATCTCAGCCGATATCATTCTCGTGGATGAATTCTGGCAGAGAATGAAAGAAGACAGCTTCGCGCTGCTTGATTACGTGGAAGCGGTACAGCTGTGAGTAGCAGATATCCTTCCCCATAGGCTTTGCGATCCGGTGATTGATTGCAACTTGCAGTTCGAATATACCGAGAATGTGATGGAATATGGTATCGAGACTTGTATGTTTCCCCGGATATTTCCTTTCCTACCAGAGTCACGGTCCAGGGAGTCATTTTAGCTAAGCGTTTCTTTGGCACAGACAAGGGCCTCGGGGAATATGTTGCTGATTATGGTCGATCTATCATCAGCGGCATGGGAACACAGGACGAGAAATCTGCTTAGAGTCCGGGAAGTTCAGCAGAGGCGTCCTTTTCTCTGAATGAATGGCGTTTAGACGAGAGATTACTCGTCAGATACATAATGAGCGAACCTAGTAGTTCACGAAAACCCCAACAAACCAATTGACCAAGCGAGTACTATCACAGTATTCGGCCTATAGATACTTTAGCAATAGGAAGCCGAGTTGATGCATTGCTTTTTTTTGAGTGGCTAATACAACCCAATATGTGCTATCCTGGTGCTTCGAAATAGCATTTGTTCTCATCTTTGAAAACGCCCTTCCACACTCAAATCCTCTTGCGGAACTGTATCATGGGTCCCTCCTTGCCGACAACGAAATTATCTTTGATCTTGTATTCGCCATGTTCAGCCACGCGGACATGTCCCATGCCCGGTGCAATTCGCACATCATATAGCCAAGTGCCCTTGCAAGGCCAACCTCTAGTTCCAACAAAGCCACATTTCTCTCAATACAGGCCGAGGACCCAAGCTGAACGGGACAAAAGCTTCCTTTTGTCGTGCAAGAATCTCGGCGCTGACGCCCCCGTCGCCTTGACAAGCCGGGTCGCCACGAAGCAGCCATCGACTCGGTTTGCACGCAAATGGATCGTGAAAGTATATCTCGTCATGATGATTAGTGTAAATGGCACACTGACAATAGTGCGGGTGGGAGATATAAGCTAATAGTACAGAAAGTTTTCGAAAGGAGGGGGCAGTCACGAATGATATAATAACGTGTCTCTAATTTGAAGTCTTTTATTCGTAGAATTCATCCATCTAACACTCGCCTTCCGCCCAAGAACCACTCAATCTATCTATTGCACAACATCTCGCATAACGTCGCCGATAGCCTCAGCGCCGCCACCACCACCGAGCAACTTCTCGTTCGTGGCCTGAATGATGACCCGGCGGTAGCTGATCAGAGGCGGAGACCCGTTATCCTTTACTTCGAGAATAAGATGCAGCAGCTGACCTTTGGCAATCGCCTCTCGACTGATCAATTCCACACAGCACTTCTCCGGTGGAGGGATTGTGACCTCCACCTTGCTGCCGGAATCATTGAGCGGCTTGATCTCCAGCTCGCCCACTTCATGGTGGACAGACCATTGTGTTGCGCTAGGGTCACGGTACTGATACCACTTGAAAGTGAGAGTATCATTGGGATCGGGATCATACGACGCAGAAGCATCAAGCTGGAAGGAGGTACCTGCCTCCAACTCAAAATGAAGCGGTTCTAAACCTTTTCTGCCATTGATCTCGACAACGGGGTGATGGTTTGCTTTGCTCAGGTCTGGCGAGAGAGACCACTGCATCCGAGCGGCGAAGTCTGTCTGGAAAGCATCGCGCCAACGCCAGATAGTTGCGTGATTTGATTTGTGTTTCCGGCCATCAAGACCCACGACTTCGTCCACTGTGTCGCTGAAATGACCGTTCGGAACTCCGCTGCCACTAATGTCTGTGGCAATGTATCGACCACCCCAGGATCCGTATCCCGGCTGTTCCGGCACGCCGAGACCGTTTTGAATAATGTATAGGAACGTCGGTGTATCGCCTTCGGGAATGAACATATAGTCCGGGTACGTGGAGCCTAGCGGACCGATCTGGATATTCTCCTTGATCCATTCCTTGCTGATCTTGGAGGGGTCCGGACCACCCTTGTCGAAACCGTACCAGCCGTCGCCAGAAATGCCGCACCAGGCGGCCATACCGTATTGGTTCCATCCATGGACAGAGCAGATGTAGAAGATATCAGGGAAGTGGTGTCGGATCCAGGCACCCGTGTCGTCTTGGTCCGAGATCGTATAGACGCGTAGTCTTGAGCGCAATTTGGCGGCGTCGGCGGCGGAATGGGTGTTTTTAATTTTGAGGAGGACAGAGGCAAGCACATTTGTTCCACCCCAGCACAGTACCCAAAGAGGGTCTTCAGACGGTGTTTCAATGCGGTCTAAGAGGAGTTGGCCGCCTACGCTGAGGGGAATGTTTTCGCCTACTGCTGTCATGCCATATGCCTGCGAGGGATGAGTTAGAAGACCAAATTCTGAGTGTCTGGTTGAAAGTATGTGTTTACCTCTGCGCCCTTCTTAATCAAAGACCTCAAATACTGGGCGGTCGGATATGGGTCATTAGGATGTGCGTGGGCGTTGAGATTGTCGACCACTTTCTCATAGCCATCGACGATTTTGTGCATGTCTTGCGGGCACACCTTATTCTTCATCCAGGTGGATGTGCACGCAACCAACCCCTCTGTCCGGAATTGATTGGAGTAGAGAAGGTAGCGCACCAAAGACTCGGCATCGTCAGGCTCATTGGAGATATCGCTGAGAATGAAGACACGCGGCTTGGTAGCAAAGGTCTGAAGCTGTGTAGGAGAGGCCATGGCGAACAAGGGATGATGAAGATGGCCTTTCCGGCCACGGTGACGACGGCCATATTTGAATGCCTAGGCTTCCATGAATCACGCTGCCCCAGCAATCGCAACTCGAGCCACGCAGGCCCCAAAGCAGACGAGTGGGGTGATCGTGATTGTGGGGGAGGGGAAAAGGAATTGCCGCTATAATTTGGCCGATGTTCTGCCGGTAGCCCCGGACGGCGGAGGCAGTTGCAACCGCCAGACATTGACAACTTCAGGATCAGACCGGCCTTGCTCCACCGCTGCCGAAACCCACGAATTCCCCAGACTATCCCAACATGTGGTCTGAGACATCCATGAGCCATGCCGGCTCGATTGCGGGGCCCCCAGGTTTAGGAGCTGCTTCCCTTCGATGCCATTCACGCTGCAAGCCAGGCATCTGTAAACGCCGTGAACTAACCTATATAATTAAGCCTCGTCCCCGGTGAGGGAAAAAAAGCAAGATGTCACTCACCCCTGGATTCGGTGTCAGTTATTCGGCTTAGTTCGTCAAATGTTCGATTCGATCAAGCAATCAGTGCTCTACCAGGAGCTGAGTCTCCGTTTGGTCTTCATCGGGTGCTTTGTCTCCCTCGGGGCCATGGGCTTCGGATTCGACAATTCCTGGTGGGGAGGTGCACTGGGTCTATCACCCTTTGGCGAGAAGTACGGTGTATGGGACGAGGCCCAGAATGACTGGGCTGTTCCGTCTGAAAAGCAGTCCGCAGGAACAGGTACGGGCTCTGGCGGTATTATTCTCGGCTGTCTGGCAGCTCCGTGGTTGTGTTCGAATCTGGGTCGCCGACCCACTCTGCTAGTCATGGCAGGCCTTCTTATTGTGGGTATCATCCTGGAGGCCACTGCTTTGACCTCCTTCTGGCAGCTGGTGGTGGGTCGTATCGTCGTCTATTCCGGCATCGGCCTGGCCTCTAATGTGGTGCCCATGTATCAATCGGAGTGTGCACCGGCTAAGATTCGAGGTGCGTTGCGAATATTTCTTGATTGAATGTTCGATCAAGACTCATATCATATAGGCGCTTTCCTGGCTGCTTACTCGTTCTGGAACACCTTCGGTGGTTTCATGGCCACGCTGGTCGTGTACTTATGTCAGAGAATCACAAGTCAATGGGCCTATCTGTAAGAACTGGGCCTTTCATTCTGTTTGAGACAAATCCTAACACAGTCTTCCTAGTACCGTGATTCTTTGTCAGCTCACGGTTCCTATCGGCATTCTCCTTTCCTACCATTTCCTTCCCGAAACACCACGGTTTCTGGTTTACCGTGGGCGGTTCGAAGAAGCCGAAGCTGCCATTAAAGATTTGTATGGTCCCAACTACAACGCAGCTGAAGAAGTGCAGCTTCTACGACTCCAGGTCGAAGAACAGCGTGAGCTCCACAAAGCGACCAGCATTATGGACTGTTTCAAAGGCACCAACCTGCGGCGCACAATCATCGCCGCAGGGGTTCAAATCCTGCAACAGGCTCAGGGCATCTCTTTCATCAACAACTTCATCGTGACCTTCATGAAGCAGCTCGGATTCTCCGATCCTCTGAAATACAATGTGATCGTCATTGCCTGTGGTTTAATCGCCAACATGATCTCTTTCTATACCTTCGATAAGATCGGTCGACGATCGAACATGTTCTGGGGTGCGTTCCTCATGGCCGCGATGATGCTCGGCGTCGGCGGCACGACAGCCAACGGCTACAATGTCCTTTCTCCGATGACGCAGAATGGCTGCATCGCCATGCTGGTTCTTTGGTATTTCTTCTACGGCCTCTCCTGGGGACCAGGTGTGTGGATCCTGGGTGGAGAGATCGGAACCGGTCAACTCCGTGAGCACACTTTGCTTTTGTCCAGTCTGGGCAGTTTCGTCACTTCGGTGCCCATCAATTTCGTGAATCCGTATGTTCAGGCCGCCATTGGTGGTCGAACGGCCATCATCTATGGTAGCTTCTCTGTTGCCGCGATAGCATTTGTCTACTTCTTGCTTCCCGAGACGAAGGATCGATCCTTGGAGGAACTGGATGAAATGTTTCAGCAGAAGGTTCCGACGCGGCAGTTCAAGGGATATGTCTGCACTGGATTGGGTGCCCAGATCAGAAACCTGGAGAACAAGGACGATGTCGCCGAGAAGAAGATCAAGGATGTTGAGCATATTGAAGCTGCTATATAAATGTTTGTTAGTCGGTCCAGTGGTTCGGTCTATGTGGCAGGGCAATATTAACCAGGCCGCAGTGTATAGAAATCAATGTCAACTTTTGGAATATGAAAGGACTGTACCATCGAGCTTTTCGAGTTATCTACTAAATCGTTGCGACAATCCACAGGCTTGGCATCTTGAAAGGCCATCGCGATGTCTCGAGATCCTTCGCGGGCCCTAACATGACGAGCCAATACTAAGAGTAGACGTGCTCTATCCCCGTGTGTTAGCTCTGCAAGCCAAGCTGGATCTACACTATGTCGCAGCTATATAGGCTAAAAACGCCAATATCAGCCTGTTTGAGCGGGGTAAATGCATACCTCAAATAGCCTGGCTTTCATCTAGGTAGATAGCATATTCACGTCAGTCTTCAATCAAACTGAGAACTTACGTTGATTAATCTTACTGAACCCATCTTCAGAAAGCCTTCCCAATCAAAGCAAGTAGCTATGTCAGACTCAAGCGACCAATACACCTTCCAAGATGCACTTCACTCTATCCAGCATGGAAATGAAAGTTTATCGGACGCAACAGCTCGTCTACTCTCCCAACTCACTCAGTCCGAACGGTTGTGGCTTCTTGACGGCGACGAATCTTTCTGGCCTGGACTGGGACAGATGATGTTAGATCGTTATAACCGTCACCCCTATGTGCATGGTGCTGTTCCTCGGCTATCTATTCCAGGAGTCCGTTTCACAGATGGACCACGAGGTGTGGTCTTGGAAGAGTCAACTACATTTCCAATCTCCATGGCAAGAGGAGCGACTTGGGATATATCGCTCGAGCGAAGAATCGGCCAGGCAATTGGACTGGAAGCAAAGGCTCAGGGGGCCAACTTCTTCGCTGGAGTCTGTGTCAACCTGCCTCGTCACCCTGCCTGGGGCCGAATCCAGGAAACATATAGCGAGGACCCTCTGCTACTGGGTGACTTCGGGTTAGCTCTGACACAAGGCGTGCAGGAGCATGTCATGGCATGTGTCAAACATTATGCCCTGAACTCGATGGAGAACGCACGATTCCGAGTCGATGTTAAGATTGACGAGGATGTGCTGCACGAGGTTTTCCTTGCCCATTTCCGGAAGATCATCGAGGGTGGAGCCGCGTCCGTGATGTCATCCTATAATTCGGTCAATGGCGAATGGGCTGGACAGAACCATGATCTTTTAACAGACATTCTTCGTGAGAAATGGGGGTTTGACGGATTTGTGATGTCTGATTTCATGTTCGGTTTGCGAGATTCGGCGAAATCCGTCAAGAATGGTCTGGACATCGAAGCACCTTTCCGTCAGCAGAGAGCTATGCGCCTTGAGAATGCCCTTGGTGCAGGCGAGCTAGATTGGTCTCATGTGGATCGATCGTGCGAGAGAATCTTACGCAAGCAACTCGAATTCACTCTTCGCACCGCAGAAAGCCAGCCAGATCGATCCGTCGTATTTTGCGAGGAACACAGAGCACTGTCGCGTGAGGCAGCGGCTCGCTCGATGGTCCTTCTAAAGAATGAGGTTGTTGATGGCCAACGTAACCTCCCCTTGAAAACCGAGTCTATATCAAAGATTGCCGTCGTCGGCCGGTTGGCGAATATTGCCAACACCGGTGACAAGGGGTCTTCGCAAACATTCTCGCCTCATGTCGTTACTCCACTCGAAGGAGTACGAAAGGCTTTTCCAGATGCTGAGGTCACCCATGCCGTTTCCTTAGAGGAAGCAAAACACGTTGCTTCTCAGGCTGACATCGTCATCTGTGTGGTGGGATTCGACCATGAAGATGAAGGCGAATATTGCATTCCAGCTCTGAGGGAAAACCCGAGCCTCCGAACAGTATTCCCTCCGACCAACGGCCCTGAAGATGAGCGAATAAAAAAAATGTATGAAAAGGAAGGGGACGACCAGGGAACTGGAATGACGACCGGTGTCGGTGGCGACCGTAAATCTTTGCGGCTTCGCCCATCTGAAGAAGAACTCATTAAGGAGGTGACGAAGAGTAACCCTCGAACGATTGTGTCGGTTATTGCCGCTGGAACAGTGATGATGGAGTCATGGAGAGAAGTTCCTCCGTCTATATTGCTCAGCTGGTATAGTGGATGTGAAGGTGGACACGCACTAGCAGATGTTCTGCAGGGCAAGATAGATGCTAGTGGTCGATTGCCATTCGCCATCCCCACAGACGAAGCCCATCTACCTTTCTTCGATCGGGACGCATCCGAGATTCGCTATGATCGCTGGTTTGGACAGCATCTCCTAGACAAGCTTGAGGTCTCTTCTGCATTCCCATTCGGATTCGGACTCTCCTACACCGAGTTTAGTATACAGGATGTCACATGTGAGAGGAAAGCAGACAACGGGGAGGAGTTTGAAGTCCTACTTCAAGTGAAAAACCTAGGAAACGTACAGGGACGATTTGTCGCGCAAGTATACGGTCTTCCTGGCGTCCCAGACCTCCCTGCCCGCATTTTGCTTGGCTTTGCTCCCAAAGATATCAATCCAGCTGAGCAGGTAATTGTACGGGTGACTGCATCTTTGCGTCCTCTCCAGAAATGGGTCGCCGGTAGATTCGTTCTCCCCAAAGGCAAGGTCGCAATCGAGGTCGGGCAGTTTTCTGGCGACAAACTGGGGGGAAAGACTGACTTGATCCTGAACTGAGATAATGACCACAGTGATTAGCATAGGATTCCTCCATTACCCTTATAATGAAAGTGCTGGGCTTGTTGTTGATGCATTCTGGTGATTTCGTTTTTGTCCCCCCCAGTCCTTGTAGCGAGCTGGTCACGTTGCCATTGCAAGGCCACAGTTTGCCCAAATGGTTGTTGATGACATACTGAATTCAGAGGCCCGTAAACAAAGATACTTGAAAGAACTCAATTCAAATAGAACGAAAAGAGGAATTGTTGGATGTCGTCCGCCCGTGTGGTTGTGTACTCCGCTGGGCTGGCAAACAAAAAGACTGCTGATGGGTCATGTGCCTACCAGCCCAACAGTGACGAGTGAATTACGACAGTCTAGACAGCATTCCAGAGCTTGGGAACATCTCTTTTACTGCACTTTCTCTCGGTACACGATCAGCCACACCTTCAATCAACTGGAAAGATACATCTGTTCAAAATGATACCTTTGCACCTTCGAATTGAAGAGCGCTACCTTGCCTTAAATAAAATCCTGGGTTCCCTGCTAAATCTTCGTGGCGAAGTCATCACCGATGAGAAAGCTGAACAACTCAGTATCGACATCCACTATTTGGATATTGATACTGGTGCGACATCCGACTCGGTGACTCCTTACTTTCTCCCACGCACATCATTCCCTAGCTGTCGTGACATGAGCGGGGACCTTCATTACATGTTGCTTCCCCAGGGACAGAACCCAAGCAGGGACCATCGATGGAGGATTGAGCAGCCGAAACGAGCGTTGATACTTTTTCCACAGTGCTTGATGCAGGCGTACTTTGATTACGCTTCTGAAATGGATTATGATCGATTGTGGAGAGTTCAGGGTTCCAAGTAAGTCTATTCCTATGCTCAGCTCTAGGCCGCCCTCCAATCATGCCATATCGGTTGCTAACCAACAATGTAGAGTTACGACACATGGTTGGGTGACCGACGGGTGAGTACTTCAATTTGCGAACAACAAATAGGCTGAAAGTATACGCTAATCCCCAGCTAAGCGAAGAGTATTGTCCGTCGAAGGCTCGAATAGTCTCTTTTCTTCACCTTTTTTACCACAGAACTCGATTTGCGACCGATGTTTCGATCTATGAGGATGTTTTCAAAAGTCAAGATAATGAGGTTACTTTTGGTGCCTTTTATCAGAAGATGCGCAATAATATTGCAAATGACAAAGAATTGCACTATCTCAGCGAACTTATCCCGTCTTTCCAGTCTCTAAGCCATGGAATGGCCGACGTTGAAGTTAGGAAATGCCATAATGACTTACCATCAGTCAGTGAACTGCTTGCAGCAGTCAACGCGATTCTACATTCAATGAGAGCGCAAATAAAAGAACTACAAGAGACGAGCTCTGGGCAGAGTTCGCGTTCGCCGATCTTCAATCATATTCTCCCGGTTAGCAGGGTCACTATCCATTTTACAAAGAACCCACTGATGATAGAACTTAGAGGTTAATCCGATGCTTCGATGACTTTGGATATTGCCGCGTGCTTTATGCCTACTTCGATGGTAAGAGGTTGAATGTTCAATTTACGAAGCTTCTGGATTTCACACAATTAGTGATCGATCGCCCAGCTGAAATGCCCTACCGTGATCTTATTGACTTATCCAAACACTATGAGACGATGGATAAACTACTAAAATGGGCATGGCCGGTTGTGCAGGGAGATACTAGTGAAACTGGAATCAAACATACTACCTAGCCGGTGACCATTGTAGATTGAGAAAACAAACCCGGACCTTGCTTCGGAATAGAATTGCCTTATTCTTAATCTGACAGACTTGAACTATTTGCTTCTAGTATCCCAAGAAGCCTAGACGTTTATCATTGCATTGTTACCATCAAACCACATTTGCTATAATTTAATAGATGTTGACAATGGCTGGGCATATGGCAGCCTGAGGCATCAAGGTCTCCACAATGGAAAGTTCTCACGTGCCTGACTTGCATCAGCCGTGGAAATAATGAGAGAAGAAGTAATATTTCCACTCTACGCTAGAACTTCAGGCAGTAGTTCATATTGCAACGCACCGCCAGCGACAGCACGGCGACATCACGGCACGTTCCGTCACTTCATCTTTATCAACTCCATCCAATCGTTTATCTATTAAGGACAACTCTCATCCTCCGAGCTGCCTCAAATCCATTTCAAAGCTTGCAGAGCTGATTCGGACTTGTAAGAAACAATAATCATATGCTACACTGTATCATTCTTATTGATTAACCCCAAAACTGCAGCTGCCACTGCATGAACAGTGAAAGAACCGCCACAACATGACTTCGCTCAATAAGTCGGGCGATACTCAATTTACGGTCTTCATCCGCCTTCCTTTCCCTCGGGGAGAATTTGTCGACCCCCCTCCGGTAAAATGCCATCTTGGGCTGCCCTTAATTGGGAGCGCGGACTGACGCCAACAGGTCGAATGGAACGCTGCCAAGGACCAAGCTCTCTGGGATCTCCTATCGCGTCCGTCCAAGGGAGATGATATAGACTGTAAGAAGTGATCCAATCATAGATTCCCAATCATTGCTAATATGAATACAGGGAAGGCATTGTACGCAGATTGCTCCTAGTACTACAAACCCCCATGCGCGAGTTAACTTGTTTGTTGTTACAGAGCGGAGAGCTTTGACGTTACCCTGCAATTCCTCCTGCAGCAGGCAGCATGGCTGTACGATCGACAGCTTGCTCAGGTTCGCGCACAAATGCGCAAAGTGCCCAACACGCAGTCGAATTCGCCGTCTCCTGCCCCTGGTTCTGTCTCTGGGAGCACGGCTCTGGGGAACCCTCCGGCTAGTAAAGGGGCGCCCACCGCTAGTACTGGTATGCAGCTTTGGCTTTCACCCCATTCATCGCTGAGATCCTTTTTAGGCTCCAGACCGCCAATTCGGTTGACGCTACAGCAGAAGGATAATGTTCCTCCGCGTGGTAAGTTTCATCTTTCCGACATGACGCGTCACCGCCTGTCTCACTTATAATCACTCCAGGCATCATATCACGGCGCACCAGCTCCACAACAACCGTGAACCAGATCAAAGGCCCTCGAGAGTCACCGCGTAATGAAACCCCAGGTGGCGAGCCGAAAGATCCCAGACGCGAAAGCTTTGGTCGACGTCCATCGACAAGCCGACGGGATCAAACGCCTAACATTCCAGTCCACAGGTCGCCAACGCTCGAAGAAGAAGACCTCACGTCAAGCTCCTCCGAGTCTGAATCCGACGACGAGGGGATTATGGCCAGTCGGCGGGGTCCTCGATTCCGGCGATTTGGTAAATTCTCCATGCATCGGCCTGGATTGGGTGACCAGGACGAAGATGAGGATGAATCACCCGCGTTTGTCCCCCTTTCTGCTGAACCTGAGTCTGGCCCCTCCGCCCAGGATCTCAACGCCACCCTTCGCGATGAGCCTGCCGATGCGCGACGGCGGACGGTGAATTCAACTCAGGTTGCAAGACAGCCGATTACGACGGAGTCATCCGCGAGTTCGATCAGCTCGGGGAATCCGGCCACGTTGTCTGTGGGCGACCGACGCCGACGTGCAAATCAGATGGGCGGGCCGTTGAGTCCCCGGCGGACAGAATTGGGGTATAGCCCGCGACGGTCCGTGACGTCTGGAAGAGAGACTAGCGACGGCACCCCCAGCATGGGAAGTAGCTTCAGTGACCTGGATGGTAAGTGTATTCGTCGATTGTCACCCTGACAGCACGTTTGTAGCTAACATATCTGGACCAGATGCAAGCGTCACTCAGTCTGCACTCGAGGAGGCTCTCATGAGTAACATGCAACACGGCGGAATGGCCAGTAGAATGAGTACGATTAGCCAAGCTCTACGGAGTCGGTATTTGTGAGTAGTCAAGCATATCCACAATGATACCAGTAGTACAGAATGAAAGGGGATGAGTTTCATGGTTGCCTGGTACAGATATATATCGTTGTCAGTTTCGTCATCCACACCCTCGGGCAAGTGAGGAAAAGGACAAAGTCCATCACCGAGGATCATCCCTCCCAAGGCCAGTTTAGCGATCCACTAGCCCTCTAGCAAGTCTAGTAGTCCACGAACGCGCATCCTTTTTTAAATGAAATGAACCATTTTCTCCTCCACCCTGGGACGGAATCACGTGGGTCTCCGCTGTCCCGAAGGCGGTGAGCAGCTCACCGGTGCCCCTCGGCTTCTTCTGGGGCGGGCGCTGCAATGCCGAGTCGCTCGACAGCTCCCACTTCCTCAACAATTCAACAGTCTCCTTGTTTTCTCTCCTGTAAGACATTGTACCTTGGATATATCTTCCGCTCGGCTGAGACTGTCAATTGACGTTCCCTGTCCGTCTGCGTGGTGAACCCAGGAAACCCAGCAGGTACTCCTACTAATAGTAATACCCCGCGGGGTTGCGAGCTTACGCTTTGATCGTTTTTCGAGAAAACGGATTCGCTTTGCTAAATTTTCTTTTTCTCTTCTTGTTTATATCTTCCGGTTTGTCAGCTACTTAAGCGTCTGCCAAACGCTAGACAGTCATCTATACAGTGCATTGATAGATACACTGCTCAAGAATCCCGACTACTGGGACCAGACCCGCATCCAGAATGGCAACATCCGAAATGAACGCCGACGCCGAGTCGGTCTACTTCAACAACTTCCCTCCTCCCAAATCCCTACCGAAACACGAAGCCCTCGCGCGAGCCTTCATCGACTACCATGTGGAAGCCAACCGGCGCGTCGTGCTCGTCACGTCCGGCGGAACCACCGTGCCGCTAGAGAACCAGACCGTGCGATTCATCGATAACTTCTCCGCCGGAACGCGAGGCGCTACGTCAGCGGAGTATTTCCTGCAGGAGGGCTACGCCGTGATCTTCCTGCACCGGCAGTTCAGTCTGCTACCGTACTCGCGACACTACAGCCACTCGACCAATTGTTTCTTAGACTTCATGGACGAAGCGCCCCCCTCGGAGTCTACGGGGTCGGATCACGGCCCCGTCGTGGTGCGCAGCGAATACCAGGACGAGATGCGGGACGTGTTGCGGAAATACCGGTATGCGAAGAAGAACAACCTCCTGCTGCTGCTGCCGTTCACTACGATCGCCGAATACCTGTTCGAACTGCGGTCGCTGTCGCAATTGATGAGACCGCTGGGCCCCAACGCGCTCTTCTACCTGGCCGCGGCGGTCAGCGACTTCTTCATCCCGCGCGATCGCATGTCCGAGCACAAGATCCAATCGTCCGAGCTGCCCCCGGAATTCAGCAAGAAGGAGGAAGCGGTCGATTCGTCGGATATCTACACGGGCGGACTCGACACCGCGGCCCCCGGCAATAGCAAGAAACTGGTCATTGACCTGGACCCGGTGCCGAAGTTCCTGCATCGGTTGGTGGACGGCTGGGCCCCCGACGGTAGCATGATCGTGTCGTTCAAGCTAGAGACGGATCCCAATCTGCTGGTATACAAGGCGCAGACGGCGCTCAAGCGGTACTCACATCACCTGGTGATCGGAAATATGCTCTCGACGCGCAAGTGGGAGGTGGTTTTCGTCACGCCCGACGCGCCGTACGAGCGATGGATCCGCGTGCCTAAATCCCGACGCAGCAAGAGTATCTCGGGCGCTGAGGACCAGGTTGGACTGGCAGAAGCCAAGCGGGCGGAGAACGTGGCGGACGGTCATTCCGGGGACAACAGCGAGGCGCGACAGGCCGACAGCGGTCCCGAGGGAGTCGAGATTGAGAATCTGATCATCCCGGAGTTGGTCAAGTTACACACGAAGAAGATCAACACGCATAACAGCAAGGCATGAGGAAGGAAGATTGGGAGGGAGTATAAAACGGGATAATAAGAAACAGTCAGGGGGGTGACTCTTCAGAGAGCGTTAAGAACAGATGGTCTTTTAGTATTGGCGTTTATTCCACGATCCTTGAGCCATGAAAATAGATATGAGAATAAACATGAGACCGGCAGCAGATTGAATTCTTATTGCAGGTGGAGAAGGGGTTGTCGTCATCCCGCGGCAAGACTGGACGATCGGTATTGACTAGTAACGGGAGGTACCTGCACTTTGGTACGGCAGTCTACTGTGGCCCATGTACCTCCTGTGTGTACTGTATGTCCGTGACTGTGTATGTTCGTCTGACATTCTTCAGGGGCTGCAGTCATTCTGGATTCTTTCTGTGGTATGTTTCTGCTTGCTAGATACTCTCTAACTCTCCAAGGACTATACGGAGTATGCGATGTGAACTGTCTACATGGACAGGTGGACACCAAGTCACTAACCACCACTAACTCTACCCCAAACCTCCCCCATATTGATCATGGTCACACCTAATATTCTCTTCTTTACTTCTTTTTTCTCCCCGTCCTTTCATCCTTCCTGTACCAAAGGACACGGCCCAACGGCTGACCCCAACGTACCAGAGGGGGCCGGGTTTCACTTTGACGTCTGGCGCTCTTTAGCCGCCGTGTCCATTTCGTTCCCATTCCGAAACTAACGCGTCATCGACGACTGTTCAGATCGCCATGGAGAGTGGGCCGATCGTCCCTCCGCCTGTCTACATACGTCCTCCTCGTCTGGCTTCGCCGCTTAGCCAAAAAACGTGCAAACTGCGGTGCCTGCGTCGATCGCTTTTGACCCCCGTCATCCTTTTTTCCTTTTTCCCCCTCTTCTCGCCGTCTCTTTCCTCCTCTTTCTCTTTCTCTTTCTCTTTCTCTTTCTCTTTCTCTTTCTCCTCTCTCCTCAGTCTCACTCCTACGTCTCCTCACCCACCACCCCTCTCCGTCGCTTCATCTCCTCGAGCATCATCCTTGTCCCGGATTCTGTCCCGCGGTTTTGATTGAACGGCACTCGAAGAACTAAGCAATTATCCTCCGAACCAATCACACGAGTGACGAGACACTTCCAGCTGACGGGAGGAACGAACCGACCAACTAAGGCATTTGGGGGATAAAAACTAAAAAACAAAAAACAAAAAATGGTGACAGTCGGTTCCATCATTTGGGAGGATCGGTCATAATTTCACTTTGTTTCATTTCCAATTGCTCTGCGTGGTGGTCACTTTGAACCAGCCACGACTTGAATCCAACTGCCACACAACCGCCCGCCTTGCTCGAAGCTCCCCGCAAAAACTAGGATGATTCCCACACGCCCGTTCCGCCGTCGCACCACCTTCCTCGCCGCCCTCCTCGGCCTCTTCCTCCTCTACCACTTCCTCACAATCCGATCCGAGCTACAACCGCCTCATGAGCGACGACGGGTCGACTGCCCGCCCTTACCGGGCATGGAGGACGTGCTGGTGGTGCTGAAAACCGGGGTGACGGAGGCGATGGATAAAATCCCGATCCACTTCCAGACCACGCTGCGCTGCGTGCCACACTATGTGGTCTTTTCCGACTTCGAGGAGGAGATCGGGGGCATTCGCGTCTACGATGCACTGCAGAACATGGACCCGGAGGTGAAGCGCACGGTGCCGGACTTCGACATCTACAACCGCCTGCAGCGTCAGGGCCGAGCGGGCCTCGCGACTGACGACTTCGCCGACGAGGCCAACTCGGCCATCGGAAAACCCAACAACCCCGGGTGGAAGCTGGACAAGTGGAAGTTCCTGCCCATGGTGCAGGAGTCCCTCAAATACAAGCCTGACGCCAAGTGGTTCGTGTTCATGGAAGCGGACACGTATTTTTCCTGGGGCACTCTCATGGAGTGGCTGTCGCATTTCGACGCCTCCAAACCATACTACATCGGCACCGAGACGCAAATCGCGGACGTCATTTTCGCTCATGGCGGCTCGGGCTTCGTCGTCTCCCGACCGGCCATGCAGCTTGTCAACGACGACTACAACGCCCGTTCCGTGTTGCTGAACGAGTACACGGACGGCCACTGGGCCGGCGACTGCGTGCTGGGCAAGGTGCTCGCCGACAACGGCGTCAATCTGCACTATTCATGGCCTATCCTACAGAACTCCAACGTCGGCGAACTCGACGAGTTCACCACCGGCTTCTACCGCGAACCGTGGTGTTTCCCAGCCGCCGCGTTCCATCACGTCGGAGCATCCGATATCCAAGACCTGGCGCAATTTGAAATGCACCGCTGGCGACTAGTAAGCTCTCCCCTTGCATTAATATCTTCCCAACACAACCAACCAACCCACTAACCAAATCTTTCTAAATCAACAGTCCCAGAAAACCACCCTCCTCCACAAAGACGTCTTCCAAGAACTCATCTACCCCGAAATCTCCAACGTCCGCGACAACTGGGACAACCTCTCCGAAGACGAGCAACTCGTCGTCTCCTCCTTCCACGAATGCAAATCCATCTGCACCAACGACCCCGACTGCGTGCAATTCGTCTACCGCTCCGAGAAGTGCTACACGGGGAAGACGCCCCGGCTTGGGGTGCGGAACCCCGAGGCCCGCGCGGGTTGGATCGTGCGGCGCGTCGAGAACATGGTCGATAAGGCGTCGTCGTGTTCGAAGACGAATTGGGGTGTTTAATTCTTAAATTTTCATGTGATGATACTCTCCGGAGTACTTTTCTTTGAGATGGGTTTTATGATTGGATTGGATTGTCTTGGTTGGGTTTGGATTTGATCGCGGGTCGATGAAAATGGAATACGCTTCTTCTTCTTATCTTTATGTTTTAATACTCTTATAGACTTGTTTTGTCTTTGCTTCTTCTTTGATCATTGGTTTCTTGTCTATTGCTTTTGATCATTTTCTTCTAGTTTTTGTTTCATTTCTATCGTTGTCTGTTTGCCTTTTTTTCATTATTCTCTGTGGAGAAAGGCGTATTTGTTAAGGGTGGTGCTTTATGCATTGGGCTCGGGAGTTCTATGTGCTGACTTGATTCCATTCTGGATATTCCGTCTTTCTCTTTATCATATCCGATTGTTTGTGGCTCTAACCATACCGCGATTGCAGACAGACTAATCATGTCCGACGCTATCAAGAAATAACAAACAAACAATAAAATACCATCAATCAATCAACCAGACTCTCTTACTCTTCAATTCGTCCAGTTCTTGATCGAGTGACTAACTGGCCGTGCAATCCATCCCATCGAACCAAAAGCTCAAACCGGTTTCGGACTCGCAGGATCGCCCAAACACTGATCAACCCTCATTACCTTAAACCCCATCTTCTTTACCCCCCTGATCACATCCACCAAATACCCCACCGTACTCTCACTCACAAAGTGCACGACGGCCAAATTCCCTCCCCTGCGCACATCCCGGTAGAATGCCTCGAGCTGGCGCTCCGGGGTGCTGGTATTCGCCCAAAGCCAGTCCTCGATGTCGACGCTCCAGTTGATGATTTGCGGGTTGGTGAGATGCGTCGCGAGGCGCTGGCGGGTGCGCGCGCCGATGGTGCCGTAGGGGGGACGGAAGTACCGAGCTGTTCTGTCTGTTAGCTGGGCATATCCTGGTAGGTGAAGAGTAGATAGGGAGGTATGTACACTCGATGCCTAGATGGTCCTTCAGAGCATAGATATTGCGCGTGATTTCGGCATCGATTTCATCGTTCGATGAGAGGGATTCGATTCTAGATGGCAAAGAAACTTAAGTATTAGTTTTCATGATCATATCACCCCCATCCAAACCACTAACTTTGCCCCTTTCGCACAAACAAGACAGATAGAGAGGATAAGAAAGACCTACTTCCGATGCGTCTCCGAATGCAACGCAATCTGATGTCCCCTCGTTTTCATCTCGCGATACACAGCCGAGAAATTCGTCTCCGGGTCCTTAATCCCCATGCCCACCACAAAAAAGGTCACCAAGATGCCCTCATCCTCCAGGATCTGCATAACCCTCCTCGCAAGGCCCGGTTTCCCATCGTCGATGCCAAACGCAAACGAATTCGGCACAGTGCATCGCATATGGAGCGTCCCGCTAGGCAGTTTCCTCGGGACCCGAAAGGAATGAGGCACGTTCGTCCTAGAGACGAGGTCCACGCGGTAGATGGTGGTCGGGTCGGAGGTATAGAAGCCGCTGAAACCGACGGAGACGACGCGGTGGTGATCGATGTTGAAGTGGCTGAGGGGGATATAGATTTCTCTGGCGCTGTGCGCGGCGGTGCTGAGGGCTTCATAGCGGGCTGCTTCGACGGTATCCCATGTCTCTGGGTAGGGGTGGATAGAGGGATCACAGGCGTAGTTGTGTTGGGTCAAGGAGACTCCGAAGGTCGCGGGCCCGGAAAAGACGACGTGGAGGTAGCGGTCTTGGTAGGGCGTGAGGTTGAAGCATTGAGCGTGACTGAGCTGCGTGTGATAGGCTTGATCGGGGTCGCTCGGATACAGAGTGATTGAGCCTGGGGAGGTGGTGAAAGGAAGGTCTTCGAGAGTTCCGTGCCAGTGTCCCAGGGCGTTCGTTTCGTTGTTGGAGAAGGTGTCGATGGTGAGAGGGCCGGTGTAGCTTAGTGGCTGGGAGAAGGTGGTAAATTGGGAGGGAGAGGGGGAGGAAGAAGAGGGAGGTAGGAATATAGCAAGGATTAACGCTGCGGAAAGAAAATACATTCTGTTTTCCTTTTTTCTTGAGTATTCGGTGCAGTGGGAGAATAAGAATCATATCTAAGGTGAGATGTACGCTTACTACGGTGTTTACTGCGTTCCTACAAACGGAAGGAGCGAGGCTCATCTACCAAGAGCGCATAGTAGGAAACTCATGAATTATTTTACTTCTTAAAGGCGCCCATACAAAGTCACAGCTAGTCATCCTTCCGCACCAAATACCCCCAACTCTCCAGTAGCCAGTGATACCCAGTTCTGGGAAAGTCAACCGGCCCGTGGTCAATGTAGGGTCATCCCTCTTCGAAGTCTGGGCAGGACAGGTAGGATCAGAGAGCCAGCTCTGAGAGGAAAACGGAAACAAACGAGTACCGGGTGGAGGGCTTGAACGGCAATGAGGTGGTTTCCTCTAGACAGTCCAAAGCCACCGGCAGAGAAGCAAGTGATTACTCCCAGCCAGCAACCGGGGCAGGGGCAGCATCATCGGACGCGTCCATTGGAATGCCACCCCAAGCTGCGCCAGTGTCGTTGTCTCCGCCATCGTTGACACCGTCTGCCTCATCATCGGTGTCATCGTCAAAAGTGATCCTCTCATCGATAGGCTTGTACGACTCCAGGAAGTTTGGAATCCTCTGTTTGCTCTCAACCAGGATCTTGACAAGTTCCGGAGCGAGATCACTATCACGGTCATTGTAGAATGAGGTAGCGAGTCCTTCGTTGCCAATGCGTGCAGTACGCCCTGTTCATTATTAGTACTCATAATTACCTGCCAGGAAGACAGAAAACTGACCGATACGGTGGATATACTCGGTAATGCCGCCGTGGGCCATACGAGGAAGGTTGAAGTTGATGACATGCATCACGTTTTTTATATCAAGACCACGGGCAGAAACACCGGTAGCCACGAGGATAGGACATTTGGCAGTCCGGAAGGCGCGCCTGCGGTAGGTTAGACAAGACTCTCACTCATGACAGACATAATACTGACAAAGCATCTTCACGCTCACGCTGGGTACGGTCAGAGTGAATTGAGGTGCTTGGCAAGCCCATGTTGTACAGGTAGTCATCGAGTAGATCGGCATCCTTCTTGAAGTTCACAAAGATCAAGGTACGGGAAGGGGGCATGGAAAGAAGCAAGTCGTAGAGACACTGCTTCTTGAGGTGATCCTCCGCATAGACAATCTAAAACTGTCAGTCGTAACCCGGACATCGGTCGGCAAGAGCCTTACGTTTTGATCCACGTTGATGTGAGTACTGCCCGGACGTCCAATACGAATGCGGACGTGGTCATCGGCCAGGTATTTACGAGCCAACTCGCGGCAGGATTTGTTGAAGGTAGCTGAGAACATCATGTATCTGTGGTCCGCATCCTCGTTGACGTCTGCACCTGTTAGCATCGATGTTATCAAAGCAGCAAGAAAGTGAAGCTTGCCTCCACCGGACATGATCTTGACAAAATCGGATTCCCAGTCCGACAGGAGAAGTTCGTCAGCCTCGTCAATGATGGTGTACCTGAAGAACAGTTTAGCAATTGCCCAACCACTAGCTTGGCGGACCTACTTCACACGACGAAGCGACAGGATGTGAGGCTTGTCCATAAAGTCCATCAGGCGACCGGGGGTCCCAATGAGAATATCACATCCCTTCGCCAGTTCCTCACGCTGACCACGCACAGGAGCGCCGCCATAGACAACGCAGGGACGCAGCATAGATCTGTAGCACAGACGACGCGCCTCGTCGAAGATCTGGGTTGAAAGTTCTCTGGTGGGAGCAACAATCAATACCAACGGCTCGGCGCGAACGGCGTCAACGGTTGGATCGTATCCCTCGACCAGGTTGGGGCGTTTGGCTGCCAATTTTTTCGCCTTTCCCATCAGCTGCGAAAGTACGGGAATCAGAAATGCCGCAGTTTTTCCAGAACCTACCCTGTCAGCCAGATGTCACTGAAGACGATCACGGTGAGCACTTACCAGTTTGCGCAATGGCAATGAGGTCATGTCCAGTCAGCACTGCGGGAATAGAATATGCCTGAATCGGAGTAGGGTACTCGTAGTGGCAAAGACGAATGTTTTCGCGCACAATCGGGTGCAGTCCGGCGTCGTCGAACTTCAAGATTGTTAGCAGTTTCGTTGGTAAGATGACACTTGATAGAGGACTTACATCTCTGACGGGTTTCGGACGCTCGTGACTCTCGGCAATGACATCGATGTTCTGCAGGCTTGAAGAAATAAGCCAACGAAGGTTAAATCTGGTAGGAAGGCATCTTGTACGTACTTGCCAAGCTTCAAACCCGCCCTGTTGATGTACTCGCTGCGGAACAACATCTCCTCCAGCTCAGGACTCCTCGGGCCGACATCGCCATACTCGTCTTTCCACTCGTATTTGGCAGCATTGGCTGCCCACTCAGGAAGTTCGAGCTGGGCTTCTTCCTCGGAGGGCTTGGGAAGGGGGGGCAAGTTACCACCATACTTTGTATAGTCGTAGCTCTCGGGCTTACTCCAGCCCTTTTCCTGGGCAGCAGTGACCTTGTCTTGGACATTGGTCACATCGTGGAGGGCAGTCTCCATTTCGGTAGTAGAGAAGCTATCCATGATGTCTTCAAAACACGGAGGAGTGCACGTGTTGAGGGGCAAAGATAAGAACGCGATGGGAAAGGTTCGTGAATTGAAAAGAGACAGCCCGAAGAGATTATCGACCAACAGAGTTGAAAGATGGTCTCAAGTGAGAAAATGCAAAACACGACACTCGATAAGTAAGAAAGAAGAAACACCAAGGGGGTTGGAGATGTGTTGATGGAAAGAAAGAGGGAGAGAGGAAGAGGAAGAAGGAGGAAGAAGGTGGGCGGGAGAAGAGGAAACAGAAGAGAGCGAGGGAGAGGGGGAGGAGTGAATATAAACAAAGCACTCAGCTCCCCGGTGACCGTCCACGGTACTGTCAACACTTTAGCAGAGGCCTCCCTTGTGACTGGAAGCTCAGAGAGCGTCTGCCACACAGAATAAACGTAGAATGGCAAAGAATACTTATCTGTCCGGGACCTGAGAAATCCCGTAGAAGCAAGCCATGTCTCAGAGAATTGGGCACCATTTCGAGCTCTGCAGGAACCTTCACTCTACAGGCAAGTTCACTTCACTTCTGATCCAATGAGAGGAGTCTACGGGCAATAAATCTGGCACCTTGGTGTTCTGGAAAGCCATGGAAACGAGGAGGATGCAAGTATCCGGACTGTGTGGCTGTTGACGAAGCCTCCGTGCCTGAATTAGAAGTTGATTCAGACAGCTGCAATCTATCTTTGTTTGACGCTTTAGCTGTGGTGGTCTTCTTTTTTTCTTTTTTCATCTGACTTTTTCCTTCTCTCTCAAATGCATGTTGCCTTGTTTACTATCAGAGTGGGCGGAGTATAGAGAGGACTGATGTAGCGCTTTCCTATATTTATTATTTTAGTCTCTGGGTTTTTGTGGTTTTGAATTTGAATTGTCCATATTTTTGCAAGAAGAATACCTGAGAATGGCTGCTCTATACTTCACTTCGTAGTGAATGTAGTCCGTGGGTGCCTTAAGCCCTATGGCTCATGCCTTGCTGCCTTGCTGCCTCGTTGCCTGACACGGCTGCCTGACAGCCTCAGGAGGCGAGGACGTCACGCGAGGCGAAGTCGAGTGAGGCCGTCAACCTCAACCTCAACCTCAACATCAACCTGGAACTTGTCGGCTCTCCTTGCGTCCCGGCATCCTGCTACCCTGCTACCCTGCTACCCTGGCACGAGCATATCGCCTCTCTGCGAAAGGATGACGGGACTCCTCCAGTGGTTCCACCGCGACCGCTCAACGGAAGCGGGCAGAAGGAGATATACGCCGTAGGGACCATCACGGCTATCCCCATTGATCCGGCCTGGAGATTCGCCCCGGTCGCTCGGAAGTCCCTTAATCCTCGTTCTCGTTCTCGATGTTATCAGATCGATCCGCTTCTTTCCTCTCTCCTCCTCATTCCTCCTCATCTCCATTGTCCGACCATGTCATCCTCAAGTCCTGATCCCGCCCGCAGCGGTGTTCGGCTGGACCGAGCTATCTTCAATCCCGGTGCCGTCAAGATCAACGTTAAAGGGGCCTTCATCGTCGATGAGGATCCTCGGTCCAAGAGCCCCGTCAGGACCGATGGCGTTCACTACGAAGGTCACGATATTCGTCTGCCTCAACACAACGGTCTAGTGAGCCATGTCGCTGTCGATGTACGTTTCTCACCTGTCTACTTTTTTTTTTTCTGCTTCCGCTGTTCCCCGCACATTTTCCACCCCGCAATCCTACTCAGCTATCGCCCTCTTTTTTTTTTCTTCACCCACGCACAACGTCGCATCATTGAGACTAACGACTTTTCGTACTGTTCTAGATTGGCGGATCGCTGGCGAAACTGGTTTACTTTACTCGGGAGCTGGACTCTCCGGACAATGGCGGCCGATTGAACTTTATCAACTTCGAGACCCACCGCATAGACCTGTGCATTGATTTCATCAAAGAGCTGAAGGAGGAACATGAGAAGGCCAATGGCCCGTCTCCGGATCAACTTTGCGTGGTCGCCACCGGAGGAGGTGCCTATAAATACTACGACAAACTGAAGGAGGCGTTGCAAGTGAACATTATCCGCGAAGACGAGATGGAATGCTTGATCACCGGTGCGTCGAACTCCCGGTTCAAGGAGGAATGCAACTAATAATAGCGGCAACAGGTCTCGACTTCTTCATTACCGAAATCCCCAACGAAATCTTTACCTACAGCGAAATCGACCCGATGCAGTTTGCCGAGGCCCGACCGGACGTCTACCCGTATTTATTAGTCAACATCGGCTCCGGTGTCTCCATGATCAAGGTGTCCGGCCCCAAACAATACCAGCGCGTGGGAGGAACCCACCTGGGTGGTGGAACGTTCTGGGGAATCATGTCCCTGTTGACCGGGGCTCGGACCTTTGACGAAATGTTGGCGATGGCCGATCAAGGCGACAATAGCGGCGTTGATATGCTGGTCGGGGACATCTACGGAATGGACTATAATAAAATTGGATTGAAGAGTACGGCAATTGCCAGCACGTTTGGAAAGGTGTTTCGCTTGAAGAGTGCTGCCGAACAGGAATCGGGTTCCGAAGGCGACGAGGCGCAGGAGGAAAGCGACCAGACGAATGGGGATGTCAAATTCAAGAATGAGGACATGAGCCGCAGTCTGCTTTATGCGATCAGGTAAGTTGGCAGCCGCGCGCGACTGGGCAATATGGATGGCTAACGAACCTAGTAACAACATTGGACAAATTGCCTACCTCCAATCGGAGAAGCAGCAAGTCAAGCACATCTATTTCGGCGGCTCCTTTATCCGCGGTCACCGACAGACCATGAACACGCTGTCTTACGCCATCCGATTCTGGTCCAAGGGCGAGAAGCAAGCCTATTTCCTGCGCCACGAAGGATACATCGGTGCCGTCGGCGCCTTTCTACGCAGAAAGCCCGTTAACTGGGGCCGTCGCAATAGCATCGACGGCGCCTCTTCCTGATTTCCTGAAACCCAATCATCCTTAATAGAAGCGACCATGACTGCATGCCCAATCTCCATGCGTTTGTGAATCACTCCAGGGCCGGTCCGACTTCCTGGCCCAATGATACCCGTTGAAGTTCAACAAAATCTGGTGCAGATTAGACCCGAAATATTGTCATTTTGTCTGGTTGGATGTCTGTTATTACGGCCTAAAACACGAGCGTGTGCCAGCTATCATTTTGAGCGTTTTGTACATTTACGAGATCATTTTACCTTTCATCTAATTTTTTCTTTATATGTTTCAAGTGTTTCATGGTCATCTATGCCAAGGAGCCACCAATGCTACCTAGATTTGTCTTGACTCCCACGAATGCAACATATACGGGAAAGTGGCTATGCTGAGCGACACAATGTCTAGGTTTCAATCCATCGTAGCCATGCGCATTGGGTATTGCGCAGCGCAATTGTTTCGGATGGCTGCGGCGTCGACGTAGCGGTCTGCAACTGTCCAATCTATCGGTCTGCCGGCACTCCACTTCTACTACTGATTCATCGCCCGATGTTTTTCATGTGCTCCGGGTGCACGGCGTATAACTGAAGAATAGGATATCATGGCCCGACATCCGGTGATATTCCCTGCTGGATCTCTCGCTACGCAGAGAGCTACTTACCCAATGGGGAACAGCTGCATCTGCGTCTTTCTACTAGCGCCTCGCCAATTGTCGCCAATTGTCTTGATCGCTACTGGCGGTTCCAGAGACTCTCGTTTGCCTGCTGAATCTCTAGGGCACTATTGAATACCCGGCACTGCGCAATCTCTCCCTGTCTCATCTCCTAGAAATCGGGCCATCGCCAACATGCGCGGCCGGTAAGCGATGCCCCTTCAATTCACAACAATATCCTTCTAACACTGACGAAAACCAGCCAACCCGACGCCATCAGGCTCATCCAGTCGGAATCCGACGACGAGCGCAAACCCTCTTTGTCGCCCGATTCCCCAGACCCCGCATCCACAATGGTTGTCGTGCAATCTCCACCCATCTTCGGACCCGACCGGCCTTTCCCCTCTCACATTATCGATCTTCTCAAGGAATATCATCGACATAATGGGCCCCGGGCGCCGCAGTTCGCATACAAGGGACGACCGTCCTCCCCGTCAAAAGTGTTTGATCGGCAGGGTAAGGAAGTTGATTTGTCGCTGTTTTCTATCGTCGAGCCCTGCCAGTACAGGGTCCTGGTGCTTCATCGACCGGGGGTACGGGACAATCTGGTGACTTGCCATCTGCCGTACGCGTCGAAATATGGGACATATTTGATGGCGTGGCTGGGGGAGGAGAAGGGGTATGAGACAGATTGCTGCGCCGTGAGAATTTTCAATCGCGACCTCAATGCGATTCGGTTTTCACATCAGGTGTGGACGGCGCTGGATGATATGAGGATGAAGTCTCAGGGCGTGTCACAGACGAAGGATACTACGCTCAAGAACAAGAGGGTCGAGACGCCGCGGTCGACCAGGGCGACCAGGGCGAATGGTGCTGCAAATGGCCGGAGTGCCAACACCAGCACGAATCGCAACACCAGCACATCCAACAAAACTGCCACCTCAATGAGCAATGGAAACAGCCACGCAGATACCGATTCCGGAAGCGAATACGAAACATATTCTGGCTCTGACGACAGCTCGGAAGAGGAAACGTCGGACGAAGAGGAGGTATCGTTACCGCCGGCGAAAAAGGTGAAGACTGTACCAGAGACTCCCACTGCGCGGTCGACTCCAGGCTCGGCGGTCTTCAAGCTGGTCTCCTACAAGTCCGGAGCCATTCGGTGCTTTCCTCTAGAGGAATGCAAGACGGGCAAGGACCTGTTCCAGAAAGCTCGCGATTTCTTTCGTCTGTTTGACCGGAAAGTGGACGTGAAGATCCTGTCCTGTCAGATCTCGTCGCGGGCAGAACAGCATTATTTATTTGAGGGTAGCGAGGGAGAATTTGCGTTGCTTGTCGAGCAGGTCAAGGGGACTCAGGCAGGGGGGAGGTGCACGGTGGAAATTGGACATGTTTTGTCGTGTTGATTTTTATTCCTCTTTGGTTGGTATATTCACAATTGATATCTCGTATAGCATAATGATAGAATGACAATAGAACATGTTTACCCAGCGATCTTTACTCCCGTTCATACTTCTGTTGATTCCGAAACCGACTTAGCGTCTTGGCTAGTGCATCGTCATCTACTCTCCCCATCTCCATCTCCATCTCCATCTTCATCTTATCCTCCTCTCCTCCCCGACAGTAGCATTCGCCATGCCTCACAAATGAATCCGCGTCTGCTCGATGCCTTCATTGTCCGACTCGCCTCCGCCCGTCCCCCCGCCCGTCCCCGTCGAAACCCATCCCTACCGAACCGTCGGCCACCAATCTCCCGCGCAGCAGCGCGCCCTGCCCGATCCGACCCGCCTCGCCCCTGAAGACGCCTACTATACGCAGTCGCTGACACGTACGCGATCGACCGCCGACGGTACCGGCACCAGCACCGGCGACTACGATGACTCGGTCGGCGTGTTGAACGGCGCCGCGGCGTCCGTGGCGGCGTTGCGACCGCTGCCTGCGCCGGGGCGAAAGGATGCCCGTAAAGTGCGAGGCACAAGCAGACGCAGACGGAAGGGGGCGTGGAAGAAGCTTCTTTGGGTGAAGCAGTCTTGTAGGTGGTTACATCCTCTGGTTCATTTGACTCGGGGGGTTCTGTTTGAATGGGAAATGAAATGAGAGAGGCTAATTGGCATTGGCATTGGCATTGGCTCTTTAGATCCTGATAATTACACCGACACCGAAACCTTCCTGGATCATCTCCAACGCAACCCGCGCGTGCGGCCCTACGATTTCTGGCCCCTGGTCGCCGATTCGACCGTCATTGTGCAGCACGTCTGCTCCGTCATTATATTCGTGTGCTGTTTCGTCGGCATCGTGCAGGGGCGCGTCAGCCCCGTTTCGGTCGTCTGCTGGGGCAGCGTCGGGTCGGCGTTTGGTTGGATTCTCTGGGATTCGTGGATGCTACGGGAACAAGGGGAGGGGTTTCAGGGGGCCGATGGGTCCTTGGAAGGAGATGACGGGTCGAGTTCTAGCTCGTTGACTAGCTCGGGGAATCCGGCCGGGTGGTCGCACGGACAGAAGGACGGACAGGTGCATGGGTTGGGGTTGACCATGAATGAAACGGATGGAGGGGACAGTGCCCAGGAGCAGCAGCAGCAGCAGCAGCAGCAGCAACAGACTACAAGCCAAGCGAATGCGTTTGTCGGTCGGTTTGACACTGGAAAGTCGTCGTTGCTGTCGGCAAGGAACCGCCAACGGCTGTCGACGGTGAAGTCGGCGTTCTTGATCTACTGTGCGCTGCTGGGTCTCAGCCCGATACTGAAATCGCTGACGAAATCTACGGCTAGCGACTCGATCTGGACGCTGAGCTGCTGGTTGCTGATGATCAACATCTTCTCGTTCGACTACGGCAGCGGAGAGGGCGCCGGTGCTACCAACTTCCCAGCCTCGCTGTCTACCAACGCGGCGGTGATGGCATCGACGGTGCTAGCGTCGCGTCTGCCGTCCACGACGCACGTGTTCAGTCTCATGCTCTTCTCGATGGAAGTGTTCGGACTGTTCCCCATCTTTCGCCGACAGCTGCGTCACATCTCGTGGACAGGGCATGTGTTTCTCACGCTCGTCCTGGTCATTGTTGCCGGGGGTGCGGTGGGGATCACGCTGCGCGGCGGATGGATGGCGGCCGTGGTGGGATCGATCCTAGGCAGCATGCTGACGGCGCTAGCGATGGGCGGGTGCAGCTGGTGGCTGATCAGCCTACAGAAGTATAAGAACGTGGTGATCGGACCCTGGGATCCAGCACGGCCGATCATTCGACGATGGGACTGACCGGTTGACATGGACGGGACTGGCATGAGGAGAACCCTGCAGCCAAGTCGGAAAACCCTTGTCTGGCGAGATATTTTACATCTAGCACAGCGTCAATAATAGACCTTTTTGTCTGAATTTGTGCCAGGAATGATGGCTGATCTGAATATTTTGGACCTGGTATGCGAGGCTGGAATGTGGAAGCCATCTTTATCCCTTTCATCTCAGCTGGGTTTTGGACCTGTCGAAGTAGCACAGGAGACCGTCAGCTGGAACACGGTGTTACTGATCTGTGACAGCAGCATTCTTTGTATCTTTGTGTGGGCCAGGACCATAATAAATATGGCATTGGGCATAAATAGGTGGACGTCGCGTCTTCCTTCCACCTTCTTGACAACAGCAGCGACTAACCCTCTTGCCCTGTACAGAGACGGCCAGATCGAGTCATCGACTCGAGCCATTCATTCTTTTGCATTCTCTTTTTACATTCTCTCCAAGAGAATAAAGCAAAAAACTCAAAATGAAGTTCACCATGAATCCCCTAGTCCTCCTCCCCCTCCTCACCCCCATGGTAACCGCCCTCCGCTTCGCCATGTACGTCGACCAATACCACACCGTGGGGCTCCCGGGCACCGAAAAGACCAGCGCGATCACCCACGCCATCATGGCTTTCGCGGAGGCGAAGCTGTTCAACTCCGACTCCGAGCCAACCTACACGCCGTTCGAGAGCGTGGACACGTTCCGCGCTCGCTTCGCGCCAGGAACGAAGATCATGTTTGCAATTGGCGGCTGGGGCGACACGAGTGGATTTGCGGAGGGCGCGAAAGACGAGGCTTCGAGACAGCGGTATGCGAAGAATGTTGCTGCTGTCGTGGAGAAGGGGGGGTTTGATGGTATTGGTTAGTTGCCCGGAGGGATCTCTCCCCATCTTCCTTCTACACATGTTCCTGTCCAGACGATACCCGCGCATCATCAAGAAATGGACCAAGACTAACAATCTAGACATCGACTGGGAATACCCCGGCGGCAACGGCGACGACTACAAGAAAACGCCCAACAGCGAGAAAACCGGCGAAATTGAAACCTACCCTCTCTTCCTCGCTGCTCTCCGCGAAGCCCTCGGCCCCAACAAACTCCTTTCTATCGCCGTCCCGGGTAAGCGCATCGACATGATCGCCTTCACTCCCGAACAAGGACCGAAGATCTTCGAATCCGTCGACATGGTCAACGTGATGTCGTACGATCTCATGAACCGACGGAACAACGTCACCGTGCACCACAGCAGCGTCGTCGACTCGTTGGATTCGGTGCACGCGTACCAGGAGGTCGGACTGTCCGCGGATAAGATTAACCTGGGCGTCGCGTATTATGCGAAGTGGTTCACCACGAAGGGCGAGTGTGACGCGCAGCATCCGATCGGGTGTGAGGTCGAGCCTCTCGAGACGGCGGATGGTGGGGATACGGGCAAGTCGGGGGTCTTGACCTTTGAGGCGAGTACGATGGCCGAGGCGCCGAGTGATCTGAAGGAGAGTACGGATATGACGTGTGGGTTTAACGCGGGGACGTTTTGTCCTGCAGGGACATGTTGCAGTCAATATGGGAACTGGTACGTCCCTACACTCCATCCCCTGTTTTGACAACCACCACGACAACAAGCTAACGACAAATCATGTAGTGGAACGGGCGACGACTTCTGCCAAACGGGCTGTCTCAGCGACTACGGCGAGTGCAAGGGTCTCTCGGTGCTGGACAGCTGGCGCAAGGCACTAGCCGAGGGCACGACGGACGAAGAAGCCGGCGGACAGTACTACCTAGACGCGGACAACCATCTGTTCTGGACCTGGGACACGCCGGAGACGATCGCGCGCAAGTTCCGGGACATCGTGGACGCGGAGAAGTTGGGGGGTGTGATGGCGTGGAGTTTGGGGGAGGATACGCTGAAGTGGGAGCATGTTGATGCGATGAGTGAGGGGGTTAAGGAGAGGTCTTAGACCGATCTTTGTTTCTGGAGCTTTGTCTGGGGTCTTTGTTTGTTCGGGGAAAGAGGAGGTTGGGTATTGAGTGAAAGGTGGGAAGTGGAAAGAATAAGATGAAAGAAGAACAGGAGACAATCGTACAGACAATAACCCATTGAATGTCACCTGTCCTACATAAAACATAATAAAGCTACCAGACACATGTGTCAACCATTGGCCCAGAACCCCCGAGGATCTCCCTCATTAAATTACTTTAAGTACCTAAAGTACTTAAAGTAAACAAACTAATCAGACGAGTGCATTTCTGCATGCAAACAGGGATCTTCAGCTAATTTCCAACTGCCAACCACCAATCCGCAAGCGGCCTCGCGCACGGGGGAGATCTTCTGGACGGAAGCAGCACTTTGTTTTGGATCCGAACAGGAGAGCAGGTGAACATAAATAATTGACTGTAGAAGTCAGTATTAGAATACACTATATTCTTTCCTGCAAAATGTGACACGAACAAAAATGAAGAAATCCCTCTTCTTGTTCCACGTGCTCCCTTTCTCCGTCCTGGGGAGACCCCTTCCGACCGTACAGAATGCACCTGAACAGGGTTCCACTTCCATCTCACCCACCAACATCAACAATAATATCATTGACAGCACAATAATCAATGACCATGACCAATATCAATATCAATCTCAACACCAACAACTCCTATCTCCATCTCCTCCCCCTCACCCCTCAGGAACCTCACCGAAACCCCCACCGTCTCCACCCTCCCTCTCCAAAGAATCCCCGTGGAAATGGAACCTGTCCGACGGAACGACGCCACCAGAGGTCCTACCGGAGTCAGAGTTAGGGTCAGGGACCATGGCCTCCGAATCCGAATCCGAACCAGAACCAGAAATTGGAACAGGAGCCATCCCATCCACCACGCCAGCAACAATCAAAACAGCAGATTCCATTAACATTAATATTACCAATGACAATATCACCACGAATATCCATGATAACGAGCTCCCCGATCCCGAACTCGGAGACCAGACCCAGAAAGAAAAGGAGAAAGGAGGACACGGCAAATTCCTCCCTCCCCCTCCCCACAATAACACCATCAATCATCTAAATCTAAATCTAAATCTCGACCATCCCACGCCTTCTTCACCCTCGTCCACACCATCTGGATCCCGAAACCCAGACCCAAACCCAACGCAAAAAGAGTCTAGTACTATTCCCGTTCGAAAAACCTACTTCCGCCATCTCCAACACGCAGACACCGAGGTCTCCACACCCGTTAAACGATCCAATGCCCTTTTGGACGCGCACGCGGACCGTATCGCCGTGGTCGGGGTGTTGGTTCTCGTGCCTGTTTCTGTGCTGGTGGTGTGGATGGGCGAGTTTGTGTCTGGGGTGTGGGAGGAGAGGATGAGAGGACGGAGGAGGTATAGATCTTATCTAGGTTCTAGAGGTAACTAGGTAACTACTAACTAAAGGGAGAGGGAGAGGTGTTTGGTTGGGTTAACTACAGGACTACTCCGTACGGTAGGTAGCTTGGCTTGGCTTGGCTTTATTGCTTGTGTGTTTTGCTTTTTTTTGGTTTTGGTTTTCTCTTGGGATGTGTGGAGTGGATTGGAATATTTGATTTTGATGTTTGGCTGAGATACCTTTGGGATTGGTTTGATTGATTGGTATGGAGTATTCTTAATTTCTTGTTGTCATTATTTCTTCGAACAGGAGCATTCAAATTTTAATCTACTCGTATTCTTCCCTTACATAGTATCTACAATATGGACAATTGATTGAATTGATTGATTCATCATTCAAGACCCTCCAGGGTGTCTTGTATCTTTTCGTATCATTCGCTTCAGTTGCGCTTTGCTCGCTCGCTTGCTCGCTAAGTCCAGAACCATAAGCATGTATGTATATGGAGTCATCGGATCTCATCCTCATCCGGTAAAAAAAGTGCGTATATACCGAAATCCAATCATCAAGGTAGACAATAAACCACCCGAAAGACAGACAAAAATGAAAAATGAAAAATGAAAAATGAAAAAGAAAAAGAAAAACGAAACACCATCCCATAACCTTAACAAGCTCAAATAACCTAAACCAACCAGACCAGACAGTTAATATGATAGAAGACAGGGCAAGGCGGCTAGGCATGCTCCTTCTGCTCGACGGATCCCTTCTCCGCCGTGCGCATCGCCACCTCCACCTCGGCGGCTTCGCCCTGAGGCAGATGCTTGGCCATGGACACAATGTCCCAGCAGGTCGGGGCGTCGCGGAACACGTGGTTCAGAGCCTCCAGGTTGCGGTTCATGGTCTCCGGGTAGAAGAGGTACACGCTGATAGGAATGAAGGCTGAGATGACGGCGTACACAATGTAGTACTGGTATCCGATAGTGTCCAGCGCGACCGGGGTGATCATGACGACGACAAAGTTCCACAGCCAGTGGTTACCCGTGGAGATGGCGGACATGGCCACACGGAGACGCATGGGAGCGACCTCAGTGCAGTAGAGGAAGTTGGCGCCCAAGAAGCCGACAGGGTAGAACGAGTTGAAGAGGAAGATGAACACGGCCGAGACGATCGAGGCCTGGTGGTTGCCCTTGCCGAAGGAGTTGGTGATGGCCAGCACGATCATGCACACGCACATACCGCAGCCCGAGAATATAAAGACGGCGCGACGACCGAGACGGTCGATGGCGAAGAAGGCGATGAAACTGCACAGGAACTTCCAGGTCATGGCGCACGCGGCGAGGATCTTGGCCAGGTCGGTGCTCATGTCCAGGTTGTCCTCGAAGATGGTGGACACGTAGACGGAGATCAGGTTGCCACCGCACATCTGCTGGAAGAACTGGAGCATGATGCACAGGCAGAAGCGGTACAGGAGGCGCTCGTCGTCCTTGCCGGCGAACATCTCGGTGAGGGAGACGGACTGGCTCGAGGTCTCGAGGGAGTTCTCGACACCGGCGATTTCCAGACGCACGCTCTCGTCGTCGTCCGCCACACCCTTATAGGCAGCCAGAGACCGGGTGGCCTCCTCGATGCGGCCGACGCGGACCAGCCAACGGGGGGATTCAGGGAGCAGGAAGACGGCGGCCATGATGATCACGTTGAAGAAGAAGGAGATGGCAAGAGGAATCCGCCATTGCAGGTCACCCGAGACCTTGGTGAGACCAAAGTCGATCCAGTTGCAGAGCACATAACCGAGACAGATACAGATACCGTCGACGACGACGTGCTGGCCACGGTGTTTAGCGGAGGTGCACTCGGACTGCCAGACAGGGACGACGGCACTGAACTGGCCGATACCGAAACCCAGGACGACCCGACCGACGGCGAACTGAGCGATGTCGTAGGCGGCGGTCTGCAGCAGCGATCCGATGATGGCCAGGATACCACCCAGGAAGATGGTCTTGCGGCGGCCCAGACGTTCACCCAGGTAGGTGCAGCTCAGGGCGCCGAACAGGGCACCGATCTGGAAGGCGGCGATGACGGCACCCTTGCGAGTGGAGTTGGTGGACTTTTCGGCGCCCTCGGTGTTGACGGTATCGATGGAGGGGAACTGTTCAACCCATGTCTGCAACGTGGCCAGAGGGCCAACTCCGGCCTGGTTGTAACCGAAGAGGATAAAGGCAGGAGCTACGATGAGCAACGCCTGTGCCAGACGAAGGGTCTTTCCAAAGAACATGATGACAATTGGCGAGACAGAGAGAAAATCGTCTAGTCGTATCAATCGTCAAGTCGTCTGTAAGAAGAAGAAAGAGAAAGAGAAAAAAAGGAAGGAAGGAGGTGAGAGGATTTATATGTGGGATGAGCTGGAAAATCTCCGAGGAACAATAGAAAACCCCCCGGCGTGGAGACCCCGCATCATACACCGAAAGTCCTATGGGGCGAAAGGGGGGGAGATGACCATCACCGGTGCTCCGATTGAGGGAGAAGCAGGTCGAAGCAGGATGAGAAAAGGTAAGTATGCCGCATGGCGTTGGAGCATCGTCCGGGTCTGGATGAATCATGACGACCCACAAAATCGGACCGGGGCCGAAAGACCACCGCTACAGTGATTGGACTCCTTGGTGGAACTTGGAACGGGACTAAATTAGACTTGTGGACAGGCTTGACAGGGCTTGTTGGGATGATCTTTGTCCGGAAGCAGGAAGAGGGAGAAAATTCTGTCGAGTTAAGACTTTTAGGGCTACGGGGGAACACATGTCCGAAGCTTAGCCATCTCCGGACTGTGCGGAGTCCGGAGTTTTGATCTTTCAAGTTGACCACTTGTCCTACTTTTCGTTTACAGACTACAGAGTCAAACTTCTGTGCAAGATAAAGTATGTAACGGAGTATTTAGGAAAATATAAGCATATCCGTATTAAGAGCGCAACTGCTCCACCACCGCCGCGGTCACATCCTTCGTCGACGCCGTCCCTCCCAGATCCGCCGTAAGAATGCCTCGCTCACACACCGTCTCCACCACCTCCATCAACCGCTGTGCAGCTGCCGTCTCGCCCAACCATTCCAACATCTCCGCCGCCGTCCAGAAGGTGGCCACCGGGTTAGCCACGCCTTTGCCTGTGATGTCGAACGCCGACCCGTGAATCGGCTCGAACATGCTGGGATTCTGCCGCGTCGGGTCCAGATTCGACGTCGGTGCGATGCCAATGGAGCCCGCCAGAGCCGCGGCCAAATCGGAGAGGATATCGGCGTGCTATTTCATATTAGATTGGAGATTAGCAATCATTTTTGTGAGTGTAGATTGAGTCTTGAGTGTGCCCCTCTTTTCTTTTCTTTTTTTTTTTTTTCTGGTCAGACGGACAACTTCCAGTCTCAGAGATTGCATTGGCATTATCAATGCTTTTTGCATATCCCTTCCTGTCTCACTTGCCCCCAACCAATTACTAACGTTGGATTCAGGATAAACATCGGATGATGCAACCCGGCCAGAGAAAAAAATAAAGTAAAAAAATTAGGGTAAAAAAAAAACACCACCATCCCAAACAGGCAAAACAGGCCGGCACACAAGGACCATACTCCATAGGGAAAAGAAAGGAAAGAAAACTCACCAAATTACTCGCCACGATCGTATCCAAACTCTCCGGCTTCAGCACCATCCTCGTAGTCATCGCATCAACCAACATCTTGTCGACCGTCACGTCGGGAAACTCCTTCGCCAAGCTCGCGGCGACCTCATCCCACAACACCATGCCGTTGCGCTGGGCATTGCTCTTCGACACGACGGTCAGCAGCTTCCGGGGCCGCGAACGCGCCGTCTCGAAGCCGAAGCGCAGGATCCGCTCGACGCCGACGCGGCTGAAGATGGCCGTCTCGGTGGCCACTTCCCACGGGAGGCCGCGGTGCGAGCGCCCGCCTTGCCCGGCATACTCGCCCTCGCTGTTCTCGCGCACGATCACCCAGTCGAGGCTGCCGGAGGGGCAGTTGCGGAGGGGCGAGCTGGTGCCGCGGAGCACTCGGGTCGGGCGCACGTTAGCGTATTGTTGGAAGGGTTGGCAGATGGCGAGACGGAGGCCCCAGAGGGAGATGTGGTCGGGGACGTCTATTCATTTGTGATTAGCTTGGGAGGGTCGGGTTTCGGAGTCCGGAATGGTGTCCATCTTGTGTACGGTGTAGGGAGTGACTAGGGGGGACTATGGACACGATGTGATGCATAGTACAGAATGCTCGGTTTGTGCTTGTGCATCAATCCGTTGGGATTAGTGATGGAGGGTTTGTGATTTGTGCTGCCCTCCTGCATAGCTACTGCAGTCCAGCAGGGTTATTCTATCGCCGTGGACCGTCCGATGGAACTACCCTCTAGCTGGCCAAGCTTATGTGCCCTTATGCATGATGCACGCTTATGTCCGAAGGAACGAAGATAAGGCAGTGTAACCCCGGGAAGCCGTAGCGTGGGCGTAGCCTCGTCCTAGTGTGCTAGTGCAGCACAGACACCTTCACTTGCCGTACTGTAGAAAATGGCACAAACAGAAGAAATGGAAGAAGGGAAGAAAGGTCGGGAAGCAAGGAAGTAAAAAAGAAAAGAAGAATACATACCAGGAGCACCAACCGCCCCGAACAGAATTGCATCATGCTTCTTCAACTCCTCCAATCCGCCATCCGGGATGTACTTCCCGGTCGCCTTATACGTCTCGGAGCTCCAGTCAAAGTGCGAAAAGTCCAAGCCGAAGGATCCCAGCGTCTCACTGAGCGTCTGCAGCACCTCGACGCCGGCCGAGATGACCTCTGGGCCGATGCCGTCGGCTGGGATGGTGGCGATCTTGTAGGTTTTCATCGTTGCGGTTATAAAATTGCGATCGGGTTCTGTGTCTGCAGGTTCTCTGAGTCGTGATCTCTCGTTTACTCTACGAATTTCCCCCCTGTCTGGTTTACATGTTTAAGTAGAGAGGGGAAGCCCGCCACCCCGGAGGTGTTCTTGTCCGACGGAGGGGAAAACTTAGCGGCGGACATTGATTGTCCGGACTGCTGGGAAACGCCGGAGGTTCGTTTCCCCGGCGGCGATCGGTTGCCACGCTGACACACCTGATACGCAAACCGACAGCAATTGAAGTCCGACGGGGGGAGGAAAAAAAGGTTACTCTCATGATACAGGCCATTACTATCCCTCCAACCGACTCAGACTCAAACCCAGAGCGTCAAAAAAGATGCCGATCCCTATCATACCACCCGCCTCTCCCCGTACCCCGACCCGACTCCAACCCCATCCCCCATCCTGCCCGCGTTCCGATGTTCTCGTATCCCTTCCGTCCACGTTTTCTAGTCGCAACTCTCGCCCCGACTGGCCAACTCCGGTCCCCTACGGTTTACCCCGTGAAGTGATGAAAACTGCTCACATCGTAACTCTCCTGGATCAACCACGGCGCATCCGCCACACTCCACAGATCCAGATTCTCCACCTCCCCCAGAAGAAAAGGCAGCCCCTCGGAAGAATTAGGAATCCCCAGCGCTGCCTCCCCGAATATCGACTGCTCGACCGTGGGGCCCTCGATATCTAGCCCCGGTGGGGGTTGAGTTTGATTCGCCTCCCCGGTCGTTTGATTCGTTGCCCCGGGCCCTGCTTGTCCCGCATGATGTAACGCGCTGGGCTGGGATGGCAACACGTGGAGGAGCGGATTTGGATGGCCAGGCGCGTTGAGCGTATGGTTCTGGCTCGGAAGCTGCACGTTCTGGATATACGGCGGGTGGAGATGGGTGTAGGGTGCGTGATCCGGGGGCTGCTCGCTCAGCGCGGCTTCCAATGCCCGGATCGCTTCGATGCACGTCTGCGGCCAGGTACTGCCTCGGTGGGACAGGTTCTGAAGGATGAGTAGACCGGTTTGGGCATATCTACCTCGCTCCGTTAGCTTCTTGGCTGGTTTTTGCTTCATTTCTTTTTGCCTCGCCTTGACTGTAACTGAGTGTACTAGCTGGCTTGGCCAAGGGTTGGCCAAGAGAGTAGGCAAATAGAGAGGGAAGGTATACCTACCTCGCCGCCGCAGGAATAGGAAACTCACCCTCCCATGCGGCATAAACTAGGATCAAACAGCTCATCCAGACCCCCCAGGTGAATGACGGCCACACCAGCGGCACTTCGGCCCCCCGCAGTGCCGTCAGCAGCGACCGCGACGACTCGATGCAGATCTGCAGTGCGGTGCGGTACTCCGGAGACGAAGACTCCGCCGCCAGCAAAGGCCGGTTAAGCGAGATGATGGATTCGTGGCGTAGGACGGTGAGGAGTAGCCGATGGAGCGGTGCCAGACGCGGCGTTGTTGATGCCGGTGTTGTTGTCGTGTCCTCGTCGCCGGGGTAAACATCGTCGTAGACTTGGTTCCACCAGTGTGTTAACTCGCCGGTAACGTGAGTCGCCGTGATGGAGGACTCTTGGCTGTGTAGGATGGATTTGTTGCGGAGTTCGATGACCAGCCCGCGCACACGGGAGAACCGCGCCAGATGTGTAATGAGATGGAGACGGGGGTCTACAGAAGTTAGCTCGTCCGATAGATAGTTAATAGAATTGAGAGACGATCATACCGTCAACACTCTCCCCATGTCTCTCCGTCCCTGGATAACAGACATCCACGTCGTCATCCCGAATGCCCAAAGGAATCCCCAGCGCCTGCGACAGGTATCTCTCGAGACAATAGATCGACCAAAACAGTCTGCGCCGCAGCGCCTCATCTCCGGGTCCGAAGCACGGAAACCTTGCCGGACAGCGATGCAATCCCAAATGAAAGGCGGTGCGTGCGATAACACCGGCAATGCGCGACGCGGCGTTCAACCGCAACACCGACGCCAGGAACAGCTCAACGCCGAACGCGGCCTGTAGGATGGCGATGGTCGGTGGATCGCAGAACAACGCGTGCAGACTCTCCATAGCCTGCGCGACCGTGCGAAAGACCAGTGCCGCGGGCACTGGCGGTGGTGCTTGCTTTCCCCGCGCGCTCATTTGTCGTCGGTCCATCAGGGCGATGGACACGACGGACCGCACGAGGATGACGTCCGGCGTCGAGATCCCGTTCAGTCCGACCAGGCTGATTTTCTCCAGGATTGTCAGTAATGACGGTCCCAGAATGAAGGGGAACATTGGGTGCCAATTGTCGAAATAGCTGCGTGTCCATTGCACGAGATGGTCGAATGGCGGCTTCACTTTCCCCGTTGTCGTGGGCCGATGATCCAATTCATGTGGCATCCACAACTCATTCTTCAACGAGGCAGCATCCGCAAGGGGACTCGAGGCCAGCTGGTCGTCTTCCCCAGGAACGAGTGTTGTTGTTTGCGAATGTGACTGGTTCTGATTCAAATGGGCCGAGCGTCGCGCGAAAGCGTCGTAGACGATGCGGATAAAATGCACGCCGCTAGAGCTGCCCAAAAATGTGGCGGAATTATCGACCGACGATTTCCTCATCACCCCAATCTCTCGCGGACTCGCTTTTCGCCGTTTCGTCGGGGGTTCCTCGAGGGAATCCATGGTGCCTGTGCTGAGCCGGGGGAGTGTCCGGAGTAGAAGATGTGGAGAGGAAGAGAAAAAGGAAAGGGCAGGAAAGTGTGGAGAGAGATCGTCATGCTAAGTTCGATGACACTCAATGGTTGCAGTTCCCCTGCAAGATCTACTAGATGCCACAACTGCGTTACTGCAGGCAGCAGGGCTGTCAGGCTTGTCTTGCAACTAATGTTCTCCACACGAACTCAATTCTTCTCCAGATTGTGAAAAGCTACTAAGCCATCGCCTTCCAAACAGTCAAATTGTCCACCGGCGCCACCTCCCGAATGCCCTCCCACAACGCATCCAACCTTTCCACCACCCACTCTTCCAACGGTCCCTGATCCAAATCCGCCAATGTGTTTCTAAGCTGCTGCGGTCCGTTTGCACCCAGTAGCACCATATCGCCCAAATCTCCTCTCAGCGCCGAATTGTATCGCACCCAGCGATACGCCAAGCCTGCCTGCGAACTGCCGCTCGTCTCGGCCAGTTGGATATACTCGCGCAGGAAACTCAGCAGTTCAGGTTTCCCATATAGGCCTTGCAGGAGCTTCCCCTCGACAGTTGACGGGTCCCATCTCCCTTTCTGTTGCTCGATGTCTTCGGGTTTCTTGACCAGGAAACCCGACGCGATGGGCGAGTAGACTTGGATTGAGAAGCCGAGGTCGCGCAGCGCAGGGAAGAGATCGATCTCGTTGTTTCGCGCAACCAAATTGTAAATACTCTGGTAGACGGTGGGCAGCACGTATCCCTTCGATTTATTGTATTCGTAGACTTCGCGGATCTGGGGAAGCGAGAAGTTGGAGAGACCGAACTATTCCTCCATTAATATATATTGCGCAAAACGCCTCCGAAGAAATCCCGAAAATCTCACTCTTTCAAATGCCCCCTTCAAATACAATCCCTGCACACCATCCAATGTCTCAGAAAGCGGAACCGACTCGTCCGGCCCGTGCAGCAAGTAAATCGGCACTTTGGACGTCTTCAACGCCTCCAGGCTGAGCGTGCCGTTCTGGATGATCGCCGACTTGGTCGCCGAGTTTGGTAGGAATCCCGTAGGTGCTTTGGTGGTGATTTCGAATTCCGAAGCGACATTTCGTTGTCCGAGGAAAGATTCGGAGATCCCTTGGCCCTGTTTTGTGCGTTAGCGACCGGTGCTATTTAGATGCCATGGTCGGAGAGCATACGTAGAGTCTGGCCGTGTCGATAGCGGTGATGCCGTGAGTGCGTGCGATCTGGAGCATTTCGTCCTGCTGGCAGGTGTCGGACGGCGAGAGGGTCCAAGCTGCAGTGCCCAAGGAAAGGGAGGGAGGAGACATGTTGATTCGATTTGTATCGGTGGATGTGTATTGGAGGTTGTGTTGGACGGTGATGGTAGTTGCTTGGTTACGCAGTCAAGGTAATTGTGTTGTGTGTTTTCTTGTACACTTGTTTACGTCTTTATATATTCCTTCTACCCATACAAGAAAAGCCTGGAATATACTCGTCAACCGACCTGACAAATTCGGCTGAGAAATCCGTGCTGACTTCGTATCCACGTATTTCTTTAATCTATTACGTCGGCTACATGATCATGTTTTTGTTAGACTCGCCGTTCTGCAAGATTGACTGGTGGAATGCGAACTGTGGCGCCGACCGGCACCTTTGGTGGCCGAGGGATTAGGAATCATACGCTGCAGGCAGAATGTTATGCTTAAGTGTAAAAATGAACTCGCTGAAAGCTACTTTAACGTCTGTTCACATCAATGGAAAAGCTTTTAATGCAGCTTGCAAGAGTAAGAGTGACTGGGTTAAGAGCAAGTACGGCAAGTCCATAACAAGAACATGTTTATTGGACCCGTTTATTAACTAATAATCGATAACTCAAGGTATGCAAAAGAAGAAAGCAAATGCAAAAAGGAAAGCGAAAGTGAACCATACTGGACTTGGAAAAAAATTTCAAACAGTGAATAGTGATGGAGTCATAGTGAATCCATGGGATGACGGACCATCAAGCTTCCATATCACCATGACGCGGATCCACGTATGCAGTTTCCTTCGACATCCTCTTCCTCACTTCTTCACACATCGCCTATCCTGAACATCCATCAAGTTGTCCTATCAGAGAGATACCATCGCTGGGATTCAAAATGCTTCCTTCAAAGCCCGAGCCGGACGAAGCATTCCGTCTCCCTGAACTCCTAGAAGCAATCCTGCTCCAGATCGACCAACGCACCCTCCTCCTGTCTCAAAGAGTCTGTCTTCAATGGAAAGACGTGATTCAAAACTCCAAACAACTTCAAATCAAGCTGTATTTCAAACCGTTGAGGTTCAGATGGTCCGACGACGACTATAGAGTATATCACAAGCGTAACCCGATGATTTCAAGATTGATATGGCCCATGATACTCGAATACTATCGCTATCGAACACCTGAGTACTGTCGCAAGCACAAATTTGATGTGGACAAGCTCCCCAAGTTGGATACGAAAAAACAAGATGCCTTCATGAGAAAAGAAGCGAGTTGGCGTCGCATGTTCCTTCATCAGCCCCCCTGCATGAGAGGAGCAAACTTCTTCGTGGAACATATCGGCAATAGCCCGTTCTCGCAGGCTGGATTTGAAGCCCGTGACAACTTTTTGAGATTTGGGAATCTGGAGGTCGCTGTTCTTGAAGGCAAACTCGAACCGAGGAGTTGGGATCTAGCATTTTGGGTTCAGGAACCAGTTTCTCCAGGATATCTCTACGAGATCGATATGATGTTTCGTGGTCTCAAATATAATGATCTCCAGTGTTCTGGAAAAGAATGTTCAGGCGGGGGGAATGTCCACTGTGTGCGAGGGTGTCATTATCGATATCTAGAGGATAATCCAAAATGGTTATGACGGCCTGGAGCGTGACGGAATGCTTTTCACGACGGATTTCCAAACTGAGTGCTCGCGCGTGTCTCATACGATGAACTTCAATTGAATCTTTTTGCTCATTTCCAACTCCTACACCACCCCAGTAGATCAGAAATAAACCCCTGCCTCCCCTCTCGCCAACTCCTCCGCCCTCCCCTCCCTCTCTCTAACTTCCTCCTGACCCCCTGCATCCTCTCTACTACCGGACCCCAACACCGCAGTCTGCGTTTGAGCAGTATCCCCAGCCAGCCCATCCGAATAACCTGCCACCCCTCCCCTCCGTTCCGCCCACCACCGCTCTAAGTCCCCGCGCGCATTGAGCGGAAGACGTTCCCACTCGGCCATCTTCGCGACCCGCGTCTGCGATCGACTCGGTTGCTGCTCGCCCAAACCCTCCGGGATCTCCGTATGCAGGCCCAGCGAGCGAAGATGCTCGTAGACCGCGAAGAGGGCTTGCTCGGTGCTGGCGAGGCGGGCTTCTAAGTGTGTGATGTAGCCTTGCGGGAGGCCTCTATTTCAGCGGTTAGTGATGGGTGACCGGTAGGGGTGGGATTGGGAGTAATGAGGAAAGGAAGATAAATACCGTTTGCCGCTTTCAGGATAGATGCATCGCGTGGGGTCGGTACATTGCGTGCAGACGGGTCTTGAATGTGTCGTTTAGCTGCGTGTCCTGAGGCTTTGAACGGGCATGATGAATGTGGACACGCTTACAGAATTCGATCGCACTGGTGGCTTGTCAATTCTCAGGTCAAATCCGTAGTGAAGGGGGAGAGGGTAGATGGCATGCATACCTTGCACTTTTTCTGGCGGCACGGATCGCAGGATATCGGGTTGGTTTCTGAATATCTGGTCAGTAAGGCTCGATTGAACTCATGCCACTGAGGCATATTGAAGATAACGTGAAAGGAAATGGGACGGAGTGGTGACAAGACAATATCTACCTGATGACATGTTGGGAAGTGTAGTTGACGATGGGCGGATGGGTCCGTCTACGGTAGGTTGGGATGTGGATGGCGCGCCTGCACGTGACTTTATTGAGCCATACTGTCTATAAAGGAAAAATCAAGCTTTCTTATCTCAGTGGATCTGTCATAATTTGTGTTTCGAGCTCTAACGCATGGACAAGGAAATAGGACGAGGGATTATGCGAATGGTGCGATCGTCATCTAAGCTACCCGGTGGAAAGCATTTTTGGACCGTAATCATTCAGACGATCGATGGATCTCTAAATGAACTAAAATTGTTTCGACATAGACCTTCCAAAATTTTAATTAATCAACCCCGTAATCCATAGTTGGACCCGGCCAGAAAGACTCCATGTCAGGAATGCCCCAAGGACCCTCATAAGTGAAAACCACATCGTCGAAGAATGTCGGGAATGCCAGCGGATCATTATCCGACAGATCAGAAACATGATTGTTTTCGACACCAGGATCTGGCTCAGCTGTTAAGAAATCTAGGGAAGCCATATGCTGCTCGTGAGTACCACTAGAGTTCGTGGAGGCCTCATGATCACCCCCACGACTAATTTCCACCAAACCAAAATACGGCACGGCGATCTGTCGGCTACCGCCTCGGTTTAAGGTCTGGCTACTGTGGATGAGATCCGCCAGAGCTTGATGGCACTGTCCGCATAGGGATCGGGGCTGGCCTTCGGACAGCGTCTGAAGGACCTCGATGGTCCTACGGATGAGAATCCTATCAGATTCATTGCCAGATTCAGATACGGTCGATGTCGGATGGTCGGCGAGAAGATTTAGGAATACCACCACCGCAGCTGCGAGAGCAGTGAATCCGGTCAATTTTACGCTGTTGTCCATGATTGCTTTGGCGGGATCGAGGTTGTATAGAGCTAGAAAGGACTCTAGGAGTGACCGGGCATTATCCACGCAGGCCACTCGGCTAAATCGAGCGCCATGGCGCTGGGATTGGTAGAGATTTTGTTCCTGGCGCTGTTCGATTTCGCAATCCTGTAGGAAGAGAGGAAGATAGAGGAACGTTTTGAGCTGGTATATCTGCATAAGACGGTATAGCCGAGCGCTTTGCTCTTTCACCTCCCGACAGGCGAAAATTTGTCCCATACTCAGGTAGTCCCGAGGGAGCTGTGAAGTGACCTTATCGATCTCTTCACCTACGGCGACCACCGCAGCCAGCGACAGGCCCTCTGAAGATTGAAGGCAGTCAATAACGCGGCCTGTTAATAAGGTCATATGCCGAGAATGGAAGATGATGGGCGACGACTGGTCTAACGGGGGAATATACAAGTCGCAGAGACGATCGGGAACTGAATAAGGTAAGCCGACTAGAAGACTAGCCCAGCGGTCGGCACCAAACAACTGCCAAAAGACCAGGTCAAGGCTTTCCGAGCGCCGATGAGTCCGGTGAATTCCCGCCAGCTGAAGAAGCGTGTTCGCCTTGCGATAGACGATCCATGCGCGACGAGGTTGAAGAGCGCTAAGAAGGCCGAGTCCGAGGCCCATCATGCATTGAAAGTCCTCCTCGTGAGCAGAGAGTCCTTCGTCGGATAAGGCCCAGCGTTCTACCGGAGCGAGGTATCGGTCGTGCTCACCGGTGCTGAAGGCAAAGCATATCAGCAGGCTTCCAAGCGAAGAGGGCCTCCCAGAGCGGACCGCGCGGGTTGCAAATTTCTCGAGCGAGCTGTCGCTCATATGACCCCAGGCAAGCCCGAATGCCTCTCGCCATACTTCCCACCAGCCGCTGCGAGAGTTGAAAATTGTTGCAATCTCAGGATTGGAAGGAAGCGTTGCACACATCTCGCGGAGAAAATGGGGCGACTCCATCGGATCATCACTGTTTTCCTCCGCGTCATCGGGAAGGACCGTACTGGCACTCCTTACCAGTCTATGATTGAGAAGCTGCATGACCGGGGCGCATTCACTTTGCACCAAGTCAGGGGCCAAGGACGGTTGAGAAGCCTTGGCTTGCTGGTTTGGAGAGTCCGGGAACTGGCTGTCCATCAAGGATGCATCAATCCTCCGTTTCAAACTTTCCAAGGCATCAAAGAATGAGACAGCTTCATTCGAAATTGCGCTGGGCGGACCAGGATCATTCGTTCGCCCAATTGCCTCTTCAGGAGTAGAATCAGGCTCATGCTGAGGGCCCTGAGCCACACAGGCGGCTTTGCGACGGGCGCAATGGACACACACGCTAGACTGCGGTGATGGGAACCAACAGCGGACTTTGCGCTGTCGACCTTAGCGAGACAGTCAGTCAATTGAAGCTATCACCCTTCAAAAACACAGGATTCTCACATGCCAGGCAACTACGGGTGCCTTTCCTCATCCCTTTCTTCGTGCCGGTCGCCGTCCGCAAATATTGTCGACGGGCGGGCATAACTTCGGGATATGGAATACTGCATGTTCAGAATTGGTACAGAGACTACCGAATGGCTGAGATCTCTGGTTGCATTGCCACGAAGAAAAGTTGAAGCGAGCTTCGGAGGCGACGGTAGAACGTGGCAGGCTGTATTACATAATCTCTCTATCACTGTTCCATTTGTTGCGCCTATCTTTCTTCTTGTCTCCTCCTTCATTCCCCCCTCCTCCCCCCGTGGCAAAAACCTCCATTGAGGCAATCGAAACGGTCTCATTCCTAGCCTGACGTACGACCGTTCATACGCCTACGCGTCTGGCTGTAAAGGAGGCTCAAGCTCATCTTCAAGCCTCGGCATTCTTGACTCGAAATCCAACAGCTTACTCCCAAAGTGCAATGCCTCGTTATTTTCGGCCAGGAGAATCGCTGTGCTCCTAGTCACTCCTTTCAGCTCAAGAAACGAGCCCAAACGGTGCTTTTGTACAAGGTGTTCTATCAAAGCCAGAAAATAAAGCGCAGGGCCTTCGCAAGATATACTCCGTAGTTCTTGTATCAACGCCACTTGAAGATGATGGACTGACCGCCATGCCTTGGACCAATCCATAGGGCTGGCTATTTGCGATTCTCCTTTGTTTTTTGGTAAGTCACGGAGTCAGTACGTCCCAACTGTACGCTCTTTGCTGATGATCTAATCTCGGCATCTGAGGCCCGGACCTGTTAAGTACATACTTCTGACCAATGATGTCATCGAAATGATAACTGCATTGACTAGTGCAGTTCACACTCCAAAGGAGGAGTTCCCGCATCGGTTTCCAATTGCGGAGTGTCATAATTTTATGGACTGTAGCAAACTGTCTCCAATTTCAGGTGAATTCTGGGAGAGAACTGCTAACATATGAGAGCAAACTAGGAATCTAAGTAAGTGTCAGGCAAAACCAGGACATAATTGAGCAATTGGTAGCCACTAGAAGTGCCTGGACCTACTTAGCCCACTATCATAGTGCCATTTCACCATTCTAAATCAATAGAGTCCATGCATACCTGAGCACGCTCAAGGCAACAAGCCCATAAGATAAGATGAAGATGGGACCGGAGCATGTCGCCCATTTAGGTAAGCTTGGGATGACCCACCGGGAACCATCATGCAGCACGGACAGCCAATGGTATTGCTTTCCAGACTTAAAAGGAGCATCATACCATTTCTGGAAAGGTAAACAAGCCAAGAATTGCTCGATCTGGCTGCAAGTTCCGCCGTCAATGGGAAGTTCGGCATCCGCCAGCTCAAGCAGACGGTTATGATATCCAGGAGAAACTTTCACAAACATCTTTTAAGTATTGCAGAACGACCATATCCGACCAAGGAGATCTTGCAGTTCTCTTGCTTTAGGCAGAACTCCACTTGTTTATTCATCTCTCCATGCTCCACAACGAGATAAGCTGTTCTGGGGATGTTTCTACCTCAATATCCCCAGAGATTACCCGATCCGGTAATTCATCTGGCCTCAGACCTAGCGCCACACCAAGACGCCCTTGGCATTATCTCTTGCCTAGTGGGGAATTTTTCCCTGTCAGTTTATGTCATTTTCTCGTGCCATCGACAGTCTGGAACGAAACATAAATACCGCGTCGTTGGTCGGGCTAGATGGAGTTTCCTGTGATTGACTTCGGTGTCGCATCAAGCTTACGCTAGGCTTTTCCCTCGTTAAATCGCTGGGAGGTACTTTAATTTTCTTGCTGATATCGGCCTCTATCCTTCACCATGACCCAAGATCTTCATCGTACGCCGACCATCGGCTCTGGTCGAGGACAGACCGACCCTTTAGAGCTACCCTACGGCACGGTAGCGGACGGCGGAAACCTCAACGAGTTCGTCACTGAGACAAAATCCGGGAATATCGTCAAGCCGGTTAAGTCTAACGTCACTGGCAAAGAAGAAGACTATAACCTGGTCACCTTCACGATCGATGATCCCGACAATCCCAAGAACTGGTCCAAAGCCTACAAATGGTGGTGTACTCTTGTCGTCGCTTTCACCTGTTTCGTCGTGGCCTTTGCCAGTAGTGTCATCACGGCGGACCTCGAGGGCGTGGCTGAGGACTTTCACGTGTCTCGCGAGGTGACTATGCTGCCGATTACTGTTTTCGTGGTGGGATTCGGTGTTGGTTAGTTTGTCCTGTACGAACGAGAAGGGGTGGGTTGAAGTTGGGGTATCACGGCTAATCTATGGTCATCATCTAGGTCCTATGCTTTTCGCTCCTCTATCGGAGGTCGTCGGTCGCCGACCTATCTATGCAATCACCCTCCTCCTGGCCGTTATCTTCGTCATTCCTTGCGCAGTCGCCCAGAATATCGGCACGTTGATTGTCTGTCGCGCTATAGACGGAATCGCTTTCAGCGCGCCCATGACACTCGTCGGCGGCACACTTGCCGACCTTTGGAAAAACGAGGAACGAGGTGTACCTATGGCGGCTTTCAGCGCGGCACCTTTCCTAGGTCCGGCCATCGGTCCTCTGGTTGGTGGGTTCCTCGGAGACGCCAAAGGTTGGAGATGGCTGTATTGGATCCAGCTTATCCTGTCCGGCGCGGCGTGGTTCCTGATCACCTTCACCGTGAAAGAAACATACGCTCCGTCGATCTTGAAGAAGAGGGCGCAGAAGCTTCGCAAGGCCGAAAAGAATGATAGATACGTCACTGAGCAGGAGCTGGATCCACGTCCTATGCTGGAGAGACTGCGTATTTTCATCGCTAGGCCGTTCCAGCTCCTGTTTTTGGAGCCGATCGTGATGTTCATTTCCTTGTATATGGTTTGTTCTACCTCACTTCGCGCTGCGCCGTTCGTTTGCTAATCCGTTGCAGTCGGTCCTCTATGGCCTTCTGTATATGTTTTTCGTTGCGTAAGTCATTCCGCGAGTCGAGACAGGAACCGAACTAATTGCTTTTGAACAGGTACCCAATTGTATATCAAGCCGGAAAAGAATGGAGCGCAAGTAAGACGGGATTGATGTTCATTCCATTGGCCATCGGAGTTGTTTTCAGCGCAGCGTGCTCGCCCTTCGTCAACAAGCATTATTTGAAGCTGTGCGACCAATACAACGGGAAGCCTCCGGCCGAGAAACGTCTCATCCCCATGATGTTTTCCTGCTGGTTCATCCCCGTGGGATTGTTCATTTTCGCATGGACATCCTATCCCCGAGTGCACTGGCTGGGTCCAGCCATGGGTGGATTCCCGATCGGATTTGGATTCATCTTCTTGTATAATTCCGCCAACAATTATCTCGGTGAGTTGACCCAACCAGACCCTCGCCCCCACGTCCAAGTGTCAAAAGTTGCATACTACGTATGACATAAGAAAAGCTCTGAAGGCCAGCAAGCTAATTGAATTCACAGTGGACACCTACCAACATCAAGCAGCGTCTGCTTTGGCCGCTAAGACCTTCATCCGGTCGATTTGGGGCGCGGCCACCGTGCTGTTTACGGAGCAGATGTACGATCGGCTCGGGTATCAGTGGGCCAGCACGCTACTTGCTTTCATCGCGCTGGCCTGTTGCGCTATTCCGTATGTGTTCTACTTCAAGGGCGAGGCGATCCGTCGCTACTCCAAGTTCGCCTTTAGCGAGGACGAGGAGAATGCCAAGGTTTGACGGTGGATTCGAGGATTATTTTGGGATCGAAGGGTTGAAGCCCATACCTACAGACTCGAAACTAGAGGAGTGTAACTAGGGGCAGATAAAGCTTAATATGTCGCATAAAGGTTTGGATAGAGATATAATAATACGGATTAATTTTCATCATCAATCAAACCACAAAGGGGAGAATTCAGGGGGTCTTCACTCTGTAGCCTTCACCAAACTAGGGCACCAGCCCCTGTGTCAGTCTCCCCACCGCGACCAACAGGTTCGCAGCATTCCCGATGAGATCAATGAGATCCAAGTCTAGCTTCGTCCGGGAGTGGACGACGAGAGCGAAAAAAAGGGGCAAGTGGGGCAACAGAATGTTTCACCCAAATCTCCCCTTCATTCCATGTCAGCAATTGGCCCTGTTCCGCGTTGGTCTGACGGTTTCATCGCCTTCCTTCCGTCTTCGAGGCATTTCAATTGGTTGCGGTCTTGGTGATAATTAAACATCGCTGGATATCTCCATTTGTTCAACCTGGTGCCTGGTGCCTGGTGCACTATCCTCAGCTCAGTCTGCCTGTCTTTGTGCTAGAGTCTACCAAATTTAGTATAATTCCGATTATTATTATCTTCACTGCGACGGTGGCGTGCACAGATGCCTGGCATCCCCCCCGTTATTTTGTGGCTTAGGCTTGCCATAATTAACTGATCTAAACTGTTCTGGCACTGGCCGTTTGAGACTCGATTCACTTTAATTTTTGATTTTTTCCCCTCTGTCCCCTTCTTTCCCTGAATTCTGCCTTCTAGTCCGAACTCGAGCCCCATCATCTAGCCCTCTATCCATATTTTGCCCCTTTCCCTCCCCGTTCTTCAAGGACAATCAACTCCATCCACTTCAATAACCACTTCCACCACTGCGATTGCGACTGCTATTTACTCCGGACCATCACTATCTACGTCTGTCTCTTTATTTCTCCGCTCAACAGTACACACTCGCGACAAAATGCCCGCCCTTGAAACCACCCTTCTCTTGGCTCGTGACTGTAGTGGGGATGACTGCGAAAAGCCCACCAGTACGTTCCTGAAGAGCGGCGTCCCTGGCATCATCATCGGGGTGTATGTTTCCTTTTCTTCATGAACTCGACTCCAACTTTTTGGTCGGGAGATTTCCTCGACGGAATTCGTTTAACTTCTGTATAGACTGGTTCTGGCCGCGGCCGGCGTATGCTGCTACTTCCTCTGGCGCAATAAGAAGCGCGATGCTCTAGAAGCCAAAGCTGCCAGGGAGTGGAATTGATCGGTGAATGGCCATCCATTCGCCTTCTTTTCTCATTCGCGACCTGTTGGATTTCTTTCGACTTTCTTCTATTTCTTCTTTTTGCTTGGCATTCTGTACAAAATTAGGGACGTGCGGGTGTTTGCGACCGTGTTTTTTCTTGTTACTTTGTTCCATTCCCTACGAGCTGGTGTTTCTGGAGTTTCAATCATCTACATACATTTACGGAAGCGGAATTTGCATGTCGGATCTTGCAAATATCGGATTATTCGACATTTTTTTGAATTTGTTTATCGCCTCGATTTGGATTGTGGTGCTGGGACTGGGCATTTATTGTTCAGAACTTTTGGTCATCGATTCGTCGATTGTGTCTATGTCTATGCGCTGCTTTTGATTGATTGCTTCGCCAGCCTCGCATTGCATTGCGTCGCATAGCTTATCTGCACCATTCAATATCCATTTCATCTTTTCACAGCATTACTTTCCATCATCTGCTTGTTATTTGCTGTCTGGCCATCAGGGGTTCGATTTGAGGAGTGTCGCAAGGCTTGCATGAGCCGGTCTTTGTGTAACTGGATCAGTGCTTATTTGGTAGATTGGTTCTTCCTGTTCTATCTCGAACTAGATGGACCCTTCTTCAAAGTTGTAAACAGAGCATCAAGTCCATTTCACATTCTGGAGGGTGGTTGTCGGGGCCGCTCAACGTGTTTAAGACCCTCGTCATACAATTGATAAGTTGCTCTGACGGGACTTGAAGACATGGATATCGAATTCGTCGAGATGATCTATCACACAGCTACCAACTTGATAGGAGCTTAGCTCTTGCGAAACGAACCCGATCTGCCCCAGAGGACCTTCGAATCTCGCCTCTCTTACTCGGCTTTCATCCATCAAGGGTCTCGCCAGTCTTGAGTTGACAACATCAGCCGGAATAAAGACTCGTATTCTAAGTTCCTAACGTTTCCACATGGCATGTGGTCCATGCATCTCACACGGACCCTCTTCCCCAGGTGGTGATGGCGAGGGTTCGTCGCTTAGATCGCTGGTACACATCCCAAAAACGTGAGGTCCGGATCGAGTTTTGTTAGTAATGGTTCTTTTGTTATAGGTTGGTTATACAGTAATAATCCAATGAGGATTGCTATTGGTGTCGCTCTTAGCTCTTATGATATAGTGATTCTCTCTTTGACTGAACAGAATTATATGCAGATCTATGAGAAAGTATTAACTGAAGAAGCTGTTATCCTAGAGCATTCGCACATCAAACTAAATGGAAACTTATTGATCACTTACTTATCGCTTCATCTTCGTTTCCCTAGAAACTACATTCAAACTGTGAATATGTTTTTGACAGGTTGACATGCAAGTTTTATAAGGAGTCTAACTACGTAGGCTAGACATTTCGTAGCTAAAGGAAACTATACGCTTCTTACCAACATTCAATGGATTTTTCAATTTGCCCGTAATAACAGATTGAAAATTTCTGATTCTTATAGGATTCTCGACCGAATAGATCGATGCCTTCATTCAGTGTGTGGACCTGAATGGGACGGAATATGAATTCCGCTGGCACCCCGCTGAATAATGAGATTCTATGACATCGTTCAAGTGACGGCCATGAAACCGTGGGTATATAGACCTCCAACAGCCAACTCAATTTTCCATGCAATCAGATTTTATTATCTGATTTGATACTAGATTTCTACATTGCCTCACTAAATAATTGACAACCCATCACACTCAACCACCTCACCCAAGATCAAAAGTCACAATGTCCCACCTCACATACTACAACTACCCCGGCGTGGGCACCAGAAACCAGGAGACTTTCCGATACAGCCAGGCAGTGCGAGTAGGCGATCGTATCGAATGTGCCGGACAAGGTTGGTATCCCGGCCCTAGTCACGTCTACCTACATCTGCATCTACATCTACATTCACACCTACATCTACCCTCCATTTACCCACAATCCTTCCCCCCTAACACATCTCCTCTTCCCTCCCCAGGTGTTAAACAACAAACTAACCCCAAACAGGAGGCTGGGACCCCACAACAGGAATCTTCCACAGAGAAATCAACGCGCAAATCGACCAAGCCTTTGCGAACGTCGAACTCAACCTGAAGCACGCCGGCGGGAAAGGCTGGAGCCAGGTCTTCCGGGTGAACTCGTACCATGTGCCGATTAACAACGAGGCGCTGGACGCCATGGTCAGGAACTTTAAGCGCTATATGCCGGACCATCAGCCGATTTGGACGTGTGTGGGGGTGACGAGGCTTGGGGAGGATGATATGCGGGTCGAGATTGAGGTGACGGCGCATGTTCCTGGGGAGGAATAGGGGTTTTTGTTTTCTTCTGAGGGGTGGGGATGATAGACGAGAGGGGTTTGAGGAGTAAACTCAGGTGGATGAGGTCGGGGTGTTTGTTGAAGGCTGTGATATAGTTACCTAACCGTTGGATCATGAAATGTTGAAGGCGTTGTTCTGTCATCATGTCATAAGAGATGGAGTTGGAATAACTGGTATGATTGATGGATCGATATGCAGGGTGAGTTATTCAAGTGGTAGCTGCAGTCCCTTGCATCGAGTACAGCCAGGCTTAACATTACCATAATGAGCCTAGACTGAGCCTGAGAAACCAGTCATTCACGATAACAATGGGAGGTAATTTTAAATGAAGCGAGAGCAGTTAGGAAATGCCTTCCCGTCTAGGCGAAGGTGGCCCGATTGGGTAATCGCCAAACCGGATCGGCAGGGATGCGCGCGACGCGACAGTCACGTGACAGCTCTGCAGCCGAGGCGGAGTGCTCTTAATAAATATGACTGGTCAATTCTGCCATTTACGTCAAATGGGGATGAATGCTTACCAAGACACCGTAAGGACTTGGGCGAATAAAGTTAAGGCCAGTTTGTCGTTCACTTCCCCAGTTCTGCCATCTGGGAAATTCCAGAAGTCTCTCCTTTCCATTTCCTTCATTTGCCACGGTGGATGCCTCCTGTCTCTCGTTACTCTCCTCCCCCCTCTCCTTCTTCCTCCCTCCATGTTCCTGCAGATTCCTCGCGTTCCGATCGCCATCGCCATCCCCATTCTGCAGAAGTGGAACTCGACCGTCTAGCATGCAGCACGGACAAGGGTGAACGCGAACATCGATATCTAACTCCCCGAACGGACCACCGCCGCAATCTCTCCTCTTCCTCCTCCCTGGACCTTCCCTCCGACACGAACTCCGCCGACGACGACCCCCTCCTCCCACGCGGCCGCAGTGCACAGATGAAGCGCAAGGTACGGACGGTCTCCAAGCGTCGCTCCAAGCCGACTTTGACCATTGAAACCAACGGTAACGGGCATGGGAACGACGAGATGAATTCCAACGTCGAAATGCGCAAGAGGGACACCTCCCTCGAGTCCTCCACCACGGCCCGCGCCTCGCGCCTCATGCAGCGGCCCAGCTTCTCCCTCGACCACGACCCCCCTATCACCCCGCAAACCCCGGCCTTGACCACGACCAGCTTCGCCAATCTGCCGCGCAGCGACCGCAGGAATTTTCTCCTGCTCTGCGTGCTATACTTCCTGCAGGGTGTGCCCATGGGCCTGGCTACCGGGTCCGTCCCGTTCCTCTTGAAACCGTACCTCTCGTACGGACAGATTGGTGTCTTCTCGCTCGCGTCGTATCCATACTCGCTGAAATTGTTGTGGAGTCCCATTGTCGACGCGGTCTGGAGTCGCAGGTTTGGTCGACGCAAGAGTTGGATTACCCCCGTTCAGGTCATCGCCGGTCTGGCGATGATCTACCTGGGCGGACGCATCGGGCCGATGATGGAACAAGCCGGGGCCAACGGGGGCGCGGGTGTCTGGAATTTCACATATTGGTGGTTCTTGCTGGTCTTTTTCTGCGCCACGCAGGATATCGCCGTGGACGGATGGGCCATCACGCTGATGTCGCCGCCTAACATTTCGTACGCCTCGACTGCGCAGACGGTCGGACTGACGGCCGGCCACTTCTTGTCGTACACCGTGTTCCTGGCGTTCAATTCGAAGGAATTCGCCAATCGCTGGTTCCGGACGATTCCGGCGGACGAGGGTCTCCTGTCATTGGGCTCGTACTTGACCTTCTGGGGATGGGCGTATCTGGTCGTCACTCTCTGCTTGGCCATGATGAAGAAGGAAGACAAGACGCAGGACCGGGACAGTATCATGGATGTCTACCGCAGCATGTGGAATGTGCTGAAGTTAAGGAACATTCAGACCATCATCCTGGTCCACCTGATCGCCAAGATCGGCTTCCAGGCCAACGATGGCGTGACCAGTTTGAAATTGCTGGACAAGGGGTTCGGCCAAGACAACATGGCGCTAGTGGTGCTTATCGACTTTCCCTTTGAGATCTGTCTGGGGTACTACGCCGGCAAGTGGTCCACGGAGTACACGCCCATGCGGCTGTGGTGCTGGGCGTTCATGGGCCGCTTGGCGGCCGCTGTTTTGGCTCAGGCCACCGTGATGATCTTCCCATCCGGGACGGATATTCCTTTCTGGTACCTGTTGGCTGTGATTGGTGAGCATGTTGTCTCGACTTTTATGAACACCGTCATGTTCGTGGCCGTGTCTGCCTTCCATGCACGCATCGCCGACCCTGCCATTGGAGGCACCTACATGACCATGTTGGCCACGTAAGTTATCTCTCAATTGTGTTCGATTGAAACCCACCCACTAACTTAATTCCAGGGTCTCCAATCTCGGCGGCACATTTCCTCGATACTTCATCCTCAAGCTGGTGGATATGTTCACGGAGGCAAACTGTGTGCCTCCGTCTGTGCCACCTCCCGCGGAGGAATTGAAAGGTGACCTCGTCACGTCGGCCTTCTCCTGCGCTCTGGAGCCGGATAAGGCGCTCTGCGTCAACGGTGGTGGTACCTGTCACACCATCCGGGATGGTTACTATACCACGAACATTCTCTGCGTGCTGATCGGCACGGTTACATTCATTCTGTTCATCAAGCCGGCGGTGTTGAAATTGCAGAACCTTCCTCTGCGAGCGTGGCGGTTGACTCCTGGTCGTCAATAAAAGGCAGCGGGTGACCCGTCAGGTTATACAAAAGATGATATTGCTGGCAGGCTTTTTTTATTCTTAGACTTGGATCTGAATATGGGCTAGACAGGTAGTTATGCTTTACTTGCTTCCTAGATGCGAGTGCAGATAGGCAAGCAATGTATTAATAAATACGAATATCGAATATCTAGAAGGTTACACTGCAGCTGTTCATCTGATTCAACGCAGGCCAGTCAGGACTCCGCCCGGGGAAATTCGATTCGTCGGGTTTCGAGTGGGCGGATCCGCGTTCTGCACGCTCTGCTCGGCTCCAGTTCTGGACTTGGCTTTGGCCCAGTTTCAGGTACAGCTGAAAAGTGGGAAAAGCAAACTGCATTGAGGACTCCGGGGGTACTTATAAGGAGGTTCTGGCCATAAATTTACTGACACCTTCTGTTCTCTTGATATAAACCTGTTCACCTTCTCTGCATAGTGTTTTATTATTATACCTCTAATTCCTGCTCTACTTCTTCTACAACCAGCATACCTAATCAACCCAAACAAAATGCACCTCCTCGCCACCCTCCTCGTAACAGCCCTATCCAGCACGCTCGTTCTATCCGACACCCTGAAGCCCCGAAACGTAAGTCCCAATCTCACCTCAACCTCAACCCTGCCCCCCGCCATACCTCTAGAAAACTAACCCCAAGAACAAAAAAAAAGTGGGACCTCCATCTCCTCACCCCGGGCTGTTCCCCCAATTCCTCCAACTTCGACATCTCAATCTACCACCGCTCCGGGGTCGCCGCGCGCTCGTGCATCTCGCTCGCCGAGGACGCGAATCCCAACACGACGGCCGTGGCGACTATTTCGTGGAAGAGTCCGATCGCGAAACCGTATGCGCTGTGCACGTTCAGGGATGGCGAGTGTAGCGCTGATGCATTTGTTGAGGCCGTGAGGGGGGATTGGGAGGTTTGTTATCCGTACAAGGGGTGGGTGGGGTGGAAGGTTGTGGGGTTTGGGGAGGATTGTATCTAGAATTCTAGATAGGTGGGTTGGATGGGTGGGTTTGGGGGATTTGAGCGGTTTTGTGGGTTTATGGATATTGGGTGTATGTATGGGAGGTAGGAATTTGATGGGTTGTTGGTTTGTGTTCATGGCTATCTATATGTATGTGGTCTTGTACAGAAATTGGGCTCTTGATGGCATCGGTTTCTCTTTGAGACTGTCCAATATGTAGATCACTAGATATTCTTTCATAGCATAATATGCTCTCGCATAGTCTGTTATGTACAGAGATGTCAAAGGAGCTGTCAATCGACTATCATCGTTAGGCTTGCTCATCCCAGTATAGGGTTTTCGAAACACTTCAATAAATAAACGCATTCCTGGTCGATATGTCCAACTTTTCTTCTTTCTTTATTTCAGATCAAAAACAGAAAAGCCAAGTCTAAATACTACGCACCAGCACGCATATCTACCTGAATAAAGTCATCGTCTACAGGAAAGAAATCAGCCAAATTGGGACCAGGACTCAGCTCCAGAAAGGGTGTTAGCGAAAAGATATCAGCCAGGGAATCCAACGTCGTCGTGACGGTATTGTGAGAGGATGAATTGTAAGAGACAACGGAAGGGGCGTCTTTCACTACCAACGACCCCCCGACCAAGCAGCCTCTGTCCACCGACTGCGTCTCCCGGACATAACGCGCCTTGGCCATCAACCGCCCGATTGGCCTCCACAGCATCCCCTTGCGCGTATGCTCCTTCATGCGCCAGCGGTCGTAGAGGATCTCCACTGCTGCCCATGCCCTGTCACAGTCCCGACATGGAGGGCGAGTACAGATCTCCAACAGGACGAGGGCAACCGCGTGCCACTGCAGATACGTGTCGAATCGCCAGGCCCAGTGGGCGATGCTGGGATTACACAGGAGGAAGCATGAGAGCTCCAGGACCTCGACGGCGCGGAGAAAGATCTTATCTCGTCTCGCTTGCGCTGGGGCAGGTGCTACTTCTTTACTGTTGTCATTGTCCACCTGCTTGCGGGGGTAATGGACCATCAGCCATACGCGGGCAATAATCAGTTTCGCCACGGTAGCTGAGACGAAGAGGAAGGGGTCGGCGGGAGTGCAGTACTGCAGGTACCGGGTCTCCAGGCGACGCTGGAGCTCTTCGGCCAGGGCCTCTCGTTCGGGCAACGACAGTTCGTCGAGGGACGGACTACTGCTGATGGTTGTACTTCCCTGACCGCAGTGCGGGGGGATGAAGCTGACCTTGCGCACGGTGGAGATGGCTTCCCACGCGATCAGACCCAGCGTCATCTCCGTGGAACCGTCGCGCTCAGTCGGCGGCTGAACCATGTCCGCGGTCAGATCCGAGTCATTGATATTCAACGGTAGCTGGGCATCGAAGGACGACTCGGAAACGATCGGCTCGTAACCGTGATACTCGGACGAGCGCTGGTCGAGGCCGACGATGAACCACCACAGTCGCCGTCGCAGTTCGGTCTCAAGGGGCCGTAAACCAAAGGCTGCGCCGTCGCGATGGAGACCCATGGCCTGTGCGATGTGCACAATCAAGGCTGTCAGCGACCAGACCGTTCGGGAATCATCTTCGGTACGTAGGGCACTGAGAAACAAGGCCGCTGCCTGTAACAGGATGATGTTCTGGGTATTCAGCAGATCGGCGCGAGCGAGGGCCTGCTCGGCGGCAAAGCGATAAGTATGAAGGGCCTGGGCCCGAGGTAGACCAAGAGGGCACTGATTCTGATCGGTACTGATGATGGCAGCATAGTAGATGGCAAACAGGAGGGCCTCCGTGTTGCAATCGAGAGCGTCCAGCGAGGCGACCGCGTTCCAGAAGAGCTGTGAGAGGGTCGGCATGTGGAAGATCTTCACCATGGGGATGACATTGGTCTGGAGGATGTCGAACAGGGCGACCTGCTGGGAGAGCGACGGATGGTAGGCTCGCAGTGAGTGGGAGAGCGACTTGAAGCCCATTATGGCGACATTTAGCCCGGTGCTGTCGGGAGTTGTCTCCTGCTTTTCATCTGTTTCTTCCTGCCAATCCCCCTCCTCTTCCTGCTCCTGCTCGTCGTCGTCATTCGAGGGCGGTTCATGTAACAAATCCCGCAGCTCTTCCACCTCATCGCCCAGACTAGCCCAGAGCACGTTGCTCACGTAGACACTCGAGGTGCTGTCAATGGCGAGACGACCATTCCGCTGGTTACCGTGTGACGCAGCGGCCGTGGGCGGGTCTAAGGCCAGTGGCTGTTGCTGGGGTTGTTGACTTTCCAGCTGGCGGATGATACTCTCCAGTCGGCCTACTCTTGCCAGCATCGCCGAGTAGTTGGCGGATTGCCGCGGCCGCTTAGGAGCGCGCCCCGTCCCAGCGGGATAGACGCAGGGGGAGGCAGCCCGAACGCAGCCCCCACAGGGCTGCTGTCGGTTACATTTGACCTTCCGAGAGCGACAGAGGAGGCAGCTCCGGGAACGGGGTCCTTCACTCATGTTGGTGGATGTTTAGACTGTAGTGGGAACGAGGGGAGGGTGGAGAGAAATGAGTGCGTAAGTAGGTCGGCGCTTCGGAGTCGCATAACTTATGCGATTCCCCGAGGATGCCGAAACATGCAGGACATATCCTAGAGATATAGATATTAATTCCAATCATACTTCAAGAGGACAGGTAATGCAGAAACTCGATAGACTCCAACTGGTCAGTCTACTGCTAGCCTAGATAACCATTTCAAGTTTAAACTAGACCTTGTGCATAAGCCTAGGCCCCGCTAAAGCGATGCGAGCCAGACTGAAGAAGAAGGCCCCTCCAAGCAAAACCACGCCACAAAAGATCTGCAGGTAGGTAAAATCGACCGGATCATATCTGATCAGCGCCCCGCCGATTGGGTTGCTGACCAGCGCTGCAACGGACATAATGGCAAACTCGACGCCGGTGCGCGTCCCGATCTCCTTCATGTCCGATATCCGCGCGATCATAGCAGGCAGCAACGAGACGAACGCTCCCGATCCAAAGCCGTACAGGGCTGCAAAGACCATCATGCCGGCGTTGCCCCTGGCGGGAATCCACAGGGCCAGAGCCAACGTGCCGGAGAAGACACTCATCAGGATCTGGACGTTGTAAGTGCCCACCCGGTCGCCCAGCCATCCGGGGAGGACCCGGCCGAAGAGACTCGCGGCATTGAGGATGGGAATGAGATAGTTGCCTAGATCAGGCCGCATTCCGTATGCCGTCGCCTGCAGCTGGATGTAGTCGATGGGGAGGAACATGCCCAAATAGAACAGAAACGAGCCGATCGAGGTCAACAGGTAGACGCGCTCGCGCAGGGGGTTCACATAGTCGATGAGCCGCAGATTCTTGGGGGACGGTGGGATCCGCGAGCACACGGTTAGATTGCTGAAGATGAGCATCGCCAGGATGAGAAAGGCGGCAATTCGGATGGCCCACGAGAATCCTACGTCGGGTATCAGGTGGTTGAGCATAATGGGGAAGATCACCCCGCCCAGGCTGGATCCGGCAGAGATGATGCCCATGGCGAGGCCTCGTCGGCGATGGAACCAAGTCAGGGTGCAGTAGGTGGCCGGGGTAAAGAGACAGCTGAGGCCGATGGAACTGCAGATGCCCTGGGCCAGCAAGATCTGGAAATACTCGGTGCCCAGGGATGCCATCATCAAGCCAAAGACGTGCATGACGGTGCCGAACAGGAGCAGGTAGCGGGGGCCTTGCCGGTCATAGACACGGCCGATGATCGGTCCCTGGAGAAGTCAGTCCTCTTGTATAGCGATCTCCTCTATACAGTACATACTCCCGAGAACATGATGAAGAGTTCCAGCGATGCAATCCAGGAAATGTCACTGGCCGAGTATTGCTGGAGCTGATGGGCTTCATAGTAGTTTTGGAACACTCCGATGCCTCCAGTGTCGATTAGAGGGTGATCTGTGTCAGAAATCAGAGAGTATAGCGTACAGTTGATCCAGCCGAAGCTACAAAAGACACAGCAGAAGGCTCCCGCGACCACGAGCCACGCTTGGAGACCGCCATCTGGATACTGGCTGGGATGCCATGGCGACAATTCGGGGGCAGGCTTTTCAATTTCCGACTGTGGTGTAGACATTCTTTGGCTGGAAGGATGCAATGCAAGTGTCGGACTACGTCGCTCACTGCGTCTTTATATACAGAACTCGTTTCCCACTCGGGGCTCGCATAAGAAACCGCCCCGTCGGTCATCGCATAAACTCACGCTACCTTGCTTGGTGGATGCATTATCATCTGCCTACAGACGAGTCCACTGTTATCCCTTTTCCCGGATCGATATACCGTAGGATACTCATTTGGGTCCTCCTCTGAAGCACCTTAAATAGGAAGGTCAATAACACGTAATACAGTAAAATGGATCCATGATCCTGGTATACCTAAACTGGAGTATGTTGCCCGGCACCCGGTCCCTTCGCACAGGCTGCCCGCATAACTCTTATCCGATTTTATGCGAGCCGTTGGCGAGATGTGTGTCTTGATTTCGGGGCCGTGCTGCTATCCGAGACCGACCTGAGCGGAGGCTTTGTCGTGGTGGGGGTAACTCGTCGTCGTTTGATCAAATTCCTGGAACTCCACTCCAGTGGTATTTATTCGCACGTACTTAATCCTTTGCGTACTTATGCCATCGAAAAAAGCGGTCCCTGACACTGGAAATAGGATACTTCATTTCAGCTTACTCTAAATGCCATACAAGCTCAAGCAGACATTGCCGCTCGCATGATTTCTACAAGCCCAGAGGCTGCAGGTTCCCGAACCATCGAGAAATAGTTCGCCCTGGATGATTATGCTCGTTTGCGTCGAGAACGTCGGCCCGATGAAGCCTTCCTGTGCGTTAAATAGGGCAATGGTTGATATTCGCCCAACTCAGGGGAGGGACAGAGCTAAACGTTGTGATATTGATTACTTGGGTAACCTCCTCGAGAGCCTCTATGCCGGTGAACGGTCCCGTTGCTTGTAGGGACATGCTAAACTGCCATATAGCCGGCCTGCCCTAGTTTGAATCGTCGTAGTTCTCCAGCAACTTGAATTGGCCGTATTTTCAGAGGTATGACGGAGCAGCTTCAGATAGTCTTGCTCAGCATTGAGATCTGAAGTCAAAGCTGAAATGCTTTCATATCCCTTACCCTCGAAAGGTGGATGATAGCTGTGTCTCCTTGGTATTTCCCAGAGCTTAAGCCAGTTCGCTGCTCGAGGTCCTTATAAAATCTTACCAATTGCAATATCTTAGTTCGATAGTACCTAGTGGGCGGTCAGGTCGGCCCAGGCATCTATACCAGCTCTCATCTTGCACCCTTTTACGTGACCTATATTCCGAGAGGCGGTATATCTATGCTGCTAGGTAGTAGCAACACTTCAAGCACTAGACTCCCTTTACCCTCTGCCTTTTTGAAAGGGCCCTCTTCTCCTTTTGTTTCTCAATTCTTTAGTAGAGTGTATTCGGTGTTTCCTCCCTGCTCGATCATAGTTATTCCGGCCCGATATGTCCCCCGCTCACATGTCCTTTAGCGCGTTTCTCTCCACAGCGGACAACACAGCTCTCTTACATCACGATAGACATGAGATCACTGGAGGTACAGCAACCTGGCCTTGCCTGGGTTCAAAGAACCTTCAATCTTGAACCTCGGTGGACGGTGGAGCCCGATCCTCGGGTCATCGAGCAGACAATACAGTCGCTACTACCATCGCGCACGATCCAGGTGACCTTCCTCGCCGAGGGCGCTTTGAACAAACACTATGACGTGAAAATAGATAAAGAGGTCTTTGTTATGCGAGTCTAGTTGCCTGTTGATCCGTACTATAAAACTATGAGTGAAGTCTCAACAGTGGACTGGGTATTCCGTACCGCAAATATCCCTGTTCCTCGAGTCATCAGTTATCAACCTTCACGAGAAAATCCTATCGGATTTGAATGGATCATCATGACCAGAATGCCTGGAAGACCCTTGAAAGAGCTGTGGCGCTCTCTCTCATTTTCTGCAAAAACAAGTCTGGTTGAAGAGTTTGCGGCCTACTCTAGTTGTCTTTTTCGGAACCAACTCCAGGGAATTGGAAATATCTATAGGACAGCATCTTCTCTCAATGATTCCGGACTGTCTGAAGCGTCCTGGCCTGCTGGGAACCCAGCATGTTCTAACAAACCACCTCTATCTGAAAAGGAACATATGCCTGCAGGATTACCAGATGTGGGCAGAATCGTTTCTATGCACTTTTTTGGGGGGTTCACATATCCTTCAGGATGTTCATCGAGGGCCATTCATGTCTAGTAGCGACTGGATTACATCACGTCTTTCTCTTTGCGAGAAAGACTGTCAGTCGGTACTAGACAATCTACCATTTAGCGATCTTGAGAGTGATGATGAAGATGATGCAGATGATGCAAGAAGAACATTGGAAATCATTGGAAAACTGAAAACCCTGCTTCCATCTTTCTTTCCACCAAACGGAGACAATCCGGAGACCTCAGTCCTGGTTCATGACGACCTCTCTAGCCGGAATATTCTCGTTCATGAGAACGGAGAGCTAGCAGCTATCTTAGACTGGGAATGTGTTTCAGCACTCCCTTTATGGAATGCCTGCTATTATCCTGCATTCTTGAAAGGGCACCGCGAAGCCTCAAGCCTGATCTACGCCGATATAAACTCGAAGCGAGTGGAGAAGCTTCCGATCTCTACGGGGAACACCTATGGGAGTATGAGGTTACTCTCCTTCGTGATGTGTTTATTGATAGAATGAAAAGCCTGGAACCGGGATGGGTGAAGGTTTTCCACAAGAGCCAACGTCAAAGAGATTTCGACCTTGCAGTGCACAATTGCGATAATGAGTTTGTTGCCCGGCATATACGTGCATGGATTAATGACCTCACTGCTGGGGTTGACAAGCATCGGAGCCTGCGCGATAGAATTGATGAGGATTAAACTTCTCAAAGCATTTCAATAGGAGTATTATTTAAATAACATCTAATCTTAATTTTATAATATTATCTAATCCTATCAGTTAATATATCTCGCGTAACAATATCAAACGCGAAATTTTAGTATCTGATACTACCGCACTAATTTCTGACACCACGCTAACTGCGACCCTCCAGCGATGTTCGTTGACTGGTAATGACGGTAGACATCGGCGAACCAGGCAGTAATCGCTGATCAACAGACATAGGGCATCCAGGGGGAGTGGATGGTCCGGTGGTGGCCTCACTGGGAGCACTTGCTTCATTTGCGGTGTAAGGGGAGGACTAGTAGGCGATGTCATGGCAGGCGGCTGGCAGAGCTCTTCCTGCCAAAGTCCATCTTGAACCATGATCTCGTCATTGCTTTTGAGCCAAAAGTCCGGAATTCGGATCCGACTAACGGACTGAATGAAAAGTTCAACACCATATAATTCGCGATGTTCTTTGTTGCGGTGATGAGACCACCAATTCTGCACTCTATAAAGGTGCTTGCTAAGTAGGCTCTGGGTACCTGTTGGACTTAGCTCTCTCTAGGTATGGGCGTAGTAGACGGCCCGCGGGCTTCCTATCACTGGTATTACCGGCACAACTCGACATTCGTGTGAATTTGACCTGGATCTTCCAGCTCTGGGAAGGCAGTATTGTGATTCCTGTTGCTTCAGGGTCATCCCTTTCGCCTGTAGACAGTGCCTTGTCCAATGCGCTACCAGTACCTAACTTATCATCGCTCCGAAACTTCGTGATCACCCAGATCAGAAGAAATGATTCAGGCTTCCTTGAGCCATTCTTCCTGCATCTTCTCATGGAGATCCCTCGTTGATTGGTAACCGGATGTAGTTGTTCTATACGAAACGCAGAATGCATTCTACCATTACTAATTATCACCCCTCGCCCTCCAATGCATTTTCGATCATAATTGATCCGCAACATAACGTACCAACGGAATCAGTCTCTGTAACGGCCCTTGGGTAGTTGAAATATTTGATGTCCTGTCATTTCTCGCATACAGTTCTGGGACCCCATCTTTAGATCTGACTGTGTTCCGCCATGACTTGGTCTTCTTCCAGCGCCTTTCCTTTGATATGTTCCTCCTCTACCAGAGACTGTTTCGATTCCGGTTCCGCTGCGGACTACGTCAGGTCGACCAGGAGTCTATTACAAACTCGCTGCCTCGATTTGAGATTGATGAAGAAGTTGAGTTCGTAAAGTCTCAACCCTCGTATAGCGAGCTTCTTGGCGGTTGCTTCGTCCCATAGACGTAAATAGAGCTGTATAAAAGTACTCAATTATTGCTTGAAACTGTTGAAAAGAAGGGAAATGGCTTGTAGACTGAGATAGGGTTTTTAATATACACTGTAGCTTTTACCTTCTTGCGAAACGCTTCAAAGCACTGCCGGATAGATCCGTAGTGACAGCGTTTGATTTCTACCGCCTCAAGGAAGATATGATGAGATAGAATATGATCGCTTCCTCTAGCAATCTGTTGGGTGATGTTCAGCATAACATCAGGCTAGTCATGAGCTTTGGAGAGTCTACCGAGGTTGAAGAAGATGTTTCGTTTGTATGCAGCAGGTAGATTTCTGCTGACCGAGCAGCACTTAGTCTTGCTCATGGTTCAAACCAGCTGATGCACAGCATTATTTGCTTCCTTGCTCGAGAGCCCAGCCAGAGATAAAATGGCCCTGGCTATCATTGATGATCTCAATGGGGTTCAAAACACGCCAGATCACTTGTTCCTGTCTGCGTTGTCGTATCTTGCATATCCGCGATCTCTTGCTCCAGCTCCCTCGTTTCTGTCTGCGTTTTGATATCCTCCAACACCGCGACCTCTTGCTCCAGCTCCCTCGTTTCTGTCTGCGTTGTCATATCCTCCGGGCGACGCAAGACTTTTGCGCGTTGTTGGCTCAGCCTGGCTACTGCCTCTGGAGGAAAACCTGCAAAGTGTTGACACACGCCGCTTGTATTGATCATGATAGCCTTTCACGCTCGGTGGTCCCACGGGCTTGCTCTGTTTCGGTGAGATTTGTATTTAACGTGCGAATATCAGCCTCTGAAGCTCTTCTCAGATGACTCTCCCGCTGGAGGTCCCGCTGTGACACGCCTTACGCAGTTATAAGGTGTACAATGCGTTTCTGCGCTCGAAGCTTCTTGGCCTCGTCGGTAGCGTCAATAGAGACATTCTCCAGTTGGGAACCCTCCTCCCTGGTGATCGGCCTACCCGCAAATAAATCGGAGGCGATCACTGCGCGCGTAGAACGTTCTGATGTACCGGCGTGTGCTATTCACAGTAAAGCTTTGAGACTGCCCACTGGATAAAACTACTTTGTATTATCCACTTCCGTAGTCTGCGGAAGGACTTGTCGAATGCACTTGCACGATCGACATGAGATGACAATGTTAAACTCGTTGTCGTGGATCACTTTCATGATCATATCTCTTGATCTAATGCCTTCGTTCTGATTGAAAATCACAATGATGCGTTCCGGAAGACGTGAGGTCAATAATTATGGAGAACCTTCGCTATCTGAAAAGTATTCGCAACGATCGCATTTTTCCGGTCTGAACGAACAGTGTATGTAACTCAAGCTGGTTTATGGGTCACAGGATGTGATAGGAATGGGTTAGAGAAGGCGCAGCGTAGAGTAGACCAGAGAAAGGACAAGAGAGACCATAGTAGAGTAGAGCAACGCAAGGTAAGATAGAGCAGGATAGAGCAGTATAAGTCAACATACTGCGGTGTTCCTTGCGCATGTGTCTATACAGCGAGGTAGACACATCGAAAACCATTCCACACATACGACTAGCACCAACAGGGACCCAGTAAGGTCTTGAGGTGGTTAGGAGTCTCAGGGAACTGGGAAACATCTTGAGCAATCTCACATAGATTTCAGCCTAGTGTGAGTCTCCAAGTATGATCGTCTGCAAGTGTACATTTCACCTGTCTTTATGCTCGAGTCCTAGTTCGGCAAGCTCAATGCTGGTTGACGTCTGCGTACACTTGGTTTCAAACTGTGACAAGACTGTGGGGTCGAAAGGTCCTAGGGAACTTGCTCCCAAGAAAGTCAAACTGGGAGAAGCGCGAGATGTCGATACATGAGTTCATCGGTTGAAGCAGTGTTACCACTAAAGCAATAGATAACAACCAATGCCGTCAAAACGGAGAACGTTGATGATCTGGACAGTTTCATACCGAACCCTTGCATCAGAATAGGCATGCAAAGGGCGTGTTATGTAGCCTTGATATGCTGGGACCTCCAAGATGGCATTCCTGAACCCATTTATGGGGCTCAAGCGGTCCAGGACCTTGTTCGCTGCAACCAGGCTGGAAGTAGCGAGCTTCAGATCCGCGCGCAGTTGCTTCAGTGAGGCTAAATCGACGGACTGTTCACGCTTGGGAATGGAACCTGCAGAGCGGATATTAGTATCATGACCGATTGCCACTGCGTCTTCCCTTCATAAAGCCCGTTGCATCTCGCTGTTCACGCCCCATCCAACATCCACACTTACCAGTAGGAGTAACAGGCATGGCCTGCAAAGGAAAATCGTTATTACGACCGGACACGACAATGGGCGACATGTACTCACCAAAAACCCGCTCACGGGCGCATTCGCATTTCGGGAGTTTACGGGAGTCCACAGGGTGGAATTGGCGGGAGAGGTCTAAAGCTCAATCGTCAGCAGCAAGGACCGGAGGGGCAGAAAGGCCAAACTAACCACCTTTTTGGTCTTGGGAGGTGTCGACTGGACGGGGTCGACGGGTTTACCACGGGTTCTGATGGCGGGGCCTGGGCGGTGCAGGCTTGTGATCTTGGCTCTTCCTTGTCCTCTGCCTTAATAGCGCCGTTGATTCTAAAACAGCAAGACTTAAATTATAAACTTCAAGGCTTGCTGTACTTGTCGGTCGTTCAATTGCACTTCTTAGGTCATATATCTCAGCAAGGATAATATCACTGTTCTTAAACAGAGTGTACGGGGTTTCAGTCATAGAAGACCATGTAATCGCTTTCGACACTCATTGTTAACATAAGGACGGCAAAGGTTCGTAAACTGTTTGCTCAGGGGTTGGGCGAGCTGTTCTGCGACCAGCCGCTCGATCACTCTCGTCCCAGGCCTTGATGAAATCCCCAAAGGAGCCTGCTGGCCAAGGAAAATATAGCAGTGAGCCGTCTAATTGCCACCCCTTAGGTTCAGTGACAGGCTCTCTAGGAGAGACGTCGTCGATGGGTTCAGCAGGCTCCTTATAGGTTGTCTCTCCTCTTCAGGGAGCCGCAATTGCCTTCGATAGTGAGATCGAGCCAGCCGGTTCCAAGGAGGTGAGCTCATAAAGGGGCGATAAGGGGGATCGTGAGAGCGGTGTAAGAAGGATGTGAGGACGTAGAATACAATAGGGAAATGTAATGCGAGATGGGTGTAGGAAAGGGGAAGGAAAATGAAAGAGAAGTGGAAAGGATGGTGATAAGGGAATCGGTGAATCTGTTCTTTCTGCACGACTTTGGATTCTTCCGAGTGATCGCTTTGAACTCTTGATGTCCGCGATGACCAGATCTGGCACAAGCTTGTCCCTACGGCGACCACCTGCTGCTGTCTTCTCTTCCGCTTGGCCTTTCAAGTTGGGGTTTTGTTCTTCGGTGGAGGGTATATTTGCCGCAATTAGCCCACGGGTTGACAAAGTGCCAGAAAGACGTTCAATGCCGATTCGAATGATATTGCGCGAAAACAGGGGTAGTGCCATTAGAGTTCGCCAACCCTGTATTCTCATAGTCATGCCCAGTGCCACCATCACATTCAATCCACCCGATCAAAATTCAATCACGTCGGTGGGAAAAAGGTGCGGCCCACCGTGGCTCTACTCCGTATTACATGCGGGCCCGATTTTCCATCTGCAAATGATCCATGGCGCCGTTAGAGCTCGCCAATCGTGCATCCTCAAAGTCATGCCCGCTGCCGCAGCCACATTCATGTGCTCTTATCATCTCCAAGCACGTCGGTTCTATGCCGTGGATGAGTTGGCATTGATCTCCGCTGCACTTATGGGGCGCGAACGATATAGAATTGATAAGAGCAATCCTTCATTCAAGAGACCAAGGCAGTGCGTGTAGATTGAGGCCGAGGCCTCCAGCTGCATAAGCTGTTATGAGAATTGCAACTGCTGAGCGGGGGCTTTTGAACTGAGCGGCTATCTGCGCTCGCTTTTTTTTGTGTTGCAATCATGTCGAATTTCGTTCTAAGAATCGCCTGACGGTCCGGATATTTCTAGATAGCCGAGTTGTGTATCATATTTGGTCTTCGATCCGGTTCTCTGAGTCGGGACGACATGGTTGTATCTTTTTCTCGTAAAAGAGACCTTCGGACGAAGGTTGCTTTGCGATTTTCGACTCCCAATGATATCATTGCGAGAGAGGTCGTTACCAATATCACTTGCTAATGGTACTAGATAACCCGATGGAACCTGTCGATCAGAGGCAGTATGTATTCTTCTTTTCGGAAATGATGTCCGAGTTCGTGGTCGGGTGTTCGAAAAGCCCCTCCTAGAAGCCCACAAAGGCTGTAGACTGACGTCAAGACCAGGAATGAGTGGGCCGGTTCCTGAATATGCCGAGATCGCTGCCTTATGCCTTGCCGGAGACAGCGCCAAGTCGCTTGGCGTTCGCGGGCAAAGATAATGACGTAGGTCTTCCGCCCTGTCGCATTTCTTTAAAGCCCACATCCTCCTCGATGTCTGACCCCCTCAGCACAAGTCAGTGAATATCTTCCAAGCAAGCAGATATGGATATGGATAATACCTACAAACCCACGCCCTCGGCGACTGTCGTACGCCTCATGGTCCTTGAGACCGACATACCTCACCCCGATACATACTCGGTGCGCGGTTCATTTGGTCGCATTGTACACGAACACTTTAGCAAAGCCGGACGTGCCCATCACCCGCCTCTAGGCGTCGAGACAGACCAAGTCTTCGTCGTTACCGAACAAGGCGGACGGATGCCCGAGGTGCAAGAGTTCGAACGTTTTGACGGCCTGCTCATCACCGGCAGCGTGTACGATGCGCACGCGAACAACGAATGGATCCTTCAGCTACTAGAGCTCCTCAAGGCCCTCTGGACCAAACGGCCCGACTTCCACTTTCTTGGCGTCTGCTTCGGCCACCAGCTCCTCTCCCGCCTTCTTGGCGGCACTGTCGGGCCCGCGCCTACGCAAGACTGGGAACTCGGCCACTGTCGCATTGAGCTCACGCCCGTCGGCCAGCAGCTCTTCCGTACGAAGGAGGACCACATTCATCTGCACCAGATGCACCAAGACCAGGTCACCTCACCGCCCACGGCCGCGTCCGCAGGACCCGACATGTTGCACCCGGACACCGAAATTGCGTGCTGGGGGCGCAGCGACCATACACCTGTTCAAGGCCTGTACATACCGAATCGGCTCTTCACTACCCAAGCACATCTGGCGTTTGATGAGGACATGGTGAAGCGACAGATTCAGATCAGAGTGGATGGCGGCGGGATTAAGGACCTCGAACATGCGGATCGGGCGGCCGAGACGGCGCATCTGGAGCACGACGGTGTCGAGGTTGCTAAGGCTGTATTGCGGTCGTTTGTGTATGACGAGGATGAATAGACGATTTGATGAGATTAATGCTGTTCGACCATATGAAATCGATAACTTCCTGAGAATTCATCACGCATAGTATGATGGACAAGCCAATTCCGGAGGCAAAAGTCTTTTGCTTGATCTCTTCCTCTCCCTTTGCAATTTCCTCGCGGAGCAGATCGCTGCGTATAAGATGCATACATAGAGAACCTTCTGCTCTTTCAGTCCAGGGGGTGTAATGATCATAGTAAGTGAAGACGAACGTGGGTCGGAAATTTCAAACGGGTTCACGGTTAAGAGGTGTTGCTGGAGAATCCACCTGGCTTTCCACTGCGTGTCATGAAAGCCTCTGGTTGCACAGCCATCGGGTCGAACATGGCTTCCTCCCTGAAAACCTTGGCTATCATTTTCAATTTGGGCGAGTCGTAGGCGAGATTTATTTATTAGATTCTGTATTCGTCGGCAGCGTCCTTGCTTTGACTAGGATTCGAGCTCAAGGTTTTGCTTGCCCAAGTCCTGTTTGTCCTGGTCTTGCTTACTAGAGGGCTCTTCGGCGGGCTTCTTGAGCTCACAGGTGGACCAAAGCTCTCCGGTCTTTGTAAATTCTCGCGGCATAACAATCAACATTGTGCAGACGAGCGTGGCCGATCCGTATGTGAGTTAAGCCCTATCGACCTGTAGAGACGTTTGCGTCACCGGGACATTCGGTGTAGTCGGCACTCGCTCTAGCACCTCCAGCTCCGCCTCGGCAACGTCCGTTATTTGAGTTCGCATAGCCCTACCCAGAGCTTCATGTTAATCGGGGCTCCTCCCAAAGGAGGGTTATTAATTAGCCAGGGATAGGAGGTAATTGGCCGGGACGTCTGCATTGCTCATCCGGTCCTCGGACCCCTCCGCCTCCTTGTAGAGCGCAGATCAATAGAATGAAAGGAGAGAGACCGTGAGTGACGCGGTATGCCTGTCTTTTAACAGAAGATGTCGTCACGGTGACGATCATCCCCAATTGTATTCATTGCCTATGTCAAGTTGGAGTTGGATTGCGTATTCGTTGGGTTCCTTGATCAAACAAATGCGTCCACGGCATGAAACAGTCTTATGAGTCGTATCCCCGGGATACTTGCCCATGAGGAAACCATTTCAAACAGCCCGACTGCTTTGGATAGTTGCGACCTGATGTGCAGTTACCGACTTACTCTAAGGCTTGTATGAGTTTCGTCTCAGGTGGACTACTTCGGTATCCAGCCATATTTATCCATAATTCGAAGCGTTCCTGCATTGGTGATGCCTTCATGCGCTTGGTTCGCACCAGGAGATATCGTCCCCACATCTAGTCTTCGTAGCCATTTAGAAAGGTCAATGTCTGCGGCGATAGACTAGGAGGATCTCACATGGCCGTGAGCACCAGGATGTCGGCTCAGGCCTTGCAGATGAACTCAAGGTAAGGGTTTCGAAAGGCAGAAACCGTAGGGTAGATGTCCAACAATCGTATGATCGGTTGCCGCTTTTTCTCTAACGTAATGGACCCTGACAAGTCTCAGCAGACCACGGCATAGATTTGTTCGTAGATTAGCCCCGTCATCCAATTAGAAGCTTCTAGGGGCGGCTCCATCGTGATTTGTATTGTCAGTCTTGGATGATCGAGCCGGCTAATTGAGACCATAATTGGAACTGGTCGTTGAGGTAAATGCTATCTCTTATCCAAAGACTTGCGAATTGTTGGCCAAAGAGATGTACCAGTTTCGTCATCTCTTTTGCCATCCGTTCTTTTCTGTGCTATATTGTCTGAATATAGCTCATGTATGGCTTTAAAACACGGGCTCCGACGGTTAGCTACCCCCACGAACTCAGGTGCGGCCTGGAGATCTGTGCCCCGTGAGCCATGGAGAGGCAGCCCTTTTAGCAGGGAAGATGTTGTTGCGGAAAGGGCCGGCCACGGGGAACACGCTCCCCCTCCCCTTGTTCATCCGAGATTATCGTCGACTGCGTGGGCCGTATGCCCTAAGCTGCGCAGCGCCACGCCGATAGAGGTCGTCTAGGTTTCTTCGCCGGACCAGTCCCTGAAAGCCCTCTCAGGACGCCCCAATAAACACTGGGTTTTCACAGCTTTCCATTGATGAGTCGCCAAATGTCGCCCACAGGATCTGCATCTCCAGTCCGTCACCGAATCGAAGCAAGATTCGATCTCTTTCTCCCATTTCGGGAGGAAGTCTGGTGAGGTCATGATTAGGTCCGTGTCTCTTATGCGCGCCGATGAGTGCTGTGTTTAGAAGTGGCCCTTTGCGCAGCAAGTGCGCGTGACTGCGCACAAGGCACGAGAGACCCAGGGATCTTGACGGATTTTGCGCGCTGCCAACCAGCGTCCTAAGGAACGCGGGTCTTTGCGCAGTAGAAAGTGATACATGTCGGCACTAGGGTGACTCATCTTCAATGGCGTATATCTGCTCGATAAGAGTTCGCTCTAGCACTGAAAGGGTTGCATAATGGCGACGAGACCCCAGTGCTTGAGTGTTTCCTTCGCTCGCTGTCGCCTGTATGCGACTTTGGCTTGTTGGTATACAATCACCCAAGGTTTGAAACGAGGGGCTTTGTATATGCCTTCTAAGGAAAAATGAGCGAGGATATACAGTAAATCCCGAAAGGTCTATCCAGGAGGTTAGACAATCATAAAAGATATCATGGGGAGACTACTCACCTTGATTGAGGAAGATATATATGAAAGAGCGAAGGAGTATATGGATTCTCTGAAGCTTGAAGGCGCTGAGAGATGGTTGAAAGAAGATGAAGGATTTCGGAGGGGGGGGAAGCCGTCTAAATAAGGATCCAGGGGGCGGATCAGTCACTGGATTATTCAAGATGGAAGAGAATGATTGCCAACAAGATTCGCCGGCCTACAAATCAGATCACCTTTTGTAGGGAAGAATTCAGATATGTCACTTCTTTGACGCCTAAATCATTCACATTTGGCCTCTGTATGTCTCAATCACGGGTGGCGTTACCTATTTTCATCATATAAGTATGAATGTCAGGATAGGTGTGAATCATGACCAGGAAAATCCATTGATCCCATATGCTAAATTCGTATATTAACATTTGAAGTGAACAGTGCCATGGCAGGCTTCACGTTAGGAAAATTTGGGGAAGGACCCAGACCAAGATTGCTCAAACCACCTGGGGCGCACAGTGAAGCGGTAAAAGGATGATTGTCACGCAAACAAGTTGATGAGCGAAGATGAGAATCCACAGAGTCCCGTTCAAATGGAATTCAAACGGCCTATATCATATGTAACCTGTCATTAAAGCTTGTAGCGAAGCCTAGTTCGACGAGGTGTTCTCTCGCTCTAGTTCTCGGACCGCGACATCCAACAAAAATCGAGCATAGCCACGATGCAACCTTCCCGACCATTTCGGAAGCTCCTTCTGGCTTTCAAGACCGCCTTCTGATGGGAATGTCTCGTAGTCATGTGCAGAGGCAAAGCGAACTTCAACGAAGGGTCCAAGGGCCCTCTCTTCCCCTTCGCCTTCAAACGGTTCCGAGACACTCATCTCATGGCGACCTCCTGACATCAAACGCCACGGATAGCCCCAAAGAGAAATCTTTTCGAAGAACTTGCGCGCGTCGTCGGGAATTTTCCAGGAAACCAGCAAGCCATACGGCTCGCCATTGGATGGCGGTCGCTCGACCACTAATGCTCCATTCACGATCTCGCGCGGAGCTCCAGTTTGAGGATCAGGGGAGAATTCACCCGGCGTATCACCCATGTCGCCAGGGTCAAAGCGGCGTTTGGTGAAGAGACCAATGATTGCGGATTCGGCGCGAAACACTCGAGTCCCGAGCAGTGCTTGCGCCCATGCCGTAGAGAGCTCTGCGTTTGTTTTGGGGTTCTCGTTGAGGCCAAGTCGCTTCGAGTGAGCCTGTAGGGCACGAAGAGGCACCCGAGCCGAATAGATATCAACATAAGCACAATGTTGAGTTGATGAATTGTCGGGAATGCCCAAAGCAACGCTGCCCGATGATTTGGGAGGTCTGGCCGGGTACTTGGTCTCCAGAACAGTGAGATAGCGGTGTGTCCCGTAGGCCACGACCACTGGAGGTAACGCCAATGCAAGCAGCAAACGGGATCGGGATCGTGCAGCCATTGCTGTTGGAGATGAACGATTAGATTGTTGCAAGAATTTGGATGTAGTGAAGGGTAGCTTTTATGGTATTTCTCAAAGATGACCCGGGTTAGTCCGACGGGGGCCAAATGAGGAGGCAGGATCGCATGATCCACCAAATCCCTCCAGCGGAATTTCCACTCGGGATACCTCGATCGTTCAAATCTATTGAGCTAAATCTCTGAATACAGTCGCTGTTATCTGATGATTCCGATGTTTGACCTGAGAGAATTTTTGAGGGGTTGATGGCACAAAGGAAATTCCCCTGAGATGCCTAACTCGAATAGGCAAGTCCCAGGCACGGGACACGGGCACGAGCAGTCCATCTGAACTTCTACATTCTGCCATCATTTCAAAATATGACGTATCGCTTTCAGTATCTGGTGGCCTAGTACACACAGCTCTTGCCTAGTGATCTGGTCGAGACCCATTATGCACCGCTTAACTCGGACCTTCGCTTAAAAATGAGAACCGGGAAAACAAATAGCCAAGGGTTCGCCAAATATGCAAATTTGAGAGAAGAGCTGGGGAAGTAAGTAGGCGCAGCAGTACTCTACTTCTTTTTTTATATTTCTATATGCTAATATGGTAGCATTGTAGGGGAACCGCTGTGTAGTGCATAGGCAGCCATGATCCAAGCCAATCGGCTAAGCTCGACTAGATCCGTGCCCACTCCATATATCGGATCGCTGTGGGGACGGAAGGCAGAGTTCTATATCGCGAAGATCATCGCAACGCTGCAGAAACAAGAATAAATACCAGATACAACGGTCAATCCTATAAAAAGGATAGGATGTCGGCGCCAGATCGTCTTTTCTGCGTTTCTAAGCACGCAGACAACAACAGGTCTTCAATCTATTTCTCCTACCAAGCATGATCAACATGAGCGTCTTGCCATCTTGCATACATGGCATCCAATCCGTGATTGCTTTGGTGATTCTAGGCTGTTCAGCAGCTAGATTATCGGAAGAGTCATCAAGCGGGTTTGGCCTGGCTTTATTCACGGTCAGTTTGTCAATGCTGAACCCCAACTCCCAAACTTCAACTCACACAGAACAACCAGGCCATCGCGACCATTCTCGCAGCAATCTACATCATCACCACCTCCTTCATCGCAAAGACGTTGTTCAAGCTTTGGGTTTCCGTTGCATCTAATGCCTTCACTCTGACTTTCTGGGTCATTACCGTCATAGTCATGGGCACTACGCATCATTTTGTGTACTGCCAGGGAGATCAGCACAACCATTGCTACAGAAAGCGGTATTATCATGGGAAGGATGGTCTTTGGGCTGCGACACTTGCGTTGAGTGTTATTGATGGGTATGTCCCCGGTTCTCTTGCTTTGTACTGGTTTGGGCCTGTTTCGGGGATGAATACTGACATGGCACTGTTTAGGATCCTTTCTGCTATTGCACTTGCGATTTCCTGTTGCGGTCGGAAAAATCGAGAAAAGAATGAGGTCGCATGATGATGTTGCACTAGTTGTACAGTTCGGAGGCGACCGTACTTTTATAGAGAGTGCAAAGGCTCTGTGACGGCGCTTGATGTATATATGAATTTGTTTAAGTAGATCGCTTGCATCAACTTTTACGATTGAGCTATGAATACCTGGGAGATTATACTTGTGTAGAGGCAGAGTTAGAGATCTTAGGTGGCTATCAAGCTCAATTATATATCGCTCTCTAAAACTTTACGTTGGACCTAGGAGTGGCATCTTTCTGAACAAAAACCTTCTCAACTGTTAACTTAAATCTCAATTATCAGTCCAAAAACAATCTCCTAACTGATCTCCATACCAGAATGTCGACTGTGCTATAGAGTGCTACGGAGTAGTCTGTTCAATCGAGAAGCGGGCCAGATCCGCCCAAAATAATTTCGATTCCGCCCTCCCATTTTTTTTCCCTTTACAAATCAACCACCCCTCATCTCGACCACCTACGCTACGAAACCCAACAATCCCATCCTCAATCCAACCTACAAAGAACCACCTACTCAATTACCTCCACCGACCAATCTTCCTACACCCGACGATAAAAAAACAAAGAGTCAGAACCCAACTACCCCGCGCACCGCACTCCCCACCGACAATGACCTCACCAAGCGGCCCAACGATCGACAACTCCCTCGACGACATCTTCGGCTCCTCACCACCGCACGAACCCTCTCGCATCCCTGAACATGAACCCGCACCGACCGACAAGTCCCTATCGTCCGTCGAGCCCTCCGAACTGCCCTTCCTCCGTCGCCAACACGTCACAGCCGGCTATCGCGACGGCATCTCGACCTCCAAGGGCGAACACGTCCAGGAGGGCTTCGATGCTGGGTTCCCTGTCGGTGCGCAGCTGGGTATGCGTGCGGGGACGGTCATCGGGATCCTGGAGGGTGTGTTGCGGGGATACGAGAGCCGGGCTGCTTCGGCGGTGGTGAAGAAATTGCCGGGGAGGACTGGGGCCGGAGCTACGGCGGCAGGGACCCGGAAGAAAGGCGAGGAGGGCCAGGGTGGCAAAGAACTCGACGAGGAGGCGAGACGCGCGAGACGCGAAGAGGTTCTGAAACTGTATCAGAGCGCCGTGAAGGCGTTGAATGTGCAAGGCGTGTTCGGGACTCTGGAGGAAGGTGGCGAGGATGGGGAGGGGAAACCGAGTCCGGAGACGCAGCTGGCGGGGAAGGGCGATGGGGTTGTTTCGAAGTGGGAGAATAGAGTTCACGTTGCGCATTGGGAGGAGAATATGGATGTTTTGCAGATGAAGGAGGAGGAGGGCAGTGAGAGCCAGGCCCAGGCCCAGGGTCAGGATGAGGGAGCGGAGGTGGCGGGTAGTCTGAGTTGATTGGGATTTTCTCGTCTTTCCGCTCCCTCTTCTCACTACGCTGCTCTGCCGTACTCTGCTCTCTACCTTATGGGTCTTCCCCGGGGCCCAGTTTCCCCCTGTCGGTCGTCCTGGTCTCACCGCAAGCTACCTATGCGGTCATGGAAATCAAGCTTCGTTTCAGGCCCCGGGGACTGCGACCCGGGGTTTGACGATGTTACCAACACCCGGTTTCCACTTTCCCACCACCACCGAGTAATCCCCCTACAGAAATTCACCTGCGGGTTGACTGGCTGGAGTTGGTCGGAAGGTCTCACCCGGGGATTAAGACCTGCATAGGGATGCAGGTCTCGCTTTTTGCGCCGGGAGACCCGCGGTTCTATACCCGTGCCTTGCAGACCTGGTCTCGATCGACCGGTGGCTAGAAGCAACCTGCAAGGAACCGGTGGATCAGGGCGGGAATTTTTGACGCTGGTGAAGCCGAGGCCCTGGTCTGCGGATGTGAAGATTAGTATTGGCGTTAGCTACTGCTGCTGATACTGACTGCTACGACGGTTTGCGCATGAGTGGCTGACTTTAATTTGACCGAGAGTGATTGTTTAAATCACAAATTCTACGACAAAGACCAACAAGATAGCTATAGATATTAACATAGAAAGCATAGCCAAAACCCATCATTTCACACAACCAACAAAAGTACCAGACCTCAAAACCTTGACATCATGCAACGAAGATCAATCGAGCACAGGGAGCCAAGCCAAAAACCCACCTAAGACAAGGGTTTTTATCAACATAATTAATTGCCGTCCATTAGCCAAAGTAAAGCCGTGATATCCTAGAATACCTAGCTTCGTCGTACGGGACAACGGATCCTTCTAGGGGTTTGCAAAAAAAGGTTCGCGTCTAGATTCCGGCCCTGAAGGGACAGAGGAGGAAATATGGGAACTGCATTCCGGGGTCCTTCGGAGAATACCTGAATCAAGGGGGTTGGAAGGAAAGGAATACACAAACACCTGGCAATATGCGTTTGGTGCTGGCCGATGGTTTGATTTACATGATTATTATGTTGGAAGTTCTACTGTAATGTGATATTTGTGGTATTGACTCAAGTCTTGAGAGATTGTTGGGATCTCAGTAGAATATACTAGTCCCGTGAATTTCGAGGAATCTGTAGCAGAGACAAACATCAAAAGGAGAGTGAGGATTAGCGAGGATGAAGGATAGACAGCCGTTGACACGTGTATAGTTGGATGGAAAAGAAAAACCAGGGAATCAAGAGACAGTTTATCAAAGAGTGATAGGGTCGGGTACAAAGAAGCCCGATAGACCCAAAGCAAGAGAGAAACTCCATTTTAGAAAAGCCAAATCAGATAAATTCAATCATGGTTCAAAGAGAGAACAGAGCGAAGAGCTCAAAATGAGAAACTCCAGAAAGTGCCTTGTCATAGGACATCAATCAGTTCATTTCATAGCAGCATTGGTTGCATAGCATCATTGACGAAGTTTGTGAGAGTGGGCATTATTTCCCAGCAGAATGGTGGGCTCATAAATCATGGAGAGAGCGGACCCAAGAGGAAGAATAAGAGAAGGAAATTCAAGTCATGGCGTTATGGATTTTCATCACCCGATTGTGGGATCGTTGATCACAGTAAGGCATTATTGCGAGAGGACAAAGGAAATCATTAATATCATGTTGGACAAGTGACCGTAGCTTTTGTTGTCAGAAGTGCGCCGAGCTTAAGAACCAAAGAGAGTGAACCGTAGAACTCCAATTATGGGCGGTTATCGGACGAAATGGAAACGAGAGTTGAAAGAGACGCAGTCACTATATTGATTTACCAGGTCGGGGAGGTGAGATATCTCCGTGGCAGCCAAGCACTCGCAGTGATTCCCAAACTCGTTTATAGAGTGGGGGACGGGCCAAAGTCAAGCTGTGCATGGCTTTGTCGGGTCGGTCTTCGCGGCAGTAAGTGCAGACCTTTTCCCGCTCGGCACAGAGGGAGTCCTCTGGAGAATCAGACCTCTGTCGCCGTCTGGATTTGGCCTGGATCGCTGCAGCAGTTGATCTATCAATGTCATAGTTCCGAGGCTGGTTGTTGTTGGTACCGCGACTGTTAGCGCGGGATCGAGGGGTTCGTGGTCGTACGAGGGATGTGGTAGAAGGGGCAACGAGACGCAGCGTTTGCTGGGCAGTCGGACGAAAAATGTCTTTGCTCGAGCAGGCTTGCACCATCGTCCTCATGGATGAAGGGGTGTGGTGTGTCGGAGGAGGCTCGGGCATCGAGGGGAACTTCTCCAAAGGCTGCGGGTGATTTGACGGGGGAGCATTTTGAAGCTTGGGCGCCGATTTGGCAACTCGTAGATGGACACGACTGCGAACTTTCTTCAAAGTGTCGATCGGATTTTTCGACTTGGTGTCTGCGTCTTCGGTATCAGAGTCGGACTCCCATACTGACTGTTCAGGGTACATTTCGGAAACGGAAGTCGAAGGTCGGTCTCTACCAGAGGTAGATAAACTCGTTACGGGTCGGTCTGGCCTTTCAAACGATGTTGTTGTGGGCCCTGGACTGGGAACGGGGCTGGGAAAGTCATTCGCTGGAATGAATAGTGCTTGGTCGAAGTGAGACGTATGTGGCTCGAGGGTAACCGGATTGATCAGACAAGGAGGGGAGATCATAGAAGGTTCAATGGGGGGGCGGCTTCCAGGGTTGGTGCCCCGTCTGCCTGTTGGTACATTCGAATTGCGTGCACTGTTGGGAAGGGAGGGCAATGGTTTCCCACTGTATGAAGGAGAGTCGAAACTGTCTCCCCGAGGCATGACCAGAGTGTCCGATGAATCGTTCGTTATCGCTGCTCTTTGCTGAGGGTCTCGGGGTGGAGTTGATGGCCGGGAGAGCAAAGCAGTCCGGGAACCATTCAATGGTGTGGACGAGTAAACCTGATTGTGGGGGTTGACGCCCGCCCTGAGGTTGGTCTGGGACAGTTGTTCCGTTAACTTGTCAACAGTGTCTGGGTGAAGATGACCTGAGTAGTTGGAAGAAAAAGAGCTGCTTGGAGTCAGGTCAGGTGTAGCGTCCGTATGGTCAGAGCTGAATGAGCCGTGGCTATGGTGAAAAGGCTTCGGCCCGCGAGGTTGTCCTGTAACCTGCTGAAGGCCTAATTGGTGCTCCAGCTCGACGACTGACAGCGTGGATCGGTTGATATTAGTCCGAGATCTAGTAGTGTCTCCGCGAAGGTTCGTAGAGATGGGAAGCTCTTTGCCGGGATTCAAGGTGGATAACATGAAATACTGATTTGCCTCTTCACTAAATCTAACATCGCGTATTCCGCGCCGTAGAGAGCCCCAAGAGGCGTCGTCGTCGAGTGAGTGCTCAAGATAGAACGGGTCTGGATTCGACTCGTCGAGTATTTCGGGACCCTTGGAGGGATAGTACGAAGATGCTCGCTTCGGAGGATGCGATGGGGGCGGGAAGCAAACAGTTGTTTGTGACCTGTTTCGTCCTTTATGGAAAGCGTTCAACTCGCTAGGGGAGAATTGGTATCCGGTAGCCATGGGCTGAGGTTCTAGCTGCTAATAATGCCCTGGGCACTTGGTTGTATTTTTTCTAGGGACGCAAAACGTTCACCAAAAGAGTGAGATATATGAGAAACATGAAGTTTTGGCAGATGGAAATAAAGAGAGACAGGATTGAGTGGGTTGGGAGGAATGACAAGGGTGAAGGGGATATGTTTATACATACTCGGCCCTAAAAACATTGATACCTCTGTAGCTAGGAACTGGGGCTGACCCAGTGGATCGGTGGCTAGGCCGCGGAGGACAGCCGACGCATGCCAATGTACAGTGGGTGTAAACAAAGCTCAGGCGTCCGAGAGCACAGACACCAATGAGCTATCAGACCTTACATCCTCCCCTTCCGTAGGGATGGCTATGTAAGGTGCACAGGGCATGAAGACTGGAGCAAGGGGCTCCGGAACCCGATCCGCCAGCTAAGCACAACGCGGGGTGCTCAGATCGACCAGTACATAATAAAAGGCTAGCACTGGTCGCGCACGCGACAGCAGCCCTTTGGCGCGTCTATCTGGTTGTGGAAGAGAATAAACATTGAAGTTGTTGATCGCCGATGTCAACCGTCTCCGTCCTGCTGCAAGAGCTGAGAGCTCCTCCCTAGAAGGGCTGGGCTAGAAGCTTTGTCCGCCAGTAGGGGCATTCACTGGAAAATGGGATCCTCTGATTAAACTTTTCATGAAACTGGTGAATGTCGAATACCTAAATATATTGTTCATGCGTCGTCGAACGGACTTGATCTTGAAGGCACTGACTTTAAAATTAGAATTGGTCTGTGAGTGTGGCAAAATCCATACAATAATAGATGATCAATCTTTGAAAACATTCACAAGGCTTATGAAAGGTCTTGGTATTTGCGTTGTGGTGATCAGTTACTCATTCTGGGATATCGATCCTCTACAAAGCGGCTGCCAAGGTAGGACGCGGAAAAGTCTGCGCGAATGCTTCCTAGAATCATTCACCAATACTGGAAACTGGAAAGTTTCCGCTGGGTTGCGATGGCGGCCGATCATGTCGATCATCGTCCCTTCGAGACTGGTCCTATATCTCCGTTAAAACTTCCCCCAAAGCCACCAACGGTATACGGAGGAGGGGGCGACCAGCGCCTCCAAAAAGCCACAGCGTCACTGCCAGTGTAACCCTACCATTGAATAGGACCTTCCTCGTCCCTGTCTATCGTTATAGCTTTCCTGCTGGTCATTAAAGCGGCCCTGGCTCGTACTGCATCAGCCTGCAGGAGTAACACATGTATTACCGGTTAGACCCGCATTCCAGAATCGCGACCTGGTTGCCAGGACTCTATGGTTGCAATCCAGAGCAGAATGGAATTCCCTACCCTCACCTCGCTTTTCAATAAAATCTCTGATGGTCCTTGCAAAGTTTTGACCGCTTCATCCGAGGAGTCGGGTTAGCTTTCCTGGGCCCACCTTCCACTCTTGTTAACCAAGCTCACAGGAGGTTATGCTTTTTGGTTGGCAATAAAGTGTACTAGTATTTGCTTTCGTATTTAATGCCGCTGTTCGGCAATCGAATTGCGCGGTTACAGAAGACCTTTCCTTGCAAAGAGTCAAAAGAAAGGTGCCGGCAAAATCTTGTTTGATGACCTTCCTATCCTAGGCCGTAGATTCGAATTAACCACTTACGCCTACAATCCAATTGTGGGGATGTGAATTAAACGCGATGATTTCCCTGTGCAGACCTCGTATTCTCCGAGGTCATGGCATTTCGTTTGCCTGGATTAAGCTAGACGCCCCTGCCCCAGATGATACGTCGAATTGAATACCGTTTTTACTAAGTAACTCCTGAGAGCAGCAGTATATTGTTAGCAGTGGACTTTGGTAATAGTGCAGTGCGTCGATTTTCGTCAGTCAACGAGCGCCGTAGAGGACGTAGATGATGATTGTCCAGACCTCCGAGGAAGCAAAGACCTCGCATGGCCCACATTCCAATACTGCAGTCAGTGCTGCAGAGCTTGATAAGTTATCCCGACTGGTTCTGGGGGTTATCAAATTTGGACTATGACTGTGTACCGAAGCATTATATATAAGCTAGATGGAGGTGGCCGTTTATGTGCGCATGTCGATCAAATATATGTGCAGACTCAATATGCCGTCTGTTCCCAGAACCGACTTCTGGTAATCCTACTTGAGAAGCACATGATGCATCGAGTCCACGGCCAAACCTACTTCCACCGGGGGTCCCATCCGGCTTTTGTCTCCGGACGCACGGGTAGGTTCTGCAAGGCGATACCAGATGGGAAGCCCGTCACATTCTTCAGACTGCAAGATCGCTTCCCAGGGACATTACCAAGCGGTAGAGATATCTTTGACGCACAAAGTGTTTAAGCTTCGGTTCGGAACCCATACGAGGCCAGCAATTCGCGGTAGTCGTGAGGTGTAGTGCACGCTGCCCATAATCATATCTGTAGAAGGATGGATCAGATTCGTTGATAGTATGACAGTGTTAATCAAACGACTGGTCAGAAAAGGCCGGCCAGGTACCTGGACGGATGACTTGAGACACGCTGCAAGGAATTTCGATGTGTTTGAAACCGGAACGGTTGGATGCGTTTCCCAGAACTCAGTTTATTCCCGAGTCGACGGTCTCCCTTGCTGTTACGGGTTCTCAGCGTTTTCTTGTTATGCGCCTTCGTTCTCGACCTTATTTCGTTTAATTGCACGACGAATGTTGCTCGAGGTGTACCTACAAACCAAACGGGATTGTCGAGTCCGGCGAGCGGGCCGCTCGCCCTCGTTCCCTTTCAGTTGAATAATACGAAATTGACCATGCACTTTGATGAGCAAGGACGACATGAGTCGAGCTCCGCACATCTGCGTTTATGATCATCGACATCAAGCGGTTGTGCGACCATGGAAAAGACTCGACTTACTCCGTAGAGAGCTTCCAATGATGTACTGGGGATAATTAAAACCAATCCGCGGATGGGCCAAGTCAGTGCGCCATGGGGCGAGCCAGATCGAAGGCCTGTGGGGTAGGCCCAATGGTTCGCCGTTCGTTCCAAAAACCGAGAAAATAAGTTGTTCAGGGGCACAAGGTTAACCGTGCGTTGAGATAGACTGGATCTTTTTTAACAGGCCTCGGAAAATATGGACAATGAGACCAAACTGACATCCCAGGCCGGTTCTGCGTCAACGCAGACTATCTATTATTAACGGGAGACCGGGCATATGAATTGGCTGCGGCCCAAATTCCTTTCCAGGGGATGCCAGCGCATCAATGGGCAGGATTCCTCGGCGATCGGTAGTTAGTACCTGCGGACAGATCCAGAACCACCACTTGTATTCGCGATGCTTCGTGTCCTTGCCCGATCGTTTCAATGCTGCATAGATGCATTGTTGGGTTGGCGATCGGATTTCAGAGATGAGGCCATAGGCCGGTAGTATGGATGTACCTGATTGTTCAGCTCTTTCGGTGACGGTCGGAGTATATTCACGATTTAAAAAAATGTAGAAAGTAAAAAATCAATTTAAAATACTCCGTACAAGGACGAAAAGCAAATCATGTCGGTAGCCGAGCAGCAAAGCCAGAAGGCGCCGAAGGACAGAAGAAACGAAAAGAAGAAGGGGAAAGATCGAAAAGTGATCGATCGGCCGAGCCCCGTGATCTCGCGCCGCTTTCCCTCTTTCTTCCCTTCGCCTTTCCTCCTTCGCCTTTTCTGCCCAGTTGGCCGGTCGCTAATCTACAGACGTGTTACAACTGGCAAGATATTTCCGGACATTGAGCTCTGTAGCTCCAGTCAATGACTGCTACGAGCTAATCTAGTGCTCGTGGCGGTCTGGAAAGGACTGGGAGCTTTCAGGTACGTTAGTTACGTTCGTTGTCCCAATCTGTGTGCCCCAGCTTGGTCTCTCCCAGCCATCGCATTTCCTCACGGCCAATCCTCTCACCCCCCATTTGACCAGCCACTGCTTCTGCACTTCTTTCCCCCATTTTTCCTTCGCTGTCTCCTCCCTGGAAAGGGTCTTTCTTCTTTTCGTCCGTTGTCTCTTCTAAATTCGACTTATACCCACATTCCATCCGGTTAATTACTGACCGTTATTCAGAGCCCGGCTTGCCTCGTTTCTTGATCCAGACTCGTGCCAGCTGGAATTGCGTTCGGCCACCTCATTCCAAGCCTCCCTCTGACGTCGAAGTGCCCTGTTAACAAAGCACGTTTACGTCCGGTGTCACGTTGTCTTCGCAATTCACACCGTCTTCCCAATTACCACATTCAGCGGTGTCTCCCCGTACCTACGGCGCATCTGACGAGACCTACGAAGTTTACGACCCTCCAACGCTTACGACCTCCTCACGGCAACGCCAGCAGCAGGCTGCTTACGACCCTGTTCCAACTACTTCCCGTTACGTACCACCGCGCCCTTCAAGTGCTCAAGGAAGCACCCGTTCATTGAGGCGAACGTCACGTTTATCTCACAATCGATCTGCGTCGGTAGATGTTTCTGGACGCCCGGCTCGGATAGAGGAATCAATCCCCGTCTTGGTGCAACCTCCTTCACAGCATACCGCTGGAATCGCTGGGCTACGTCCAGCACTTTCGGAGGCGCAAACCGAAGACGACGGCGAGGACGACTATTCAGTACTCGGTACTAATCCCCACCAACCCGGTCGCTCGTACTGGCCCCGTAGATCTACCCGTGTTTCGCCGACCACAGCGTCCGCAATTCTTTGGGCGTTAGAAGAGGCCATTCGAAAGCCGGTTCCTTTTACGCCAGATTGGGAGGAAGTGAATGCTTCCATGTCTGAATTGGCAGGTATCCCTGGATCGACAGGGTTCGGAGGAAATGGGCGGACTCAGAATGGAGCTTCGCGGGCTGCACAGGGCCCTGTGCCTGTAAATCCTCACCCAGCGAGTGGTGTCCGGACCCCGACCGACATAATGCGACAACGCCGCGATCGGGAAGCTCGCAAAAGGGCTGAACAGGAGGCCAAGGACAGGGAGCAGGAAGAAGTTGAGCGCCAACAGCAGGAAGCACGGGACAAGGCGCAAGCTCCGCCTTATAGTGCTGGCGTTGCCGGAGACAGGACTTCGCAGCGGAGAGCTGCGGCTCCCAGAGCTGCCGGAGGACCAGAAGTTAAACCAGACCCGCGTGGTGCAATCCCCACCGGCCAACAACCTCCCGGGCTGTCATCTACCATTCGACACCCACCGACACAAACCCAAGGACCAGGACCGCAGTCCCAGCAGGCACCAGTCCCACAACAACAAGTGCCCATCCAGTCTGCTCCAGGTTTGTCAAAACCGCAAGCCCAGGCGCCTCAATCTAACCAGCCTGGTGCTTCGCAACCGCAGCAACAGCCGCGTCGCGTTGCGTTTCCACATGCATTCGAACGCTGGGAAACTCTGTCTTCTCACTGGGAAGGACTTACTGGATACTGGATTCGAAAGCTCGAACAGAATAACGAAGCATTGGAACGTGATCCGGTCAGCCAGCAGATGGCCCGTCAAGTAACTGACCTGTCTGCTGCTGGCGCAAACCTGTTTCACGCAGTCGTTGAGTTGCAGCGTTTGCGAGCTTCCTCCGAGCGGAAATTCCAGCGATGGTTCTTCGATACTCGCTCGGAGCAAGAGCGGTCGAAGGAACTTCAGGCTGACTTGGAGCGGCAGCTAAGAACGGAGCAACAAGCTCGCGCCGAGGCATTGTCGGCGTCGCAAAAGGCCGAAAGTGACAAAGTCCGGGCCGAAGATTTGCTCAAGGAAATGCGCCGGGAGCTTCAGATCTCCAAGGAAGAGGCGCGTCGGGCGTGGGAAGAGCTTGGTCGCCGCGAACAAGAGGAACGAGACCGAACGAACTCCCTTCGAAGCGGGGAACCCACACTAGTCGGAGGAGTCCAAGTAGTGCCGATGATCCAAGGTCTTCCAAACCGCCAGAATCCCGCCAATCGTCCCCAAACCCGAGAAACCTCTTATGCTGGCGGTGAGGGTAATGGAAAGATTGGTGTCACTACTCCAGAAGGCCATTATTACGACGAAACGCCTGGCTCGCCCACAGAAACCGATCCTTTCACAGAAGGGCGCAGAGCTTACCAGGAATCCGAGGTGCCGCATTCAGGCTCTTCCCGTCCCCCGGTGACTACGACTGCAGAAGCACCGGGGCACTACGGCGGCAGTTACTATGACCAAGGAGGCGCGTACCAAGCCCGTCCGTCTTCCGAGAATGACGACCGCTCCTATGTCGGTAGCAGTGAGCCAGGCGAAGAAGAGTACGGTGCCTATCGACGCAACCCTCAAGGTCGCCCAGTCGTGTACCCCCGGCCCATGTCCGAGGAGAGTGACGAAGGATCAATGGACAGCGGCGATCGTGGGTACATGACAAGTACCATGCCTCCAACTTCAGGGGCGATGTATGCCCCTAGCTATGGCCAGGGCGGCTCTGTTGATTATAGCGGGTCGGGATGGGGTGCTGACTCTGGATGGGAGTCGGTCACCCCTCGCCACCGTCATCCGACGCGCCTCAGTGATGTTCTCGAAGAGGAAGAGCCGCGGACAACCCCAAGCCGCGCCAGTCGTGCTAGCCAAGCCAGCCGGAGTGTACATTGATCAGTTGAATATGGCAACTCGGATTTCATACATACAACATACTGATTGTTGCGGGAAAAGTGCAATTTGTCCCTACTCCATCTCCTTTTGTTTATCTTCGTTCCTTCATTATTCCCCATTGCGCTCCAGTCAAGATGACAACGGCATTGCCTGGTATTTGTTCAAGTTTCTTGCTTCGTCAGTTTTTTCTCCTTTTCTTTATCTCTCTTATCTCTCTTCTCTGTCTCATTATTTACCTCGTGTTGCATTTTCGCCTTTGAGACAGTGCTTATGACTAGGGGATTCCTTGCGTTGATATGTCTATTCTTGACTTTCGCCAATACATCGGCACACGAGAAGTATGGTAATTATTGTAATTCTAGAATCTATGAACTCGATTTTGAGGGGTTAAAAAGTGATGCTTTGCTCGTGGTAAAATGATTTCAGATATACTCCGTAGAGACCAAAGCACGTGACATAAATACGTAGCCTCGATAATCAGGCACCAAGCTAAACCCCGTTAGGACTTGGAGATCCCGACTCAAGCCACCAACGGCTCCTCGGCGCAGTCTCCAACACCGTCTTTTACCTTTCCCCCAGAAGTCGGCTCGGTCGGAAATCTCTCAATTTTCGAAAATGGCCTCAACAATGCGCCCACTCACTCGGCTGATCGGCCGTGCCTCGCGCCCACTCACCCACACCGTCGAAAACACGACACCCCGATCCCTCTCCTCTCAAGCCGGTCTTCTGCACTCGCTCCGAACCACCTCCACGCCAATTGCCATTCCCAGACTCAATGGCCCTTCCTCGCAGCGCTCCTTTACGTCGTCGAGTCTGCGTGCTCGTGCTCGCACCATGGGCCAGCTGCGCGCCCGGAATTCCACGGGCCCGTTTTCGTGGAAGGCCGCTCTGCTCTTCGTCATCACCGGCGGAGGTATGATTGTGTACTTCCGGGTTGAAAAGGAGCGGCTGGAACGGAAGCGCATTGCGGAGATGAGCAAGGGTGTGGGAAGGCCCAAGGTCGGCGGACCTTTTGTGCTGAAGGATCTGGATGGCAAGGAATTCACGGCGGAGGATTTGAAGGGGAAATATAGCTTTGTTGGTTTCCCTTGGCCTTTTCCTTTCCCTCTGCACCAGAAGAGATCATTCGATTTTTTAGCTATCGGGTCAGACAATCGTGGAAGTCCAGAAATGCTAACCGATATGACAATCTCAATAGGTCTACTTCGGCTTCACGCATTGCCCGGACATCTGCCCCGACGAGCTAGACAAAATGGCCGAGATTATCGACGGCGTGAAGAAGGAGACCGACGGCGAGAATGTCTTCCTACCTGTTTTCATCACCTGTGACCCGGTCCGTGACACGCCGGAGGTGCTGCGCTCGTATCTCCAGGAGTTCCATTCGGGGATTATCGGCTTGACGGGTACCTACGAGCAAGTGAAGAATGTGTGCAAACAATACCGGGTGTACTTCAGTACGCCGCAGAATGTGAAGCCGGGAGAGGATTATCTGGTGGATCACAGTATCTACTTTTATCTGATGGGTGAGCTTTTTTCCAATCTTGTTGGGTTGAGATGCGAAGGATTGGTTGCTAACTGTGCTGTGTGTGCTTTAGATCCCGAGGGCGACTTTGTCGAGTGTATTGGACGCCAGGATACGCCTGAGTCGGCGACCAAGTTGATCATGGAGCATATCAATGACTGGAAGAGGGAGGGCAAGCCGCTGAAGAAAGATTAGGCTGTATAATTAAAAGACTTTGGCAGATATGTACAATAGAAAATACCCTACTCCATATATACCGCTGGGAATGTGATGTAGATACGGAGCCCCCATGGAAGTCTAGCACCACTTTCCGATTCATGCACTCATCGCTCATTCGGATCCTCCGCGATCAATGTATCGCCAGGCGCGTGCGATGTCTCAGTAGACACCACCACCAATGTCCGCCGACACCAGGACAGTCCTCACACGAGTCCAACCTCGAATCACTCCCCATCACCACCAACCTTCCTCCCCTCAGCGTCTCTATCCCGATTCGCCCTCCACTCCTTCTCCCCATCCACAAACTCCTCCATTTTCCAAATCTCCGCCTTCTCCTTACACAGCTCCAACACCTCCTCGCCAGCCCTCCACGCCGCCCCGCGATGACCCGCACTAACCGCAACAACGATCGACGCCTCAGAGATCGGCACCGTGCCCAGACGATGCGCAATCACGATCCCCGTCAACTTATATTTCTCGACCGCGTCGTGCGCGATCTTGTCGAGCGTCTTCAGCGCGAGCGGCGGGTACGCGGTATAGCTTAGTTGCGAGACGGGGCGGTCTTCGAAGGTGTCGCGCGTGGTGCCGAGGAAGAGGACGTTTGCGCCGGCCGAGGGGGACGAGATTCGGGCCAGAGCGGCGCTGGCGTCCAGGAAGTTGTAGGTTAGGGAGATGTGGATGTTGAGGGTTGGGTCTTGCGTGGTGCGTGGGTAGGTTGTTGGGTCGAGGTGTGAGGGGATGTCGGTGGACATTTTTGCGGAGGGGCGGCGGGTGAGTATGTAAGTTTGGAGAGGGTAGAGATAGAGGACCGACGAAGAATGAGAGGGAAATTTCGGAGCTCGTTAAGGTAACAGTGAGTGACTGATCTCGGTGAAGGTGAAGTGGGCTGTATAGGTGTGCTGGCCTGAGGCAAGCAATGCCTTATCGATGTGGGGGAAAGTCAAGAGTGGGGTTCGTCTCGATAGAAGTGTCAAGATTGACTATCATCACCAAGCATCTAGACGACCCTACATGGATCGTCAGTCGGTCAGATCGTTGAATGGTCGAATTGAAGCTCCGTGCTGTATACAGAATCATCACTGAGTTGTGATTAACATACCTTTCATCCAGGGACCTGCTACATGCTACCAACAGAACGCTCTCCAGGTAGTCGAGTATCAAGCAGGAGAAACAGTTCAACCCCCAAATTCCACCAGAAGAGACTTGTGAAAAAAAGCAGGCTCTATCTGAGTCCGGGGTTCTATTTCTCAGTCAGGATCATAATACTTGGAAGATGATCATACAGACTATGTTGCTTACAAGGCAGATCCCCGTCTGGAGCTCAAATCCTGTTATGACGTCAACTCCTTTGTTCATCCTCAGAGAACGGCACTGTGCCCCCTATACTGATTGTTACTTAAGAGAGTCCTGAGCGCGAGACCTGGCTTGTAAGTACGATGACTGTTAGTGCACAGATACCACCTTCCAAACTGAGCTCGAATCTACGCTTCTACCCAGCCCAGCGCATACATTATTGTGCACACCATGACCAGTCGAACGGCATCCGTGTCCCTCCATCATTTGGTCAACTCAACCTTGTGGATCCGCTCGCTGATAAGTTTCACTGGCTCCGGATCACCCCCCTGACCCATTGAGGGATTCCAATGACGGTACTCCTTCCTTCAAGGGGATCGCGAATAACGAGTCCACCGAGAATTTCTCCGCACCGACAATGCCCCGCGGTGGGTAGCATTGGGATGCCCCTCTTGAAAACAAACATCTCCGAGCTCAGTATATAACCAACCCCTTCAAGCTACGACTCCGACCAAAACCACAGATCACACCATAATAGACCACTCAGTTCGCAGACATGGCCAAATCTGCCAACCAGATCCACCGTGCCTGGTGGAAGGAATCCTCCGTCTATCAAATCTGGCCCGCTTCGTTCAAGGACTCCAACGATGACGGCATCGGTGACATTCCCGGTATCATTTCGAAGTTGGATCATATTAAGAACCTGGGCATTGATATTGTTTGGCTTTGTCCGTCTTACAAGTCGCCCCAGGTGGACATGGGATATGATATCGCCGATTACTACAACATTGCGGATGAGTATGGTACGGTCGCAGATGTCGACAAGCTGATCAAGGGATGCCATGATCGAGGCATGAAGCTGCTCATGGACCTGGTGGTGAACCATACGAGTGATCAACACGAGTGGTTCAAGCAATCGCGCAGCTCCAAGGACAATGAATACCGTAACTGGTATGTCTGGAAACCGGCCAAGTACGACGAGCACGGCAACCGCCAGCCACCAAACAACTGGGTTTCGCATTTTCAAGGTACATTCCTAATTATACACTTGGAGGCATTTGCTAGTATTGAAACTAATGGAGACTGCTCTCATCAGGAAGTGTCTGGGAATGGGACGAGTTGACCGGCGAATACTACCTCCACCTCTACGCAACAGAACAGCCCGATCTCAACTGGGAGCACCCACCCGTCCGCAAAGCAGTCGAAGACATTATGCGATTCTGGCTGGACAAAGGCGCAGATGGATTCCGAATGGACGTGATCAACTTCATCAGCAAGCACCAAGATTTCCCAGATGCCCCCATCAAGGATCCTCGCACCCCGTGGCAATGGGGAGACAAGTGGTACGCCAACGGTCCTCGTCTACACGAGTATCTCCAAATGGTGGGGAGTATCCTCAAGGAATACGACGCCTTCAGTGTAGGCGAGATGCCGTTCGTCACGGACACGGATGAGGTGCTCCGCGCCGTGCAGTATGATCGCAATGAGATCAACATGATCTTCAACTTCGAACATGTGGATATCGACCACGGCAAATACGACAAATTCGAGCCCGGTAGCTGGAAACTCACGGACCTGAAGTCCTTTTTCGAGAGGTGGCAGAAATTCATGTATGAGAATGACGGCTGGAACGCCCTGTACTGGGAGAACCATGACCAGCCTCGATCGATTGACCGTTATGTGGGTGCCAGAGAGGAGTACCACGCCGCGGCGGGTAAAATGCTGGCAACTGTGTTGGCCTTGAAGTCAGGAACTCCTTTCGTCTATCAAGGACAGGAAATTGGAATGAGAAACGTGCCCATCGAGTGGGACATGGACGAGTACAAGGACATTGACTGTCTCAACCACTGGCATAGGTTCGTTGCTTCTGTGAAACTTCCATCAAGAAAGATATACTAACACGCCCCCACAAGACTCCTGAAAGACCCCAAGGCCGACGACACGACCAAACACATCGCCCGACAAGAGTACCAGAAGAAGTCCCGAGATAACGGTCGCACGCCCGTCCAGTGGTCTCCGGAACCTAACGCAGGCTTCACTGGCCCGAACGTCAAGCCCTGGATGTCCGTCAACCCTGACTACCCACTGGTCAACGCCGAGGACCAGGCCGAGGACCAGACCGAGGACCCGGCGTCCCTCTACCACTACTGGGCCACGGTGCTTAAACTGCGCAAGCAGTACCTGGACATCTTCGTGTACGGAAACTACGAGCTGGTGGATCGTGATAGCCAGGAAATCTTCGCATACACTCGTCAATATGAGGGCCAGAAGGCGCTGGTGTTGGCGAACTGGACGGACAAGGAACTCGAGTGGGATGCTGCCGGCAATGGCATCACAGCAGTTAAGGACGTGCTGTTGAATAGCTATGAGAGTGCCGAGGGCGCCAAGAAGCGCGTTTCCACTGCCAAGTGGAGTCTCCGACCGTATGAGGCCATCGTTGCGCTTGTGTAGGCCTGGTCTTCATGATCATGACTGGGTTGCTTGCGGGCGCGACTTCTATATTAAATCTAGAAAGGATTAGATAATAAATACTGTGATAACACCGACTTTGAACTCTTCGAATATGAGGACAAAGATGACTGTAGAGAGATCCCTGATCTATGCTGTCTGGAATAATGCCTGGTTTGCTGAAATGGACGGAGTTGGACTGGAAAGAAACGAAAGCTGCCGCATCCATCGACGCCAAATCCGGCGACCAGATCTAAAAATACTCCGATTGGTATTAATTTCGTAAGCCATGGGTAATCTAAGAGGCGGTAAATGCTTTATGCCTATCGGCGTGCTCCGACTGCAAGTACTGCCATAACAGTTAGGTTGCAAAACATTGGCCATATAATACCGCTAGCCTCTTTAGGAAGCCAGTTGTCTACATCCCTTGGATGGAAGCGTTCAACATCTGCTCCTTGAATGCCTCCGCATCTACTCCGTGCACCAAGATCTAACCGATCGCACTCCTCACCAAGACTCTTTGCCCAAATTGGAATATGATATTCCACTTACACAGAGAATTTACGTTTTCGAACACCCGCCCATGATCAATATGACTTTCCGTCGCAAGCCTGGCGGTGGCTTGCCATGGTTCCTATCCTGTCATATCAGCCAGAGGGGGGCTTGTCAAAACAATTCATATTTACCTTCGAGACTCAACTCGCGCCTTTGGATCTCCAGCGTTTCAGAATATACCCCGCCTCGGACACATTGGTTGAAGCATGACTGTCATCATGAGACGGTGGAATTCAATCACCACCAAGATCGTTGTCGCTGCTTTGTGCAGCTACGCTGTCTTCAGCGTGCTCCTCAGCAACAGTGAGGCCTACGATTCAACACGAAATCTCGTCCGCGCCGGTCAGCGCCGATTGTACGGTTCAACTTTTGACCGCATCAATAATGAGACTCTTGGGGTATGTTTGATCATCTTGAGTATTGTTTCTCAAAATGTGATTGCCGGGTCTAACATTTTTATCCGCTGTCTAGTTCGAAAAGATCTTTGCGATCGGCTTGAAGGAGCGGTCGGATAAGCGTGATTTCCTCTCCCTAGCGGCTTCCGTCACCGATATCAAGGTCGAGTGGATAGATGGAGTGAAGCCGGAGACTATACCCGACAAGGCGCTGCCGGAGGTTTGTGTTTGCGACTCTACTTGGAGAATCGAGGCTAATGGGAATAGAAATACAATACGTCATGGCTGAAGCCTACTGTTGCTGGTTGTTGGCGCGCACATATGAATGCGATGCAAGAGTGCGTATGCTGCTTTCCTTCTTGGATGCAAACACTAATAACCAAATAGGATAGTCAATAATCGAATCTCTACGGCTTTGATTCTAGAGGATGATGCCGACTGGGATGTTTCTATCCGACAACAACTTCGCGAATTCGCCCAAGGAGTCCGCACGATAACCGATAATCAGAAAGCGCCCAGGGAAACACCATATGGCACAAATTGGGATATCCTCTGGGTAGGTGGTTGCTCGGCTGGCCCCGGCTCTAAGGAATCCAACATCTACGCCGTCCCCAATGATCCCACTGTTGCCGCTGTTCGGCACCGACGCAATATCTGGGGAGGGCCTTCTGAGACATGGAAGAAGAAGCACCCCGAGTACCCCGAGGACTCGACGCGGTATATCTTCCGCGCTCAGACGGGATGCTGTACGTACGGGTATGCCGTGACTTACGAGGGTGCGAGGAGGATGATCGCCGCGTTGTCGCTCGATTATATGGACCTGGCGATCGATAACTCCATGAGTGATATGTGTGCCGGCAACCAGCGTGAACAGATTCGCTGCTACGGCCCCTATCCTAACATCATCGGAACATATAAACCGGCCGGTTTTGCATCGCGAGGCTCTGATATCGAGGTCTATAATGACGAGTACCACGAGGCCAGCTCGCACAATATGATCTACAGCACTAGGTTGAACATCCATCGACTACTCAGAGGGGAGGACACGGTTCTTGGACAGTATTCCGACGACCGGAGAGATACATGGCTCAAGGGCGAGGTCAAGGTGAACGAGATTCAGTATCCAACTGGTCGTCTCATTCCTTGAACAACAACTGGTGTTTGTGACTGTCTATACCTTTCTTTCAAGGCGAACTCTTCTCTGTCATTATTATTTAATTCATTTATCCATAAGTTCACCACCGGCTTCTTAACAATTCATGTACCTATGCCACCCTTTAATTGGGAGCCAACTAGCAGTATATTCTCCCAACTCTACGAAGTTGAGACGCCCATCTACCGCTGAATCTTTATTATCTAATTAAATGTAACCTTCTCTCTCCGTTTTCCTGTGGAGTTGATGCAACACTTCCGGATGCGGAAGACCTCATCCGCACTCGGTAGAGCCGTGGAGACAGAAGCAGGAGATCTACAATGAACCCAATCCGGAGGAATTTATTTGGTCAAATGATCATGACACTCGTCTAACACCTTGCTCAACCATAATGTTGTCTCTTCTTTCACTCAGTACTACGACTTCAACTAGCCCTGACGACTTGTCGATGTTCGGGCCCTAATTCAATCCACGGTTAGAGACTTGCGCATCAAACCAGGAACTTTTTTATATTAGGTTCAGGAACAGTTTTCTCTAATTCCTCGTCATCCATTACTCGGGTAGCATCCAAAGACCCTGACAGCTGATACGTACCACGGTCTTTCTTGTTCTGGACTGGTGGTGATGTATGTGCTGCAACTCTACTGATGTGGCCCAGTCCTACTACGAAGCATATAACACAGTCAGTGGAATATAGTCACCTACGGTGACCTGTGACTACTTTCCTCGTCCATGTTGGTAGATCTGTGAACTGATCATCGTCCCAATCAAACATGGTCTTCTCAGCACGACATGGGGAGCAAGATGACCCCGAGTCGGGTCAGCTTCTCAACAACACCAATGAATACGACGATGAGATGGAAAAGAAAACCCCCGAAAAGACCGGCACTTCATCCATGCTCGGTGTAGCCATATGGACGATGATCAACGTTGTCTCAACAGTTGCCATTGTAAGCATTTCCCCTTCCCGTGCTCATTAATTCCACCTACTAAACCAACCCTAAATCGCAGGTCTTCACCAACAAAACCATCCTCTCCGACCCATCCTTCCGCAACTGCCAGATCTCCTTCGCCGCTTACCACTTCTTCGTCACGGGCGCCACACTATGGGTCGCCTCCCGGCCCTGGTGCGGCCTCTTCGTGCCCAAGGAAGTCAACATCCGGCAAATGCTGCCCTTATCCGCCGCCATGGGCGTGCAAGTGATTCTCCAGAACCTCGGACTCGCCAACTCATCCGTCATGTTCCACCAACTCGCTCGTCTGCTGCTCACCCCCGTAACCGCCTTCCTGAACTACATTCTCTACGGCGCGCGGATTCCCCGCGCCGCCATCTCCCCGCTGGTGCTCCTCTGCGCCGGCGTCGGCATCGTCACATACTACGACTCGCTGCCCAAAGATGATGGCAAAACCACCACCTCGCTCTGGGGCATCATATTCGCCTTCTCGGGCGTCGGAGCCAGCGCTATCTACACCGTCTGGATCGGGTTTTATCATCGGAAACTCGAGATGTCGAGCATGCAGCTTCTGTTGAACCAGGCGCCGATTAGCGCGGGGTTGTTGCTGATTACTATCCCTTGGATCGAGACTCCGCCGGTCATGTCGTATGTGCCGAGCTCGATGTGGTTTATGATTTTGACGGTATGTCTCGAAAGCCCTAGATACATCTCACTACCCTAGATATATCCCGTGTGGGAATTACTTGTATTGACAATTTTTCAGAGCGGCGTATGCGCCTGCCTCGTCAACCTCTCCGGATTCTACATCATCGACGCCGCAGGTCCTGTGAGCAGCACTGTCATCGGTCAGTTGAAGACGTGTGTGATTGTGGGCCTGGGATGGGCATCGAGCAGCCATGTCGTCATGAACCAGAGCATCATGGGTATTGTGATGGCGTTGGTTGGAATGGGATTGTAAGCTCCCCCCCCCCCCCCCCCCCCCCCAGTATACGGATTCTGGTTATAGTGGGCTAGGGCTAATATTGTGTTGTGTTACAGGTATATGAATATTATTTTGAGGCAGCCTAATGTGAAGGCATAGTTTTTGGGTTATATATTGGGGATCCTCCAAATCAAGAAGTTTGGAGAGAGAAAAGAGATCGGTGGAGGATTGGAGAAAGGGGTATGTACTTGAGTATAGGTACAGAGGATATGGCAGTGCAGTTGAGATGGAGTAATAACGGAGCATTTTGTTAATTTCGAAGTCTATGGTATGTTCAGCTGTGTGATAAGAAGCCCACATTGTTCAGTTGTGCAGTCGCGCTCTTTTATCATTGCATTGCACGACCACGAAGACACAATCGTCCGGGTAGGGCCAAAGCATTGACCAGCCTTGTCAATGATAGAGCAGAGCCCATAAAATGGCAGCCTGACCGAGCATTCTTCAATCTCGGCATTTGACTGAATCATGTTGCCTAGATGATCATCGTGAAGAAATGAGGTTCTCGGCGGAATGCAAGGAGAACACATGTCTTGTCCACCTTTCCAAACAAGGACTGGGTAATTCTTTGAGCGTCATCTTGATAAATTGAACTCTGAATTAATTAATTCTGATTCCTATTGTACTTCATAGATTATCCAGTGATACACCCACATGAAGGTCTCTCTGCCTTTGATTCGAACATCATCCGAAAAGACCTTCCTCTCACCACCACATTCCACACCCCTCCCCCCTGATCACAACACCTTAGAAATCACAGTTGCATTCTGCACGTTCAGCTGCAGATGCGGGGTCTGCAGCGACTAGCAGGTACCTGGCAGTTCCTCCGACGTAGTAATTAAACCCCAACGAATAGGATCACGCACATTTGACCAGACAAGCAGTCGGTAAGGCGTGATCAGCTAAATTCCATTAGCTCTGTCGTTAGTACAATAGCAGCCACAGGCAGCTTAGTCTGGAGACCGGAGACCGGAGATCGAAGACGGAGACCTGTCCTTCTCGCAAGTGACAAGTCTCTGCTGGATTTCGACACTGGTGGTGATAGTTCACGCGCTAGGGGGCGGGGATCATCCTGTATTTGTTTTTCTATGCATGCGACGAGCGGCTGAGATGGGGCAGCTGAATATCGTTATTTCTTTTTTTTCATTTGAATTATTGGCTTGGCCCGAGGATGAAGAGAATGGATGGGGCTATAAATAGGGAAGTAGTGGCCAGCTAGAAGATGAGGTCGATACGGAGTATAGAGCTGATTGTTCGTTTGCGATGTTCCTGTCCTATTTGGCCCTGGGGGCTGCGGTTTTCCCGGCTTCCGGGCTTGCATTGACACGCCCGGTTCGGAGAGGTCGGATCCCCCAAGAAGTGCTTACCATTTGTGTTCCTCAGGCTGACTAGGAGATAATAGATGTATCGTCTTCTCTTCTAGAAGATTTCACCCGTTTCGCACAGTACTCTGCAGCCGCAAATTGCGCAGCGAACCACAACGAGACGTCTCCGGGATCAGCCGTCTACTGTGACGATGGGAAGTGCCCTCTCGTGGCTGAATCAGACACGGAGATAATCAAGGGTTTTTGGGAGTAAGATGTCTTACCTATCATTTCAACACAGTAGCGCGCTACTGACAACTCCCGCTGCTAGATTATCCCCCGGCGACACGACAGGCTACCTAGCGCTCGATCGCACTCAGAAGCGCATCGTGCTCTCATTCAGAGGCACAGTGTCTGACGAGAACGGCGAGACAGATCTGAAATTCAAGCATGTCGACGCCTCCGATGCGTGCACGGGCTGTAAAGCCCACGAGGGGTTCTGGGAGGCCTCGAACGCCGCGATCAAGAATCTGACGTCGAGCGTTGAGTCCGCGGCGGAGGAGAACCCTGACTATACAATCACACTGGTGGGTCATAGTCTGGGAGGTGCGCTCGCGACGCTGGGAGCTGTTTCGCTCCGAAATGCCGGCCATACTGTCGATATGGTATGTTTGATCTGATCTTTATGAGTTGTCGTGCGTGGTGGAGCTAATGGGAGGTAGTATACATACGGCGCACCATCGGTAGGAAACTATGCTTTTGCAAAGTATATTACCGAGCAGACGGCCGGAGAGAATTATCGGGTGACGCACACCGACGATGAGGTTCCGAAGGTCTTGTATCGCGCGTCGAGGGAGTGGCTGCTTCATCTCGTGGTGCCGGAATACAGTCAGTCTTCTCCTGAGTATTGGATCACTTCGGAGAATGGCGTTAAGCCGACTGTCTCGGATATCGAGGTGATTGAAGGCATCAATAATGAAGACGGAAACCTGGGTCAGGGTGGAATTACCTTGGATGCTCATGGGTGGTATATGGGGAATATGTCGGTTTGTGCTGATACATAGATCGATTTGGATATTTGTTTGGTGACTGTTTTGGGTTCATTTGGTATTGAGGATATAATTATTTCTGATCTGGTTTAACTAATCTGAGACGGAAGTACGAAACTTGACAGTACTTTCCCAAAATCTTTGATGAACTTGTATAGAGCATGTCTAGGACCTGGTGGCGGGAACCTTCCATGGCTCTGGGTCGGCGCAGAAATGTTAATTGGTTAGAATCCCCGGTTGAGCCTTGTCTTAGTATGTCAAGGGGCAGTTAAAACAAGGTCACCCATTAAAGATACCTTGGCTATTGCTCCTAAATAGATTCCAATAAAACCAGGAAGAAGTATGTTAAGAACGAGGATACGACCATTGGCATTACGCTTGCCCAAACCGGTTACATTGATGACCGGCAGAACTTAATATTGTTGTTTATCTTGTACGACATTCATATAAAGCAACTAAAGGCTGGGCCATAATTCTACAAGTCCACATGCATGGATATTGAGAGGAAACTCTCAATCTATCAAAGAACCTTTCTAAAGAACCTAGTTCCTTGCTATGCACTCAGCCTCATCTTTTCTAGTAATCCTGGACTTTCTTGCGTGGCCCTCGCTCTATGAATAGTATCAATCCAAACATATTCACTAATTCCCAGAAGAATGGGTGTCTGTGCTTCCCCATACCATGGGACTACATGCCTGAATCCAGACCGAATGGTCTTCTCCATTTCCTGACGCCTATAAAGTCACTCACCCAGGCATCTTTCCATCCTCAATTTCTTGCCCAGTTCATACCTAGTCTACTCTCTGTCTGGGTTACCCAATTCAGTTTGATACCTACGCTTGAGTTCCTCGTCACGCGATGAGACTCGTTCATTTTGTTGTGTTGTTCTTCGCAGCCCTTGTGGCTTCGCGTGCCGTTGATCATGCCGGTGACATGAATGGCCTCCCCCATACCACCCAAGGTTAGCCATTCCTCTATATCGTCTTCCCTCTTCGCATTTCCTACAACTGACAGGAAAACTTACAGATATTGCTCCGTCCACCACCGACGCTACCGAAGTAGCAAATGATAGCAAAAAGCCCCTTAACGTGGATGACGTTCTCAACCATCCTTCTTCGAACGACACAACTCCTGTTGAGGTCGAACATGACGAACATGACAATGAGACCGAGGAAAATGACAGTGTCCTGGTCGTTCGGAAGGTCGGACGCAAGAAGAATTGCATAGCCGCTAGAGACTGCCCGTTCAATTCCTATTGCTGCAAGGAGGGTAGGCACTGCTGTGCCAAGCCTAGCAAGCACAAGATTTCCTGGTTCGACATGTGGGATGGCTAGGTTGCAGTGGTTGTAGGAAGATGGACTTTCTCCTTTTCCTTTTTCCAATTCTTATGGTTCTGGGCTGGCGAGGTGCTTTCTCTTTGGTGGACATGGTCTGATGTCTAGGCTTTCATTGCGTATGTTCAAATTGAGGGAAGATGGTTCTGAGATTGAATATCTTCGGTTCTTTGTTCAGATAGTCGAATGCTATGTGCTTCTTGATTGCCCCAATCTTATGAACAACCCCACGCAACATAGGGCCATCCGTCTCTTTGATTGCCGTATCACAATGGCTCGCTATCTGGTGTTAACATATGTTTAATCGGACCATGTCTATTGGCTGATATTTTGGGCGAAATCTACGCTATCAACGGGCCTTGAAGATCCTTCTCCACGCACCGCAACCCGGGTTGGATTCGCGTTAGCCGTTCCACCTTCATGGAAATTGAATTTTCCCAGAAAATTTGAGCTGTGCTTGAAGCGCTTCGGTCTTCATCTCTTGCTAGACTTGAGAATATTCGGCTAGTCGAGGGGCGTTTTGAATTCTGGAATGAGTGTGCATTGAAAGTCTGTGGCTTGGCTGGATTACAACCAAATCGGCTACTTCGCCCGTGCCTGCATCCGATCATTGACAACAATTCAGGGCCAGGATCAGAAGAACGGCTTGAAAGTGGATATTTTTCGACTGTAAATTGGCCTATGGACGCGTATGTTGATTATTTCTGACTCATGGGCGTGCATTGATTACGCTAGCATTAAGATATGCGACATGGCACTTGTAAAGCCTTTATGCCTCTAAAGCTATATGACTAGTATATCTACTGAGTATCAATGAACAGCACCCTTCCCTTCATTTTACACTTCATTTTCTCCAGACGATGTTTTTCATCATATTCCGACCGATTCAAGGCGGCAGTATGCATTCTTACCCCTTCCTCCTTGCATATGATGTTTTCACCAAGCCTTGTGACTAACTTTCATTTCCCCTTCAAGTTCGTTCTGTCGAAACAAACCGATCCAGCATCTCCCAACAATGTATAAACTTAGGCGCTCGGTCATCGAGGAGGTGAGCTGGCTTTTCCCTGCATCTTGTCCACGATCTAACCGTTATCCTCCCTCTCCATACATTTAGACTCTCCTCACAAGTAAACAAACCAATCGATGCTGGAAGCCGTCTAGCCCAACAACGCCTACGACGCCCTGTCTCACCCTACTTCTCCATCTATAGGCCCCAAATAACATGGGTGGTTAGTATAACCACTCGAATCACCGGCATCGCTCTCTCGGGTGGAATGTACCTCTTCGCGACAGCCTACCTCTTATCGCCGGTGACTGGGTGGAACGCCGGTTCTGGGGCCTTAACAACTAGCTTTAGCGGCCTCTCGCCTGTAACGGCTTTCGCGCTAAAGTTCGGGGTTGTACTGCCGTTTACGTTTCATTGTTTCAATGGCGTTCGTCATCTCGTTTTGGGATACTGGTCGGGGGTTCCTGAATCAACAAGTCAATCGGAGTGGGTGGGTGGTGGTTGGGGCTTCGGGCGTTACTGCTGCTCTTTTGGCTGCGTGGAAGCCGAGCGGTGATGCATAGTTTAGGTAGGGTTTTGAGGTTGTTCGGGATTATATATCAAAGGTAGAAAATGGAGCTTCACGTTGGAAGATGTCTACGAGCACTCGGTAACAATTGTATATAGTTCATTCTTTGTGCCCTATTGATGTATAAGGACAATCTTCCATTTTGTAAAGAACAAAGGCATCGGTTTCACTCAGGATCTCACTTTCTAGGCCCAAATCTGGCCCAGGATTCAGCAAAACCGGCTCCTCGAACCCACATATCACCTGGTGTATCTCCCACCGAATCGATGGCTACGTTGCCTAGTTGTTAGCAACTAACTTGCATTGATGGGTCATAAAGCAACTTACCCATATTCGCAATCCGGATCCACATGTCATCCTTCACCAAGAAACCATTTCTCTCCTCTGCCTCATAAGCCCGACATAGCTCTCGAGCATACGCTACTGCACGGACAAATTTGGGCAGATGGCCATCATCGGTGGGGTGCTTGCAGCTCTGAGCAAATATGTCAGGCCAGTCAAGGCAAATATTGTAATCATTCACGTCCTTGGGCTCAGGTTTGGGCATGTTGCGGGATGCCCAATTCAACAGGTCTATACGGCCTTTCATTTCCAAAAGACGAGACTTGTTGTGAGGGCTGAGGTAAGGCAGGTCCATAAAGGCTTTGAAGAGAATGGCGGAATTTACCGAGTGTATGTAGAAGAAGTCTAGTTTGATTTCCTTCTTGGGGTTCTGTGCTGTGGCTGTCCAGTAGACTTTCATGTGATAGTTAATATCGAGAAGCCTTATCAACACGGAGCCAGGTGGACACTTACTTGCAGTGTTCATCATTTCAGCTAGCCTCTCGTGGATCTTGTCTTCTGGCACTGTCCATTGGCTGCAATGAGCGATTATCTCTGGGGCGCGTTTCAAGAATCCGTCTGCAAACCTGTCGCCATCCTCATGATGAGCAGCAGTACTAAGCGTCCTGTCCACACGCATCTGATCCATTATCTGTATCAGTGTCTTCTTTTCCTCTGCCTTCAAAGCCGCTTCCTCGGCTGGACCAAAGAAACTCGAGCCTAAATAGTCCTCATGCACAGCGGCCTGAGCAAGCGCCTGGGCGATAATTGCCGGTTGGTTGAACTCAATTCCGAAGCCCAAGTGGATGATGGGATGGATCAGTCCACTAAAGAGCCTCGAAAGAAGAGACTCCGCGAGCTCGTCGCCGCTAAACAGATATTCATTAATCACGTCGGCGACTCCCTTGGTTTCGATCTCCTGTTGGAAGAAAGCGAGGTAGTTAGAATAGTGGGCCTCTTCGTAAAAGTGGCTCATAAATGCCTCCTTATCACTGAAGGATTTGACGATAGCTTCATCCCGAGGCAGGGCGGGTCTTTGACGCTTTGTTTCCCGGTCGTATTGAAGTTGAATGGTTTCAGACGAGGCTCCGAGGGCCCAGATAGTAAGCATAAAATGCACGATATGATCTGTAACTGGTTATTATATTGTCATTGTTTCTGGATTGACGACTTACTGTGGAATCCGATGTCATTCACGTAGACGTGGTGATTCTCCATAATATGCTGGAGCACTTCGCTGACTTTTCGAGCAGATGCTTCGCTGAGTCCTGATGTGCTGAATACACCGGTATCTTTTGGAGTCAAACAAATCTTGGTAGCAGTAGCCATCTTGCTGATACACCTACGAAAGGATAAGAGGATACTTCGAAACTGGAATTAAAACTGTCAAGATGGACTTGCAGCTGTCTTATAGAGCCATAGTGTGTCATTCTAGACCCATAGTTGCAAGAACCGTAGGAGGTCCTGATTATAGACATCAGTGTCTAGATGCAGTGGCTTATGTGAGGTAAGACCAGAAATGGAGAGTGAATCCAATGCGTGATCTATAACAAGGTATACTCTGGGTCGTTATGTGGATGGAGAGCCCGTGAGATCCGCCAATCACATGCCCAAATGGCTCGGGTTTCGGCTCTCGCATCTCGCATCCCGCATCTCCCACTGCCACCATTCTTCGCAACTGACATTCACTATGCATCATCTCCGATCGATTAGAAACCATCCCCTTATGACGTGGAATTTCTTGAATAATGAGAACTACATTGGCCTGTCAATGGTGTCGGTAAGAACCACATATCCCCGCTCTCTGTTTCTGTGAAAACCTTCCCTTCGTCAGTTATTCAGGTGGCAAGCATCAAACCATACCGAAGGCAATGATATTTCTCATGGCTGAACTCTGTCCAATGACTACAGTCAATCGCTAACTCCGATTTCATCAGTGGCGCTAAGATCAAATGTCACCACAATGGCTCTGCGCCTTGTCGGGCCTGTGCGTTCAACTCCGGAAGGGAATGTGTCTTGAGTCGACCGAAACATCGGTCGAAGCGATTGCAAAGCGCATCAACAGTGCGAACAAACTCATCGCATCAGGGTTCGGAATTCACTATACCGGATGGGAGACATGGTGACGGTATTGGTAACTTCTCTTCTGATACCGTACCCGCCAATGGACAACTTAGGCGCAGCAATATTGGGTCGACTGTTCCCAGCGAGGGTCAACCCAATCAGAAGCACAAGAGTCCCCCGAAGACATCACTACAATCTCTTCATACTCGAACGAGTCCTCTAATAGGATTGGATAAGAGGACTTTGGAGCGTGCCTTTCGCATTTTTGTCCACCAATTTCCCGAGTTCGGGTTCTTTCACCAACCCACATTCTTGGAGTTTCTTGACCAAGGACAGATACCTGACCTGATACTCTGTGGAATACTAGCTATTAGCGCCCGTTTTCTACCCGAGATCTCCAATGGTCATGCAAACCCCTGCGAAGCATCCGAATACTTCGCAAACCATATCCGACAGAACATCACGAGTCACGTTATAGGTGCCATTAATATTGATGCGGTTCAAGCATTGCTCTTACTTAGTTTGCACGATTGGGGGAATGGAAATGGATCTCATGCGTGGACATATAATGGTAGGCTTGTACCATCTCGTGTTCGCCTCCTACAAGTTGTGCTCAAAGTCGTTAGGTATGGCCACGCGAATGATTCATGGGATCTACGCACAGGTCAAAGACAAAGCAAGGAAAAGCCCTTCAGTTTCGAACAACATTCGAACAGAAGAGGCATGCAGGACAGTCTGGGCTTGCTTTCTGTTGGACGCCATGATTGGATGTGGCAAGTGTCAATCGTCTAGGTTCACAATGAGCACTAGTGAGATCCCTTTGCCTCTTGGTGAGGATCATTTTGCTTTCGGAAATCCCGGACCATCGGAGCAGGATTTCCTAGTAACTCTTGATCCGGAAAGCGATAATTTTCAACCAATGGAGAAACAAGTTCTCCGGACCATTAGCGGCGATGAAATACTTGGTTTAACGATCCGCGGATTCTACATTTGGTCCACAATCTCAGCATGGGTCTCCGCCAGTGGAAGAAGGCGCGAGACGCCCTCATCAAGATCTCCTCCCTGGGAAAATAGTTCTTTTTGGTTCCGAAGTATGGCTGCTTTGGAGGATTGGCGTGCTTCGCAATCTCCGCAGCTGGTATACTCTCCTGCGAATATGAACCTTCAGGTCTACATTTCTCGAAATGAAGGAGAGCGCTTCGCAATGGTAAATCTCCTTTACTACCTTAGCCTGATCTTTCTTCACCGAGAATATGTTCCATTTATACCTCATTCAATCATCCGCCCTTGCGGGCCTACTGATCCGCCACTACTCGTCCAGGAAGCTCCAGCTGGATGGTGGGATCACAGTGCTCAGGCTCTGTTCTCAGCCGCTTCAAACATCATTCAAATCCTCCAACAATTGGATCAACGGAATGTTCAGTTTCAAACCCCCTTTACTTGCTTTTGCATCTTCAGTGCTGCGTCAACACTCTTGTATGCCAACGCATGGCCATACATGGCACCTGGTCTGGATCATCAGCTTCCAATGAAACTATACTCTTGGGGTTCTACGTGGCTGCATCAAGCGTCCTCTGTGTGGAAGGTATCCGAGGCCTGGTACAGTACCTTGGTGCTTCTAACTCAACTCTATTCACGAGTCAGTTCAGACCCCGTTCAATTTCCAGGTGTCAGTCGCGACGCGTTTCTGGCTTTGGAAGAGAACATACAACGTCTAGCTGGATCAGAGCCTCCAGATTCGCCAGGTGTGCCAGCATCAAATATCCTCTTGACGCTGCAGCGCCAAACGCAAAAGGTCAACCGTCCTATCGGTAGTCAAGATGCCAAAGAACGTTTAGAGACCACCGAATCGGTACAAAACACAATAGAACCAGCCACACACGAGGTTGGACAGGGGTCACTCAGTGATCTATCGATTCAATGGAACCCAATCCCAGAGTTCAACGCTGATTACGAGTTCCTCACCAGCATATTATCAGACCCCTCTGCTGACTGGATTCATCCTACCTAACATTCACAAAGCTCACATCATATTTGCACTCTTTGGTCCTGTCTTGAATCATATCATGATATTCCTGCTTTAGTGATGAGTAATTTCCTCTATCCAACACCAATTCTACCTCAACCAAACTGAGTGAAAAACCTCCACGTCTCCGGAGGAACGTATGACTTCGTCGCACTATCTCCGATGCCACCATCATACGGAGCCGCCGTATGGTTACCATCAAACGCAAGCCACCATACAGGATGATCCGAGCAGCCGGGATACTCTGTCAGGATGTGGGAGAAACTTCCAGGCAGTGGCTCTGGGACGACCGGCGGAACTTGACATTCATTAACAGTCACCCATCTATCTCTCATCTTCCTGCCTTTTTCAATCACCAAGAACTCGTCTTTCACTCCGTGCACACCCATATACGCGAAAGGATCCGTGCCTCCATCACAACCACTGACTTCCGCCCCGCCTATCGCAACACCTGCCCGGAACTTATCGGCCAACGAACAACCAACAGAATAGGTCATGCTGGCACCATAGCTCCATCCCGTCGCGAACACCAGATTCGGATTCACACACAGATCCGCTTCCAGGGCCTCGGTCAAGGCAGCCACGAAAGCCATATCTTTCCCCAGGATATTGGGCCAACCACGCGCCGTGCCCTGAGGCGCCACGAATATTGCACTGTTGTTTGCGAGCCGCTGTAGTCCATAATAGGCATATGTTCCTTTCTCGACCCATTTTCCAGTCACTATGTCTGTCATGTCGGAATTCAGGAAATGGAAGCAGAATATCAGCCGGTAGGGAGCGTTTTGGTCGTAGTTCTCGGGGAGCGTGGTGTGGAATTCTCGCACTTCGCCGTTCACGAACATCTTGTGATAACCGGTGGTTAGGCTTGGGTCTCTCCCACATCCGCGGGATAGCGATGAACTGAATACGTGGGTGGTGAAGAGGGAGAGGGTTATCACTGTAGCCAGGAGACGCATTTGAGCTAACATTGTCGATGTTCTCTGAGAATTGGGTTGGAATGCTTCTGGACTCGATGCCTTCTGGAGATTAGCCCAGAATCCCCAATAAAGCCTTCATTTATCCCCATTGGGGCGTACCCATCGGCTTTTTCAGGAGGGGTTCATGTTACGGTGACATTCTACGAGCTTATTTTCTCTCTGATTCGAGGGACAATCACATTCTCAAATAGACTTTGCATAAGGTGATAGGCCATCTTGGCTGCTGTGTCTGCCTTTCTATCACGTTATTCAAGAGTCCAGCCAAAGGGTTGGTCATCTAGATGTTGCTAATTCTAATCAGTGTTCCAGACTTTTTGGGGAAGTCATCATGGCAGCTAAATATTCACATAGACATAAAATCCGTTGCCGGGTTCGCTTATTTGAAGGCTCTTGGATTATACGAACGGCAGGGTTACCCTGGCCTTCCGGAAGTCAAAGGTTTCGGTATCAGATGCCTCGTTATCCCACTTGAATCGTGCATTTACATTTACCCATATCGTCGAACCAGGTCTCTCATGTCGTTAAGCATTCTATTCTTTTGTCAGTGAGCTCGCAACATTTCTATAATGCAACATACTGCTCTCTTAGTGCTTCGTTCTCGGGGAATAAAGCAGAAACGTGCGTGTTGAATCGGCTGCTGAACCTTAGTAAACCGTCACGATAATCTCGATATCACCATACATACAGCTTATAAAGGTCTAATCGACCATCGTAGTCCTCACTTGGCTCTGATATTTCGTTATATCGATGGTATGCAGTTAAATATTCCGGGCCGAATCGGTTGCATACTGGTCGCCATTGACCGAATTCATCTGTCATGCACACACGTTAAAGAAACCCGCGCTTAACAATTGATGTCCAAATGCAGTCTTACATTCGTTGTGAGCATAAAAGCAACAAGCGTCGAAGACAAGCGACTGATTACTCGTCGCATCCACACCCGAATTGGCATACCACAAATCGCCATGCACAAGGGAAGGCTTCACCGATCGACCCTCACTCTCCAACGGCCTTAACAGCCGCGGAATCACCTTCTCGAAGATCACCGGCACCAGAGTTTCAAACTCCGCGTCAAACCCCTTCGCCTTAATCTCGCAATTTAGCGCCCACCGCATGTTCTTCGCAAAGAACACCTCCCAGCTCGCCTCCCACTCATTCTGCTGCGGAATATTCCCACTCCACGTGTCAATGTGGAATCCGAACGCTCCATTCGGGGACTTACTCTCCCGATGCAGTTCTGCCAACCGAGCGCCGAATTCCTCCGGGTCGGGCATCCCGGCCTTCATTTCGCGGTACTCACAGAGGAAGAAATGTGTGTGGGGTCGCTGATCGTAAGAGCCCCAGCTTAGTGGTTTTGGTGCGAATGTTGGGGAAACGCCGTGGATGGCTTTCATGGACTCGTACTCTCCTTGGACCATTTTCTGGCCGTCTCCTTTGGTGACGATTTTGATGAAGTAGGACGCGACAGTGCCATTGGAGAGCTGGGTGTCGATTCTTCCAGTCTGTGTCCAGAAGCTGGTGCCGTGACGGGATGCTGAGAGGATCTTACTTTCTTGAGGGAGTTCTGTTGGTGTGTTAGGATGGTTGTGAGGTTTTCCAGATAGGAGACTTGCCTGCTAAGACACGAGGGTCTAGTGCCAAAGGCTCCTCGGTGGTACTCCCCATGACTGTGGGTGAAATGGACTGAATACTCGTTACTCTTGATGTTAATTCTTGCTGGTGCCTAGGACTTTGGTGACCGAAATCAGAACCAATGCTTCCGATGAACTCAAAGGGAGTTTCTAGAATTAAATGCCAGTCAAGTGGTGCGACAACAACTTGCTGATATCCTTGTAGTAATGCAATATCCGAGGGTTCTACAATGTCATAGATGATGACTCTTCTCAGACACCGTCGATGAATAACGCCTCAGGCAACGAGGGGCACCTAAGCGCCCGCCTTTTTCTGGGTGGGTCATCGATGCTGGTCTTGCTCCAACAACATTCCATCTTCACGAACGACTCTCTCCGCCGGTAAATTAAAGCAGTCAAAGCCTAATTGGTTCTGTCTTTCCTACCGCCGGCTGTTCATCTTCTCAGCATCGCACAATTCTTGCGGTATTGGGTTTTCAAACAATTAGACCAAGGGTTTCCTTCAGTAAACGAACCTCACTCTCATTCTCACTCACTCTGAGACCGCATAACGAGCTCACCATGTCCTTCACACTTCATCACCCACAAATCGCAGCCGGAGATCACAAAGGCTATATGGAATACGCCCTGGAACAGGCCCGCCTGTCTCCCCCAGCACCAACCAAGTTCTGCGTAGGCGCAGTCCTCGTAGACGCCGAGAAGAACGAGATCCTATCGACCGGATATTCAATGGAGTTGACCGGTGACAGACCAAGCGATCCAGGAAACACGCATGCAGAGCAATGCTGCTTGATCAAAGCTGCTGAGCAGCACCATGTGCCGGAAGATCAACTTGCATTAGTATTGCCGAAAGAAACTGTTCTATACACGACTATGGAACCGTGCAGTAGGAGATTGAGCGGTAACAGGACTTGTGTTGACAGGATCTTGAAGCTCAAAGATGTGGTTCGAGCGGTTTATGTGGGGATTCGGGAGCCAGAGACGTTCATTGCGGAGAATACGGGGAGAAAGATGCTAGAGGGTGCGGGGGTTAAGGTCGAGGTGGTGGAGGGAATGCAACAACGCATCCTGGAAGTCGCTACTGCTGGGCATTGACCACTGACACAGGGGTTTTGATTGTGTTTGCATACTTGCTCATAGTTCGAAGATATATTTCCGGTTGGGCTAGAACACACCAAAGAGGAATGGAGAGCTCAGGTCCTTATTGCTTCTAGGTTTGGTGAGACCTTCCAAGACGAAGCAAGGTGAACCGGTACTTCTAATCTGCAACACTCGAGATCCTCGAGCAAGTCGTCGCTTCCTCATTGATTGATGAACTGATTGTGTATACTTCCCGATTCGGAAAGCGAGGATATTCCCAGGCGGTGAGTGATTCTGCCCAGCAACACTGGGGATCAGGCCGACTTCCGGGACAATCAACGAACTGATCGATTCCTTCCAGCTTGATGCTTCTTAATCATGTCTCATTTCCCTCCTGACGATACCGGTTTCCCACCAGGTCCACCGCGCCGGGCATATCCGCGCCGAGACGACATGGACAGTCGCATGTACGACGATCCATCGCCCTCCCGATCACGCTCGCCTGGCGGTATTACCCCCTCCCCGCATCACAGCAAGGCGCGATGAACTTGAAAGAGTCGTATAAATTTCTTGTCTTGACATGGCGGATAACTAACGTTGTGTGTCAATCAAGAATTCGTGCGCTCCCCTCCGCGAGGTCCAGCAACCGACAGGAGGGGTGATTACTCGAGAGAACGACCCGAATCTAGACCCCGATACCGAAGTCGAGACCGCGATGATTATCGGCGCCGGCCGTCGAGGTCACCTCCGCCTCGGCGAGGGAGGCCAGCTTACCGTGATCGCGACCGAGAAGGATATCGCTCCCCCGGATACCCCAGTCGAAGCCGAAGCTACAGTCGCAGTCGCAGTCGAGGCGATCGACGCGGGCGCCCTCACGGACAAGAAAGTCGAGAGATCATGATGGATGGATTACCGTTGGATATGGTGGAAGAAGATGTTCGGCAATTCCTTTCCCTCTTTGAGATTTGAGCATAGGCATTGTTCTTTAAAGGACTACGCTCTGTCTTGAATTACAACCGTGGCAATAGGCTGAGATGTACATGTCGCCGGGCGGTTCCGGTCGACGTGTTGTGCAGATTACAAATGAGTTGAACGACGGTTATCATATTGAAGGCCTAGATGAAGTGCGAGTGATTCGCGATCGCCAGACAAGTGAGTGTTGGTGCCTTTGATTGCTTACGTCCTCTCACACGATTGCAGAATTGTCGCGCCAGCTGGGTTTTCTTCGCTTCCACAGCCTGAACTTTTCACGAGCTTTTTTTGAGAACAATTATCCGAGCATTATTCTTTACGGCCCAAGCGCCGGCCCAAATGATCGTGGCACAAAAGTCCGTATCGCCTATAGTCGCGAGAGGGAGGACCGCGCTCGTGCTAGAGCCGAGGGTGACTGGACCTGCAAAATGGTTGGCATACACCTACTGGATTTGGTGTGGAACTTCAACTGACGATTTAGTGTGCTATTGTCAATTACTCGACCCGCCAAAAATGTTTCCGATGCCAAGCACCTCGTCCTGGTAGGTCTCTCGAACGTCCAGATACTGCAGCTGCTAACACGGCCCAGAACCTGGTCCTACAGGACCTCCTGGAATCGCTGCTCCTAGGGTTAATAACAATGGTGATAATGATGCCGCGCCGGAGAACCAACCTTCGCAGTTCTTGCTGTTCCGAGGTTTGGAACCTACGGTCACTGAAGAACTTCTGGCTAAGGGTGTCGCAAAGCTCTATCGCCCGGCCAATTCCTCAGAGGGGCTAAGCGGAGGTCAGAAAAAGAGTGGAAAGGTTGCATCTACTACGGGGGATTCCAATCTGGGTGCTCGAGACGGGTCAATTCGCCGTGTTCTTTTGGTGAGAGACCGTCGATCGAACGAGAGTTGGCGCTACGGTTTTGCGGAGTTTGCCACTATTCAGGTATTATAGTATGGAAGATTCCCTTGTGTTTTGTGAGCTAATTCGATTATAGGATGCCCAAGCTGCCACGGCACGTCTGAACTCTTTCGAGAAGTTCACGATCTCTTCAAGACCAGTTCTTGTTAGCTATATCCACGCAGGAGTGTTCGTGCCTGTGATCAATCCAACAGCGAGCACAGAACGATTCACATTCAGCCCTCTAAATAACCCCTCGTTGAAGTTGATGTACTGGGACGAGGAAGCGTACGCCACGGAACTGACAGTGACGTCGGGGGAGGCAGATGTGGACCAGCCACCAGCCAAAAGCGAAAAGCCAACCCAGCCTGATGGAAAGAACAGTAAAGACTCGGATAAAACAAAAAAGAGAAAGGCCGAGAATGCTAGCACTGCAGGAGCCAAGAAGCTTGCAATGCCATCGCACCTGCAATTCTGGAGTAACCGACACGCCGAACTGCACGGGATCAAGAAGGGTGCAGGGAAAGAAGGGGAAGGGTCTGAACTGGGAGATGCTGCATCCGATACTGCGGCACCATCTCAATCGTACGCTGATCCAAACCGGAACTGCTGTTATCTGTGTATGCGTCAGTTCAAGTCATCAGCAGACGTCAATCGCCACGAGCGTCTAAGTCAACTACACCGCGGGAACTTGCAGAATGAGGAATTGACCGCCAAGGCCATGGGCAAGCTTATCAAACATGGAATTGTGCCACAGCCGGCTGAATATCGGGACCGTGCAAGAGAGCGTCGCAAGGCCTTTGGCCACTCCAAGACGTCAACCAAGAAGAGCGCACCTCCACCGAAGGAGGAAGAGCCGCCAGCTGAGCCCACATCTAAGGGTGCTTCGCTTCTCAGCAAGATGGGATGGTCTGCCGGTTCTGGACTGGGAGCTCAAGGCACCGGCATGACAGCACCCATTGCCACTGAAGTTTACGCCCAAGGCGTGGGATTAGGCGCGCAAGGAAGCAAGCTAGGCGATGCTGCTGAGGAAGCCGGGCGCAACACCCGAAACAGGTACGACGAATTTCTGGAGAAGACGAGACAGACGGCACGAGACCGCTACGAGCAGATGTAGAGATGAGTGTGTGGCTTGAATTGCATGTACAATATTCCTTAACGAAAACAGCAGCGGGTTATGTGTATCTTTTAGTCCAACAATTCACGTATCCTCTTTAACTATGAAACAAACAAAAGGGGGGTATTTCCATATGTACAGTATCAATCAACCTAAGCCACCAGTATCTCACAATCACACACCATCATAGCACATTGCAATGCCCGTCTAACCACAATATCCAATCCGATCCCATCTCATCTACTAGCCCATCCCTTCAATTCTCCTCCTTCACAACAGCAGCACTCTTCCCTTCCTGCTGCTCCTTCCTCACCTCCTTCTCAAACTTCTTCCCCAACACACTCCCCACCCACTCCGCCACCTCCTCCTCCAACTCCTGATCCGTCTTCGTCACCTCCCCACCATCAACATTAAACCCCCGTCTCACAAACCGCTGCATATCCTCGATCCGATTAATATCCAACGCCACCATCGCCGCACCGCTCCCGACCATCCCAAACGAGATCACATTCAACGTCGCCAGGTTCAGCGCCTCGAAGGCCTCCATCCCGCCGTTGACGTTGGGGCGATGAAGCACGGAACTCGTGTAGAAGGGGGGGATCTGCGCGAGGAACCGCTTGTTTAGGGCGCGGCGGGTCGTTATTAGCGAGAATGTGAAGAAGGCGAGACCGCCCAGGAGGAGCTTGTATTTTGTGTTGGGTTTGATGAAGCGGAGTTCGGGGAGGGGTTCATCAGAGGGTTTTGGGGGGTGATCTGATGAAGCGGAGGACGTGGAAGAGGAGGGGGTTTCTTGAGGAGGAGAGGTGGGTTGTTGTTCTTGGTTGCGGTTGAAGAGTGAGGAGAGCATTTTTCGTTGGATTTTGTGGTGGGTTTGAGGTGTTTGTGGTTTGAGGTGTGAGGTGTGCGAAAGGAGGTTTTTGATGAGGTCTATATCATCACTTTCTGTGGTTCTGGCTGGAGGACAGGAGGAAAGGAAAATAGAATGCAATTGATGAGGTTCTTCGACCTCGAGCGCGAGTGTGACTGTTCCTGTTGATCCGGTGCTAAAGATAGACAGAAATGCGGAGAAGCTGATCGATTGGTTCTGCGATAGTCATGTGACTTGTGCCTCAGGCAACACTTTGTTGATACCTGGATGTTCCCACCTTAATGCCTCAGGCACAAAGAAGACTGACGAAGCAGGCTAGTGATGGGGATAGAACAGTAACTCGATAATTCTACCAAGTTTCTATGCTATTTTAAACAACAATAATATGTATATATATGTCTTCTAAATGTAAAAAACATCATCCATCATGGACTCCAGCTGAAATGCTCCTTGGTCCAAGGCCTTAGGGTATCGAACGTGTATATCCGCAACACTCGCAGCATCTGCTTCTGGATCCAAGCCCGCTGTTCATCCTGAAGACACAGTTCCGGCGACCAGAGATTAGTCAAGTACGAAATGACAAACCAGCCGCCGAGAAGGGGCGCGGTTTGCTGATGGCCCAAAGTGACTCGTCGACCCTCGCTTTCGGGGTATTCGACCTTGTGCGGGCTCATCTGGACGGAAGTCATTTGGTCGCCAAGGAGATACGGCACTGTTGCGCATATGTCTGTGGCAAGCTTTTGAATAGAAACGACCCGGGCCTGGATCTCGTGGGGTGAGCTTTGTTCGGGAAGGAGACGTAGGCAATTTAGGATGATGTTTTGAATGACGATTCGGGAGTCTCGGTAGAAGTTCCAGGTTGAGGCGATCCAGAGATCTATGTAGCAGTCACATCGATTGTTGAAGACACCTGCGTCTCGAACGGATTGGGGGATGAAGGTGGCAGGCATGGGATGCCAGCGGTCGGGGAGAATGTGTTTCCAGACGGAGATTTTGTTGTCAAGAGCCATTGCGGTTGAGAGGAGGTTATCGAGTTCGTCTGTTTGGTAGTTTCCGGGATTAGATGCGATGCGATCCCATCTCTGTCTTAGGTTCACAATTTCCGACGTGACCATGGTCAAATGGCCCGATGCGGTGTGTGCCATGGGCATTGGAAGTGGAGATATGTTGGGCGTCTGAGCCATTGGATACGCTAGACCTAGGGAAGTCCGAATCTGTTTGAAACGGCGTGAGAAACAAGGAGCGTTGATCTATATGAGGTAGCTTACTATTTGTGCTTGAACTGCCATGGCAAGTGTTTCAGAGTTGGCAGTTTTCCGTTGTCCAAGGCGTCGGCTGTTGACAAGTGCGATTGCACCATGTAGATGGGCTTTATTGGTAACCCTGTTCTCCTTGAGAGCTGTAAATTCCTAGACTCGACGGTTAGATCATGCGACAAGAGGAATCGACGTACTTGCTTACCTCAAAAGTAGAGAGTAGAAGAATTGTCATGAGCGTCTCCTCTACATGGTGGTCAATGTTACCTTGCAAGGCGAGTCTAGTCCGCGACACCGCTTTCATAAAGGTCTGTTCTGCAGTACGAAGCAACGATCGCTGGCCTGTCCAAGCCGCCACGGAAAAGTACGACACAGCCTGTACAGCAAGGCGTAAAGGTGAGTCGAGCGAGGCGTTGAAGTAAAAGACCGGAATAAGTTCCATGTACCCTAACCGAATCAGGGGGTCTTTTGGTATGAAGAGCCATGAATTGAAGAATAAGGAAGACACCGTATCGTCCATGGGTAGTAGCAAAGAGCTGCGGAGCTGCGGAGGCGAATTAATGGTCACAGAAGGAGGACTTGGAGGATCTGTATTCTGGACAGGTGCAAGGGCCACACTATCTGATGATTGTGATGCTTGTGCTTGCGAGTCCGGTTGATCCTTTTTGGCAACTTGTGTCTGCTTGTTGCTTGATACAGCTCTTTTCTTCCGCTGAAAGGCAGTCCTGTCTCTCAGCATGACATCAAGAGGATGCGGGTACCCCGGGCAGGAGCGACCTGTTCGGACGCATGCCTTACAATGAGGACGAGCTTCATCGCACTGCAGCCAATTAGTCTATTGTAATTATAAGGCACCGAGACACCTACCTTGATGTGCCTCTGTCGACAGGTCTGACACCCCGTGCTTGGTTTCCCGCCGTAGACCATTTTGCCACTGTTATCCGGTAGGAGTTATATGTTCACATGTAGATATTTGAAGGCGCTATTGATAGAGAAGCTAATGTCGAACTGGCTGCTAGCCTCTCCATACAATGCGAATCATTCCCCACACAATACCAATTATTGGGACAATGCGCTACGAGAGCCATGCAGTTGATATAAGCTTGCGGCCCGATAAATTACTCTCATGGAAGAGAATGGAAAAGAGTAAGATTGATGGCCATGTTAAGAAAAGGATCCCCGGTCAAACGCTGAGAAATATGGAAGGATGGCGAGGCAAGTAGGCCGACCGTGTCACCCCGGTCTCCCTCACGTGGCGGTCACGTGTGCTTCTTGGATCCACTGCTCGGACCATTACGGCATCGTGTCCGAACATGCTACTGGCACGAGGTCCTTCATATCCAACCTCTGCACCACCTTTCACAGCTATTATGCAAGAAAGTCAACTCCATCAGTGTGATCAAAATTCTAAACATCCTCAGTTAGACCCCGAACGAACTCTATCTATTACCCCATTATAACAAATATACATTAAACCAAAATCACCGCTTCGCTTGATAAACAGCAAACAGGACACCACAAGATCAAAATCATAACACTCGCCTGCCTAAGGGACATGCTTAGCCGCCGCCGACAATTCCGTCGGGCCCCCTTCCATCTCCCCCAATTCGACGAAATGACCATGATGCCCTGAGTTGACCGGTCCGTGGCTCATATATCCGCTCGAAGACATCATCATGCCAGACTGACCTCCATACCCCATCTGACCCTGGAACTGCCCCTGCGCCTGAGCAGCCTTCTTCAGCTCCCGATTCTGTTTCTGCAGCCAGAACGCCCACACCAGCGATGCCAGCGCGATCACGCCTAGCGGAACACCCACGCCTGCTCCGATAGCCGTCTCTTTGCCGGAATTGTCGTTATCGCTGCTATCGCTGGTCCCCGGGAGAGTGGTTGCATTCACGCAAGCGGTCTGCGTGGGGTTCGAGCCTGTCGTTGTCGTGCCGTTTCCGTTCGAGTCGGTCGTACTGTTTATTTGCGAGACGTTGATGCCGTCGGCGTTGTAGTCGTCCTTGTCGATGAGCGTGAGGCCCTGGAGGGCTGCGGCGCCGATCATGGCTTTGCCAGCTTTGAGCGTGATAGGGTCGGCCCCTGAGGCGCATCCCATGACGTTGTCGTCAGAATTCCATTCTAGTGCGTCGCAGCAGTACTTGGATGTGTCGTCGCCGTCGCCGTCCTCGAGGAAAATGATAACGGAGCCGCGGTCTAAGTCGTTGTTGTCTGGAGTCGCGCAGTTGATCGTCAGCAACGGACATGCTATCCCGGAAAGAAAAAAAAAAAAAAAAAAAAGCAAGGAATACTAATCTAGGTGTATGCGAGATAGCAACAAGCGCGAGATAAGACATACCTCCTGTACACAGCTGCGGACAGCTCTTCCCCCAATTCCGATCCGTGCAGGTACCTCTCGACAACATAAACGGCTGTACCGTAAGACTATAGCAGTACCCATTATCCAGACATATCGAGCCCGGCGCACAACAGAAGGTGTTATCGTCCGAGGTACACGGTACGTCATCGGTTGCTGTCCCGCTGGGAAATCGACATATGCGATCATCCGCTATGCTTGGCGACACGAGGAGCCCCTGAAAGGCGAGCGTCAGGAGCGCTGACCACCGCATAATTTTCCCGATTCCAACCTCAATTTCGATTTCGATTTCGATTTCCAACACTCGTTATGGACCCAAGAGCGTGAACCGATATTTGCAGGGTTTAGTCGGGCGATCGATCGGTCGCAGGCACGGGAGAATTCGACCCAAGAGCTTGACCTTGAGAGGCGTAAAATCAGAAATAAGCCAACAGAACCAGCACGCAAGAATAGACCGAGAGAGCACAAGGAAAGAAGGGGAAATTTGCGGGTGGGGGCTGGGTTTTAAAATTCCTTCCCAGGAAACTAGAAGTGCTCAGTGCTCCCAGTAGACTATCACTACGACACTAGTAAGCTGGACAGGATACCCGCCATACGAGGCGTTAGGTGTGAGTGGATTAAGGATCCCCATCGGTCATGATTGTTATATGAGGTCGAGGACCTAATTGGGTCAGAGAAAGTGGTGGTGTTGATCCCTGGAGTCAATTCTTTGCTGTCTCGGACGCTAGGGTTTCCGCGTGGGTGTCTGTGTCTGGTGATGGGCTGAGTTTTCTTGATGATATCCATACTTCCATATCGACTCGCGGAGTAGCTACTCCTACTCCGTAGGAAGGGGATCATTGAAAAGATCTCCGTGTTTAGCGTCTTTTAACAAGAACAGCAATCCCTATACCCAAAACTCTGCACAAAGTAGACTTCACTCACGGGGTATTCAACATTATAAATTGCTGCCCTCAGATCGCCGACGTTTCCCTCACAAACAGACAAGGATCGCCCTGTCCTCGAGATATTAACCTAATCCGCCCCTAGCGGGTTCGTATCACCCCTGAATCCCTACATTTCACCACTCATTAATGGGTACACAACTACATACGGTGTACACATATACTCAACAGACACTTGAATCATCGCATTTCTAACCCCAGCCCCAAGTATTGGTACTTGATCCTCCATGCCCCCTCAAATCCAAGAATACTCTCGCCAAATAAACCAAATCAAACAAATTCCCAGTTTCAACAACCGGACGATCCCCGACTCGTTTTGCGCCAGAAAATCCAGGGCAGGGCCCGACGCCTTCTTGGCAAAACCCGGGGCGAGTTTAGCAATTTAGCTCTCTTCCTCCGACGAGTCATGGACATCTAATCAATTTATGAGTGGAGAAAAGGGCGGGTGGGTTCAGGAAGGAAGTTGGGCTGAGGGGCAGGTGGAGCGAGCTGAATATGGAGGGCCCGGTATTATTGGGCGAAGTGGACATGGGATTCAGAACTAGTCAGATTAAGATATGGACGAGGCTCTGGAGGGGACTGTCTTAAATGACAGGTGGACTGGTTGCTTGTTGCTCAGTTATCATTAACTAGGGAAAGTGTTGGTTATGGGAGGATAGGGAGGGGAGAAGTAGTTGGAGCTATACGGAGTAGTTTACTACTACCTTGGAAAAGTCGTGCACAAGAGCTACCTAACCATTGAGGACAATTGTGTATGGAGCACTTTACCCGAATAGCTCTGTTTAGCACGGGATGACGAGCAACCTTATGGATAGTGGCTATATGTTCATATGTGTTTCGCGCGAAGGGCCTACGGAGTAGGAACGGCACTTCTAGTAGCCTGTAGAGCAACCATGTACAGTGCACATACTAATTACTAAAACATTTACGGAATGAATGTGCAGGTGGAACAGGTCGTTATGAGTAATCCAATAAATTAATTAGATTAATTCAACTAGAAAGAATACCCTAGAAGGCTTATATTACACACATGAAATAGCCATGGAGGGGATTAGAAAGGTTTGGCAGATTGCAGCCTCAGACATCTAAGCTTCCACCAAATATTTATGAGCAGAGGCAATATTACTTTCAAGTCGGCCACAGCCAAAGATATTGACAGGCAGGCCCACACAGTCCGGCAATCCAGTCAACCAAAATCCTTCGAACAACCTGTTGCAACAGAATACATATTAGTATAAGCCACCGCTGCGTTATACATACATGACCAGAACATCTCAACGCCAAAGGTTAGCCTAAGGGCTGTACTTGGGCTTCCCCGCAAGTTCACTTGGGTTCTCATTCATCTCCAGCTGCTCCACACGATTGCTATATCGCCCCTGTGTCTCAGGCCCGGGGCTCATTGGCATATGTCCGCCTGATGGCGTTACCATACTCGGATGATCACCATATCCCACCGGACTGTGGAACTGGCCCCTGTATTGCTCTGGACCCTGAGCCTTCTTCAGATTCCTATTCTGTCTCAGCAGCCAGAGAGCCCACGCCAGCAAGGCCAGCATGACCACGCCCAGCGAAACACCCACGCCTGCGCCGATAGCTGTTTCCTTCCCGGAGTCCTTCCCGGCGTCGGAATTCTCGTCTTCTTTCGAGATCTCGGAGGCGCTCAGTCTCCCTGTGTTGTAATTATCCCAGTCGCTCAGGGTGACGTTCTCGAGCGCCGCTACACCGAGTATCACTTTTCCCTGAGGTATTTCGAAAGGTTCCTCGCCGCCGATGCAGGACGCTTCATCTATGTCGCAACTTCGATCCCAATCATCGCAGCAATAGAGATCCTTATTTTTCTCGAATCTAAAGAAAACGAACGGGGCTCCCTGGTTCGATTGGCCGTCGTCTACATAACCATGAAGTCGTACTGTCAGCAAATATCGGGAAAAAGGGAGAGAGGAGGTTGGGAAGAGAGAGAGAGAGAGAGAGAGAGAAGAAACATACCTCCCTTACATAGCTGCGGACAGGCATTACTCCAAGGCCATGTCGTGCAACTACCTCTGGAGACACCCTGCCTCTCGAAATTATAACAGTACTTGTTACTCAAGCAGAGCGCGCCTTTCGGGCAGCAATGGGTTGTCTCGTCCGAGGTACACGGTACATCATCGGTTTGCTTTCCCCCGGGGTGCTTGCATATGCGATCGTCTGCTATACTTGGTGACATGAAGAGTCCTTGAAGGGCAAGTGTGAAAAGCGTTGACACCTGCATTTGTTCAATTTTCACAGAGTAAGTCGAATGATTGATAGTTCGCGGGCACGGGAGAAGCTGACCCAAGATCTTAATACCTCAAAGGTACGAAGACCAAGCTATATAGACAAGTAAAAGCGTAAGGAAAGAACCGGAAGAAGCTGATAAAGATGGGTAAGAGTAATGCCGAGAGGGACTGGGGTTGAACATCTTACGAGCAAGCCAGCGCCGCTCCGCTCACAGTACACCATACACTGTGTAGACTACTACTACTACCATCCTGACTACTAGGCTGAGCAAACAGACACTCTCAGCGGACAGCTCACCAAAGAGTACTCCGCACGAGACTATAGGATGGGTAAGTAGACTGCAGATCTAGGTCAGCCTTACTGCGCTGTAGCATTCGGAATTGGGTCTCATTGGGCCTGCGGGGATAATGATGTTGATCCCTGGGGTGTCAACCCTTGGCGCTTGACTGTTTCGAATGCGAGTTTGTGTGGGTGAGCGGCAGTAATTGGCCTTGTTAGTCTGATGAAGGGCGAAGCAACTGTTCTTGGGAAATGATAGATATCGATATTGATATCGAGATTCATCCGATGAAGAAAAGATGATAAAGCCTCCGTGTTGAACGTCTCACGACAGCTCAAATAACTGCAAGCAGTAGGCCACCAACCCCTCAGGGGGCTTCACCTGGTGTGCCCACGTATACCCGCAGCATAAGGCTCTTTCCCCTCCCAACGTACAAGGATCCCCCTGCTCTCGAAATATTAAGCAGATTTATTCTTAGCACACCCAGCCTTTTGTTTGTGTTCCTGAGTCTTTGTTTAATGATTTTTGGTCCTCCGTTCGCAGTGTCTCTGGGGTCTTACCCTCAGGAGACCTGCTCCCTCCCTCCCTTATGAACTATCTCAAACAAAGCCTAGCCTCAACCCAGCACAATGGCACAGAAACTGATTTAGCTAGTAAGTCTTAAGGAAAGCAGTGCCTGTCACCTCCCAAGCAAAACCCAAGACACCCTGATCAGTTAATATACGCGCGATTTACGAGCCATGAACCTCGAACCTCGAATCAACGCTGCAGTCAGGAAAAAGACGAAAACCCTATGGCCCGAGCCCCCCGAACCAGGTACTGGGGCAAGGCTAAGAGTGGGGTGGATTCCGATATACTGTACTACTTTATTGGCCAGGGGAGTGTTCTATGTCCGGTGCTGACAATAACAATATTACTACGGTGTACGTAGTATCCGTGGCGCGCGCATCAACAGGCCGAAGGGTCTGTGGGATAAGGCTGTAGGTTGGGGGAAAGGTCACTAATTTAAGATATGCAGGAGGACTTTCTAGCGCACTCTGAATCACATGCTTACTCGGGCAGAGATAGACATTCAGGGAAGCTGTAGGGGTTTTGAGTGTCGGGAAGACTGCCGATGATAATTATATGAATGAATCCGCTTGATTGAGATGATCATATAGATGGTTGTTCAATGAGGGTTTAATTCTAATCATTCATATCTACTTTGCCTATAAAAGTCATTGGGGTATAGAACACCTGTTCATGGAACAGTGTTGGTCTGAATTGATACATCATGCTGTTGAACCGAAATGGACACCTAAACTCCGTGCTTAATATGGGGAAATCACCAAGGTTGAAGAAAGAAATCAGAAAGAAAACATAATGGGTTTCAAGTACATCGGTCTCATATCACATTATCATATTATCGGCGTGGTCATTTTGTCACATCAAAAGAAACGACAAAGGGGGAATAATCATAAAGCGTCCATCTTGTCTTCGTAATAAACCATAAGGAAAGGAAAAGAGAAACAGTGCAAATCATAAAGATCCGAAGATCATAAAGCAAATTACTTCATTGACCCGGTCGTTATCAGCATGTCAGCTCGACCAGGTCGATGGAAGCGGTCAATTCCCAAATGCTCCTTGCCATCGCGGCCGACGAAAATGCCGAACCCGTAGGTCGGGAACTCTCGATCCCCGGGCGGTGCGATGACCAGCCGAGTGACAAGGTCGGCTTTGCTCCTCGGCTCGCGTAGGAGCTTGTCTGCAAGCAGCGGACTCTGGTAAAGAAAGCTCATCTGATCGGCGAGGGTGCTGATGTCGTGGGGCAGATGACGGCAGCGACGTGGCCAGATCGCGAAAAAGGAAATAGTGTACAGTCCGCAAAAGACGATAAGCGCGTAAAAGGCGGGCATCAAGGCCGCGATACGGATCTCGTCATGGGAAGGATACCACATTGCCAGGAATACACCCCCAGCAAGAATGGGAATAGCTGCAGAGGCAACGGCCATAAATGAGATCCACGCCACCTTGTAGTGCTTGTTCAGCGCCGCGAGCACGGTCACCTGGAAAGGAAAACATGAGGGATAGGCGAGCAAAAGACTCTGCTCTGCGGAGGCACCTTCTGGGCGGGAGAGGCCAACAAAAGGCTGCAGAGCGCGGAAGTAAACGTCGATAGGCTGCCATGCCAGGAATAAAAGATTCCCAATCAAGGCTGGGATAAAGCTGTACAAGAAGTTGGATGAAGAGAACGCGCCTGTCGAAGGGAGAGTCGGTAGTCGGGGTGGAAAGCCGCCCTTGATCGCATCATGAACAAAGCTCACAACTACAAACGCGATAAAGAGAGCACAGATCGTAACCGTCCATCCCACAACGAAGGTCTTTTGAAGAAACCAAGGAACCCATCGATAGCGAACGGATGGCGTGTACAGGTGCTCATCAAACTCGCCTTTTCCCACCGTGGTCTGCTGCTCCAGGTCAAATGAGACTTTTGAGAGGCCCTGGTATTGCCTTGCGCGATTTTTCTCGATCAGATGCAACGAGGGATTTCCGATCGGGGCATCAACCTCGCCGACGCCGTAGAAGACCTCCTCCCGGTGTGGAAGCTGCCAGTACCCTAGTCTGAGCACCCGAGGGTCGAGGGTTTCGCCTACATTAGGCACCGTCTCAGACTGTTCAAAATCGCGCAGCACGTTTGATCGCTGGATGATTGAGATCAAATCGGCCAGGCAGACTGGGTCCCACATCAAGCCGGACCAAGTGTTGAGGAAACGGAATGTCAATAACAACAATCCAATAACCAACAGTCCGTATACCGCGATAAGGGTCCAGCCAACACTCATCACGGAAGTCCACCGCCACGTTCCTTCACCATCAATCACATACCACTTGGCCTGGAAAAAGCAACTCAGCAGCGGTATCGTGATCATATTCGAGGTCCAGATTGTAAGCAAGGCGAATCCGACCAACGCTTCTCCGTGACGAAAATGCGACAGATCGGGAAGTAGGAAATTTTTGGGCAAAGTCGATAGCTTCTGCAGGACGTGACCAAGAGGCCTTTCTGACCCCATGATCGCAAACGGCATGGTGCGGTAGAGCGCCGCCTGGATAACGAAAGTCCAGATTGTGATAATAACCGCGAGGATCTGCGGCAGGAATTCCACGACAAAGTATCTTCCCCCTCCCTGGCCATTGTAGTCCCAGAGCCCCTGGTGTTTCTGAGCCCAAACATTGCAGAACGCAATACCGGCGATCATGAGCAAGCAGCAGAAGATAATCGCAGACAATGCCCATGGTCTCAAGACGACGGGGACATAATCAAGCGGCGGGTACAGTAGACTGTCTTCCGGAGGGTCTACCGGAGTATACGTTTCCGGATCCACCGAATCCTGCGGCGGTCTAGTTTCTGGTGTGGGTTTGGGCGACGGGCGTTGTGGACTGAGAGGTTGTTGTGGACTGGGAGGCTGTCGCGGACTGGAACGATTTTGCACGGGCGAAGGAGACTTCTCTGGCCCCGACGGGCGAACGAAGCATCCAAGCCCCTCATCCCAGACGAGACGCTCGGCCGGCGGTAGATCCTCACTTGCAATCGAGTCTTGTCGGCTCAAGGCACGAACCTCTTGGTCGCGCGTGAGCTGACCGATGGCAAAGTGAATGTATGGAGAATCATCCAGCCCCGGAGTGGGCGGCGGACCGGCGTAGGTATCGCTAGGCACCCGACGACTGGTGCTGTTGGACATGGGACTGGCATGGACAGGTCTATGTTGAACCTGGCGCATTGCGCTGGAAGCAGGAGAAGGCGCATTCCGACTCTGGTTGGGAATTCCGACCGACTGATCGGATCGCGAAGCCATTGGCGGGGCGGCTAGATGAGTTCGAGAAATGGCAGGCGATGAAGTGCGGGATGCAGGATGGGAGTTCGGTGTCGCATACCGCACAACGGTCGCTCGGCTGCCACCGCTGGGGGATCGCGAGCTTGAAGTACGATCTGAGAAGGAGTAGTAGTCGTCGGAAGCGGCGGCGGACTGCTGGGACTCGGTGCGTTGCAATTGGGGCCTGCTTGCTGCGAGGGGATTAGCCAGCCATACCCACATGCAGAGGGTGAGGGTCCTTGCGTGGAACAGCGGTGGAAGGGGGAAGGATGGGACTGATTCGTTGAAGCATCAGAGCCCAAGACAGGCAAGTAGGTACTTACAGCTTACGGTTCTCAGGCTGACATTTGTAGAGCCAGGAGCAAGCATGACGGTTTATCGCAACCGAACAATGAATGTGGAGAGCTGCTCACTTGCAGAAGATGATGTCGGATGAACATTCCCAGGACGCAGGCACCAGGAATTGTGGGAGAGGTATTAGATAAGTGCCTGTCATGTTAGACTGAACCTTCTCAAGGCTATGCCAGATGAGGCGACCACCACCCATGTCTGTCGACCTTACTGAGGTGGTTGGGTTGTGTAGCCATTCGGATCTCCCAGCCTCCTCGGCCCAGCCACCGCCAGACGGGAAACCGATGAGAATCGACTAAAATATCACTGATCGCCAACATGGCCCGCAGTGATTGGAGTGAATTGAACAGGGCCTGATGCATGGCTGATGGCAGGACAATTATACTTCGAGGTAGTGGTTTGGGCGCCAAAGTGAGGTGGATGGAGGGAAGAATGTTTGCTGCGTTGGCATCCTCGACAAAGTTGCGGCCCGAGGCATCACCGACCATGGTTCCAAGTACTCTACTAGAGAGCAGTTCCTGGTGTTCCCTTTTCACAAAAGAAAAAAATAATCTATTCCATTATTTCTCCGTAAAGCTTCGATCTATCTATTTTCTGTCATCATCACCGACAAACACAAGCATCTATATACTCCTTCCCCCTCACGAATTGTACAGATACGCCGCGATCACTCCACCCCAGCCACCGGCATTATCGCTCTGCGTCGCGATCGCCTGGCTCCCCTCGAGCACCATGTTCGTCGTGCTCTTCGAATTAGTCCCGTACAGGTATATCTGGGTCGAGTCGATAATCTGAAGCATGTTCTTCTGACAGTCCCCGTTACAATCGCCGTTGGCATTGAAGAACACCCAGTTACCGCCTCCATACAAAAAAAGATCCGAGGATCCACTGATGCGCTCAAACAGAGCCATGCGGCAGGTTGCATCTTCGGGCGCGCAGTGTGAAAAGTCCGGATCACTGCCTATACGGTGGTCGGCCCACGGGGCTGGCGCGTAGAGATTCCCCGGGCCTTGCCAGTAGGGCGTCTCACTCTGTTGCAGGGCGGAGAAGACATTGCGCGCCCGCTCAAAGTTGTACTGGTAGAGCGTGTGATGCTCGAAGCCGGTGCCGATCAGCCAAGTGGCGCTGGTGGCTTCGACTAACAGGCCCCGACCCGTGCCGATGTTCTGCTTATGGTCTCCGTCCAGATCGTGGTCCGCGGTCCACCCCCACATGTTCTCGATGTAGGCCGATGAAGTGGAGGAGAGGTGAAGGAGGCCCCAGGCGGCCTTGCATTCGCCCGGCGAGGACGCGCAGTCGGTTTGCACTCGACTGCCCACGGCGCCTCCAATTCGGAAATGCGTGTTCCAGAACCCGACATCTCCGGGCTGTTTTCCTGCGATATTGACTTCAACCTAGAGGACGGTCCGTGTTAGAAGAATTGGGCTGACTTGCAGAAACAGATAGATATACGTACCATTTTACAGCCGGGCAAAATGTCAGCGACGGTGAATATCATGTCGCTGACTTGCGCAACACCCATATCGCCGGGGTATCCGAATCGGACCATAACACGCGGCGACGCTTCATCTTTAAATAGGTCGCCTTTGGCGCTTATCACGCTGGCAAAAGCATCACCTATGATCCTAGTGCCGCTGGGAACGAAGATAGTGTCGGCCACGATATACGTGCCAGCCGGGAAATAGATCAAGTGGCATCCACGCTTCTCCGTCAGAATTCGGTTGATGTTTTGGCTATCATCGGTCGAGCCGTCACCGTACACAGGTAGCCCAGGGACAGATTTGATGTTCAAGACTTGGTCTGCGCTGTATTCCTTATACGTCGGAGGAGGCATTGTGAAGTACTTGCCTCCGGGGGTCAAGCTTGAAGGACGAGGCGTGGTGACCGAGTCCCCATCGGCTCTCCGCTTGTTGGCATTTCCTGGATCGTACTGTTTTGATTGACTCAGTCAGTTTTCATCCGCAATTTGGGGCATTGCAAACCTACCACTGTTCCGTGTACCCAAGTATCGCTCACAGGGCCGGACAGTTTGGCCTGCCCTCCGAGAGTCACCGTAGTGCCGGTATTCTGGATATTTTCTAGAATGATTGCGTTTCCCGCATTCCCTGAATCTCCCGACACGATAAACGAATTCAATCCAGAGCCCGAGGAGTCGATGACTGTCAACGATCCGGAAGTGCCGCCTGCGTCGATGCCGATATCGCCCTGCTCGAAATGGCAGTCCATGAACACAATATCGGTACCACCTGCATTAACGCCAATCTTTGTTCCGGTAAACTTGAGACTCTTGAAAACCCATTGCTGGCCACTCAGCTTCATCCCGATGGAACCACCTTGGAACCACAAATCATTCTACGTGCGGTTAGCTGTCAGTTGCCTGGTACGTTGCAATCGAATCATACCATAATGAGGTTACTATTATAGTCATACTGGGTAGTAAGCCCAACGTGGTTCGTGTCCCCAGTCGGCATATTGAACCCAACGTTAGTCAATTGTGTCGCCTGACTGACGGTCCAATCGAGGAGACTGAACGCCTGGGTTGCCTCGACGGCTGTGGAATCCAGCACGATGTTCTTAATCCCGATCTGGAAATTGATCGTGCCGACGTAGCTGGGATCCTTGGCGTAGACCATATGATCCCCTGAGAATTTCGATGCTGCCTTCAGCGTTGGGGGATCGGTCGGGTCTCCCACGATGACTGTTCCGACGTAGAATTGCAGCGAGGCGCTCAAAAGATACGTTCCCGGGGGCAGATAGATAATAGCGGGCTGGCCGGTGGTTCCCATGAAATGAGACCCTCGATCAGGTCCGTTCGTTGGTCCGGCTGTATATGTACGCGAGGCCTATTGTTAGAATACGCCCTGTACCAATGGAAGGTCAACCATACCCTGGATTGCATTTTGAATCGCCCCAGAGGCGTCTTTCTGTCCCGTATTGTCGGCGTTGAAATCCGTAACCACGTTGCGAAACACGGTATAGTTTTCTTTCGATCCCGATTCCAAAAAGGAAGATTGGCCATTGTGCTCGATGTTCGCGTACCAGTAGCCAGCTGCACCACCCGCGCCGCACGATCCCCAATTTTGGCCGGTCTGGGTATTGTTGTTGACTTGTTGTCCGGTCGATTCGTTGCTATCCAAGGTTGCATGAATATCTTCGGAGGTGCTGTTGGCTGTCTGTTGCTCGGGTACCGCGGTGGGAGTCGGAGTCGTATAAGCGGAGGGGGTGCTGGTAGCTTCCGGTTGCTCTGATGCTGCAGTGGCACTGGGGGTCTGATAAACGGGGGCTGTGCTGCTGCTAGTAGGCTGCTCGGGGGTTTCGCTACCGCTGGTGTTGGTGCTGGTGCTGGTGCTGCTTAATTGCTGTGTTGACACTGCTACTGCAGAGCTGCTTGTGCTTGAATAAACAGCGGATGCAATACTGCTATCCGTCGTCTGCGGCATGGGCACCGTAACGCTGCTAGTACTCGTGGGGGTGTTGGTGGCGAAACTGCTATCACCAACGCTGGGAAGAATATAGGAGCTGGTGCTCGTCGACTGTTCGGGGGCCAGGGTACTGTCCAGGATACTGTTCACACTCGTGGTAGTGACGGGGATATGGCTGTTCTGCGGTTCGGCCACCGCAGTATCGTTTTTCAACGTGAATGGAATACCCCTACGTGGGGTAGTTAGTATGGAAACAAGTAGACCAAAGATACAACGAGGGAGTCACTCACGTCGGTTTAGGCTTATAATCCAGCGGCGGATAATACGTTGGCCCTAATCCTACATGATTATGGGATCCCCCGCCCGTGATTGCAGGCCCGACAGATAATAGGAAATTGACGAGAGACGGTATTATCGCCATGACTGAGGCAGAATCTCACGTCTCAATCAGAAGACCCCAAAGTGCACATCAAACTGACCTGCGTGGGTGCACCTGCAAGACGTCTTGAGTGGTAAACAAAGACTATGAACTGTCGGACAGGGCCCCAGCTAAATCCGTCCTCCAGGCGTCGAGAAAAGAAATGAAAGTATAAAAAAGGACGCGACGGCGGTGTTAAGTCCCAGTAGTCTAGACCTGGGCTTGCCATTCCTGATCTTCGTCAGTCGGATTGCCCGTGCTTGGTCGTACATACCAGAGACGGCGTCTAACATGGCAGAGAGAGTCGAGCACAGCCATTACTACCGCGACCCTGCATAGTTAAGGATTCTTGGACTTTAGGCCCCATATACTTGTAATATTGTACCATCAGAGCCAAACGAGGATCAAGTTTTTTTTACTCGAATAGCTGCTCCAATCTGCTCGAAATTGTTCTATCTATCTTCTTTCTGAGCTCTACAATGTTCGGAAACGTTTCTCCGGGTACAGCAAGCACGACAATGAGTATAGCCAGACATTAGTGAAACTTAGAGCAATGAACCAGCATTGCATATTATATGGAAACTGTCATCTAATCATAATTGAACATTTCCAACCGAGGATGAAGAACCTCGCGCGAAACCTTCGAGGAGCAGAACACGTCGTGGTCCGCATACCATAGCGGAGCCCACCTAGCAAGGAGCACAACAACAAAGGGACCTGCCCGGTATTCGCGTACCATTCCACGTGTAATGAGACATCTTGATTTCAAATAGTCGCGTCGCCATTATTTCCCCTTTTGATTTTCTTTTCTCACATTTTCTGTCATAAACTTTCGGTGATCATTGCAGCAGCCCCATCAATCGGCGATGTATCACATCACATAAACCGATCCCACGAAACCATATGATCAAAAAAGGAACTGTATCGGACATTCGTCGGATCCCGAAACTCCACTTTCTCGCCGGAGGAATGAGACGAGTCGCCAGACAGGAATTCCAAATATGTTGAGGCGCGCTTGTTTCTGCCGTCGCCAGCACCAGCGGCACTCGTCGTACCAGCGTCGAGTCCATTATTGAAGAGTCCGTCGAGGGCAATTGAGCTCGGTCTGGATTTGCTCGATCGTCTCAGTCCATCGCCCATAAGCCATGTTTGGCGACGAGATCGTTTAGGTGGGAGGAGGTTGTGTTGTTCTTCGTCGTTGTGGTCTTCGTCGCTGGTGCTGCTGCTGTTGCGGTAGCGAGATTTGGGCTTGAGCCAGGAGGATGAGACTTTCCAGAAGTCTCGCATGTTGAAAATGGGGGTTTGGATGGATTGATGGATCAATGGACGGGGTTTTCTTTTGCTTTTGGCTGTGCGAGAGTGATGGGAGAGTCTGAGGTGAGACTGTCTCTTCGAACTGGGGATTGTCCTCTCTTAGTATTTAAGTTGATGATCTTCCCGTGCTGATCCCGATCGGTTTCAAGGGGGTGCGGTACGCGATGTATCGCATTGTGAAACGGAGACTCAAATTTTGGACATGACTGTCGTGTGGTACGCAGGAGTTAGTCAGACGTGGGAAACCCAAAAGTGGGAAATGGATGGGTTAAGATTGAAGGACTGTGCTGAGCGATATTTTTATTGCGGTGTAAAGTAAGAGAGAGGCGGGGGAGTAGCAATATAGCTGAAATAAATGCTGAAGAAAGAATTAACATTTTACTTTTCCCGGTTTTCTAAAACTCACTACAGTGGAAAACCCCTAGATTGTGTCAAACGTGAGAAGCTACACCTACGTTGTTTACTACAGTTACTACCTACAACTGCAAGGAGCGAGGCTCGTCTACCAAGTAACTAAGGTGGTATTGTAGGAAATTCAGGTATCAGATCAACTTCTAACTAGACCAAAGAGCTCTGCTTAAAATCAAGATACCAGGCATATGTTCAGGCGAAAATATATCATGTCATTCCCTTGAACCACCATATCCTAGTTAATACTCTCTGATTCATGCGAACGCGGTCGGTGAATGAAATTCTGGGCTCCGGAATTCACCTTACATAGTTAATCATGCTTCACTTCTTTACTGTATCTGGAGAAAGAGTGAGTGTTTTTCAGAGACACCAGATTCCAATTTCAAACGTGTAGTAGAACTATGGAAAAACCTAGAATTTAGCTGGCTTCGCTACCAGCACAGCCGTCCCGAAACCGATCGAATGAGGACTGTCCTGGAAATACTGCTCTAATTCCGGAACAAGCGCCTGTTTGACCTTCTCGTAGTCAGGGTCATTCGTATACCAAAGCCCGGCTAGAACCTCCGCGGCCCGAGCACAGCGCTCAGAAATTTCTTGCTCGGGGAACTTGCAATACGCCTCCACCCGGCGAACAGATACATCCGCAAAGCCATGCTCCGCGAGTATCTCGGATGCTTTGTGGAGGATATATCCGTGGTGATCGAGAGATTCATTTCGACCTAGTGAGACGAGGGCTCTGTTTATAAGGTTGAGTACTTTGTTATCTGGGCCTCCTTGGGAGATGACGATTCGCGATTTGGGGTTCGATGGGTCGACTGCTCGGGCGATCTCATGGAGTGATTTCTCGAGGTCATCGGCATACTGTAGACTCCATGTGGTCACCACAGCGTCGAATTGGTGATCTGGAAATGGGAGATTCTCCAGAGTGCCCTGTGTAAGCTCAACCCCATTTTCATGTGCTTTTCCCACGGCCTCCGGGTTGACGTCGGGCTCGATGGCATATACTTTGCTGCCTCGTTTGGCGAGTTGATGGAGAAGCAATTCTGTTGCATATCCATATTAGCTAGTCGAGTACGATGGAGCGGAAGACCTACCTTTGCGCCATTTACCCGTATCCAGGACCTTCTGGTTATTTTCCAGAAGACTGAGGATATTTTCGGTTTCGTCGGAAGCCAGCCTCTCGGTCAAGGGCAACACAGCAGCTGCATTGAACTTGCGGGGCCCTCTATAACTTGATGGAAGAGGGTAGGGCCCAAAGAGCGTTTCTTTCTCCTTCTTCCGAACAACAACCAGATAATGCTCCTCCTCCAGATGATCCTTAGTACCAGCCCAGGGGGAATAGACCTCAGTCTCAAAGGTTAGACCCGCCTTCTCGAACATATCCATCCAGCCCTTGCGGGTGAAAAACGTGCAGTCATACGTCTCGTTCATCCATGGTTGCGGGTAGTGGCGCACACATTCTCCAGAGGCATCATAGAGCTTGGGGTCCTTGAAGTAGTAATCGCTGAGTATAGTGGCGACCATCAACAAACCGCCGGGCTTCAGCCATTCTGCAAACCGGAAGATCATCGAATTCGTTTCCTCGCATGTTATATGGAACAGGGAGAAGCTGCCGAGTACCACGTCGAAGGTGGTCTGGGGTTTGTAGTCGGTCATCTTGCATTTCTCGAACGTCCCCTTGACTTGACTTCTAGCAAGGTTGACCATGGTCTCCGAGATATCGATCCCGTGGACTTCATGGCCTGCTTGGGCAAATGTATGGGCCATGGGTTTACCGGTGCCGCTGCCGACATCAAGGACCTTGCTGTGAGGAGATATTCTTTGAAGGATAGCTTCGAGGATCTTGGCTTGACCGGGGTTCTCGAGATAGCTTTCTTCATACGACTTTCCCAGTTCGTTATAGAGGGCTGCGGTATCTTCTTTCATGATGGCGGTTGTATGGGTGGTGAGTAGATTCAAGACAGATTATTTAGGTACTTCAAAATTCCGAGAAAGAAATGTCCATATGGACAGTATTAAGAAAGAATTAGAAGAAGAAACAAACACAAGAATCAATGACTGCTGGAATTAGTGGGCTGATATACGGAGTACTGCATAAGTCGACCCCCGCAGTTAACGCTCAGTGCAGATCTCATGCTCAGACAACACATGCATGCAGATACATGCAAAGAGTTGATGCAGTACCACCTGTACTACTGCATTCAGCCGAATTGGACGAGGTCCAGGTCTTTGCTGCCTTGTGAACGCAGTACTTGTACAGTTTTGTTTATTATGAAAAGCAGAGAGGGAAGAAAAAGTGGGTGGGCGGGGCGGGGCACGGCGGCAGATTGCTGCCTACAATGGCCAAAAACAAAACAAATTACACCGACCGTTGCACTCTTTTCTCTTTCCTTAATCCCATAGACACCAGCGAAATACCCCGTTGCACCATAAATCCAAACCAAGCCATGTCGTCATATACTATTGTTAGCGGTGACACATTGTGGAAGATCGCCACGGACCACGGCATCACGCTGCAGGCCTTGACAGCAGCCAACCCGCAGATCACGAACCCTGATCTGATTTATGCGGGACAGCAAATCAATATCCCCCAGAATGAAGCCCCTCCACCGCCTCAGAATGTTCCAGCCCCAGTGCCAGAGCCTAGTGCCGCTCGTGAAATGGCCAGCGGTGGGGGTTACTCAGGCCCAGGGTCAAGCGTGCCTCCGCCTCACATGCCTCCACCTCCCCCGCTGGTGTCGCCGGCCGAGGCCTGGAATACTGGCCGACCATCGTTCAAGACCGTTGCCTACTTTACGAATTGGGTATGTCTGTTCTAACTTAATTTTATGTGGTTGGTATCGAATCGCATCAGCTAATAACCAACATCCAGGGTGTTTACGGCCGCAATTATCAGCCCCAAGACATCCCCGCCAACTTCATCACCCACATTCTCTGTATGAACAACTCTTTCAGATCGAGAACATTGACTAATACTTATCAGATTCCTTCGCCAACATCCGTCCTACGGGCGAAGTGTAAGTTTCAACCTGTACAATTAAGCCTACCGCGCCCACTAACAACCCCAAAAGCTTCTTAACGGACACCTACTCCGACCTGGAAAAACACTACCCCACTGACTCCTGGGACGAAAGCGGGGAGAACGTCTACGGCTGCATCAAGCAGCTCTTCCTTCTCAAGAAGCAGCACCGCCACCTAAAAACCCTCCTCTCCATCGGCGGCTGGACCTACAGCTCCAACTTCGCCGGCCCGGCTTCCACGCCCCAGGGCCGGCAAACCTTCGCGCGCTCCGCCGTCCACCTCCTCGCCGACCTCGGCTTCGACGGCATCGACATCGACTGGGAGTACCCGCAGGATGATGCCGAAGCGTACAACTTCGTGCTCCTCCTGCAGGAAACGCGCGCCGAACTCGACCGCTACTCCGCCTACTATCTGCAGGGAAAGCGACTCCTCCTGACCATCGCGGCACCGTGCGGACCATCCAAATTCAACGTTCTCCGCATCCGCGAGATGGACCCCTTCCTCGACTTCTGGAACCTCATGTGCTACGACTTCGCGGGCAGCTGGGACTCCATCGCCGGTCACCAGGCTAACGTGTTCCCCCACCCGCAGCCGGGCCTGACGCCCTTCAGCGCCGACGCCGCCGTGGTCGCGTACCTGCGTGGCGGCGTGCATCCGAGTAAGATTATCTTCGGATTGCCATTGTATGGTCGCGCGTTTGAGAACACGGGCGGTCCTGGTCGCCAGTTCCAGGGCGTCGGCGAGGGGTCGTGGGAGAATGGCGTGTGGGATTACAAGGCTCTCCCTGCAGAAGGAGCTGTCGAGTATACGGATCCAAATCTGATGGCTAGTTGGAGTTTTGATCCCGCTAAGGGCAAGGTGGTGAGTTATGATACGCCTGAAGTGACCGGGCTGAAGGCCCAGTATATCCAGCGCAGGGGCCTGGGTGGTGCGATGTGGTGGGAGTTGAGTGGTGATCATCCTGTGCACCATGAGAGGAGCTTGGTTAGGATTACTGGGGATGCGTTTGGTAGGATGGGAGGGTTGGATGGGAGTGAGAATACGTTGATGTATCCGGCTAGTCGGTATGAGAATTTGCGGAGGGGGTTTGAGTAGAGGGATGCAAGTTTGGTTACATCTAAAGTTTTGCATGATACGTATGAGATTCCACCTGGCGACACATATACGTGAATTGTATTGTCGCAGTTTAACGGTAGTTACTTGACTTCCACCCTCCAATAAAAATATTGTTTAAAGCTCTGAGGATCCTTCATCGAATTTAGAAGCTAACCACATATATTTATCGAGACAAATTACCATTGTGCAGCAAACGCAATTTTTTGTTTCTATCCAAATGCAACGCAGCTCAGTATCTTGTTCCTTCAAGTCTCCATAGCCTTGCAGGTCAACTACCAGGGTCATGAACTTCTCCCCTCTAGTACCCGTGGTGTTCACGCGGTGCTCTGACTCCACTCCAAAGCAAATGGAGTTTACGGTGGACTCTGAGAAAGTGGGCCAAAGGATGCCAAATAATTGCACTCAGAACTAGCCTTCTACGTTTTCTTTTTAGCTTACCCATGCTTCATGCCAAGGGGATATGACTGCTTGACTGGGTGACGTATGATAAGCAGCTTCCCAGGCTAAGATTCTTGGCGAATTCTCCTTCTCTGGATGTGGTGAAGGTAACAAGCAAATGCTGATCAATGTGTAAAGGGTGATTGACCAGCAGAAATTGTTTACATCTCGAGGTTTATGTAGAAGTATTGCTTCTACAGTAACGGTACCGCATTGCGCAAGTGTCTGCAAATAAAGTCAAAAGGCATTATTGTACATATGACACGGACCTCCATCCCCATAGGATGTATTAATACTATTAGCCATTTTCAAGGGTATTTATGAAACTGCAAAAGTCCCGACACGCTTTGTAAATGTTCCTTGGTCTTGGCGGGCCTTCCATGTGGCCTGCTTACACATATAAAAATTTCATCAGTGTCTACAGATGCGGGAACGCAAAACACGAATGTGGGGATAAATGACGTATAGTAAGCAGGTTGCATATTCTTCTCCACTTTGAACTGCAAATCTCTTTGGCACTCGGTGGGTTGATCGTAGACTCGGGACAGGGCTTTAAGAGGAACAGATACCAAAAGGTTCCTGGCAACATACCCGGAAAGTTCCTTGACACTCACCCCGTGCTCAGTGATTGCCTTAGGCCGCTCAGGGCATGCTCAGGTCTACTTAGTGAGCAGAAAGCGGCAAGGCGTGAACACCAAAACGGAAAGGGAAAACCATCGGCCTGGCTAGAAAATCAAGTACATATGCATGCGTGTATGTACATTAGCTATGTGGAATAGTCTGGACGACGTATCTGAAGAAATGAAACGAAAGGGAGTATTTACAGCGAGTGACAAAAGAGATGAGGATATATATCAAACAAAAGAAACATAGGAATAAAAATAAAGGAAAGAGATCAAGAACAACCCTGAGAAGCTATGATCCCAGAACATTACAAACACTCAATTCCCTCATTCAAAGCATTCATTGCCTTTCTAACCCAAAAACGCCAAATTGATTCCTCTCGCCCCGATGCTAGAACCAAGACTGTCCTCATACAGACCTTACATCATCACGCGTACTCGACGCATCGGGATGTTTGACGAGATTGATCGTGTCCAGCTCATTGAAATTGTCTGAGTTCGGTTGCTGGTGCCGTCCCGATCGGCCAGTGTGGCCGGAGTAGTCGTACGTCGGGTAAGATTTGGAGCCGTAGCTAATCGGGGTCCCTCTAATCAGAAGCCAGATGGGGCGGAGGGTAGGGAGACAGGCGAGGATGACTCCGAGGGACATTTCGATGTTGGTCCAGAAGAAGACGGGGGAGGTGTAATCTGTTTTTCTGTTAGTTGGGTGTTCTGGGTATTGTGTAAAAGGGATGAGTAGGACGTACAAGTCGCATCTAGGTAGTGATCTAGGAAGGTTTGACCGATGTGAATGTACATGGCGAGACGGGTGATGCTGATTGCGACAACACTAGTTTTCAGTCAGCAATTGAAAGAAATATTAAGGGCAGGATGAGGGATAGGGAACATACGTAGTGCCCATAAGAAACATGCCTGCGACAGCCAACTTTTGCTTCCACGGCAACTGCAGCTTCAGGACCAGCGGCAACGGCAGAATAAGGATGATGATGTCGACAAAGACATCGGTAACACATGAGGAATACCACATAGCCACGCTATTGATGCACTTGTTTCCGTAGAATGCCTCGACGAGCGGCGTGATCGGATAGCACGTGAAGAGGTTGGCGAAGAAGAAAGAGATTGTCCATGCGAACACCACCACCAGCATGACCATCGAAGTTGGTTGGAACCATCCCGAGATAGCGAAGATGCTACGAAACAAAACAAGGAGCGACGCTTTGGTGAAGCCTAATCCGATGACTGCAAGCATCTGACTGGCAAATTTGCACTGTGCGGCGATGTGTTCGTCAGCTCTAGTCTTGGTTTGCGATCCGTCTCCCCTATCTCCAAGTTGGAACAACGCACCTTCTCGTATGTCAGGAATCTCGGGTCGTCCAGAATCGGTTGACCGTCTGAACCGAGGGTTTGATGCTGTCCTAGCTGTCCATCAATCGCTCCTGTAGGGCATCACCGTCAGCCTCAGGCCCTATGAGCAGCATAAAGGTAAGTGATCGGGAGCAAGTACCTATTAGCTGCGTGATAGAACAAGCAATCGAAAAGGCCTACATGATACCAAGCCTTGTTAGAATGCACCGTGACCCAGTATTATCACAGGGGTCTCCATTCCCTGCGCAGCATCACCCATGCAAGCAAGTCCACTTACCAGGGCTATTAGAATGAACAAGTCATCCCATTGTAGCTTCTTGCGCGACAGCCACTTTGCCCAAAACCGCAGGGCGACAAAGATGCACGGGAGAATCAGAAAGGTGATTCCCAGAGCAATCATCTGCTCCTTGGAGTACGAGTCAACCGCCATACTGGCTGCGAGAGATCGGAACAGATGTCCAACGGGGTGAAATCGACATTGACGCAGTGGTTCGCAGAATATGCGAGGAAGCGATCAGTGAGACTTGGTGAGACAAACCGCCATATAGGTAAGACCATGCGACCGCCATGTCAGCCATACTCGGCAGATGCAAGCCGTGGCAGGGAGGACTGCAGCAGGGAAGTTTAGTGCTCACCAAGTCTCTTCAGGCTGAGGATTGGGGGCAATTGACCTGCGCGGGGGCGGTACAGTAGGTATAGTAAGGTACAGTATGATACGATACCCTGGTATCTGGTGGTGTAAGTAAAGTACCTTACTGTACCTAGGAGGGCATGGTACGGATACGGGCGGCAACCGGGTCCAACCTTAACTATGGACATGTTAGTTCTCGACAACCTCCAGTGTTCGGATTATTTCATCATTTCACAGTGAGCAATGAACAAGAGTTCGTGACAGAACCACAAATATGACCATCAGGTATGTACATACATGCATAGATACCGTACTGACGATTGTGGACGAGGCACTGTCTACACCGTGTAGTGTATCAAGTATCATACAATCATTTTGGCCCCTGAAGATATGCGTTATAATGTGTATTAATTTGAGCATTAATCAAGACAAAGTGGGACTCGTCTGTCCTGACAATCAATCAGGATTCCAACTCAATCGAACCGAATGCAAGCTGTAGAAAAGCAGTGGCTCCCAGTCCAGCCGGGCCTGTGCAAAAAGCGCTCTTTCACCGTGCCAGGCGAGCGGGTCTACGTGACATCGGCGTGCTAGTGCCACTGCTAGGGTCCACTCCGGATATGCAAGCGTCCTTCCCGGTATGGATCGACAGGCAGGGGGGCTATGAAAGGCTAAATAATTAATTTATATGGTGTGGTTGCAGGGATCAGTGCTTATGCAGGATCCTTCTACGGACCACGGAGAACGGAGTGGACTGTGCAATTGCTCATTGCTTTAGTTCACTAATCATGAAGGAGGAAGTCGAGTGCGACTCACCAACCGGGCAGGCACCATGCACCATGTGATGCCTTGTGCCAAATCCCTCGTGCAGTCGACTTGGGCCCGATTTGCTAGGCGAGCCCCCTGCTTACGGGGTATCACCGGACTGCAGTAGATGCCCGGAATACCTCCCCCTGGCTGATCGTATCCCTGTCCCAGCGCCTCCTCGTGGAATGTCGATCGCAGCACTTAGGCAAACACCTGTAACCGCTGGTGAACAGGGGAAGCAATTATCAGCTATCGATCGTGTTTCTAGAATAAGAAAAGAAGAACCCCAGAGTAAGATGCCAACTTTTGTACCCCTTCAACACAACAGGTCAACGGTCTAGATCGCACTTGGTTCTTGGGGCACGCAATGGCTTGATCGCTGTTCATGCCCCCATTCGCTAACTACCGTTAGGTAGTAGTGCAGACTAATCTCCATAGCAATCCTATTATTAAGGACACTTGAATGAATTTTCCGCTTAGGGAACTAAGACAATAGTCCGAATTGGGCCATTGGCAGCAGAGCCTGGTACGATAGTACCTATATATTAAGCCCTTCGGCAAGAATCTTACCATGAAACTTCCGTTGCTTAGTGCAGTCAATCCTCCCTCCGTGTTTTCACATTGACCATGCGTGGGCTCACTTTGCTTCTGGCCTTCTTCGGCAGCCACAAGGTCTCGGCCTTGTCTACTCAGACTGTCACCAAGGAGCTTGGACCCGATCTGTCCAAAGCGGCCTCCATTACTGGTGGTGGCTCTCCCAAGTACACCCGTTGGAGCGAGTATGCTCCCCCCAGTCCCGGAGTCATCGTGAATGTAGCGAGCGAGGACGATGTGGCTGCAACAGTAAGTTTTAATTCTCCTTTCTGGACTTTCACCGTTTGCTAATCGCAAATATTACGATAGGTAAAATACTGCACCTCGAATGATATCCCCTTCTTGGCCCAGAACGGAGGCCACGGGTGGGCGAAATGGGACTTCGGAGACGAGGGAATCCTGATCAACATCAAGGACCTGAACTCGGTCGAGTTCAATGACAACAAGACGCAAGTCACAATTGGAGGTGGCGTGGCAATTGAGGAAGTCGTCGCTGTTGCGGCCGAGCAAGGCGTGCTCGTCCCGACCGGCAACTGTCCCTGTGTCGGCACTATGGGCGCCATTCTCGGCGGAGGATATGGCAACCTGCTCGGTCTTTATGGCTTCGGAGTTGACAATGTCCTCTCGCTCAATGTGGTTTTGGCAGACGGAACTCAGCAGACTGTCACCTCTAAGGATGAGGATCTATTCTGGGCGCTCCGTGGCGCTGGAGCCAACTTTGGTATCGTCACCTCCGCGACCCTGAAGTCGTACCCCAACCAAGAACAGACCGCATGGTTTGGTCAACTCATCTACACCGAGGATAAGCTGGAGAAGATCATCAACGCTCTCAACGATGTCACCTTGGAGCCGAAGATGAACGTTTTCCTCTATTACATGGCCTCCAGCGGTACCCCGTCCGTCGTCATCACCCCATTCTACTACGGCACCGAGAAGGAGGGACGTGCTGCCTTCAAGGCCTTCCTCGACATTGGCCCTACCAACGACACCACCAGTGAGCTGCAATATGCCCACTGGACGGACGCCTCGCAGGACTTCTGCACCAAGGGTGGATACAAGCCCTCGTTCACCGCCGGTCTTGCCCAAATGGATGCCACCACGTGGAGGGAAATCTGGGATGAGTGGATCACATGGTTGGAGAATGACGGCACCAGCAACAGTCTTGTCATGATGGAGGCGTACTCTTTGGAGAAGGCCCGCACCGTGTCTCAGTCCTCAACTTCATTCGCCTGGAGAAACGATGTCAACTTCAACGCTATTGTCATTCCGTGGTACTCGGACGCCAGTTTGGAGACGAAGGCGCTGGCTTTCGGTACCAAGCTACGTGACCTGTGGCGGAAGACGGATGGACTCGACTCTCCTGCTGCGTAAGTCCTTTTCATCCCTTGATCAATCCATTGTTTAAGGCTAACCCAATACTTGCAGGTACATCAACTTCGCTCATGGAGACGAGAGCTCGGCAGAGATCTATGGTGAGAATGTCGACCGACTGAAGAGCATCAAGGCCAATGTGGACCCGAAGAATGTCTTCAGCCACTGGTTCGACCTGTAAGCTTATGTTCAATTGCAATTGCAAGCATTCTATCCGTCTTGTATATATACTTTGTAAAGATGAATACTACATCTAATAGACAGGACTGTCGACCAGCCTATGTACATCCAATGGAAACGAGCCTTCTTAGTTTAATCGTAGTCACCAGCTATTCTCTACCACACAACAACACCCTTCGGGCCATGAACTCTACCACGCTGATCATCCTTGTCGCCCCTCGCAACCGCCGCGATATACTCCGCTCCCTCATGAGGCTCCATAGCGCCCATCTTCCTAAAGGCCTCCGAGTCGTTACCGATTTCCGTCGCGCAGAACCCCGGATCCGCCCCTAGAACCTTGATATCGGCAAGCTTCATGTGATACTGGACCATCATCATATTGAGGGCCGTCTTGGTGATCCGATACTCCGAAGCATAGGTGCCACCGTGCGGCGAGTTCGGGTCCAGGTTATGCTCCAAAGATCCCATAGAGGAGCCGACGAACACCAGACGGGGGTCCTTGGACTTCCTGAGCATCGGCAACAGGGCTTCTGTCAAGCTCGCGGCACCGACCACGTTTGTAGCCAGCGAGTCGCGCAGGGTGTCCCGCACGGGCTCGCGGTTCAGGAAGTAGACGCCGGCATTGTTGACGAGGACGTCGATGCGGTCGTATTTCGACTCGATGTGCGCCTTTGCCGCGTCCACGGATTTGTCGTCGGCCACGTCCAGCTCGATCGTCGACACCGTGCCCTTGTTTCCGGGGAGGGCTAGAAGTTTGTCGGCGGCTTGGTTGACCTTGGTTAGGGTTCGGCTGCTGATGATGATGTGGTAGTTGTCGGACAAGAGTAGGTTCTTGGCTGTTTCGTAGCCGAGACCCTGGTTCGCGCCTGGGATACAGTTAGCGTTGGCGTTTTATAGATCTTGTCCGGATTTGGGTATAGACAAGGCTGGGTGGGATCATCGCTTTCTCTTTTCCTCCTTGTCTGATCCTTTTCTTTTTTCTGTTAAGCTTAACAGAAAGGACAAGAGCTACGTACCCGAGATGAATACAATTGTCGGAGAGGTCATTTTCGTCCAATTAACCCTTCCTTGCACGGTCTGAGGTTGGTGGCGTAGAATAAGAGCAGCCACTCAAGCGATCTGTAAATTTTGGGTGGTTGGGGACTGCCGGCTTAAGGCCTTAAGGCCGACCATGCTCATGTAAGCTGAGGCACTGAGACTCTTTTCTTTGGCTGCGGGGTAACTGTGACCCTCCCACCAACACCATTTGTGGTCTGACAAACAGACTAACTATCCTGCATTGGTAATCACACTTTAGCTTACAATGCGGCTATGCAGCTTGGGACCGACGAGGGTCAGCAGAGGATCTTCCTCGCAGCACCGAGAGACTGCATCTCCTGACCGAAGTGGACGGGAGCCATAGTGTCAATTGGGATCTAGAACAGCGATTGACACATTTGACTTGACACGATCGCATCAATTGGCTTTCCAGAATTTGAACTGGAAAAATTCTGTCATTTGGCATCAAGCCTACAAGTGTCGATCATGGCTTCCGAAGCAGACTACATCATTGCAGGAGGAGGACTGGCCGGGTGCGTAGTCGCCTCACGCCTCAAGCAGCACAACCCAGCCCTCAAAGTCCTTATCCTCGAAGCGGGAAGTGACCCCTCGAGCAATCCGAACACTGAATCGTTCCCGGGCCTCTTCTCCCTCCTTGGCTCAGAACTTGACTGGTCGTATCCCACCGTGCCCCAAACGAACACCGTCGGTCGGTCTCACGAGGTCCATGCCGGAAAGGCCCTGGGCGGAGGCAGCGTGATCAACTTCGGCGGATGGACTCGCGGAGATGCGGCCGACTACGACCAATGGGCCAGAATGGTCGGAGATCAGCGGTGGAGCTATGAGGGACTGCTGCCATTCTTTCGCAAGTCCGAAACGTACTTCGATCCGACGGCGGATCCCAAACACCATGGGTTCGATGGGCCGATCCGCGTGACCGCGGTGTCTGCAAGTGATGAGAAGCGCAAGTATCCGCTTCGGGAGCCGATCAAGGATGCGTTTACGGAGATTGGCGTTCCGTTCAATCCGGATGGATGCTCAGGTAATCTGGCGGGGATTTCAGAATTCCTGGAGACCTGGAAGGATGGAAAGCGTCAGGCAGCTCATCAAGCGTATAGCCTCGAGGGTGTGGAGGTCCTCACTGAGGCCGTCGTTCACCGGGTGGAGTTTGCGGAAAGCGATCCTACCGGAAAGAAGGTCGCCTCAGCGGTTCTCCTTACGGATGGTCGCCGTTTTACAGCTCGGAAAGAGGTTATTCTGGCTACTGGCACCTTGCGTACACCCCAGATCTTGATGCTTTCTGGGATTGGGCCCGCCGAAACGTTGTCTCAGCATGGCGTTTCCGCTGTGATCGACGCGCCGGAAGTTGGCAAGAATCTTACGGATCATTTCGCGTTGTTTCAATTGTTCAAACTGCGCAATCCAGAGCGCGGTCTTGCATTAGGAAGCCCGCTTCTCTCAGACCCAGCGTTCATGAAGGGGTTTCCCGCAGACTGGACAATCAATCAGGACGTGCCAGCCCATATCCTAGAGGCAGCGGTGCGCAACGATGATGCCAGGCTTGGTTCAACGACGGACGCATCTCTTTTGGCTCCCGGTCGACCTCTGGTCGAGACATTGGTTGTTTACGCCCCTGCCGGCGCCCCCGACGTACCCATGGATGGCAGCTTCGTCGTGACCTCCGTTATGTTGCTAGGTTCAACGTCCCGAGGAACCGTTAGCATTAGCTCGTCATCGCCTACGGACAATCCGGTGGTGGATTCCAATTACTTTGACACAGAAGCTGACCAAGTCACCCTTATTCACGGGATTCGTCGCACATTACAAGCGTTGCTGGATACAAATGCACTGAAGGATTACATCGAGGCCGAGGTGCCCCCGCCCGGAATGCCCGCTTTATCCCCCCAATCTTCCGATGCTGAGCTCGAGGCACGTATCAGGGCCGTCGGAGTCGCCCACTATCATCCATCCGGTACAGCCGCAATGGGCAAAGTTGTTGATCCAGACCTTTGCGTTTACGGGGCCGAAAACCTTCGGGTTGTCGACGCGAGCGTTTTCCCGGTGAGCGTCGGTGGCCATCCGCAGGCGACCTTGTATGCAGTTGCAGAACAAGCGGCAGAGATTATCCTCCAGGACCGACTCTAGGCAAACGGCTTGGATACCGAAGACACATACAGTATCGAGTAGTACAGTATGGAAATCTATTTTGTGCGCAATTCAATTAATTGTGTCTTAGATTGAAACGTTTTCTGCTTCCTTCGTCCCTTGGCTCTATATAATTCAAGGTTAGCATAATTCACTGTTATGCCGTACGGAGTATGGATAATTCTTGGCTTGACACAATTCCCTGTCTAAATGATCGAACACCGAAAGCAATAAAATCCTCGTCGTCTAAACTCAATTCTTCTTTGTGCTTCGTTCAACTTGAATTATTCGCGGTTTTTCCCCCTCCAACCTGCCAGGTCACTTCCAACGCGCAATTTACAGTCGACACAGCTGTAGCTAGCTTACAATCGTGTACACACTTGCTCAGTACACAGTCAATTTATGAATTAACACTAATGCAGCCCCAATCCTTCACAAAACGGCACCCCAGCGCCATTTACGCCACAACAATTTAGTGAGTAAGCAATCCTAGGGTCATAGTTAACTAAATTGTAAGGTTCTGAGAAGATTACCTTACCGACAATCGAACTAAAATCTCACCCTCCTGCTGAAGTCGGGACTCGGTTTCCCTGCATACTCCGGTGTATGGGTCTAACGTATGTAGTTAATTCCGCCAAGGTACTTCCGGCGATCTTGGCGCTGCTGGGCCGGGTAGCGCCGCAATATACCTGTTTCGGTAATTTTGATAGGCCCGTTCGGTTGGATGGGATTATGTGTTCTCCGTACTCCGTACCTTGGAGGACAATAGTGGAGTATGCCTTTTAATATGGTAAAGAGGGACATTATTATGGCCCTTCCTGTTCACTACGGAGTTGGCCGGATCTACTGTGAAAGGTGCTTTTACTGGCCTATGCTCTTTATGCTCGAGATTTGAGACTCAATCGTATGAGGATTGCCGATTGACCCATTTAGTAATGATTATCCTCGTCCGGTGTAGGTATCTTCTACGGCGTACGCTGCAAGGCTGGCGAGTACGATCGGCTTTACGGGTTGCCCATGTCTGATCGTGGACGATACTGGACACATGCCATATGCAAATTCTGAGGCTCAATGGCCATGAATCTGAATAACTATGTTTTATTTGAGTACATGTCTACACTGTGTAGGTAACAGGTTGCTAAGCTTCTGTCATCCGGTCTTCTCAGTCTCGGTGCAACATACTATGTCTTGTCCGAAGTTAATCTCGCAATAGTAGGTGGCAATTTGTAGTATATCGCGCGTTTGGTGGCGAAAGCGTGGAGATCTTGGGAGACCTTCCTCGCTTTCAGAAAGTATACACCGTAGGTACTCGGTATTCATACCTATCCTGTCGGAAAATGTAAGGTAACATTGCTTTTCGTCTGACACGTAATGGCTGGGTAAGCCTTGGACTTCGCATGCACGTACGGAGTATGAATTACTCTCCAAGTAATCACGATCCCCGGTGGGTCCAGCATCGGTCGACTCGTCCGGCTCACGTACGGAGTACGGAGTACTTCGTGCTTGGTAGGTATACTGTATTTATGTAACTGATCATACAAAGCACGGTTACTTCAAGAGGTCCATACTCCATAGGTCATCCGCCTGAGATCTCGACGACAGACAACGTACGCAGAGCTACCTGAGATTGTGTATTATTTTCCAATGGCATGTTGGAGTATAGTCATTTGTTGATTTAGCAAGGCCTTGATCACACAGGTCAGATACCACAAGCCGTAAGTGCGCCTATTGAACAAGATAGATTACTTTTCTTTCGTTTTCTCCATCTTCAAATGTTCCTTGTCATTGATTGTAGATTCGAGCTGTGTAAGGTATCACCCACAGGGCCGAGATATTCCCATGGGCTTTTTTCAACTCAATTTTCGAGTATGTATTAAGATAATATAAGTTGCCTCGTGCCTGCTTTTGGTTCTGTTGACGTTCTGATATTCTCGAAATTGACTACTAAAACATTGCCCTTTCTGATGATATCGATTAACAAATGGCGATATAGACACCTATACGTCTGGATACTACCTCTAAGGTATATCCGGACATCCTGGCGATACGCAACGATACCACCTTACCATACCTAGTAGGTATAGCGCTGTCGTCGAGTATTGTCACGTACTGAACCTTACCGAACGAGACTAATTCAAGACAGCTCCACTCTTCTGCAGATGTCCCCAATCTGATATTAAACCGTCCCCTGGAAGCCATTATTTACTATACGCAATCATGTCAGTCCTGTCCTCTCACGTTGTAAACAGTTCTTTCCAAGCGGAGACGAACTTGCGTTTGTCATCCGGTCAGCCCCCGGGCCACACCTCCGTCAAATCAGCTAGATCGCCGCATTGTCCAATCCGGATGTGAGCTTGAAGCAAATGCCTCTACTTACCCCCATAACGAACATGATGCACAACAGAAGCGACTCGGAGCCGAGAAGTAGCGGTCAGAGAGAGCCCAAGCAGCCGTCATCTTGAGAATAGTCAATCCTACCTTATCGCTAGGCGTCGTTGGTGCAACTCTACCGATCACATGTTCGTTTAGCGCATCGATTGTCGCCAGATATGAGCTTAAGTGGGTGATCTTGCATCTGCACTGTGATTTCATCTGCAGGTCTCTACTACTCTATCCCAGAATACCCCTCCCTCATAATGGTCCTAACCATGGCCTCTTCCCTCCGAACCAGCTCCCTCCACATTGGGCGCTCAATCGCTCGCTCTCCTTTCCGCCATGTCTCTCCCAGTCCTGGAATCCAGAGAAACATCAGCGCGGGCGCGTCTCGGCTCCATCCTGACTCCAAAGAAGACGACTCGACCAACGTGTGGAAGCTGACGCAAGAGGACCAAACCCGTTACTGGCAGGGGTACCTCTCCACGCGACCCAAATACACCGACTCCTTCTACGACCTCATCTACAACTACCACGCTTCGCAATCCAAGACGCCCTCGTTCGACGTCGCACACGATGTCGGCGCCGGACCAGGTCAGGTCTCGGTGAAACTGGCGGAGAAATACAAGCACGTTGTCGTGAGCGATAACAATGAGAACCACGTTGACTATGCGCGCTACGCGCTCTCGAAGACCGACGTCCCCGCTGAGCGGTTTTCCTATAATGTCGCGCTCGGCGAAGAGCTCGGGACCAAGTACCCGGCCAACTCGGCGGACTTGGTCGTTTGCGCGCTGATGTTCCCGCTCATGGACACCGCGACGGCGCTGCAGAGCTTCCGCACCGTGCTGAAGCAGAACGGAACCCTGGCTATCTGGTTCTACGGGCGTGCGCACTTCTCGGAGCCCGAGTACGCTGAGACCTGTCAGCCGGTGCTGGACGCTATCATCAACCACCATTTCGGTGGCGTCATCAAGGGCGGCGGGCCTGAGCATACGGCGGGGTGGAAGCGCGCGGCCGACGGCATCGCGAGTTGGTTGGATTATATCCCGTTTGCGCGGGAGGAGTGGAAATCTGTGCAGCGGCATAAGTGGAACACGGAGTGGACGCAACTGGGGTTCTTTGGTCAGGATGCGTGTAACTTCCCCGTGGAGCCGGTCAGCAAGGTCCAGGATGGGGAGGTTGTGATTGAGCGACAGGATCGGGATCTTTGGAGGAAGGATTGGAATCTGGCGCAGCTGCGTCAGTTTGTGCAGCATATCTTTCCATTCAATGGGACGGATGAGGAGCCTGTTAAGCCGCTGTGGGCGGAGTTGGAGAAGAAGATGGGCGGAGCGCAGGCTCAGCGGACGTTCTCGTGGCCGGTTGTTCTGGTTTTGGCTTCGAAGAAGTGATGTGGAAGTTAGCTAGGATCATATGAATGTATGTTTTTGAGAAGATATAGAGAATAGAGGGTGGGAATTGAATTATACCCAAACATCAACTCTCTAATGGGACTCTTCCCGCCAACAGCCTTTGATCAGATCAGCTGCGGAGCCTAACTAAAGCACCATATAAATCAAACAATGTATACAAAGAGCCCAAATCTAAACCATCATACCGAAGCATCCGAAGTCCACGCAAGCTTTCGGCTCACACATGGTAAGTATTATCACAAAAAGCCAAATCGCCATTCAAACACAACTTTTCAATCCCATCCGCAGATGTATACCGCATCGAACCACGCCATCACTTTACATTCATTCTGCAGCTGCACTCAGCATATCACTTCGACATCATACTCGGAGCAGTTATACGTTCGAATATAAGATTGGCGATTATGCTTTTTAATAGTGATCTTCTCAATATGTATCCTCTATATGTATCGTTCCACTCTCCGACCGCTCAGTATCACTCACTCACTCTGTCTATCCCTGCATCACTAGTGTTAGTTGCTCGTGGGTTGGAATAAGGTACATGCGCAAATGCTTAGCACAAATCTTATTTTTGTAACCAGGCTGGGTATGAGGATTACGAGATCTTTTACCCAGTTTCGGTCCTAATTTTTGTCAACATTCATTAACTAAACCTCAAAGTGCAGCTTTATTGTAGTTCCATCGGGAAAATCGGGTTCCGGGTTATTGAAATTCTCGCGTCCACAAAATGCACAGCAGACTGTAGAAGCACGACTTATTTCTAGAGCAAAGGACTAGAAAGGAAATCGAGTTCAGATGTGATCTAGTTCGACTCGTACAAGATCTGTAGCTTGTAGCATTTCATGGTCCTAAAAGCGGTTGTGAATGAATTTGCACTGGTGCAGGTTAGCTTCCGGTTTTCTGATCACCAAGTCTTCGTATTCCAGATTGTTGGTTGAAACTCATTCATCCATGGAAATGTCATATCTCAGTCTTGAGATCCCGAAAATTGAAGTTCACATTGGCGGTAGGAACGAAATAGAAGATAATCTGGGCGGTTCTACACAGTCTCGCTAGAATGTAAAGTGCAATGTAATGCCCTTCAAGATCTAAGCTATTATTTATATCTTTCTGTACAACTTGAACATAATGGTCAATTTGAAAGTAATGAGACCAGGGATTGACTTGGAGATAAACCGGGTGCGGGCTGGGGTTCCGCATATGCATTCAGAATAAAGTAGCCCTTCATGAGCTCAGCGATGCTTGGTTTAGTTCAATGTACTTGGTAAGATAATGAGGTTCTTTTTAAGGAAGTGTCATTGGCAATGGTTATTTGCAACAGACGGTTGGTCGTAACACGTTAGGGTTTTGGTGTTGGTCGATAGCGCTAGCTTGATTCATCTTGAGTTTTATATTTTGCTGAGACAAAGTTCCGTCAACGTGCTAATCTGTTAGAACATAAATAGAAAGATGCGGTGTGCGATCTCTTTTCCCTAAAGGGCAACATCATCTATATCTACTGATCTTATCAACGCCCTCAATTAAAACGGAGGAACTAACGGAACCCAATGCATTTGACCCACCGCAAGTCGCTTGACGAGCCAATGATGTATGACGCACACACTACCCCACTCCAAATGAATCTAGAATCCTGAATGGCAGACTTGGCTATGCAGTGGAGTTGATTTAGGGAACGTAAGAACGAGATCACAATGACAAGTCGTGGCCAGGCCGAACTGTTCGGGGTCGCAAATGAAGTCGTTGGTGCTCTACCAGAAGATAGGAGGACCTTTGATCGACTGTTGGAAGGTTTGCGGCAGTCTCGCGTTTATTGAGACACTCCTTTGACCGACGATCCGTCTCTTGAAACGGGATGTTAGCTCGACTCCTTGAACTGTGGATATGTCAAACACGGAACAGAAGGTCTGGAAGTCAATCAAGGAAGAGAACAGGGCGGCTCCCTGAAGTGGGGTTCCCTCCTGTAATATGTTGGATTTGCGAAACCATCTATTCTTAAGTCCCCCTGATCGCAGATCCAGTCGGGCTTGGCCTTGACCGCTATGTAAGCTCATGACGCAAGTGTGTTACTCTATACGCAACGATCATAAGGGGAGCGAGAGCTCCAGAGAAGGTACTTCTTCGATATTCATTCAATTTCGATCGCAATAGTAGCGAAGGATCTCGTGACGGTGTCGACAGAAGGGAGCTCGAGCATTGGACTAATAATCGCCTATCGGCAGAGTCTGGCGTGGCCAAGAGTGGGACATTCTTGTTCCATTATCGCAGAGCGTGGGTTGGCGAATCAGACGAGAAGTCTGGGTGGGACGGACGACCCCCGTATGCTTAAAACTGCAAAAGAAATTAAGCAGCTATTCCATCATCGGGGTAGCGTCGGGCTCAGCCACCACGGAGAATCGAAAGCGACGGGGTAATCGAAGTAACACGAAGGTGTTGTCGAGAGGGGAAGGACTGGTTAATCAGGGGGAGTCAATAATAAGATACAGAGTAGGATCGAAAAAGAACAACCCGTGTCCACCAGAGACGTGGAGTAAGAGAAAGTTGAAGTTAACTCCCAGTGCAAAGAAAGAAGACGCACAGTGGCAACGGTTGACACCTCAGGCCACCACCCCCTGCTGACCTTCTCCGGGCGGCACTTCCAGGCCACTTCCAACTTCCAATCAACTCTGCCATTCTTCTCTGGCTTCCATTCATTCCTTCTTTCCTTGCATTCATTCGTTTTCCTACTGCAGTCCCCTCCTTTAGCCTATCTGACTTGCGATTTTCCCAAAATTGCTGCCTGCATCTGATTGTCAACTCCCGATTAGTCGCTGGTCGCAACTCTCTTGATCTTCCTATTCCTCCTTCCCCCTCCCTAGGCAGCCTTCTCCTACTCCTCCTTGAGACTTGGCTCCTCTTCACAAGGGAAATTGACCAGAAAGCAACGAAGGAAGGAAGCGATGCTCCAACCAATGCTTTGAACTCGCGGAACCTGTTCGACTGCGTGTGTCGCTGTCATCGGAGATTTGGAGCTTTCTGCTTCTTTGTCTTCCATCCCCACTGTTTCCTCTTCGCCTCTTCGCCCGCACCGCGGTCTCTAGCGTCGGTGACGCTGTTCTTTCACCATGTTGCTAAAGCCCGCGACACCCTTAACAATTCTTCTTTTAATCGCTTTTGTGCTTCTAATTCTCTCTGTCATCTCGACCCCTATCGTCAAAGGTATTCCGTTGGCAACCTTCGAAGATGTCGACTACGGAGTTTTCGGTTATTGCAAGCGCGACCAATGTACCAATATCCATGTTGGTTACAATAATGGTTGGTTTCTCTCGCCAGTCTCGCCCGATACTTCAAATTGTAACTAAGTAACCTCCCAACAGATGACCTCAGCAGCGCCGGCACCGATGACGACTACTACCTCCCAGCGGGTACGCGCCGATCGCTCTCTTCGATCTTAATCGTGCACCCAGTCGCCGCTCTTCTTACGCTAATCTGTCTCTGCATGGCCGTGGCGGCCCATTTCCACAGCCCGTCGCATTCTCCTCGATACCTCCTTGCCCTCTTGATCCTGTTGCTCCCAACCCTTCTCGTTACCCTGCTCGCTTTTCTGGTGGATATACTGCTTTTTGTTCCGCATCTCGGATGGGGCGGTTGGATTGTGCTCGGTGCGACCATCCTTCTCGTCACCTGTGGGGTCGTCACATGCGCAATGCGCCGGACTCTTGTCAGTCGCAAGGCACGAAAGAGGCGCATTGCAGAGAATGCCGAAATGAGCGGTGAAAACTTTTACAATCGACAGAACGCAGCGGCCGCAAATCCCGCCATGAACCCTCCTCCCCTGCCCCTTAGTGAAGAAACAAAAGAGCCTTTTGTCAATGGATCTCCTCCGGGCTCGGAAACAGGCCCAACATTTGCGACCTTCCGCACTACTACGCGCGAGAGCGACGACGATCGCACACCTCTCAACTCACGAACGCCTCTTAGCGATGCTCCTATGCCTCCGGATAACCACCCGCCTGCTCCGATGCGAGATGATCGAGCTGCCTACAACGTCCCACGCGATGAATACGGAAACCCGCTTCCCCCAGCTGGTCCAGGACCGAGAACGCGACCGCCTCCCGGTGATCCGCGCTTGCGCAATCAATATTCGGATGGTAGCATGGGGTCACGCAGAGGCGCGCCTCCGCCGGGTGTAGGCCCACGTGGCCGAGGTGGATACCCTCCTCGAGGAGGCTACGGCCGCGGAGCACCGTATGGAGGACCCCGAGGACCCCCTCCAAGCGGCAGGGGTGGCCCGATGGGCCCGATGCGAGGTGGTCCCCCTGGCATGATGGGTCGTGGAGGATACCGTGGTCCACCGCAATTTGTCTACGGTCCTGGACCCGGTCCACGGGGAATGCCCGCAACCGAAGAGGATGAGTACGAGTACGGAGGTCATTCTCCTGGAGGCACCATGCGTCGGCCATCCCCCGGGCCGATCGGCATGGCCATGTCGCCGGACTCCGGAGCACCCATTGGCCAAGCGATTGAAATGACACCGCAGCCGAGACGGATGGGCTCTGCAGACCCGGAACATCAGGAGGCCATGCTTGACTCGCAACCGCATGCCTTGTCCGCTGATGGGTATCCGGAGCCGGTCAGCCCTTCGAGCCTTTATAGTCGAACAGCGTAAGTTTCCTTCCTGTGATTTTGAGTCTTTTAAGCTGATGTCCTTGCAGATCATACGTTCCGGCGCGTAACGGCTGGGGTCCACCGGAGCCACGCTCTGGTCCCTCACCATCACCTGTCCATGCTTATGGAGCAGCTCGACGACCCTCACCACACATTCGATCTGGGTCGGGCGACTACTTTGAAGATGCCGATCCTCGTTTTGCTAATCGTAATGAGCCTGCAGGAGGCAACTCTGGGTTGCCATCTGCTCTGACACCGGGTAATGGTGAGCCGAAACCAATAGAGGAGGACATGGCTGAAGGCCCTTGCTCACCTACTACTAGCGATATAAGCCATTTTACGTCCATTTCTGAGCGACCCATCAATCCACGCTGGCGTCCGCCACTCCCTGCGCAGCAGAAACAGAACGTTTTGCTAGAGAACAACCCCGATTTCGATCTGCGGGCTGGCATGGGACGGGGCGGTGGTGGAGTGGCAGGTGGAGTTGGGGGTCGCATGCCATTGATGCCGATACCTCGAGAGACTACGAGATACCCTATGCCCTGAACATAATGCTCGTGTACTGTGCTTTTTCTTCTCCTTTTGTGATTAGAGGTCACAAATCTGGACTTCAACTCAAGGAAAACGGAGTTGTGGAGTTCAAATTATCTTGAAGATGGCATTTTCTTTCTCCAGGCATGTCCTGTTTTTTCAGTTCATTCTCTTTCTCGTTTGTTCAAATCCTGCATTATACATAAACTATTTGCGATTATACTCGCGCTTATGGTTAAGCAGTCTGGTAATGTCTGGAATGGACCATACCTTGTACAGAGTCTTGACATGGACAGAAGTCGGACAGAAGCTGTTAGTATCCCTGTCAGTGTCTGATTCGGTTGTTTTCTTTCATTGTCCATTCTGTCCAAACTCTTATTCTTGTTCTTCTATCCTCGGTCTGTGGAGAGGTCCATGGATTGAGTCTACACTGTTCCTTTTCTGTTCTGGAAATTTGAGACCATCTTCTCATTGCGGTGCGATGAATATCATTCTTTCAATACTTTGACTTACAGTTTCAATTTGGACTTGTCCGCCATCTATATCTTCCTATGGATCTTATTAAAACTAAGGTACTGTCTCAAGTGTTATATTACATTGACACTGAATTGAGAAAGGTAAACAAATAATCATTGGGTATGTACTTAACCTAAACCAAAAATAAAAACACTTCGAGCTATTAAGACCTACTACAATCCACATTCCCCCTAACCCACTCTACACAGCACCCAACCCAGTCAAATCATTGATACATCATCTTCGAATGTCCCTCCAACTCATTCACCTGCCGACTACCACTCAACTCCGCCGCCATATCCTCCCCCGGAAGCTCAACCCACTCTTTCTGCGTCCCCGACTTCATCTCCATCTGCTGAGAGTGCGTCTGCGCTAGAGGCGACGAATCACCGTAATACAGCATCGACTGCTGTTGCTGTGTTGGCCCATGGGCTTGCGGGTATTGAGCTGTAGCTCCGAAGCCGGTTTCTGCGCCGCCGTGCGACGAGCTGGGTGGTATCGAGCTCGGGGATGGGTACATGTTCTGCGGTGGTGGTGGTGGCGATGCCTGGGATGGATTGCTACCAGGAAGAGTCGTGTTTCCGCGTCGAGCTCGACGTCCGAGGTAGAAGAATCCGGCGCCGAGGATGCTTAGGCCGGCTACTATGGCTATCACGATGCCTGCGATGGCGCCGCCAGAAATGGCTGATCCGTTTTCGGTGTCGGATGACGCTGAACTCGAAGCACTGGCTGTAGCTGTAGCTGACGCTGAAGCCGCAGCTGTCCCTGTTGTTGACGTGGTCGACGCTGTAGAAGTAGAAGCAGACGAAGTCGATGTACTCGTAGAGGCCGTCGCTAAAGCCGTGGACATCGGCCCCGACCCATCGCCATAATCAACCAAATACGAGCGCAGATCCTTGCTCGCCTTTTTCCGCCACACGTCGGGCGTCGTATACCCTGCGTACTCGCCGGTGCAGTTCTCCGTGGCCCAGACGTAGAGGTTGTAGTTGTCGTTTTCGGGGTGGAAGTCGAACTCCTGGCCCTTTGCTTGGTCGATGTTCGTGCAGGGGATTGGGTCGTGGCTGTTTTTGAGGAAGCTGGATGAGGAGGCGTTTCGCCAGGTGAAGGTCCAGGCGGAGGTTGTTGCTGGGAGGACGGAGAGGAGGAGGGGGAGGAGAGGCTTCATGATTGATTCGTTTGGTTGTGGTGTGGGTATGTTTTGTTATGAGGGTTGAGGCGTGTGTGTATGTCTTCGTAGATGTGGAGGAATGTAGGTGGACTCCCCCCGTATATGTACATCTGGTCGACCCTCCCTCCCTCCTGTCAGATACGAGTGACTAACAGTGAGTGATTGACACATCGCGACCCTAGGCCTGGCACTAGCAATCTAGTCACCCCAGCTGGGGCAGAAATCTAAGGTCGTATTCCCACTCTCGGGAAGAGATGGTGAGACGATCTCTAGAAAGTGCTAGGACCGGTCGTATTAGGGTTTCTTGGGGCGATGATTGATGCCCTGTCAGGAGAGGATTGGCATTTGATTGCTGCAGAGCAGAGATTGGTCCCACCTCGTCGGGATGGAATAGAGTTAAATCTCGAGCCTTGTCTTCTGGCATGTGGATAGGAAAGGCTGTGTTCGTGGCTGCCATGTTGGCCTTAGGGCTTTGTTTGCCTGATTTATACAGTAACCCTACTGCCACCAGAACATCGAAAGTGACACCCACGAGAACCCCTCAAAATTCCCACAATCGAGACTAAATGAATTTATAAATAAATCTACACTCACAAACCCCCATGCCAAGCCAAACGGGATCCCTGCAGACTCGCCAATGCTCATGATTGGCCCCATCGCCAAAGTAATACGAGGTGATGCTACAACGATCATCTCTTCCTGGACGCAATCACGTTGCGGCGGGTGGAGCCTAAACAGATGACCCGCGAAGATCAACATCGTCCCTGGACTAGAAATTTCCGGTGGGACGTTTGCCTGGTCCCTAGGTTTTAGATTTGTTGCCTTGAGCATGATGTTTCCTTGAGACCTGAGGACTGCCTTTATGGCGGCACTGTGGTCTTGATATACTCAGCCTTGAGGTTGGGGCTTTTGAAAGGATCAGAATTGGTAGAAGGCTGTGATTTCGGCCTTTGAGTCTTGAAATTGTCTACCTTAGAGTGATGTGCTTTCCGAGAGAAGAATTTGCAGGCAACTCGAAGTGTAAGAAAAGGGTTATTTTCATGAGGCCTATGGAAAAAAGAATACGCTTTAGCCTGGGGGTATGAAGAAAAAAAGACACATGTTTGGATTTGCTTCGCACAACGGGTTTGCTGGTTAATTGTAGCCGTGTGCATTCAACGCAGGATGACTCCATAGCAAGCAACGTTATATATTTTCGGGAACCGATTCACGGGTCGCGAACGGAATAATAGAAACCTAGGAAAATAGAATGGATTGACCCAATTACTGCTACCGTGGATTGACACGGCACCGGATAGCCTGCGAAAAGGAAAAAAGTTAAAAAATCCGATAATTAACGTAGCGATTAATATCATGTCTCTTGTTGCTGATTCCATTGTGGGGACAAGCCGCAATAGTAGAAACAAAAAATGAAAAATGAAAAAGTTAATGCTCACACTCGGATTCGAACCGAGGATCTCATGATTACTAGTCATGCGCTTTACCAACTAAGCCATGCGAGCGATTGTTGAATGTCGGGCTTTATTATTGTCTGATAGAGCAATTTGAATTGCAATGAGATCTAACTCTTAAGATCTTGTGTTCTGGAACTGTTCAGGGCTTCTTCTTCTTCTTCCTCTTCAATTTGACCCTCGTTCTTATTCATGCTCTTCAAATCCCATTTTCTTTTCAGTAAAGAAATCCATCTCCAAGGTCGTCCGCCGCTCTCTCTACCGTATAGCTTCACTTCAACTTCGAAGCTACCTATCACGCAAAGCTAAAGTAAGCTTCAAAAGTACATCTCCCAGCTAGGGCCACTATGTAAGCCACACACCTACTCCTAAAAGCCCTCTTAGCTGGCATTTAATAAACTCTCTACCTCATGGTGCTCTTATCGAGGCACTCAGAATAGGCCAATCTACGCTCATAGCCTCGTAGAAGAGTCCAAGGCCACGAGAGGAAAAACCGAAGGCCTTTATGAACGTGGATCTGAATAGGGTACCTTGGATAGGCTAATATAAGAAGTGAGTTACAATGCTACATCCTTCCGACGCTCCTGATCTACGAAGTCTGCGCTCACTGCAAGGCTTCGAGTGTATGCTGTGCAACCAAGAACCAGAAGCCCTTAGTATGAGTACCTCAAATTCATCTGCTCACTGTTCTCCGAGACCAATTACTACCAGAACTATAACGAGCATCTTTTGGTTAAGCTTGATTGCGAATGTTCTAGACTCCTTTGTATTATCCTTATAAATAATTGGCTGAGGTTCGGACGACTCGGACAGCCCTATCTATTTCGGAAATCGGACGACGTTGGAATCCGAGAGGCCCGACACGTTATAAAACTGGGCAATTGATCTCTCCTGAACCCTGTGACTTTCACTCTACCTTACATACTACGTCTCTCATTTATAAAGTTGACAATTCGCAAAATGGCCGAAAAGGCAGCGGTTCAAGATGACCAACAAAGCTATCCATCGCCAATGAAATTGGCCGTAATCATCACATCTCTCTGCCTTGCAATATTTTGCATGGCACTGGTCAGTACAATGAAAACTCCCTGAACTCGATCAAAGCTCACTGTCCCCTCATTGTCTACATAGGATAATACAATCATCGCAACAGCCATTCCTCACATCACCGGTCAATTTCACGCTCTTGACGACGTCGGTTGGTACGGAAGTGCCTATCTCCTGACAACCTGCTCAATGCAGCTGGTCTTTGGGAAGCTCTTTACATTCTACTCTATTAAGATAGTGTTTCTTCTGGCGTTGACCATCTTCGAGATCGGATCTTTGATATGCGGCGTGACACCGAATTCATTAGGTCTCATACTTGGTCGCGCGGTGGCCGGGATCGGGGCAGCGGGCCTCTTTTCCGGTGCTATTCTGATCATCGCAAACTCGGTTCCGTTGGGGAAAAGACCCCTATATACCGGATTAATTGCCGCTATGTACGGAATCGCAAGTGTTGCAGGACCGTTGTACGTGCAGCTAGTTCTACTATTGGTTCACCGGGGACACGGGTTGACATGGCGTCTAGGATGGGTGGAGCTTTCACGGATCACGTCTCGTGGCGTTGGTGCTTCTATATCAATCTTCCCATCGGCGGTGTCACATTTCTTTTCTTGCTATGCTTCTACCGTCCCCCTTCTTCACGAGCAACATCAACTTTATCCCCCTGGGAGCAGCTCCAGCAGTTCGACATCGTCGGCACAATCTTGTTTATTCCATCCATCATATGTCTCCTTTTGGCGTTGCAATGGGGTGGTCCAGCCTACGAGTGGAGCGATGGAAGAGTCGTCGCCTTGTTTGTTGTTTTCGGATTGCTGATGATTGCCTTCCTGGGCGTGCAACTCTGGCGACAAGAGAACGCCACGCTCCCGCCACGGATATTCGGAAATCGGAATGTCTGGGGAAGTTCTTCCTTCGCTTTCTTCCTTGGGGCGACTTTCTTTGCCCTAGTCTACTACGTGAGTTTTCTCACCTCCGTCCTCCGTCATACCGCAATTGACACTGACCGAATAGCTTCCTATCTGGTTCCAAGCAATCAAAGGCGTCTCGGCCGTGAAATCAGGCATTATGAATCTCCCTATGCTCCTTGCTCAGGTCCTACTATCTATTATAGCCGGAGGATGCGTGACCCAGTTCGGCTACTACACCCCTTTTATGATTCTGTCATCTTGTCTCATGGCAATCGGAGCAGGGCTTCTGTCAACCTTCCACCCTGACATAGGCAGCGGCAAATGGATTGGGTATCAGATTATTTTCGGCGCCGGAGTAGGAACGGGCATGCAGCAGTCCTTGATCGCCGTCCAATCAGCCCTTCCACCCGCCGACGTGCCCATCGCGACAGCTGCAGTCATGTTTTCGCAAACGCTTGGCGGAGCTGTATTCATATCTGTGGCGCAGAACGTGTTTACGAACGCTCTCTTGCAGAATCTCGCCGGTATACCAGAGATTGTACCACAGGAGGTGGTCAATATCGGTGCCACGGATTTGACAAATTCTATCCCGGCAGACGTGCTGCCTCGGGTTGTTTCTGCTTACAATAATGGCCTTGTAGATGCCTTCTATGTGTCAACTGCTGTTGGGGCCTTGTCATTGCTTGGTGCATTGTTCGTGCAGTGGAAGTCTGTGAAGGGTTGAGAGGTCTTTATCAGTTTTCTTTTGTGCCGTTCTAACGTACAATTTGAGAGAGCTCGGGGATCGGGGTGAAGCCAATGGGTTGATACTGAATTAATTCCAGTCTTTGCTGTGTGTCTTTTACTCGCTTCAATTTGCTTTTCCTCTGACATGTGTGCAATAATACAAGATAATCTGGCGATTGTGTAAGAGGTTGCAAAATCAATGATGGCTGGAAATCCGGTACAACTATACACATGTAAGCAAATACTGAGTATTCTACAGATGAAAAAGGGCATTACCATAACAGAAAAGATGATAGCCGTGTTAGACTTCAGAACTGTGCTGCGGAAGTGGCATGTCGAACCAGTCCAATGAAGGCTGAAAATCAAACAATTCCCACATCAGGCTCTCTTCTACGCCGCCTGCATCTCCTACATTTGCACTGTTACCCAGTAAAGAACGCGAGTCATTCGCTGCCAAATTCTCAGAGAAATCTTGCTCTATCAAGGGAGCACAAAGAACGAGAAAATGATGGAAGAGGCCGTGCACTTTGTGAATCCACTCATTGGCATGCATGAATCGAGACATGTATTGCGTGACTTTGTGCATCAGGTCGAAATCAGGCTTGTGGGAAGACGCCACCACATTGCAGAATAAGACAAAGTACGCCGTGAGTGGATAAATCAAGACAGTCCTGTTGTTTTGGTAAGTATATGTCGGTAATGTGGGAGGTTTTCGGCTTACCAAGTCAGAAAAGACGGGTATTGATCGGCTGTATCCGGTTGTTTTTGATCTTCGCGATCCAGCATCGCAGCTAGAACAGTGAGTGCCTTCCTAGCGCTCTCGAGGCATCTATGATGGTAGTCACTGCTCCACCGAGAGCATTTAAAAGCGTTGACTAACACTGCTGCGTGCCCGAATTCGGCTGCATCAAAGTCAAGTCGCAATTCTGGTGGCATAGATGACCGGGTCTAGGAAGTCTGTTACTGTATGAACTTTGAAGAGTAAAAGCAGGCTTACCTCTCTGATGAAGTTCAACAGGGAATCAGCGGACTCTATGATTCTATTGACCTGAGATTTGTCGGCCATAGTATCCTGACTCAATTGCAATTCCAGCACCTGCTCTTGGACTTTTGCCATTTCCATCACTACATTCACAGTTGATTGGAGGGGATTTGAAGAATTGGCAGGGGCTAAGGAAGCTGGATCAATACGCAATATTGGAAGAGAAGGTTGTCGTACGAAGAGGCTGCTCAAAGTCCTATCAAGGCAATAACACCAGTAGAGACTGGCGCGGGTTTCATCGTCAAGCTCATGGGCAGACTCCACAGTATGTAAGTTGAGCGACATCAATGTACGGGAGGCATAAGCTGTGAGACGCCAACTGTACGACATGTCCCCCAAATATTGCATCAGCATGGCCTAGGAGGTTAGCATTGCGTGGCGAGAAGAAGATAGCGTGCACCTACACCCGAAAGGAGAGCCTGGACAAGTGATAGACTGGGAGGTGACAGAAAGGGCAGACGACTCAAGGATGCTAGTGCAATGCTTTTGTATTCGTTTTGAGACTGTTTGAGTCTCTGGCGAATTGCATTGCTGTTCCGGGACTGAGGCGACTTAGACAGAAAGACGAAAGCCTTCGAATACACGCACACGCGGTAGTGAAGGCAGATTTGGTCGTCACTTTCATTCTCAATCAAATAGAGAATCATTCTCTCGAGTGTTGGTCCTGAAATATGATCTGGCCAATGAAGCTTTCGCCGACTGTATTCGTTTGCGTCGAAAATCCCTACATTGGAAGTTATTAGGCGATGATACGGGCCTGCACTAACCATTGCCTACCTGGAAGCATTGTGTAAAGTAGCTCAGGAGCCGTTGATCTAAATGGCAAAGCCCCCTCTAGGTCTGAGCGAATCCAATTGGATTGCGAAGCGAATGAAGTATGCGAAAAACCGGCAACAAAGTCTAGAGCAGCTCTTAGGACATTCTTGCGATCTTGTGCCATGCCATCATTGTGCGCGAGCTCATTTTGGATGTAATGACGGGCTTCTGTATCCCGATGTGAAGACTCGATAGGAGTCGCCACAAGCGATGAGATATTTGAAGCGTCTGTGTCCCTGTTCCTCTGGGACAATGTTCCGGTTGGCCCCGGGGAAGATACCGAGTGACTATTTCTGCTTAAGATTAATGCTCATAACCTTGAGTTATCTCTGGGAAAGCATACTCAGGTGAATGCTGAGTACTCTTTTCAAGCTTCTCCAGTCTTTCCTTTAGAGCATCGAATCTTCTTTATCGTCAGGTACGTGTATCTATCCAATGATCATTAGGTTCTTTACCTAGATGCTCGAGGGCGAAGAGATCTCTGAGGCCGAGTCCGGCGGCACTCCGCATTGGAAAGTCTGCAATTTTTACAATTTTCTGCACGATCACATTTCACCTGAAGGAATTTTGTCAGGAAACCCGGGGAAATCAGTCACTCTGAATTGAAGACTGACCTTCCGTGCATGGCACAAATCGCACTTTAGATAATGACGTCAGTGATGGAACGTATTATCCGAAGCCTAGATACTTACTGCTGGCCTAGCAAAAGGCCTTGACCGGTGTTCTTCCATGATATTGACATCCGAAAATAATCGGAGACGCTGCGTGACGTTTCGTGGAAGGTCCAAGAGGTCCTGGAAGAATTCATGGAAACTTTCGGGTTTCGGATTCGGAAGTGGTCCGAAACACCGAAACACCTCCGTACGCCGAACATTTCCATATAGTCTACAGGTATCCTTGAACATGTTTCTGTGATTTCAGGACGAGGACGATGTTTGTGTTAGTTCATCACAACGCTCAAAAAGATTCAATTGATCTATGAATTTCTACAGCCTGCAACATCCCGACTTCGAGTTAACATCATCGCCTCCATCGACCAACACGCTCCGATTCTTCTCCTGTGTCGACACAGCAACATCCAGACCAGGGTTTCCGGTGAAGAAATTAGCAGGCTTCAGACCAACAGTCATCTTATCCGACGGCATGACCGGCCAGTCTTCAATTCTAGGGTTATGCGTAGAGCCAAACGTATGCCAAATGACGATGTCCTGGTTTCGCACAGAGGATTGCTCGGTTCCTGCACGCTTTGCAATAGCACTGGCAATCCCGTCACCCCCAGTCGACTGCATGGTATGACGACCAGCCGGAAAATGCTCTTCATCGTTATAACGCGTGACCCAAACCGCGTGCTGTCCGAACTCAGAGCGCTTGGCATGGTAGGACTCCGGGTGCGCGAGTAGCATCTGGCTGTAGGCGGGAAGCAGCTTGAAGCCAACAGGGGTTCCGGTCACCGGGTTGATGACGTTCTCGTTGATGATTTTGAAGGTGCGGTTCTTGGTGAAATCCAGGTCCAGGCCGCCCTCTTTGTCCACGATGGTAGAGCGCGTGACGTATCCCACGCCGAAGGGGTTGTTATAGGAGTTGATCTGGGCTTGGGATTTGCTGTGATGGTCAAAGCTAGACACGTCAACAGGCATCGCGTGGGATTCTTCCACCTGCAAGGAATTGCCGTGTCCGTCGAGTGCAGGGTCCATGCGAAGGGAGAACAGATGCTGGTGGTACGGGGCCAAGACGCCGGGCGCGACGATGGTGCCGTACGGAACTTTATCGCCAATATCGATTGGGGTAGTTGAGAGGATGCCGGTAGCGCGGACTTCGTAATGAATCGATGCGTCCTGGCCAAATTGGAACGCGAAGATGTATTCGTAGTTGCTCACTGTGATGATAGTTTGCAAGACGAGAATCCGAGAGCGCGTTACCACAGCGTTCTGGGTCCGGAAGTTGGTGTGTTTCCACAAGATCCCGTCATCTTGTTCATGGCAACAGATTACGTTCGAGAGCTTGACTGGGTCTCCTGAGGTAGTAGTGTGCCAACCATCAAAGTATTCGATATGGCCCAGACAGTCGCAACCCAGACGTAGGTTGTTGGCGTTGATTCCCGCTCCATCGTTACCGAGGTCAAATGCCGCTTTGCGTGGGTATGGCGTTCGAGGGTCTCCATATGGCACAAACATCTCTGCCAGAGACAGGCGGTAAAAGAGGCTGCGGTTATCGTAGCGAATGTCGTGGAGGGTAAGGCCTTCTCGGTAGTTGAACCCGATATGCATGGACCACTTTTCCCATTCCAAGAAGTTCCCTTGTGTCTTGAAGGAAGGGCCTTCAGGTTGCACAACCTGGTACGGCTTCGTCGTCGTCCGAGGAGAAGGTCTCAATCCAGGGTTGTACTCAGCTTCCGCTCCATGAATCTTGCGGCGGTCAAACGGCTTTGGCCTGTCATGGATACGCTCTTCGGGGCCAGAAGGCAATTGGTAAATCTTAATGACTTTCAGTTGCTCCGATACCTCCGCGCAGATATCTAGCGGATACGCATAGTAGTTGGCGTCGACATCGTCTACCAAGCGCATGTAGAACCAGCACTGTGTCTCTCTTTAGCACTTGCTTATTTGCACCACTTTAATATAACTCCGATTCCGACTTACCATAGTAGTCCGCTGTGACACATCCTTTGTACCATCTGTAGCGAACGCCCATGCCTCGACAATCACCGAAGCCCCATCCGGTAGTTGCAAGTGAGTAATCTCTTCCTGAACTTTTGGATCTGCCAAGCAAGCCTTCTCCACGGCTTGCATATAGTCGGAGTCAATATAGGGATGCTTTCCGACCAGATGTTGCTGTTTGAGAACAGCATCTTGGTCCAGGTCGACCCAAAGTTCAATGAACTTGGTCGCCGGTTCACCGGGCAGAACTGTCTGGACGCGAGCAACTCTTGCAGGTCTCTTGCATGCGGTTTCTCCTCGATGCTCGTGCTCCAGGAAGGGAACCATCTCAGCCTTCGAGGGCTCTTTCAAAGTAATAACTCGAAAGTTGGGCGTTCGTCCTGGAAATTCGCGGCGTACAATAGTTGCAGCCTGTGCGATACTGTCAGGTTTGGTTGATAGAAAGTGTCATGTGTCTTTGCATACCTTTGCGATTTCCCTTGGAGTCAAAGGGTCAAAAGGATGGTTGAACGACATCGTTGCTAAAGAATTGGAAACGCGGCGGTCGTGAGCCGAATGGTTGTGTTTCTTTTACATGAGGTACGAAAGATGAAAGAAAATTCTTTTAAATAATGAAACTGGGACTTCTGAGTGTGGCGAGGAGAAGGAATCGAGATGTTCGCAAAGGTCAGTTTTACGCGAAGCTGTTTCTGGGCTTCCATGAAGGTAAGGATTAACCGGGCCGTCGACGCAAGGACGGTCGTAGCTTTGGTCCCGAGCGTTCCACGGCCTAGCGAGACCGGAACTTCCGCGCGGAAATCGCATGTGGGGAAGGGGGAAAACACTAACGTAAACCACAAGCGAGTCGCGAATCTGAGCGAGCCGCGAATTTGTATTCCCATACAATTTGGCACTTTTCAACTTGGAGTATCTCCACCATACCTCTATTCTAAAAAAATATATTAAAGACCTGAAGTATTATATAGGTAAGTAGTATAATATCTTTTTTATATAATAAAGAAACCTATGGGAGTCTTTAATACATAATTAATACATAACCAGCTTTATAATACAGTGTAATTTATAATACCTGGACAATTAGCCTAATAAATAGATTAAAATTTAGTACATTATCGTTAAATAGTGTCATATAATTCTAGTTTTAAATAGTATCTTATACGACATAGAAATGGCTGAGATATCCCGAGTTCAAAAGCGCCATTTTGTATGGGAATACAAATTCGCGGCTCGCTCAGATTCGCGACTCGCTTGTGGTTTACGTTAAGAGCAACTAGATTACGATATTGTTAGAAGATAACCTCGATTACTAGTGGGAGAAAGGCCGAGCCAATCACGGCATGAAGATTGTTTGCTTATCTGTAAGCATTTAGGAAAAATTGGCGTCTGCCTCTGCTCAGAGGCAACAGGAGAAAAGCTCTATCAAGTGGCCTTGTAGAGTATGAACTCTGTAGGCTCTACACTATAGGCTATAGGCACAGAAAGGCAAAGTGAAACTACACAGGGGAGATGGTCAGGACGAATAATGAGGTAATTCCAGTCACAGGAAGAGACAACCGACAACAGTAGAATGTGCTGCCATCATTGTCCTTCTCCCTTTTGCCTTGCTATCCACAAATCCTTCAAGACCTATCGTCATACGAACGACTTAATCATTGATAAAAAGAGCAAAAAAACTCTGATTTTCTGCAGCCTCATAGCTTCGACTTGACCTCCCCAGTCGCCTTGAAGACCCTATCGATCTCAGCCGTAACTTCTATAAGCTCCTCATCATCAAAGGGACGTCCAACAATTTGTACAGTAGACGGCTGATTGGCGAAAAGTTCCGCATCATCTAGCAAGACAATATATTAGCAACCATCCGCTGATACGATCGAAAGGTAGTTAGTCTTACACATTGCCTGGTATTCCCTGTCATACGGATTCGTTGTCAAAGGCTGATACGTGGGGTCGAGGCGATCAATGCGCGGATCAATCTTGAAATCGGCAATGGGCAGGATAGTGGATGGGTAGTCAAGGAAGTTGAACATCGACGCGTAGCCCCAGTATGCGTTGAAGTCGTGCGGTGCGCCCGCCGAAGGTGCCACGGGACAAATCAAGGCGTCCATGGGATGGCCGGACTCGGTGAACTGGCTTGTCTTGTTCCAGGCATCTGTGAATTGGTCTTTGTATTCTCCCATTTTTAGGTTCAGCTGGAAGATACTTTGTTAGTATGGCGTCGCAGAAGGAGAATAGATGGAGAAGGCCATACATGACAAAGCTGCAGAGCGGTAAGGTGGCGTGCATTGTAGACCTTCAGCAGATTGGCAAAAGCCGGGATGAGTGGTTCTCCGGTGGGTTTGAGCTTTGCAAGCGTTTCTTCGCCCGCTTCTTGGAAGTAGATATCAAACTAAGACTAGTGTCAGCTAATCAAACTTGAATACGGTGGAAGTTCTCATCTCCTACCGTGCATTTTGCGAGCTCCCAGCAATCGAATGGTGGCTTGAACTCGATGACTGTATAAATTAGAGGAATTCGTAATAATCGTTGTAGGTTGAGAAAAGCAGAATATGCTACCTTCAAATCCGGCTTTACTGAGGGCCTGTTTTGTATGTTCCATGGCTCTGAGAACAGGTGGTTGAGGCATAACCACACCGTCCCATTTCATAATACCAACCACTAGCTTCCTTTTAGGCAGTGACACATCTCGCCAGGGAACAGGGACAGCAGAAACATCATATCTGTTGGACGGATCCGTAGTTAAAATTTCAGTAAACATCCGGACGTCTTCGACCGAATGACAGACAGGGCCAGCTGAATCTCGGATTGACATCTGACCCGTCTTTGTTCCTCCCCACCTGGCTTTAGGGACGCGGAGCGAGGTGGGACGAATGGCATACAATCCATTGAAAGCAGCCGGGACACGAATCGAGCCGCCAATATCCGATGATGGAGCAATTGGACATCCTTTCATAGCAACTAGAGCACCATCTCCGCCAGAGCTGCCCCCAGCCACGAGCTTGGTGTTGAACGGGTTCAAAGTGCGGCCCCATAAATTACTGACAGTTTCCAGCACCATGCCTGTTTGAGGCATGGTGGTTCTACAGAAAAAGACGGCACCTGCAGCGCGTAGCGTTGCCACGAGAGCAGAATCATGATCTTGGATGTCATCCTTATTCACGACATACCCCCGAGTAGTCGGGTGGCCTTTCACGTTGTAAGTATCCTACATGAAGTCAGAGTAAGCCTGGAGTGAAATTAAGAGTTGAATGTCTACCTTCAATGCCACAGGAACGCCATGTAAGCCCCCTAGGGGTTTGCCTCCTTTTTCAAGGATGCTATCCAGATGTTGAGCCTGTCGCATCCCCTCTTCCAGGAACCAATCAGTGAGACAGAAGACCTGCAATTCTGTAAGTATATTATCCCTATGTCGGAACATCCAAGCCAACTGACCAATTGGTGGGAAATAGCGGCACGGGCAGCAAACGCCTCCAAAACTTCTACTGCTTTCAACTGGCGAGATGCGATTCGCCTCGCCAATTCTGTCGCAGTGAGCTCCGTAATCTGAATCTGGCGCTGACTCAATATTCCACATGTCTTTGGTATGTGCGACACATCTGTTACGGAGGCATATGCTTCGGGGTCAATCCTCCACTTGCTAGGGAGAGAATTCAATAAGTCGGCCTGGGCCTTTTGCGACACAGCCTCCCACGACATTGTGATGAATATGCGATGCTGAACTGATATGTCATTCCGGTACCAAACTCGACGAGAACTGATTGATTATTTTTATGGTTCATCAGGTGGAATTATTCCGGAATTTCCGTTAAAGTACGGAGTATGCGGGTACCTAAGCAGAGGTCATAGGCGAATGGATTGGTGCACGTAATGGCCGCCCCGGAATCTCCGTGCCCACTCTAGACCCCCGGGCCCACTGCGTTGGATCCCAGCCAACAAAATGCCAGCTGCCCAGTCTAGTCATTGACCATATTCCAGAAATCGGTTTCTAGGAAGCCACGGGATAATTCCTCAATGCGGAATTGTTCAAGGTCGTCCAGACCGATGGGAAACGAGTCCAAGGAAAATTGAGCGGCATTCAAACGCTCATGTTCTTGATCCGCGTCAGACTCGTCAGGGAACCGGTCAATGAAGTGCGATTTAAGTCTTATTTTCGATGTGCTATCATGCCCAGATTCGGCAGTAGGGTTCGGACCCAACGTGTTATTCATCTCTGGCAAGCTTGGGAGGAGGAGATCCCAGAGCCACTCCGGCTTGTAATTGATGGTTGTTTCATGATGTGCTGCCTGTGCACGGTTCTGATCTGCGAGCATCCGTAACTTTCTCAATGTTGTAAGCTGTATGTTATGTTAGCCTCAATTTCGCTTCTCTGGATAGGAAAAGACTCGATATCCATGCATCGAAGTCCCAAGACAGAATGACCAAGCTCACCTTTTGTGAAATATGTGGCCACATATGTGCCATGATGTTCATGAGCTTCTCACATGTGTCAAGATTGTCACGGGTTCGTTGTGCCACCTTTGCATCTTTCGAAAATTGGAATAGCCATAGAACAGTAGCACAGGAGGCAATAGCATCACCAATCAATGGATTGGAGATCACCATCAATCCCTCACTGAATTGAAGAATCTGAAACAGCCAGCTTACATGATATAAAGCCATGTCGACCTTTTGCTGAAGAAAAACACAGGACTGAGGTATATCCTTTTGTGATCGTAAGACAACGAGATGCAGAAATGGATGGTTTAGAATGGCCTGCGCAGCATGCCATAATACTTCTGTCATCATCCAAGGGTTCCAATACTCGCTATGCTGGTTAACCTCTGCCGCAGATCGGTTCGGAAATGCGACATTGAGAAGTAAATGATGCTTGCTATGCCGGGCCTCGAACTCAATAAGTTCTATCCCTAGTTTCGTATGTTGTGAATCCGCCAACCATGGTTTCTCAACCTCGCCTTGCGATAAGTGATTCAAGTATAATTTAAGTTTACCCCATATAGAGATGATGCCCAGGCAATACCCGTTGATCCCAATGTCTTTGTCTGGAGGCTCCTCGACGGTTTCTGGAGCCGATCCGATTGCAGAGTTACCGACCGTGGTAGAAGACCGAGGCGGGGGTGGTAGAGGAGCACTTTGGGGATACCCAGGTATTTTGGTGGCTGGAAGTTCCGAAACGTAAGGGAGAAAGAGACGTTCAAGAACAAACACACTCCAATAGCCCCTGGCTTCAGAATCATCTTCAGGAACGACAGCAGCGTTCCTGTTGAATAGGGCACGCATAGAGTACAGTCGCGAGGCATTTCCTATAGTCATCCACGCCTGAGACGGTCGGGAGGCTGATTAATCTTGTCAGTTGAGCTACCGCTGGGAGAAAGATATAGATAAATACATTTGATGTGTCTCAAGGCAATCAGGCACAAGGACTGTGCAAGACCTGACCGTAATTCCCCACATGAGGACATTCTCAGAATTTCATCCTCGGAATTTCTGGCATAAAAGCTTTCGGCAAGATTCTCTTGATCATTGAAGAACCCATGACTTGATGTCATCAACATGAAGGATAAAAAGCTGAACAAGACATATTGAGGGCCAGCGAGCAATTGATTTGCTAGATTTTCAAGGCGAAAAAGCGGCAGAGGTTGAAGATGTATCTTGGCCCGATATACGTCGACAAAATGTTCAATAACCGCAATGGGAGGTCGCGGCCTTGATGGCAGAATCTTGTTAACAAAAAGCCCCGCCATTTTGACCCGTTGTAATCCACAGGATGAGGAAGGGTTCGAGTTACCTTGCAAGCGCGAAAGTGCTATTATGGTTTGGACACGGACTGAGGTCCGGTGCATCTACAAGATCAACCATGTGCTGCCCCGGGGATTCGATCACAGGGTCAATCCCAGAAACTGTAGTTTCGGGTGAGTGATTGATTTGGCGACTGGCGGAGGACCTGAAGAAATCTCAGCAGGAATCCAGGAGCAGTCCGAGTAGCGATAAACGCACCCTAGAAGGTCATAGATATGATTTATGTGACGTTCCATCACTTGGACACGATCCGCAGTGGACGTCTTTCTGCTTTCATCCCATGAGCCAACATATTCCTGGTCAAATACCTAGCCCCCTTGCGGGTGGGTAGGAGACTACCTTGAATCCACAGCGCCTGTTTTCCCAACGCCATTGGCAGGCGAGGAGCCTCTGGGCAGATACACACATGGGGTCTTAAGACGTAGGCAGAACGAGCACGTCGGGCGTTCCGCCGTACATTTGGTCTTCTTTCGGCTAATTGACTGGTCAGACTACATTTTCCTTCGCATGGTTGATGTCCAGATGGAGGGAAGACGCGCTTACCGGCATGACTCACAAGACTGCCGTGTCAGAGGTTCTGATGCGGTGCTGGCGCGAGACATTATATCTCACCCATTCCAGATGATCGTCACTCAGGTTTAGTGTTGGGCAGGCCAAGATGGGCGGATACTTCACTGTTGAAGTGCGGAGTTGACTAAGCAGTTGCGGTAAGACGATCATCGCCTTGCTCGGCTGCGAAATTGCGGTATTGCGCATTCTGCAATATTGCAATATGAAGCTATAGAATAGCGGTGAAAATGAGCGATTCTAGCATTATAAATAGACCTCTTAGATAGTCAGAAAGGAGGTCTTCAACACCTTCAATCTACTCGTTTGATATAGCCAATTCAATTGCTTCATTCAATCGTTTTTTAGTGGTCCAATCTATCCGGATCCTTAGTCATTCTGCTTGCCAAGCCTTCGCCCTTTTACATTCACGTTCGGAAGGCCCGCCGTGCAGCCTGGGGAAGGCACGTGACCAGATACTTCAAATACGCCAAGCAATGTAAATTACGGTAAAATACGCAACCATCTGTTCGAAGTATACGTCCCCCCAACCACGAAAGGGCTCAAACTATAGGCCTATAAGTTGCTGATAGCTTGCATTAATATGCCTGTTTAAGCCACGGTCACTCTATGGAAGAACACGGCACCTGCATTACGTAGATTTATCACGAGAGCGCGATCTTGGATGTCCACAGCTAGAATAGGTCAGTAAGTTACGCAGTAAGGGTTTACCAAAACAGCACGTCCTCTAATCTGGAGGCAATAGTATCTGTTAGCGCGGAGCGTGGAAATAAACGTACATGAGCTAATAAACGAAGCTAACGTAAATCACAAGCGAGCTGCGAATCTGAGCGAGCCGCGAATTTGTATTCCCATACAAAATGGCACTTTTCAACTTGGAATATCTCAGCCATACCTCTATTCTAATAAAATATATTGAAGACCTGAAGTATTATATAGGTAAATTGTATAATATTTTTTTTATGTAACAAAGAAACCTATGGGAGTCTCAAATACATAAGGAGCGTTATAATACAGTGTAATTTATAATACCTGGACAATTAGTCTAAAGAATAGATTAAAATCTAGTATATTATCATTAAATAGTTTCATATAATCCTAATTTTAAATAATATTTTATGCGACATAGAAATGGCTGAGATATTCCAAGTTGAAAAGTGCCATTTTGTATGGGAATACAAATTCGCGGCTCGCTCAGATTCGCAGCTCGCTTGTGATTTACGTTAAGGGATCTTTTGGTTAGTTGATCATGTGGAATGTTCACTCTGGAGACCTACTATGAGAGTACAAAAGAATAAACATCGGATTTTTGATTCCATCAATGATCAAGACAGAATTTTGTTACTCAAGGAGACCATTCCTCATTACGCATGCCTCTGTTCCTGACAACGGCGGGAGTATTAAAACACCGGGGCCTTAAGTGTTTTCAGCTGCAAACTCATACAATGCCATTACGGGGAAAAAATAAAAGAGCCATCTCTACCTAGCTGCTACTACACCGTAGATAGCATGCACCTTAATACCTATGTCATAAGACATTGAAGCTTCGTCCTTTTCGGTTAGTCAAGATTACGTGTTGTTTTATTTGTTTTATCACTCCTTCGACTCACCTATTTAGGTTAGTCAAGGTACTTTTTTGTTTTTAGTTGATAGTGTCCGCACTGCTCCATATAGTTCTAATAAGGCTGTGTCTATCTTTTGGGAAGGCGCAATTTTCTAGCAGAGAATAGACCTACTACAGTAGGACCAAGGTTTCCGGTCCCGAAAATGATCCGAGCGTGTTGTTCGAGCTTTCAATCCCTGCAGTTCTTAGGTGTCATTGCAGCACTAGCGCACTCCACTGAAATCTCGGTGCCTACAACTAAACCCCTCTCATAATTGGTTTTATAAAACAGGATTCTCTTACTCATATTATGAGGTCAGAGGCTCAAAACCGCTAGACTCAGTGGGGCACACTTATCATGCAACCATCTCCAGGGTGAGAGTCAGTACCCGGTTACTCCCAAACAGCTCGCCGAGGCTGTCAGGGTGTTAGAAAAGGACAAGCACTCCGGTAGGTCTATAGCTAGTGCGCATAGTACAATAATCATTATCATGAAAAGGGGGGGATTTGAATGGAGCCATGGCTTGATACTATCAAGCCTCCAATAAGATGCACAGGGCATCTAAGACAGGAATTGGTCTGATAGCAACGGTTTGTCAAATTCGAGGTGTCATAACGCTATAATGCAGGTTGCTTCCTAAGTTACCCAGGGGAACTGCGTTCGAGGGTCCACCATGCGTTAATTGGTTGTTCTTGTCACCTGCACAGTACATACGCATCTAGATACTGCTTTCGTTCTAGTCCCCAATCAAGTGGATGCTCCTATTCGTCGAAGTATCCTCGAGTTCGCTTTCTGCCTCCGTGAGCTCGCGAATATATCCGCCTGAGCGGTCCGATCCGGCTCCTTCCAAGGCAACGTGCTTCAATCGTATCGATCGTGGGGCAAGACCCTGATCGACTACTCGAGACTGTGGGTTATTTGGTTGCCTTGTCGAGTCATAACTCCGTGCTGCCTAACTGGCGTGGCCAAAGACGACCAAGACAAAGAAGGCAGAAAGTTTATCCTACCATTATGGCCCAGGGTCATACAACAATTATCTGAACCCCTGGTTCCCCTTATTTCGCTTTTTCAGTTCATGAAAGACAAACTGTGTTTGTTACTCAAGTTGACCATCGATTCGTAGATCCGAGCGGTGGCTTGGCAGCAGCCTGTTCACCATAATATATTGCGGTCAATCCCATTTCAGCGTTGGTTGTCTTCACGTTACTTCTTCCTACTCACGTATAGGGAAACATTAGAGTAAACATACGCTAAAACCTCATAATACGTTTCTCCTTGCTCAGTTTTCGCAATGGTATCCAAGTTCTGGTGAGCATTTCCATTCGCTTCCATAATGATGACAGCGTTGGCCATGCTAATTGAACTCTTCAGTCCCGTTTACGCAGTAAGTCAAACCTGAGGGATTGACGAAACTTTATGCTGAACATCCAGCCATTTTTCGGATCCATAGGGTGTACGACCGCCATCGTCTTAACTGCGTTTGGAGCAGCCTATGGAACTGCGAAGGCCGGTGTCGGCGTTTGCTCTATGGGTATTCTGAGGCCTGATTAAATCGTCAAAAGTAAGCTAGATCTGGGCCTCCCTGTCCTGCGAGCCTCCCTGTCCTGCGAGATATCTTTCGTTGGCAGCAGTAACACCCGCTAATTCTTCATGTACGGTTAGATATCGTCCGAATCGTTATGGCAGGTATCCTGGCCATATACGGCCTCGTTGTCTCCGTTCTCATCGCAAACAATCTCACCCAAAGGGTCACCCGATATACAAGCTTAGTGCAAATGGGCGCTGGTCTTTCTGTTGGGCTGACAGGGTTAGCCGCTGGGTATGTGTGTTAAGTTCTGCTCTCGCGGAACGGAATCTGACTTGATTAGATTTGCGATCGGGATTGTTGGTGATGCCGGTGTGCGAGGAACAGCCCAACAGCCTAGGCTATACGTAGGAATGATCCTTATCCTCATTTTTGCAGAGGTTCTTGGTAGGCGCTGACACATTCTGATCTGATGGATTTGAGACTGATGTTCAATCCAGGTCTTTATGGTTTGATTGTTGCTCTGTTGATGAATTCCAGGGCAACTATAGTGGATCATAAGTGCGTATAGGAAATTACGTGGGGTGTATGAACAAGATTCATTTCGCGGGCCATGAGACTGTGATATTCTACTGGCTGTTCCAGGATAATCGTCCTCCCTTGGGATGTCGGAGTGCTTTAACCCAAGGCAAATTATCCTCCATTATACAGCTGTAGCTCTTAGATTACTATATGGTCATGACATATATTAATCATGGAATTGCTTGGGGTTTGGGGATGAAGATGTCGAGATAGCAATTGTAACCAGTCTGATTATGATGGTTCGAAAAATATCTGCAACGGCTGCGGACACCGGAATAGCTGGTCCGGTGATTATGTCCAAGTTATCCGTGAAGCCCTCTGGTAGATCTGGTCGATGAGCACCAGCTTCTGTTGGAATGACAAGGAGACGCTCGTTGATCTCCGCCGCCGACTGAGACGCCATGTCCTGCTTCCGAAGACAAGTGCTGTCCAGCACTGACCGTGAAGTCTTCCTTTTGCTGGTCCGTTCGCAGTGAATAGTGCTCTTCATATCCGTTGGCGAGCACGTTGATCTCGTTGTCTGATAGAGAGCGACCCGCTTCGAGGGCCTTGTCGACCGTAGGGTTACTCCCCAAAAGGCCGTCCAGCTTCTGGGTAACTTCATATTCCATGTTTATTTTCAGTGTAATCGGCGAAATAAATCATGGGAAAATGGCATGGCTATATACTTGCCCAGAAGTGATTTGAGGAGTCGGCTTTTATGTCTGTCTCATCTCGTATGGTAGAGTATGAAGATGGTTTGAAGACAATCTCCTCTCTGAAGGCACCTTAAGAATTCAAAATCTTGTGACCTTTTTTCTTTGGAAAGCCTGTGCCAGTATACCATAAACGAGCTTCAAGGGGAGACAGAAAAGACAAACAGAAACAGAGAGCAATTAACCATAGGGTGTAAAGATTTCGGAAAGAAAAGGAAGCCATGCTTAGGGGTGCGTGGCAATGTGTGGTGGATCGTGGTCGATACTAAGCCTCGACGCTAAGAGACACTCAGCCATCCCCAAGTTACTGCTCCCATAGTCATCGTGTTATCTAGTACCACTTGAGTAAACCCTCGGTTAGATGGAATGAACCTTTAAAAAGAAGGACCTTTTAAGTCAGCTATACATTCACTGGACGACTTGGCTTTTCTATCCTATATCATGGACAACATTAAGCATTTGTGTCAACGAAGAATGGCTGGCATGTCCACGATACTGGGTCTAAAATGTTAGCCTACCATCAAGCGCCATTTCACTGCATTAGTCCTTTACGCAGTGCTACCATGGCCCACAAATGGTGAACTTACAATTTACGAGATGGTAGGCGTCTGTCCCAACATAGTTTTAATCTTTTCATGGAAGCAGCGCCCATTCTTTTCTTTAGTTCACCCTATTTAGCCTTGTGTCCTCAATCATCTTCTCTCTGACAATTTCACGGTCATTTGATCCTTCAAAAATTAGAAAAGGAAAAAATACAGTTCTTTATACAAGAGAATCTTAACTTCCATTATCAGATACGCCCCTAAACGAGTCACGAAAGCAACATGAGAAGACTAGTCGGTCAATATGCTATACTCCTTCCACAACTTGCAAATCTACGGGCAACCAAAATTTTTCTCGCTGCTCTACTTCTCTGGCTTCTTATATTCCAGTATTGTCGCTTCAAACTCTGGCGAGACCCTCATTCCGCATTCTTCAATGACCGCCATGTTTACGACCTCGGTTACAGTCTCTACCGCGAGCGCCAGGGCCAACACTTTATCTCACAGTTTAACTCGCCTTCAGACCCCCCAGAATCGATTAAAGGAGAGCCCGATCCCCTTATCTGTGTTTCCTTTGTGACTATTCGGAGAAAATTAGATAATTATTTTGATCCATCCATCGGCTCGCTACTGGAGGGTCTAGACGATAAGGAACGTCGTGCTCTACATCATAACATCCTTTTCGCAGATACAGACCCGACGAGACATCCCAGCTGGGGCCAAGAATGGTTAACGAGACTTGTTGACTCAGCGGGCCAGTACAATGTATCGGAAACAGAATCAAAACATTTGCAAAAGTTGGAAAAGGAAGAAAACTTCTATGAGAAGGGGGTTTTGTATGTCCCTTTCAGCCTCTGAAACTAGCACAGTGCTTACCAGCTGCCCGACCGATTTTGTTAGTGATTATACCTATGCCTTGGAAAGCTGCGAACAAACCAACGCTCCCTACACGATTATTTTCGAAGACGACATTATACTCGCCACCGGTTGGCTCACCAAGACACTCAAGGCCCTGTCCCAGCTAAACCCCAAGGACAATTGGATATATCTCCGTCTTTTCTACACCGAGACCGCGCTCAGTTGGAGCACGTCAGACTTCGCCTACAGGAATATGCCGTTTATATTTGCCTTCCTCATGCTCCTCGCTTTGTCATGCCTTCTACTCCTCCGTCGATTCCGTCTCGGTCGCTCCTACCTCGATTATATAAGCATCACTGTTATTTGTCTAGTCTGCGTTCCAGCCTTCACGGCTCTAGTTTATATGATGGGGAAGTACACGCTAATGCCGCTTCGTGGTGTCGTGGAGATGAATGAATCTGGGTGCTGTACACAGGGGATCTTGTTCCCAAAAGACCAGGTCAATGGACTTATTGGATTCTTGAGAGAGAGGGGCCATGGCCAAACTGACTCTATGATTGAAGAGTATTCAGACAAGTCGGGACTCACACGTTATGCATTAGCGCCGCCGCAGCTGCAACATGTTGGTCTGAAGTCGAGCCGGAATAATCTTGATATTAATACCCAAAGTACTTGGGCTTTCTGGTTTGAAGAAAATGACCCAGTGGCTTTAGATGAGGAACATAAAAGTCTGCTGCAGGATGAGGATGTACAGAGGTTGTTAGATGGATATTGAGTGTCAACCTGTTTCGGTAGTATGCCCTCGTTGGCTGTTGGAGGAGATTGATGTATTGCTAATCGGTAATAGATAATGCGACGCAGAGATTATACCCGCCATCCAAACACGCCAACCAACATGCATTACGTTAATATACGCATCTATGGATCCCCGACATAACCCTGGCCCTTGAAAGACACTGCTTCTGAGTTCGTCTCTCACTACCAAGCCTTACGAGCAACCCACGAGGAGGAACAGAGATATACAAAAATTAAGTGGAACATAACGACCAAGAGAAGCCAGGTACATTCAAACCTCGTTACAACCACCATAGCCTAGGTTTCCTCCACATTTTTGATCCTAGGTATTCTTGATAACACATCCCTCAGAGATCAATCATCCACCTGTTTAACACCATCGCCCTCCCGCATCACGACCTCCTTCCTCTTCAGAGACGCTCTTACTGGATTCGGATCCTTAAACACATCCTCTAACTCTTCGATAGTCCGACCCTTCGTTTCCGGAAGAGTAAGGAACATGAAAGCGTACTCAATGAAATGCAGGACCACTAATATTTCGAATCAGGTTAGTAAGGGCTACTAGTCATTCATAAAAAGCGAGATGAAATAGACTTGTTCACTTACAAAAGATCGTATACATCCTCCAACCGATATTATCCATCCCCGTCGGGGTCGCATACATATTGATAAAATTAGCTCCACCAGCCGCCACGTTCTGGATAGCCATGCCCTTGGCACGGACGCGGTTTGGTAGGATCTCAGCCGGATAGAGAGACTGGAGCGTGGTCCAGGAGAAAGAGAAGACGATGCCGTAGAGGAATATACATGCGATGAAGCCGTAGCCCATGCTCGTGGTAATATGTGCGGGCTCGAAGGAAGCGATCACGTTGATGGGAATGTAGATGAGGCCGGTGAGGAAGGTGCCGTAGAGGAATAGAGTGCGGCGGCCCCAGCGGTCGACGAAGAAACTGCCGATGATGCCGCTGATGAATGAAAAGACGGTGTTGAGGGCATTGAGGAGGAGCTGTTGGTGGGACCCCGTGATGCCGGCATTCTCGAGCATGACCGGCATAAAGTATCTGTTTTCGTTAGTGTCGGATGAGGGAAGACATGGGGAGATAACGCACGTAATGACAGATCCGCCGATGAATTGCGAGAAAATACAGACCAGGAACAACAACCAAAGGCGATAAAGCATGTCCCTCGATGTAAACAGAATCTTGTAGTCCCACCAGCGCCGGCCGCCGGTCTCAATTTCAAAACGAATGTCTTGTTCTATTTCGTTGCATTCGTAGTTCACCAGAGCGGAGTCGGGGTTCCCATTTCCGTGGTATTTCACCAGCATCTGCCGACCCTTCTCAGGCTTATTGTTGGCGAAGAGCCATCGAGGACTCTCGGGTAGCATCCAGGCGACAATGAGGACGATGAGAGATGGAACGGCTTGGATTATTACGGGGATCCTCCAGGACCAGTCTGTGCCGAGGAAGCCCGTCCCGTAGGAGATCCATGTACAAGCTAACAAATCAGTAATGAGCAAGGAGCAGGCCGAGGATCCCTAACCTAATGCCCCTGTGTAGTAACCAACCACATTGTACAGGCCGCCAAATAGTCCTCTCCATTGCGGTAGGACCACCTCCACCAAGTATATAGGAGCTGCTGTATTAGTCAAACTGATTCCCACTCCAATCAGGAAACGGCCACCAATGAACTGGGCGACTTTTGGTGCCGTTGCTTCAATGATTGTCCCGACGATAATCACCAGGGACCCGATAGACATGCCGAAGCGTCGACCAAAGGTATCTGAAGCAGGGGCGGCAAACACGGCGCCCACGAGGTTGCCAATAGCATAGATAGAGAACAAAAGACCTGTACCACTGCCCTGCATCCGCGTTCCGAAATGGTCATGGAATGTATCCATGGCGTTGATAGACGACGTGAGGGTGCCGTCGTAGCCGTTCATACAACAATCTATCTATGTTAATTATCAGTATCCCACCGAGTTGAAGCCACATACTCAGAGTTGTGATAGCAATGACTCCACAGATGCGGAGCATGGCCCATGACCAAGGCGATGTAACATCCTTAGATAGAGCATCGTTCAGTCCGACAGACAGAACCTGGACTCGTTGAACGTTGGGGTTAGCATCGGAGTTGTCAATGGTTTCCTGGTTCTCAACCGAGGGCTTCTCATCGTGCGACATGTGAGTAGCCATGATGGTTTCTTAGAGTCACAGATGTCAATTGAATACCCCGTGGGGTGTGGACCGTATATGTATGGAAATTGCTCTCTTGCCGTGGAGCATACATTACTACCATAATAGTATACTTCATCTCAACCCCGGATTTTTGCTTTTTGACCAACCCCTTCCATCACGGACTGAAACCCGTGGTGCTCTCCACATGTCAAACCATCGAGTGACAAGAGATGTTTTCGTAGTGTGGGAGGTATAGAGTGTAGGACTCCACTTCACGGGAGAAACGACTAGCTGTTTTTGGCACGGGATCCAGTCCGTGGATTTCTCGTCCGAGGCAGATCTTTGCTTATGGTTACGATTTAGGGTTGTGGCTTGTGGGGAGGCATTGGATTGGCATTTTTCAGATCCTTAGACTCGTTTCTCTTGTGCCGTCTTTTCTTGGCTGCAGCGCATGGGACTAGAATCGAAGAATAGACCCATGTATGTACACCTTCTACCCGACTCCGAATGATGGGATGATCATGTCTCACTGAATTTGTTCGCTAACCAGTAATCCTCGACTAATCAGGCTCTACCGACTGTTCTCACAGCTGCTGGGCCAATTTGTAGATGTTTGCTCTCCGGATTCTTTCCACGGAGAGACGCAAATCCTTGGGAAGCCAATCTGAAACCTTGCCAGCCGGTCGCCCCGGCCGGGCCGCGTGTTCAATATCGTCCCTCCCTAAAAGCATTAGTCCCACTGCTGTGCCTGAGAGCCATGCTGACACCATTCCATCGCCACCGAAGCCGGCGGTAATCCATTCATTGGGAGTATCGCTCTGAGAGATCTTCGAAGGTTTCCTTCTGTGAGACGATCGCTGTGGGTCTCGTCCAGTGAACTTAGGGTGGACTCGTCCGACAAAAGGCAGAAGGTCTATGGTGAAACCCATGCAGCCGGTCCATAATTGGAGTACTCGAGTGGTCTCGTTTCGGAGGGCCACAGACCAGATTCCGCTCAAATAAGCGCTGATTGTAGGACTGGCACCGTCGTCTTCCCAGATGCCAATCTCGTCGGTTCCCTTATCTTGTGATTGAAAGAGACCTCCCCCGAGCATGATCTCCCCTCCCGGACTGTGACAGCCTGCCGATTCCCGTGGTCGTTGGCTAATGTACTCGAACCCCTTTTTGTCAATGAAACTCCAAGACCGTGAGCCATCCAGGCTTGATGATGGGCCTTCCGCCTCTTGGGCCGACATGTGTCCACGCACAGGAAAGATTTTACCTTTCAATCCAGGGATAAGATTGGCTGTGAATGCATCGGTCGCATGGACAACATGTCGAGCGTTTATCTCACCGCGTGAAGTCTTCAAACAATACGGGGTAGCTTCGTCATTTTCCAAATGGATCTCTTGAACTTCCGTGCTAGTCTCGATGGAGAACGAATGACCATATTTGGAAAGTAGGTGTGAGTAGAGCGAGCTCACAAGTCGATAGGGCCACATTGCGCCAGCGCGATAAGTGATGGCGCCGTGGGCATGGCTACTCAGGCCAAATTTCTGGAATCGCATGAGCATTGTGTCACTCATAATACACGGAATGCAGACTCACCCTCCGAGCTTCATCGGCCTCCCAAACCCTAATATCGTGCGCCGCTTCTGGAACATCCTGACGAAGCTCCCTGACCATCCCTAAGCCTTTGTCCCAAGCGCTTTCGTCCAAGAAAACATCAACAGTCTCGACCTCCCTCGCTTCCGTGCCCTCGAGTCTCTCTGCTTTCACTAAATCAAGCATGATAGGAAGATGCCGACGGTAGAACTTCAGGACTTCTCGAGCCGCCTTCGGTGCCAACATACCCTTCAAGTCGGAATACAGCGAATAAGGTGAGCATTTCAAATGGCCACCATTCCTTCCCGGCGCACCACTACACGTCTCGCGCGCTTCCAAGATAACGACCTTCTTCTCCGCTCCTAGCGCGTGACATTCCGACAGAATCGTATATGCCACGCTGGCGCCCGACAAGCCGGAACCGATGATGACGATATCAGCAGACTGCGGAAGTCTCTTGGATTTCATGTTGACCAGTTTCGGGCAAGGTGGATTCATCTGCCAGAATGAGACCGTTGGATCCGAGACTGGAAAAGCAGGCGTTGCGATGCGGCGAAGGAGCGCGTCGGACTCGGCCATACTCTGGGATAGCTCGGCCCAGAAGACGCCCAGCGCGTCGTAGCCGGCACGTATTGTCGATATAACGGCACCCATCGTGATAAGAATGCGGTGTTGTTAAGAATGGTTGATGTGCTCCGTAGGTACGGATGGTTGTTGTGGGGATCGTACTGTACTGAGTAGGCGGGTCGCGGTTTATGACCGCCTAAATTTGGGTGAAAGGCCCGGCTGCAGCTGCCTAAAAGAGACAACTCATCGGGACTCGGACTATGACATAGTTGTGATTTTTCTACCAACTGTAACTCACTATGGTGTATATTGCTAGATATCTAGACGAAACAAGGGACATTAACAGTTTAAATATGCTTTTTTTTTTTAAGAAAAAATCGGAGACATGGTGCCAGAAGCAGAGACTACAGGTACCTTTTATAGACAAGGAAGACAAATTTAGATCAGTTCACGTAGTTGTTCGACGGGATATTGGTTATAAGGGGTCATTGAAGAGCCATCGACACGTGGCAGATAGGTGGCAGGTACTTTTACCTATACCTATTGATATAAGTTTTGTATTTAATTTTCTTGGTATTTACTGTTCAGGATTTGGAACAACATATTCAGCACAATTTTGCTTTGTCCATCTGGTGTGTCTCTCGCATAGTCAATCGCCCTAACGTATAGAATCTAACAAGGAAGCAATTCAACCAATTGGTCAAGGATAGGAGGAGAACCATGCCGTAACAAGGTGCTGAAAAGCTTTTTTCACAGATTCGAATGGAGACAGACCGATGCAAACATCAAGCCTCTTCGTTTCTTATTGAACTGAGATACAACATGCTTCTGCTTGATATTTGCCAAACCTAAATTTACCAGTTCTGGTAGAGGGCCTGATGCTTCTCCACATATATCAATGACAGTTACTACAAAGTCTATACCGAGGTGCTTGCTGAATATGGATTCTCACTCATTCATTCGTATGGGGAAATTCCTCCCTTCTGACGGAGAATCGCAGCCTTGAATAACCGTTGCACCCTAACATAGGGCAATTCCAAAATGACGGCTATAGAGTAGGACAGAGGAGTCAAAGCCCAACGGCTTTCAGTCCTGGTCAATTGCCTACAAACTACTCCGTAGACTCCGGCGTCTTGGCCACCTAACAGGAGAGACCGGAGAGTCCCGATTATCGTCCCAGTGTCTGTTGGTAGCCCCTTGAAAAGATCACAAGTTCCGGGTTTCTGGTGCAACGATGCCCTCATTACCAGGCAGAAACATTCTCTCTGTATAGTCAAATAATGCAGTCGTCGTACAAGCCTCCTTGGCGTTCTCTCGGAGCCTACCTCGATATTTCCCAACAAATAGGCGTCATGCAAGTTGATTGGGGGAAAGTCCAATGAAGCTGTGTCCCTGGTAAAATCTCAAATATCTTGACTCGATCGGCGAGTGAGAGACTGGCTGTAATGTACCTCAGTTTGTATATCGGCCTTGGAATATGGACTCAGCCTCCATAGTGATAGCGTTACGGTTCTGCTTCCGATTATTAGGCCTCAACATAAGACAGGGTCGCTTAAATAGTTATACTTCCCTCGATACTTCTCCTATATTTAAAGAAATTCGTTGAGAAATAGCTGAATCTCAATCCACTCTTTGCCTAGCATGTCTGAGCCCCTCCCCAAAAATACCCCGGCCTGTGCCACGTACGATCCAACAGTTGATCCAGGCAGCTATGGCTATCGACCCAGCCTGGCTTGGGGCCTAGTCTTTACCATAGTCTTCGTGATCATTGCGATAGGTCAGACATACCACATGTTTCGTACCAGAGCCTTTTGGACTTTCTTCTTCATCATTGGGGCCCTATTCGAAGTAGTTGGCCGGATCGGCCGCTTGGTGGGCTTTTGGTGTCCTTATTCAAGGGATTGTTTTATCATGCAGACAACATGCCTGATCACCGGTAAGAACTGTCCTGATTGTTTGTCTCATCTTTCCTGGATACACAAATTGCTGGGCATCTGTTAGTCTCACAACTGACCAATTTCTCCCCGCACAGGACCGGGATGGGCTCAAGCAGGAATCTATCTTACCCTCTATATTGTGATCAAGCAAATTGGTCGCCATGTCTCGCCCTTTCCCCCCAAGACATACCTAGCCATCTGCTTTTGTATCGACGTGACTTGCTTGACTACCCAGGCTGTCGGCGGAGGGTTAGCAGGCGCGGCCTACAACAACAACACATCTACACAGCCAGGAACAACCACGATGGTAGTCGGCATTATCACTCAGCTAGCAGCCGCTGTTCTTTTCTCTCTCCTTGTCGGGTTCGTCATGTATAGAGGCGCCAAGGAGCTCCGTGAAAACCACCCTCTCTTCTTTATGACCAGCGCAACTGCTTTCGCTACTATGATGATGATCATGCGGAATGTTTATCGAGCCATTGAGCTGACCGAGGGCTGGAGGGGGTATCTCATCACACATGAGAAATATGTTCTTGCGCTGGATGCGCTCCCGATGGTCTTGGCGATGGGTATATATGTTATTTTTAACCCTGGGGCGCAATTTGAGACTCGGGGTATGACGGAGCGGCAGGAGGTTGGGGAGCATGATCTAGCTAGGAAGAACCCGGTCCAGAGGTACTTAAATTTTTGAGAGATAGGAGGATGATATGAGTGGCAAGGACGGATGAGATTATCTCCGGTGCTTTTCTAGGTACTTTAGCATGTGGCATATTAAAATACAGTACCCGGGCATGAACCAAGTTCTATGCGCCCACTTGCCTTTGGTATAACGCAAGCCCTTAAGATATGCTTTACAGGATGCCCAAGAGGCCCTCTATTTCAAGAAGAATAAACGGTGCCTTTTTATTTCCCTTTTTGTTACTACGCATCTGGACGACTCCCATCGCTGGCATATTGATCTAAGTCCCTGTTTCTGAAGCCCGAGCAGCTTCCGCCAGCTTGTCTACACCCCCGCGGCGGTATGTTATCAGAACCAACAGTCCAGCGACGACCACATTTGCCCCCGCAAATGCAATCATCACTTGGTAGCCCCTATCATAGCCCTTGCCATAGACCTGTCGCACGAGGGCCAAATCGCTGGCATTCAGCCCGTTTCCTTCACGCAAGGACTCTTTGGCAACACCTACAAGCTGCGGGCTCAGTATGGTGGGTAGAACTGAGTTAAGCTCAGAGCTTAGCATTGCAGCACAAATAGCCAGACCGATACACCCGCCCATGGCACGTAGCATGTTCATTGCGCCGGTTCCGGCAGCTATATAATGTAGTAAAGAGAATGGTTAGCGTGCAGGTAATCAGTTGCTTGAGTCTATAACATACCAATATCAGAAGGTAAAAAGACCATTTTGAGCCCGATGTATTGAGTTGTGGAGATGACGCCGAGCCCTGCTCCCATAAGCACCTGGAACCCGTACTGAGAATCGGACATTGCTTTCTCCACCGGCAGATCACTCAGACATGCAGTAGAAATTAGAATGAGCGCCGAGCCAAATGAATATAAGAAGAATGTTATCTCGGACTTTTTGCTGAGAATCATGCCTGTCACGAGGGAGAAGAACGGAAGACACAACGTGAGAGTGAGGAGAAGCACTCCAGCACGGGAGGCGCTGACACCGTTGACAGCTTGGAATCTTTGTGGGAGAAGAATAATCGAGGTGTAAAACGCAAAACCGGTAAATAGAACACTCCTACATATTCCAGATAGTTAGTGAGACGCCAGATAGCCTAAACTATGTGAAACATACAGAAGCAGCAATCCCTGCATCGGATCGCCTAGAAACCTAACCGGGAATATGGGCTCCCTGGTGCTATTTTGTCGCTGGAGCCAGGTTTCGTATGCCATGAACGTCATGAGAGCGACGACACCACCGACCAAGGAGCCTATGATCTCTTTACTGCTCCAAGGGTAATGGGATCCACCTTCTTGAAGAGCGAAGAGAAGTGGAATCAACCAGCAAATTGACAGAAAGGATCCGATGAAATCGAGCCTTGCGAGGGTTTCGCGGTTAAATTTGAACTCGCCTGATGCTGGCATGGCGCAAAACAAAATCAGAATGGCGATCGCCGAGATTGGAATACTAGAGATATAATGATCAGGGAGTTAATCTTTCATCAAAATTTGATTCGGTCACGCACTTGATATAGAAGATCCACCTCCAAGTTGTATGGTCAACGATCACGCCTCCAAGTATAGGACCTAGGAGGTTGGATATGGCAAAGACTTAACTGATGATACCGGAGTAGAATCTTGCGTTTTCAACTGATATTAATCGCAGAATCGCTATAAACACCAGGCAGTAGAGACCCGACGCTCCAATGCCCTGAAGGGCGCGAAAGACGATACTTTTTCGGTCAGCCAACCCCAGGGATCTTGAGTCATTGATCTGGTTCATTTGGCTGAACATACAGCTGGTCCATAGTCCTGGCCACGCCACAGGCCACGGAGAATATGAGAAAGACCGCATTGGACCCGATAATAAGGAACTTGAGGCCCACAATGTCACTTAGTTTTGCAAGAAGTAACACGAACGCTGTATGCGACGGGTTAGTGAGGCTCTGTCTGTACTAAATGTAACCGGTATCCTGCTCACCGTTATATGTCAAAAGGTACGAGGTCACGATCCAGCCGGACTGGCTGGTGCTGTCGAAGCTGTTTGAAATCTCGAACACGGCGGTGGATATGATTGTGCTGTCTAGGGCCGACAGGAAGAGAGAAATCCAAAGGCTGCGACCGCATCGCGACATCGAGATCAGAAAGCCGACAACAACAGGACGAAGATGGTACACGTACCCAAAAACCATAATGTTGAGCCGCAGAGGGGACATGGTCGCACCATGACTGGCGGCGCCGTGACTCTCCTCTTGCTCTTCCTCGACCGAACCCATAATGCCTGTCCGCTGATTTCCTATGAGCACTGGAGAAGCAGAGGCTTGGGGTGGTGGGAAGAAGACAGTCAGCCCAATTCAAAGGAGATTTGTCGACTAGGCATCAGCCCATCGGAAGTTTCGACCAATCCGGAAACTGCGGGATCGCGCCCCGAAACCCTGTATAGTTCGACGTAGATTGTTGGTAATTTTTGTCATGCGTAAGCAAGAATAGTAAGGTGTATGTGGAGGTATGAGTATGTGCCATTCTGTTCGCTCTGTTCATTCTGTCAATCTTCTAAATTCTTGTCTTGACATTGTGATATAACATTAGAATCGAGTGAAAACACCACGAGCCCATAGCTATCATCGGCAGCGGTTATCACTTTCCAAATGGCGCGAGCTCCCCTTCCCTACTCTGGGAGTTACTGCGAAAGACCGTTTCAACTGGGAAAGCTACCATTATCCCAACGTGGCACACCATGGCAGTACTATAACGAAGTATACCCATTTTCTCCAGGAGGATATTTGTAAATCCGACACCCAATTCTTCAACATGCAGCCAGTTGAAGCAGACGCAATCGATCCACAGCAACGAGTTCTTTTGGAGACGGTCTACGAGGGATTGGAGTCAGCTGGCCTAACAATTGAGGGACTCCAGGGCTCCTCGACGGCGGTTTATCTCGGTATGATGGGCTGCGATTATGCTGATGTAGTTCAGGGAGATATCGAGTGCACACCAACCTATGCGGGTACGAGCACCTTGATATATCGCGGCTAGCAGGGAATCTGCTAGAGTCGTTGATCAGGAGCACCGAGGACAAAGATGACACTGATCGAGTGCGGTATATTCATCATCGCGCTGATATGAAATTGCATCTAGATGAGTGGCAGGCATACGTAGACGAGCATCTCGAGGAGTTGGATATAGATGAGACGGAGACACATAACGCAACTCAGTGGATTGCGAAAGCTAAGGAAATTGGGTTCTCCTACATGCTGGCAGCACAGAACTTTGATATGACCGGGGAAAGCGCCTTGCCCATTACACAGAGAAGGTGAAGGAGGAAGTTGTACATTCCTTTTTGTTTAATATTTGTTCTCTATACTTTCTTTCCATCGAGATCATTCATGAAAGATACCAGAAACCCCAAATTGCCATTAATACCATAATTTCGGTCACCATGATCATTCAAGTGCCCAAATCCTAAGCCTGCAACTTCTCATCTGCCACAGCAGTTCTCGATTCCACCGTTGTCTCATATTTTCGCCACGCCCGCATAGGAATCCCTGCATCATACATCTCATCGATCTCCGCAAACGTCCTTCCACGAGTTTCGGGCATAAGGAGGTACGCAAAGACCAGGACCCCAGCCATACAGCCCGCGAAGACGAGATAGGTCTTCGAACCCAGGTTTGCGGCATCTGCGGATGTGAGTTGAGGTACAGCCAGGGTCGTGATCACAGCAGTTGTTTGGGCACACATTATAGTGTATGCCATGGTGTGGTTTCGCAGCTTGGCGGTGGCAATCTCAGAGGGCATGAGGTTGGACAGGGAGTAGAAGGATGCTGCCCAGAAGAAGTTGAAGATGAATGATAAAGCGGCGATGCCCATCGTTGCGCTCTTGTTCCCGGTGTCAAATGCAAGACCGCCTGCTATCACATTGATTATGAACAGAGCGGACATTCCGGTGAAGGCTGTTGGCCTACGACCTGCACGATCGATGACAAATGGGGCTGCTATGGTGCCAGCTAAGGTACAGCAGGACGAGATCACGGTTAGAGTGAAGGCGTCACCAACGCCGATCTCGGTTAAGAAGACCGTGGCGTAGGTGGTTGATAGAATGATCCCTGAGATCTGGTTCAGGGAGTAAAACGACCCAGCGGTGAGCGTGCGTTTAAGGTTCTGGCGGTTGAAGATCTCCCAGAACTTCACGTTCGCGCTGAGCTCACGTTCATTGTCCTCGCACATTTTCATAACCTGCAGCTCACGTCTCACCTCAGTATCGCTGAACCCACGCAGCTTCCGCAGGTTACAATAGGCTTGTTCCATCCTGTCTTTGCTAACGAGCCACTGGGGACTTTCCGGGAGAGGGAGAGTCAACACCAACAGGATCGCAGGCAAGACACATTGCACGATCAGTGGGATCATGTAGGACTGATGACCTCCGAGCTGCTCGGTCCGCCAAACGATGGTTGTCCCCACGACACCAGCCACGAGAGATAGAATGTTTATCGACGTCACGCTTCTACCACGCATGGCTGGAGGAACTACCTCAGACATGTACAGTGGTGATGTAGCATTCGCAAGTCCCATAGCGATAGCATTGATGAAACGCCCAGCAACGAAGGCTCCGAGGTTCGGGGCGAAGACCTGAAGAATACCACCACCGATTGACAGTATGTATGCGGCAAGCAAGGGTATCTTGCGGCCGAATCGTGTATTCAAAGGCGATGTAAGCATTCCGCCGAGGATGGATCCGACAAGGGGGACGGAGAAGAGGAGGTTCTGGTTTCGAGCACTAAAGACGTATTTGCCAGTGACTGCGTTCGGGCCTTGGTACTTGTCGACCTGGTTTGTAGCGTTGGCTTGTCAGTATCGGGCCCCTGTTCCATGATTTCCAGGACATAGAAGTACTCACGAATGGTTCCAGTGCTGCCACTGGCGAGATAATCTTGTCATCGAAGCCAAAGATGAAGGAGGCTGCACCGAACGCCGTACAGGCCAGTATCAGATAAGAATTGACGACCTTGCCTGACTGGTGAACAATGTCCACATGCTGAGTGACTGGTTCTTGCTCTTTGGCGTCGAGAGATTTCATCCTGCTGGTTGCGAAGGAAATGATGAATACTGAGAGATATCTCAGCAGAGTGGTGTGACTGCACACTCAGTTTTATAGACTCCTATACTCTGCTTCGCTCCCCCGACTCTTCAAACCCTAAGACGACTGGGGCGGAGTCCTCACCCGCAACAACACTGCGGAGGGACCCTTTTCCCCGGATGGCCCTCTGTTTCTCCGACGTTACTCCGACTAACTCCCATCCAACGTGGGCATACGTCAAGCCAAGAGAGCGTCCGTCTATATTTTGCATGCATGGGGTTTATTCTTGACTGCCTAAAAAGGAAATGTTGATGTCCTAACCACAATCAAACTCCTGACACCGGTGCCCAGAATTCACCTCCAGTATTTCGCCGAAGAAGCGAACCTTATTATGTCACCATTTTGTTTCCTCGGCAAGGAATATCGGCTGAAACGGACACGATAAAACTTGAAAAAGCTGTTGGGGAACGTCCTAGTGTTGCAGTATTCTCAACCTATCCCTTGTTACCAATTGGTGGTCACGGCTTGCAAAATGTCGACCCTTATCCATCCTCCCCAAGCAACAGGCCTTCGTGACAGTGACTCGCAGATCACCAATCAAGGACCTGAGCTCAAGAGTGGCAAAGACGAGTCACTTCTCTCGCACTCGCAATGGAGCCCCCAATTCCATCTTAAGGCACCTCACGGGTGGCTCAATGACCCCTGTGGTCTCGGATATGACCCTTCTACCGAGACCTACCGTGTTGCTTTCCAATGGAACCCCCAGGGCAATGACTGGGGTAACGTCTCCTGGGGTTACGCGACGTCAAAAGACTTGGTCTCTTGGAAGGCATCCCCATTGCCTTGCTTGGTCCCTTCCGCTCCATACGACCAATGCGGTGTATTTACTGGCTGCCTTCGGGCTACCGATATCGATGGACAGGACGGCGCACTCACCAGTATCTATACATCCGTTTCGTCCCTTCCAATTCATTACACCTTGCCTTATAAGCGAGGATGCGAGTCCCTCAGCTTGGCCGTCTCCCGTGATGGAGTGCACTGGGAACGTCAGAGCTGTAATCCTATCCTGTCTGAGCCCCCTCCCGACATCGATGTCACTGGTTGGAGGGATCCATATGTTGGACCTTGGCCTGCACTACAGGAGGCTAGAGGCCTTCCTTCTTCGCAGCTGTTCGGGTTTATTTCTGGTGGTATCAAAGGCGAGACACCGACTGTCTTTGTCTATACCGTCACCCGCAACGATCTCCGCGACTGGAAGTATATCGGACACTTGGCCAACGTGGGGAACAACTTCTACCCATCTCGCTGGTCTGGCGATTTCGGTGCCAACTGGGAAGTTGCGAATCTTGTTTCTCTCTCCGATGATCGAGGCGCGACGCGTGATTTTGTCGTTGCAGGAACGGAAGGATGTCTCCGCTTTGACGAAACAGCCGCTCAGATGAACCAGACGAAGGCTATTGACCGAAGAACTCAACGTCAGCAATTATGGATGTCTGTCACAACGGACCCTGAAGCCAATGGGCTAGAAAGCTCGAAGCCACTGGCACAGTACTCCTTTGCCGGCGTATTCGACCACGGGTGTTTCTATGCTGCAAACTCCTTCTTCGACCCTGTGACCTCCCAGCATGTTGTCTTTGGCTGGGTCACAGAGGAAGACCTCCCTGACCATCTGCGTCATGCACAGGGATGGAGCGGAATGATATCACTACCGCGGGTGCTGAAAATGGTCACGCTTGATAATGTGACCAAGGCCCGTCACTCGACTCTGGATTCTATTACTTCCATCGAAACCCAACCCAACGGAACAGGATCATACACCATCCGGACACTAGGCATACAACCTGATCCGCGGCTTCTGAGACTACGCACCAAAGCATTCAGTGCTGAAGTGCAGGGTCTGAAGCTCCACAGCCCCGTCCCAGTCTCGTTACAGACATCGACATGGGAAATCAAAGCTGAATTCGCCGTGGGCAAGACCTGCAGCCGCGTCGGGTTTGCCGTTGCACATAGTGCTGGTAAGTCTATACTCACCTCCTCTCTCCTACTGTATAAATTCATCTCTAACATCACCCAAGACGCAGCAGCCAAGACAATAATCTCCTGGTACCCCTCGACCGAGACATTCACCATCACTCGACCAACTCCCCACGATCCTCAAATCAACCACGCCCCTGAAACCGCCCCGCATACCCTGTTCACGACCCAAGACACGAGCGGTGAAGACAGAGAAGAGATACTTTCGATCCAGGCATTCTTCGATGGGAGTGTTCTTGAGGTATTCGTGAATGAGCGAACGGTCATCACGACTAGGATATACACGCTAGCTAAGAGGGGTTTTGGAATGGCTTTCTTTGCGGAGGGGGAGTCGGAGGGTTTGGATTCGCATGATGAGCCGGCGGCTGTTTTGGTGAGGGGAATGGTGTGGGACGGGCTTGAGGGTTGAGTTGACTGATTAGGGCATGCTTAGGCTTTCTTTGATTCTATCTCTCTCGTTCACTTAGAACCCAGTTAGTTACCATAGAAGAAAAGTAGATTATAGTAATGCTGAGATGTGACGGAGTCAGGCGCTGGCTGTTCTTCCTGCGGGACCTCCTCAGAACACATGAGAGCACAAGTCTGACCATAACGCAGTTTGTCCGTAGAACAGTAAGATGCTACCAGGTTTTATTCGTAATATGAGGAATCGAAAAACAAATCAATATTCATTAGTCATATCTGCCCGGGTATAAGAATCATAAAACCTCCATTTCATCAGATCGAATCTTCGCCAACTTTCGCAAAATCAATACAAGTGGCTTCATTTCAACAACTAGCTGACCTGCCAACTTCAACGCGTCGGAATGAAGTCCTGTGAGTCCTTCTGTTGCTCATTGAAGGACTGGTGGAATGCCGCAATCCCGGCAATGATACCGATGGCCATGAACATAAGCGAAATGAGAGACCAAATGACACCCCAGCAGCGAGAAGAGCCGCCGTATCTTTGGGCAAACTGGCTGGCGTCCGAGGTATTCACTTTCCGAAGGATCAGATCGTCACACTTTGATTGTTTGTTAGTTTCCGCAGAACAGAAGTACTAGATGGCCGAACTTACGATATCCCAGACACTATATAGCGCAGACATAACACCGATGAAAAGCTAAGAATGCGTTAGCCCTCCGATAAAGGAAAGGTCAAAAGGCACAGGGGAACATACCACCACCCATCTCAAAGCCTCCCCATGCGCAATAAACCAGCAAGCCACGAGTAACCCGACCGCCAGAAGCACAGTGATGATAGTGAGCCAATCCCGACGCGCCCACCAGAGAGTAAGCAAGAAGCAAACGCCAAGAACGATACTAGCAACTTTACTAGCGACGATATTAAACCCGGCGAAAATCAACAACGCGCCGATGATCGACGAGCCCAGATATCCCGCGGGGAGAGTGACAGCACTGATTCCGCCCTGCATGTGCGTGACCCCTCCCTCGTGCGGATCAAGGGAGATGGACTTGACGCGGCCGCCGGTACAGCATGCCGTGATGGCATGGCCGAACTCATGGAACGCAATGACAAGCATCTGAGTTTGGGGGATTAGTTGCGACGTTTAGACTTGCTGGGACGAGATTAAGGGCTCTGAACTCGACGACTTACCTTGAACGGCCACAGCGACCATCGCACGTACGGAAGGTTCCACAAGAGCGCGATCACCACCACGTAGGCGGCCATTACCCCTAGAGTTACCGCCTGGGTGTGGTTGACGGACAGATCGCGCTTGACGACATGAGTGTCTGCTGCGTCTAAGGCTCGTTTTGCGAGCGACTCGTAGTAAGGCGCCATGGTGAGATTTGCTTGCGATAGTAGGGTTTTCTGCAGAAAAGCAGGAAACTGGGAAGGAATGATATTTATTGTGGTGTGGCTCACATGCGTTGATGCCTACGCGTTCGCCCTGCCGGCCAGAGTAAATACTTGCCCCATCGGGCTTAGCGGCGAGTTGCCAAGGGATTTAGGTTATTTTTAGCCGGTGGGTACGTGGCTGGGGCCTCTCCGCCACAGCCCTATCTGCAGCTGTACTCCGGTAGGCAGCTATTTGGCAGTCAGTAGTTGCTCACACTGCCATTTTGACATGACATTTGCTCACAACGAGTTTCTTTGGCCAAGGTGGCTTATGCTTCATAGCGCTGCAGATGGTAACTGATTTGAATTTTTGCAGTTATCATGAGAATCAGAGAAGTCACAAAAGAAAAGACATGGACTGGGTATAGAAGTCATGAGAGAACTCCTTCGACATGAACTCCGGCATTCGAGAGAGAGAAAAAATAGAGTGACACAACAAGGACAGGACAATTGCCTCTGTGGAATCAGAGCCACACTCCTTCATGACTTCAGAAGCAATCATACAATGTTCATCACCAAAATCCCAAGACAAATTCCCTTTAGGGCCCATTTCCGTATGTAATAAACCCGGCCATGAACATGTACTCCAACGCTCATTCATGCGATCATCAAAGCTCATGTGAGGAACAAAAAAAAATAAAGACCATGCGTCGTAAGAGGATAAATACTGAAGGTGAGTAACCCATTCACCCCTCAATATCCCCCTTCCTTTCCCGATCCCCCTTCCACACCACCCACCCAATGGTAATCGCGAACTTCAGCCCCATCGCCAACCACAAGCTCGCCGACATATCCGTAACCTTGGACAAGCCGCCCGCCGTCATGGCGCCCAGGAACAAAGCCAAGAAGGCCCCGACCCTACGGTTCCGTTTCGGATTGGACCGCCACCCACGAGAGTACAGCTTGGGATCGACGAGCAGATCACACAGCAAGGTCGTGAGCACGACGGTGGGGATCTCGTCAAAGGCGAGAATGCGGGAGGCGCAGATCTGGCCGCCGGCTTGGAAGGCGAGCAGCGAGATCGGGAGCACCTGCATCCATTCGATTGGGGAGCGCGGGTCTTCGGGCTTGGGGCTGACGACTTTGAGTTGAACGAGGATGGCGGCGGCGAGGATGCAGGCTGTCTGTACCCCGAAGGAGAGGATCATGGTTGAGCGCCGGCGAGGGTTGATTAGCCGCGAGATGTGGATGAAGATGAGGTTGCTCATTATGAAAGTTGTTAGGGCGATGAGTGACTTGGCCCACAGATAAGCTGGGTAGGCTGGTTGGCCTGAGGCGCCGAGGGCAATGAAGACGGTATTTCCTGTCTTGGGTTAGCATGCTGGGGCTGTCCTAAGTAGGTGGACGGAGAGATAGACATACCCGTTTGCATGCTCGCGAAACTGCCCCATGCGTTGAAAGACAGTCCGTCGATCAGTCCACTGACAAAACCGCAGATGATGAGAATGACATCGGTATGCTTGGTGTCGATCTCTGTGCGAAAGTGTCGGGATAGAGTCGAAAGAAAGGTGGTGTCTTCGGAGTAGATGCCTTGGTTTCCGGAAAGAGAAACAGTCGTACTCCCTCCTACAGACCACATACCCGTTGGATCTTTGGACTCATCGTCCAGACGGGGCAGTGAGGGATTGGGAGCAGCCGGTGTGTCCCAGTAGATGAGTTGGTTACTGGGAGGCGCAGCCGGCTGTATCTCTTCACTGGGGGATGTGGGAGGATGCCGCATGGTTTGCTTTGAGGAGCTTTACTGAAGTATAGAGCAGTCCCAATTGGGCCTCTTTGAAATTGGGATATATAACTGATCTGATTGCCGAGGTAGAAAAAAATATCCGTTTGTGTAAAAGAAAAGATCCGGTTGAGGAAAAGGGGAGATCCGCTCTGTTTGAGGACTGGGCTGCAGGTTTATATCCACGGTCCAAACCATCCTCTCCACTCCCAAGAATTGATAGAAAGACGTGCCAAGACAAGATCCTGTCGCCATCGGCCCAACTATCACGCGCGGAACGACAGTTCCTCCATCAAAGCGGTTCCTTATCAGGAGCATCCATGGCAGACTCGTGCCTGACGTTACACCGCCGGACGATGTGTTTCAAATCAACCCATGGCGAAATTGATATGCAGACCGGCTCATATCGACGGGACAGGACCAAAATATTACGGTGGGTAAACATATACATACATACCCATGAAGAAGAAAAGCATGGGCAAGAAAAAGAAAAACTAGACAGACTCCGCCAAACGAGACAATCGGGTACCCCTATCTCTGAGTATTCTGACGCATGGGCATCTCACATCTACCCGACATTGGATTCATCGCAGAGATACATCTTGGCACCAGCTTGGCACCGCCATCCAAGCGTCACTGCCGCATGCAGTTTTCGTCGCCGGAGCTCCCGCCCTCGGGTCCCGTAGTTAGGGGCAAGATCTCTTGACTCCAATTAGATTGGTGAGAACACGGGAGGCTGATGATTCGGCAGAACTATCTTGTCCGTCGATCCGTGGGGGATGGTGCCAAGATTGGTTCTCAGGCATCTCCATTTCCGTGCTCTGGGGTTGGAAGGTTGGAGTTTGGAAACAGAGGATTGCTGACCGGTGGGATTTCTTGGGACGTCGTCTTGGCGTGATGACGATTCCGACTCGGTCAAGATCCTGAGGTGGAGGGATGGTATCATTTCTGGCGTCCGGAGCGGTTCCGTTGGCGTGGACTGTGTGGAGTCTGGATAGAGAGAGAGGATCCCTGGGGGTGAACCGTGAAGGTGATCAACTCTGTTTGTCCCAGCACTCGGGAGATGAAACATCGTGGCGGACTTTTCATCCAATCGCCCGTCGCTTGCTATACAGCATCTGTCATGCAAACCATTGTAGGGCTACTCTCTTCAATTAAACCCGGACCGGCGCTTGCTCTACAATCAAAATAGCACTTGGCTCACAGAAGATAAGCAGGTTTGAGGATTTCCACGAAAACATCGCCCCGTCTGGACTCTTCGTGGACGTTGACCGGAAGCCAAGATGATCGGCGCCAGGCAGGAGCCGAACCTTTACTAGTTAGTCTAGTTCACCTGGAATCTGTCGGTAGAAGAACTGGCCAAGGGATGATCCCCAGCGACCGGCGGTCCATAGTTTCTCACTAGCGAGTCTTGTCCCAGAATCACGAACAGTGGATGCTGATAACACAGCCTCAAGCTTACCATCTGTCGTCACTCGTCGGTGATCCCTCGTTTGCATTTTGCTTTTTGATGCGCTCAGCCACGCTGGCCAGAATTCAAACCGCAGGTCTTGGCATCTCCTAGATCAGAGCAGAGAAAACGAGGTGTCACTTGAAGAAATTTTTGCCTGACCAGTGATAAAGTCGTTGGCGACCACGGTGGCTCTCGAAAGCTGACGGGTCTCGGGAGGGACATCTAGATCGCTGAAGCTTGAGACCGTCACTCGGGACTATTGACGTAGAAAGAAGCACCACTGCGCTTGTCGCACTCTGTCTCTGGACTCGATTAGCTTTGTGAGACGAGATAAGAGCCGCTCTAACCAGCAGGATGGCAAATAATAATTATCATTCTTATAACCATGGCAGATAAGGGGCTCGTGCCAAGGTAAATGCTACAGATCATCCCACGCCAAAATATCACCAGACTGCGATATTCTTGTCGCATTGTCGGTCTTTGACTTTCAGTCAATTGTCTAGACCAAAAAGGGCTATCAGGCCCTCCACGGCCAGGATTATTGGTCTAATTGGTTCTTCGGTCATTAGACTTCGATCCTGTCAGTAGGCAGTTAAAGGCTGGCTTGGCTTGAACTGTCGATAGGATTTAGTCCTTAAGCGCATCCAAGACGTTGATCCCTGAAGGAACTGCGAAGGAATGAACCGCAGACAAACTTGGCCCTCCTTTGTCCCCGCGGCAAATCATTGGGCATACACGCCGATCTGACTGCTCAATTCACCCAAGATAGTAACTGGATATCAGATCCGCCACTTCCGTCCACGGATCCCGGTCGATGCTTACTCCTGTACGTCACGCAGGGAGGGGTGTCCTTCTCTCTACGAAAGGCAAATACTCGTCTACGCGCCTAGAGCGTCCCGTCTGCCGTGCTGAATGCTCTTTCCAGGTCTGGGCAGTGGAGCAGAGGAACATGTTCCCTCCGGTTGACTTGGCCTGCGGGGGACAAGACATTGGTCTTGGTGGAACGATTGGCAGCCTGGGCGTTCCTATTGGGCCTTCAACCCTACTCAAAACTGAAATAACCCTGATTTGAATGGATGTTGGGGGTCATCTCGCAAGTAAGTCTTGGTATGATGCTGCGAATCCCGCTCATACCCGATATGGCTGTTTCATACATCGTGGAAACCGCTTTTTGGAAGGCTGTTGCTGCGGAATCTAGGTTGATGCTTGTCGCGCTAAATAAGTATACTATGTTGCTCCAATAAGAGATAGTGAGATTGTTCGTTGCCAGGAAAACATGGTCACGTTATTAGAGCATCGGTCATCGATTTCATCGTGTTGCGCTTGTGTTTGACAGCCATTGGAGGGCTAGAATACTTGGCGAAAACCACGAGACAAAAATTGATGTGCTGTCGATGGTTCATTTATTTGATTCAGTTTGAATTGGTAGGGGTGGTACACTTGCACTTCTTGTCCTAGGCCACTTCGATTACTTAGTTAGCTGCGCTGCATGAAATAACTTTGGGCTAACAATGAGAAGATGGAAGCTTATTGGAGACTCTAAGCAATTTTGTGATGCGATCTGTCCTTCTTGACCTTGCAAGTTATCTGGTACGAAGGTGTCGTTGGGGACAATCAACTGTTTGCGGCGTTGCTGTAGACGACAGTCTATGTTTGGTACCATGTAGGCATTGCAGGTTCACGCAACAAGAACCAAGCAAGTGACATGACAGGGCTTACCCTAACAGAAGCGAGTATACCACTTGACATCGCACAGAGCCTCTCGCACATACATAACCATATCGTTTTTGGCCTTCGTACAACAGAAGCACCTATTTGTTCCAGGTTGTTTGTTGGTACTTCCATTATCGATTCACCGTGTGGTATTTTCCAGCTTGTTCTAGCAGCCATATTATCTTATGATCCCAAGCCACCCAATGCCCGGCCCAAATTTAGCCATCTTACAAGTGTACTAATCGCAAGTTCGTTCTTTCACATTGACAGGAGATTTGTTGGGGTTTGCTTACCTTCCCCACCCCCGCGTCGCCTACATAGATATCCCCATATCGAAGTCATCTCTTACCGCTACGTCACTTTATTGTATACTTCTCAAGGTTCTGTGATGTTAATCTTCATAATCATGATAGCTTATCAAATCCAGTCAGTCTTTACATACCATAGCTCAGTGTCATCTCAGATCGTCAAACACAAATAACGGTGAATATCGATGCCCAGTATGACGTATCCCGCACATACTGTCCGCTGAAATTCACGACCATGAGCCTCGTAGTGACGGAAACATGATTTTTGGCACAAAGACTACTTGTCTCTTGTTCAACCCCTGCCTCCTCCTTTTCCCTCTTTCTCTCTTTCCCCTTCAATTCTCTTATTATTCTTCTTCCCTTTCCTTGACAACCCAGTGTATCCTTGTCGATACAAAAACACGCACTCATACTACAATCCCTTCTGCTCCCAGCTTCTGGGCTTCTACTCGATCATCATGAGTAGTGAGCCAGAAGTTGGTGGTAGTTACGGCCGAGACTTCCCTCGTGGAAGCCTCCTGCATCAAAAAGTTGGCCAGGAGCTTGAATGGGGCTTCTTCAAGTATCTTTTTACTGGGATCCTTTGGGAGAAACCGGACAACGGCTACGGAGAACGCCAGGGACTTATGAAAGCGCGGGATATTCTTCTCGGAAAGAATGTCTTCGTCAATGTGAGAATCCTGTAAGTATACCCTTGCTAAGATTGATGCATTGATTTTATAGAACTAACTCCTGGGTGCAGCAAGGACTGTGACCTCGAAGATGAGAAGGTAGTCGCCTTGATAGACCGTGCCAACGAGGCTTTTGATTATGAAGTCGATACTTTCCAGCAGCTTTATGATACTGGTCACACGCCTGTTGTCATCACCTCTACTAGGATGCTCCAGGACCAAGGTTGGGAGAATCCAGGCGGCTACCTGCATCTGTACGTGATGGAGGAGTACCCCCTACTGGGCCTGGACGATGCGTTCGACTACATGTCTGAGGCCGACATCCCCAAGCTTGAGAACGATCTTTACTCATTGATCGGGTATGTGTCCCTCCTATCTTCAAAGTGGCAGCTCTATCTTGCTCACTACGTTTGGACAGCATCTTTTTCCGCCACAAACTCGCCTACTACGCGGTTGACTTTGAATACAAGTATGATCCAGTGCGGAAGACCTTGTAGGTGTTTTTTGAACTGGTCTTTCTAAAGATGTGAAATACTAAGCCCTTTCTCATAGGTTTGCGGTCAGCATCGAGAACTTTCACTCAGTCCGGGATCTCGACGACCTTGAAGCCGCGGAAAGTTATTTCGCAGGAGTTCTTCGCAATCTTCGCCGTGCGCTAGAAGCCAGAGCAGCCCGCGCCCTGGAGGCTCGCACTCGCGCACTCGCGTCTCACAGCATGTTCGAAGGTACCGTGGAGCACTGGGAAGATATCAACGATGCATATCCTATGAATGTATTTGACACTGGTTCCTAGTTCGCCCGGCACGCTGCACACTCTTCTAGACACCTTGGCTAGATCGATCATCAAGTCACCTCCGAGGACTCTTACCGTGGGCTGAATCAACCCGATTGTGAGCTGGATACAGTACCGAGATGAGCAATGTGTGATGGTTTAGAATGGGAAATATCGGAAACTTGAACAGCTGTACTTTTTAGTATTTTGCCCCTACTGGAATTCAAGTCTTCCTTTCATCTGGCTCCTCTGTGTTTGGTGCTTTGCTGCCAGATGATGTAGGCGTTGTAGTACAGCGCTTTTGTACCTGCTTTAGTTTCTCCGCTTAACTCCGGCCAACCACCTCATCTCCACATTCTTCATCCTTCATCCTCCATCCCGAGAAGCGATGCAAAAGTCCTCCCACAATCCATGCACACAGGACATACATCCACTAATGACAGAAACCAGCCCGCAACTAGATCAAACGCGTCTTTTTAGATTCGCCCACGATGGCGGATTTGCCCGATCGCGCGATGTCCCAACAAACCACCCCAGCCGTGGGAAACCCACCCAAAACGCCCTCGTGCGTGATGTGCGCAAATAGAAAGGTCAAATGCGACCGCAAGCATCCCTGTTCAGATTGTGCCAAACGCGGATTCGAATGCGTTTACCAGGCCCCTTTGCCCCCGCGTCGTCGCAAAAGGCGACCCTCGGGGAGCGCTCACGCCTTGGCTCGCCCGAGTCCCGCCAGGCCAGAGTCCAGTTTCTCAGGTCCCGCAGGGCGCGTAAAATCCCCAGCAACCGTGCTTGATAGGACTCCGGCGACATCGCAGGCTGAGTCGGGAGTATTGATCACCGGGGCTGGGAGATCTGTCTACATGGACAAGTGAGTTTTCTTTGACTGGGCTGTGTGGATACGTCGCTAACTAGAAGATAGTAATGTTTGGACGAGCGTTCGAAATGAGGTTTGCTTGCCCGACTTCTTAAGCTTCGATAAGAGCGATCCTAACCTGATGAAGCTTCCTCGAGCAGAAGAAATGTCAGAGAGTGATTCCATGTCCTCCCTTGAAGACGATCAAGATGAAGTCTATATGCTGCTGGACTCATCGAAGAAGAAAAGCCTAACCTCACTACACCCCAGCCCATTGCACATATTCAAGCTCTGGCAGACTTTTCTCCAGAATGTCAATCCGCTAATCAAACTCTTGCATACCCCGACTGCTCAGCAACAGATACTCGAGGCCACGGGGGACTTGACAGGCGTCTCAAAGGAATTTGAGGCATTGATGTTCTCCATTTACTGTCTTGCGGTGGTCTCCCTAAACGAGAAAGAGGTTCAGGAATCTTTCGGGGAGCAGAAAACAATTCTTCTTTCGCGATACAGACGGGGTGCTCAGCTTGCGTTGGCAAAGGCAGGCGTCCTGCGAACTTCGAGCATGGTGGTATTACAGGCCTTTCTACTATTCTTGGTATGTTCCAATCAACTACCCGGCGGTGCTACGCTCACTTCAAAGAAAAGCTTGCTATGCGTGCCTTCTCCGACTCCGAATCTATCTGGTCCCTGTGTGGCGTGGCAGTGCGAATGGCCCATCGGATCGGTCTCCATCGGGACGGCTCCCAGCACGGTCTATCCGTATTCGACACAGAAATGCGACGCCGTTTGTGGCTTCAGTTGATTATCTTAGACGCTACCACTGCTCAGAGCTCCGGCATTACGGCACAAACCTCTCTGATGAGGGCTGACGTGCGACGTCCCTCCAATGTAAACGACAGCGATCTGGACCCGTGCATGACAGAGAGCCCTCGCGAGCACGACGGCGCCACCGAGATGATTTTCTGTCTGGTACGAAATGAATTCGGAGAATGGTTAGAGCGATGGTACACAGTGAGCAAGTATTCGAATGGCATCTGGGGATTTCTGAACTCGCCTTCACTTACGCTGGCAAAGAAGGATGAAGCGATCAATGAACTCAGCGACGCATTGGAGTCGAAATTTCTCCGACACTGCGATCGGTCTATCCCGTTACACCTTATGGCGTCGTTCGTCGTCCAGACCATAATCTGTCACATGAGGCTCGCGGCGCATCATCCTCGTCAATATAGCAACGGAGAGAACGTCGACCAGAAGGAGCGAGACTACATGTTTTCTCTCTGTCTACAGATTGTGGAGAATTCCGTCGCAGCTCAAACAAATACTATCATCCAGCGATACGCATGGCATATAGAAAACCATGTCCCGTGGGACGCCTGTATACACATGCTGTACGAGTTGGGCCATCGCGTCAACGACAAGGAAACCGGAAGAGCTTGGTGTCTTCTCGATGAGATCTATCGTTACCACTACTGGCAGATGAAGAACCGACCGAAAAACTCGTTCTATATTGCAATGCGACGACTCCTTGTGAAGGCTTGGAATGCACACACCGAGGAGCGAATCCGTCAGAACAAGTCGACGCTACCCCGTCCTTGGATTATCTCCAAATTGTGTCCAGGGACGAATACGCAAGGAGTCGGTGATTCGCGGATCGCCTCTTCTTCTCCACCTAATAGTGCAGCGCAAGAAGTGGTTCAGGGGAGCGAACCAACTCAGGACGCGCCATTGGGTGTCACTCAGGCGATCGACTTCGGGGGCGACATTGAAGATCTTGAACTCAGCCCGATGGATTGGGGTCAGTGGGACGATCTACTGCAACAGTTTACCAATAGCGACGCATGGGGTGAGTGAAAATGGAAATTCGAGATCAACACATCGAAAAATGTGCCTGTTCCAGAGTTCGCCTGTGGGCCGTTTTCGGTGGGCTGTCAGAGCCAAGCAATTATGGAGTAACTTCCAGAGACACCCCGTCGGCCATTTTCGACTTCAGCAATAACGATTACATTCAATAACACCCTGTCTTATAGACCTGCATGGCCGGGGGATTGTAACGACGTCATTTCGTGGAACATCGCTCGATGAGCCAAAGCCGGTTTCTTCTCCGCAATATCAAGTCCAGCAATTTAAATTTAAGGTGATTGACATGCTATGATGTACGCCGTTCCTGGCCGAGAGCTCAGCCTTAAGGTCCCTAGCGACGAAACTCATCTCCTCCCGACTCCATCGTTGGGCCGGTTCCCACGGTCAGGCTGTTTCAGTGTGATTAGCCAATCCACAATTGCGCCCCAAAGGGCTGTGATTCGGTCTGACGGCTCCAGGATTTGGTTCTATTCTCGTTTCCTCGTATCCCGCACCATTGAACCAACGAATTTCCGGTCGGAGTAAAGCCAACTCTCAGCCCTTCAGGCAGCCAACCAAAGTCATCCTCAGCCACCGTCCTTTTAGAAACTCTCTGTTTAAGACAACCACAATTCCTGGACATGGTGCAACGTCTGCTGCCTCCTTTAAGACTCTAAACAATCGCCATGTCTGCAGGACGACCAAACCATGAGTCCTACGGTCGTTCATCGCTTCCGCCACATCATTCATAGAGCCCGTCATTCGGTTTCGCGTCAGCGAAAGCCAACCATGTACGCCCTCACCCACCCTCTCATCGTCTCCTAGGTGCTAACTTGTCATCAGAACCTCTCAACATCGCAATGAGCCCCTCTGGGAGCGACTGCCGACCAACGTCCTGGTCCAGATCCTGGCAGAATGCGATCTCTACGACATTTACTCTCTTATCCTGACTTGTCGCCGCCTGCACCGGCGCATCTACCGCAATGAATCCGCCATCGCCCAGGAATATCTGCGTCGTCGCACACGACGACATCAATTTTCCGAGGATCTGGAATACGATGAATTGATTGATTCACCCGGCGACGACCTGTCCTTCATCTCGGACCTCTTTCCCCCTCCACCACCGCAGTACACCGGCATCGATACCGATATGCGCGACGATCTCCCCGAGTATACACTTGGATATCTGGCGGATCTCACGCGATGCTGGACGACCTGTATCCGACTCTCCTACTATCTCGCCGATTACGTCGTCAACAACCATCTGCAGACCAACGCGATCGCTCAACCGCTCTGGTCCTCCTCCAAAACTCAAAAGGAAGTGGTATACAGTCGAGCGGTCGGGCTCTTGCAAGCCCGTCTCCTATACCCCATGTGCGTCGTCCCCTCTATATCTATTTTCTTATCAATCAATCCGACCCTCTCTAACCAAGAACAACAATATCCAGGGCCTACCTGATCTTCTTCCTCGAAACCAACGCCACAAACCTCGACTCCAACCAGCCCCTCTCCCAACAATCCATCCTCCAAGCTCCCCCATTCACAGACACCACCATCCTCCTCTCCACCCACCACTGCATGCACCTCCTCTGCACCTCCGTCCAGCGCCTCATGGCCCCCGAAATCCCACACACCTCAGCCGAGAACTGGCTCGGCCTACTCCTCACAACATCCACCCTCGAACGACTCATGGATTTCTTCATCGCCGCAGCCGCCGACTCCGGCACCACCAACACCACGAAACGAAAACCCTCCTCCTCGTCCCTATCCCCACGATCCAGCCCCTCATCCTCCCCTCCGTTACCATCTCTCTCATCCACCTCGTCCACCTGGACCCGCCGACGCGAGTTCATGTGGCGCATGCGTGCCGATCTAGGCGAGTTCCTGGCCCTGGCTGGCACCAGGGCTGGGGCGCGGTATAGCATCTCCGGGGGCTCGGACTACCCGTTGCCCAGTTTGGGGAGTATATGGTTCGGGGCGGCGCAGAGGGAGATATGTCGGCGGGGCGCGATCCCGCATTTTTGTGATGAGGTGCCGGTGTTGCATGGGTCTGGGGTGGTCTTGGGGTGTGAGTTTTGTGATGATGTTTCTTTTTGAGAGGGTGGTTTGTTTGGTTGTTGACTGGAAGTGTATTTGGATGGAAAACTTGGGTCTTATTTACGTATTTATACCCTTTGCTAGCGGGCAATTTGACTATGATTATGTTTTCTGGGTTTGACGGTAGGTAGCGATAAGTTGAATGTAGGATGTGCATAGTATAGAATTGAATGGGTAAGAAAGAAAAACAGTCATCTATCGAGGAAAGAAAGAAAAGAAAAGAAGAAATAACTTATTTACTTCACAATCCTTACCCAGGAATAAGGTACCGTAGCAGCTAAACTGAACATAACAAGAAGGCAGAAGGCAGAAAAGAAGTGAAAATTCTAGCCACGCCAAAAGCATGAAGAAAGTGATAAAAGACAGACAATGCTATAAGCGTGGTATGCATGATTCATCAAGCACAGCGTGACGAATGCGTGCCAATATTAATACATCATTAGGGGTAGCAAAAAAAAGAAAAGAAAAGGAAGGGTGTTTCTATCCAGAGATCAACACCCAGAGAAGAAAGAAGATCTGTCTCAAGTCAGTATTTACCGTATCAAGAGAGTTGATAGGATGAGGGGAGGGCTCGGAAACGTACCATCAAAACTCCAAACATTTTAGCAACCAACCACCGGTTCCCAGATACTCGCACCCAGTATTTCATTAGTTCACGTTGCGCTCCTTGCACGTTATCCACCACGTCTTCGGTGTTGGCGTCTATCCGCTGGATCATCTCCGATTGCTCGCTGACCATCTGCGCCAATTGGCCAAAGATCCCACCGAGTTCGTTGATGGTGCGTTCGATGGCATCGATCGCTTCCCCACGCGCCTGGATGTACGAGTTACTCGACTGCGCCTCCTCCATCACCAGTAATTGTTGGTCTGAGTGCATGGACGGACGACTCAGCGGCGACGGGTTCGAGGGCTCCAGTGTCAACAGATCGGAGGCGCCGCCCGGCTGGGGTGTTCGTCGTCCGGAGGGGTTATACAGCGGAGAATCCGACCGCTGCGTATCCAGTGCGGACTGCGACTTCGACGACACGGACGATACAAAGTTCTCGGTTCGGGAGCGCGACGCTTGGATGTTCTTGGTGCGGACCTCCAGCACTTCCTTGAAGTTGGCGCCTACATCGGCCAGCTTGCCTTGCAGCATCACCACAACCTGTAATCGGAGATATTAGCCACCAGCGTTGACCTGATCCGTTTGTTCATCCCACATACGTTATCATTATGTTCTCCCTCCTGGTCCGCCTTCGACCGATTAGACTTGGGATGTTGCGAGAGCGTAAGCGCCTGCAGACCCGCGATCTGCTGGTTCAGCGACGCCAGATCTTGTTTGATCACGTAGGTCAATTCCGAGATCTCGACGGGCTTATCGTCGAAGAGGGTCTTTCGCTTCGCCACTGTAACCAGCACATTGGACATTAGACATCAGATCACATCATGCACCCAATCAGTCCGAATGTACTCACACTCTGCCAGTCTCTGTAGTTTCGCCGTGGTCCCCGTGATGCCGCGACCGATTTCAGCCGCTTTCCTGGCAAACTCCGACCGCGATCTCTTGCCGCCCGGGGCATTTCCGTCCTCGTACCCGTTGGCCTGTCGTCGCTGGGTCTCCGACAGCAGGTTCTGTCGCTGCGCTCCCACCTTCGACGAAGCCATGCGTTTCTGGGCCTGGCCCAGAATGGCGTGGAATTCGCCCGTGCGATCTTGAATGGACGGACCGGTCATTGTGTTCAGCACGGTCGCAAAGAGGATGTGGAGGAATGTTGGTTTGTATTAAGTGACCAATATGAGCGACCAATCAGTGAGGGTCACAGACAGCGTGCCAGAGGTATTCAGTATGCGGTTATACTCCGTCTGGGGGGGAAATCGATCTAATCGATAAGGAGGCAAAAGCAACTTGAGACGTGTCCGGTTGTCGGCAACGGGAGAGAAATTAAACTCAAAGAAGAGGAGAGAAGAAGTTGAACGAGTGGCGCTAAGATCAGTGGGGGGGGAGTGATTAGGACGATGAGATCAGGCAAGACATATCAGATCATGAGAAAAGAGCACACAGCAAGCAAGAAGGCTGGAAACGTAATGCCTCCGGGGGAATTCGTTGCCCGCCGAAACAGGCAAAGACGCCGGTTCCACCCCACGTGACAGCACCCGCCACAAGCCCCAGCCACAGCCTCCAGGCAGTCGCTTTAATTACTTTCAGGGGAACAGAAGTCTAATGCTGGGCCTGTTAATTACCTGCTCTGCTCGACGATCGGGCCTAATTCTTGCGCAATACACCAGGGACGGCAGGGTTTTCTCCCCAATTACACCCCCCCGACACGTCACGATCCCGGTTCCCTCTGCCGTGGCTGAGCCGGTGCTGTTCTTCAACGGAGCCTTGTCCACCCACGTCATCCTTGTGAAACACCGTTGATTTCCCTCCCTGAAGCACGCGCCATTACGACGCTCGACTTTGCTCGGAATTTCTCCCCCCTGGAGGAATCAATCAACTTTCACCTGTCATCCTCGTCTCTATCACCCTTGGCAGTTTCATATGCCGATCAGTATCTGACACCACCGTTCCTGTTGATGATCCCACGCTCTTCCGACCGAGTCCGCTGCACCCATGGCTCGCCCATTCAACCCCTATGAGCCGGAGCTCAACAAGCTGTATGTATAATGCTGAGATAGACTCTATAGGTTCTCTGGCAGAATACCCCGCTGATCAATCCTTAGCTCGAATAAAGGCAGCCCGATGTCGCCCTATCCACGTGGCGACACCAATACCCCCCTATCCTTCAAGACCAATGTCAATCGATCAAAGACCAAGCGTTGGGTAGAAGCCAAGAAGTACTCCTACGATGGTAACGACTGGGGCGACGACGAATACGGCGAGTATGACGATGACGACTACGAGGAGCCTCCCCCGCTTCCACAATCGACGCATATGAACCAGAGCACCCCGGACATTTCAAAGGGGCTTTCCAGGGACCGCGACAACAACACGCAGACGCCGCCGCTCCCTTCCATGGATCGATCGCGGTCCATGGATCAAGTCATGACGCTAGGTGTTAACGATGCCGGCGACACCAGCCGCAGTCGCTCGGCCGATCGCACTGTTCCAATTGTCCGTCCCGCTGAGATCTATAACCGCCTTCGAGGAAACACGGCCGAACGAGCACAGGCTCCGGGGCCTGGCCTGACAACCGGCGATTCAACTGGAGTGGGTCCGTCGCAGACAGATACTACTGCCCATGCTGATCAGCAGGTCCACCAGTCGTTGGAACCAGGAACGCAGTCAGGCAATGACAGACTTTCTGAGGGCAGTGATACCCCGAAGGGTGGTCTACCGGATGCCAACCGTCCCTCCGGTTTTGGCACAAACTCCATGGGCGAATCTGATCCCAGGACCCCGACGGACGGCGCGAATCAAATCCAACCCCAACCCCAACCAGAACACCAGCTGCATCATAACCCGTCCCTCGGGTTCCGGTCTGTCGTGCATCAAGCATTCGATGTCCCGGAGACACCGTCTAGCACCCTTGAAAGTGTTGGGAGGTCAAACAGCGATAGCACGTCGGTCATCAGCCCTATCATCGGTCAGCGTACTACGAGTGACAGCAGGACGCCCACCATCGTCGAAGAGCCTGAAAGCACCACCCCGCCCAAGGGTTTCAAACCTGGCCACCGTCGAGACCTAAGCGTTCCCAGTCCTGGCAACAGCCCGTCCAGGAAGCCCGAGATCACCAACAATGACGCAGCACCGCCATCAGCCCTGGCCGAAATGTCTCATAACATCCGCGAGGCGCTGTGGTCCCCTTCGCCAACCTCGCCGGAGCATACCAGGGGCGAGGAAGGCATGCCGGCGCCGCTCAAGCTCAGCAACAGCTCGACTCCGGTGCCCGACGAAGCCGCTGCCATTCCGGTCATCGTGCCGTCGATGAGCACCGACAATTCGCCGCAGGACACGGAGAATGACCGGCTCAGAAAGGAGATCATTCGCTCTTTGAGCCGCGAGAATACCCCCTCCGACGAGCGGGAGCCGCACGACAGTTCCCGACCGCAGACAAGCCGACAAGAGAGTTTAATTCCGAGCGAGTACGAACGGTACTGGAGCGAAGATCTCAATTCTAGCCCTCAGGAGCTCAAGTCAGCGGCTCCCGCGCTCATTCCTGCCGCCGACCCCTCGCACGACTTGTATCCTGGCAGTCCCCAGCAGTCGTCCGTTCCCGCACCAGCTGCTCGAGAGCCGGGGCCGGAGCCAGAACATAAACTGCAGCGGAAGTTCTCGTGGGAGTCATCCTCGTCCTCGGGCGACATGGTGCCTCCCGCCGTTTTGCAGACCATTGCCCCTGAGCCGATGCCCGGGCAATTCCCCGGGGCTTCTGAGGTCAGCAGCCTGCCAGATGCGCAACCGGCGACCCGCGAGCTCAACTATTCGGACCACGAGGACCAGCAACAGCACCCAACCCCAGAGAAACCTAGATTGTCAATCATTACCCCGACTTTACCCGACAACCGCAGTATGACTTCCGATCGACAACTGCCTGAAGTGGTTGACGCCGAGACGGTGGCAGGCCCCACGCACATGGAGGATGAATTCCAGACTCCTGCCGAGCATCCAGTATCCTTACCACCACCGCGCACGTCAACTTCGTCCGGGCCCACGCCATTGGGGTTCCGAGAGATCATGGGCAAGTCCACGTCTGACGAGCGGGTGCAGGCATTCAACGAAACCCGCGAGCAGTTCAGCATGATCGACACGGGGCTAAGCCACTGGATCCAGATCACCGTGCACGCTCATCCCGAGCACACGGACGTGGTGGAGCAAAGCTTTAAGCTATCGACGGGCGAGCCCAAGCTCGGCGGGTCCCGCGGCAAGTTTCCCAAGCTGCCTTCCCTGGGCACCTTCGCGACGAGCGGCGGTCAGGATCCTTCGCCGTCGGGGTCGGGTCACGTCCGACGACCATCAGCGCCTCTCGGGTCGATGATGAACAAGCAGCAGGTCGAGCAGCGCGGGAAAGACTTGCTGCACACGGCCGGCGTGCTGGGCGGACAGGCCGGCAAGACGGCGAAGAGTCTGTTTGCCAAGGGCCGCAGTAAATTCAAGGGCGGAGGAGGCGACAAGGTAGAGCCTTAAAATCTCTTACGGTGGTTAATAATCGGTTTTCCAGTATATATATCTTGTCTCTGCTTCGGTGTTTTGTTCTGATCTGCTTGGGTTGTTCTCTCTGATTTCTGATGTTTATTGATACCACGACTGACTGTGACTGTGACTGTAATTGAACCTACTGTTTTCTCTTTTCTGTCGTTTCTTTCCTACTTTCGGAATGCGAGATGATTATTACGATATCTACTCTCTTGTCTATGGGTCTATCTAATGGAATGATCTTGTAGGGCTTTCAGACATTCCGGGGGAAACGATGCAATCTACGACTATCGGAGATGCACCTGTGGCCAGACATAGACGTAGCAGCGCTGAATGAAGACGCAGCCCACGATCCACGGCAATCCCAGGGCCAGAAAAGCCCCCAACGTCAGATCCGACGCAAACCCCTGGCAGCGATCGCCAAGAACCCCGCGACTCTACGCCGCAAACCAGCCGCCGCGACCACAAAGAACTGGCGTCGGCCTGTCCCCCCTCAGGGATCGAGTGGTCGCTCGTCCATCTCGTCCCTAGACGAGGCTGAGGAGAAAGAAGCTTCCCCGTCCCTCTTTCTTCGTCCAAATCGCTCTTCCCTGTCCGTGCCGCTTGGCAGGTTCGCCCCTTGCAGGCTCATTGCTGATCGTGATCGTGGTCGTGATCGAGACCGCGAGCCTCATCCTCGTCCGTCGTCACTTCCCCGCCTGCAGTTAACAATGCCCAAGGAAAGAAATCCCCTCGTGAGTTGACTACGGTTGCTACTGTTAAATGTTACGACTCGAAACTAAATCTCTAGGGCCGTCTGTTCGGACGCCACAAGGGCGATCGGCCGCAGTCGATGGAACACCTGCCGGTTTCGACTCCCCGCACTCGAGATCTGCTGGGCAAAGACGACCATCTCACCGTCCCTCGTCCCCGCAGCTTTCAAGGTCAACCACCGCCGTTGGATGGGTATTTTGCGCCCGATGCCGTCTCGCTGAATGTTGATTCTGGCTCTGGTCCAGCATCTCCTCCCACGCCGTTTCACAGTCCCCCACTGACCCAGGGGTACGGCCATTCCCACTCGCAATCATACTCGCATCCCCACTCACGCATCTACTCCCATTCGAACCCTCACATTCACCGTCTCAGCAACAGCCTCAGCTTCACCAACAGCAACAACAGCTCCCAAGTCTCCCTCCAACCATCGCTCTATCGCTCCGTGACGCCCCAACTCCAACCCGACAACCCCACCTCACGCCCCCACAGCTCTCGCTCCCGCGGACGCAGTCCTAGCCCAGAGCGCAGCTACGCGCAAGACCTGCACCTCCGGTCCCGCAGTCCCAAGGCTTTTGCTCCGCGCCCCCAGGAAAGAGTCATACCGCGGACTGATCCCAACGACCCTGCCTACCATCTAGGAACGTTCCGATCGAACCCCCGAACGAGTCGCATCGGCGACCAGGAGCGGCCATGGAAGCTGAGTATTCCGGGCATGGAAGGCGATAATGGAGGCGGAGAGAGGGAGGAGGAAGACGGGACCTTGCTCTGGTTGAGGGCGCAGGGACAAGCACATGTGAAAGCTGAGCGGGAGCTGGAGATGAAGGCTCTCAATCGGAGCATTAGCAGGGATAGTCAGGATATGGTGTTCACTTCTAAGGTGGAGAGTCGACCGAATGTCAGTAATGGCAACGGCAAACTCCCCTCCTATGAAGAAGACATTGCCCGTCACCCACCGCCACTGTCCTTTCCGTCTGACGAGAAATCTACCTCTGCTTATGCATCCGGGGGTATATCCACTGAAGAATTCGAGTCTGGGGAAAGGGGAGACAGGACTGGGTATCATCCCACACGGGGTCAGGCTCGAGTGCTCAATCGAACAGATATGCCGGTCGAGTTGCCGGTGAAAGGGGAGGATGAGTCCACTGAAGAGATCGTCATGTCGAGTACGGCCTATCCGGGACAGGAGTGGAAGCCGTTAGGATTAGGAGAGTGGGAGTATTAATTAGAGGAATAGCAGGTTGGATCGGGGTTAAAAGGAGGGCGGCAATTCCGGGAGATGAGGTGGAACTGAGACGATATGAAATTGGTTCATCAAGGTATTGAATAGTGACTTTTAGCGATTCGATTTGAGCAAGTGCGCGGGTACATAATGAGAGATGAAGTTATGAAGTCAAGTTCCTCCATCTTCACGAAAGTTCCGGTAGAAAGTGGAGACCTTAGAAAGAGGGCACCCCGCCCATGCCCGAACAGGCAACTTGGTCTTGGCGCGGAGAGGAAGAATCGCAAGTCGTTTGTCTTCGTCTCTCCGCCATCTTCTTCCTCGCTCTATCTTCCTTCCTCCGCCACTTCCGTTGGTCGTCACGTTCTTTCGCTCTCCCTGAGTCTCGCGTCCTCACCATCACTTTTCATCGCTTCCATATCAGTCCGTGTCATCTCTCGCGCGTTGGTTGCTCTTGAGTCCTATCAGAAGTGAGTGCGCACTCCCCTCCTTCCTTGCCGTCCGTCCACCACCATCCTTTCATTCGCTGCGACACGTTCTGGGAGGATTCCATCAGGGATATGCGCTATGCAAGGCCCTAGGATACTCTGGATTCGTGCTCAGAAACTACAATCATGTCTCGGGGATAGACACGTGCTTCCGCAAAGATCCATGCGCATAGAACTGGCACCTATATTCTGGGGTTGCGGATATGTCTTACGTACCTGTCTGGCAGGTTACTTGTTTATCCATTTGCTTGTCTCCTCAAAGCGTTGCAATCGTGGAAACCAGGGACAGCTGTCTATGCGCATTGTCTCATGTTCCTTTATGCGGTTTGTACTTTGTCGGTAGTATACTCTTCGCGCTAACGATGACAATTCTTTCAATGTTTGACAGGCGTTCTCGCGACCTCTATCCCCGTCTCACCGCTGATCACCTCGCAACTCCGAACTCCGAATAACCTCGCTATGGCTATGGACGCAAAGGAAATTGAGCTCAAGGCCAAGGCCTTGACCAAGGCGGCCACCTCGAACGAGCCCGCATCCAGCATCGTCGGGCTGCTCAAGGAATTGCAGAATGGCGTGAAGGCGACCGAAGACCTGCTGCGCTCCACCCGCGTCGGAATCATCGTCAACAAGTTCAAGCAGCACAAGTCGCCCGAAGTCGCTCGCCTATCCAGCGAGATTGTCTCCAAGTGGCGCAATGAGGTCAACAAGCAGAAGGTCGGCGCGTCGCCCGGCGCCAGCCAGCGATCGAGCGGCTCGCCGCGCCCCGCGCCCAACGGAACCGCCTCGCCCGCGGGCTCGACGCCCACCGACAAGTCCTCCAAGCTATCCGTGCCGCCGGATCGCCGCTCGTGGAAGGCCGACGGGGTGGAGACCAACCAGACGGGAAGCAAGATCCGGGACAGCTGCATCGGTCTGATGTATGACGGGCTGGCGCTGAACTCGACGGAGCCGCCGCGCGCCGTGCTGTCCAAGGCCGTGGCCGTGGAGGCGGCCGCGCACGCTACCTTCGGTCCCGAGACCAAGGAGCAGTACCGCACCAAGATTCGCAGCCTGTTCCAGAATCTGAAGAACAAGTCCAACCCGACGCTGCGGGTGCGTGTGCTCAGCAGCGAGGTGACGCCTGAGCGCTTCGTCAAGATGACGCACGACGAACTTCGATCGGACGAGCAGCGTGAGAAGGACCGTCGGATCGAGAAGGAGAACATGGATAAGGCCATGGTTGCGCAGGGTGAGCGCAGCATCAGTACCAGTCTGCAGTGCGGAAAGTGTGGACAGCGCAAGGTCACATACACGGAGGCGCAGACTCGCAGTGCAGATGAACCGATGACGTTGTTCTGTACGTGTTTGAATTGCGGAAAGTCATGGAAGCAGTGATCTTTCTTTCTTCCTTCTCTTCTCTTTTTCTTTTCTCTTTCTACGTTGAGTCGGGTCATTCGCTGGCCTCTCCCACGTTCAACTTAACCCCTTTCATCACTTTTTTCTTTTTTCTCTCTCATGTGTTATCCTATCATCAAGGTTGTCAAATTATTACTGCTCAGGCACGGAGTTCCATGGATCTGTTTCAAAAGAAAGGTTTTCTTTTTCTCCTATATGTTTCTATTATGAACGCTTATCGTTCTATTGATTTGATTTCGTGCGCTGTCTTTGGTTACTAGGAAAGTAGGTAGATAGATTTGGAGCGATTGACTTGGGTGCGAAGATATCTTTTTCCTTTTTTTCCTTGCAAGATTGGAACTATTACTTATTTCATTGACGGACTTTTTTATCTTGCTCGAAGTAGTCTAGTTGCATTACCAAGGTAGGTTTCTGCAGAGTATCTAGATAGATGATAGGTCTAGGTTCTAGATAGCAATGTCGATGTCGATGTCGACAGCATTACTACTGACTGAATGTGAGTGGGGTATGTACATTTGTATCTGGATATAAAAGTAGAGTATCTGTTCTTATCGTCTAGAGATACCATATATCTATCTATAGATTATCTAGAATGTCCAACCCATACATCCATCCATTCATTATCCTCTCTCCCCTTTTCTCCTTCAGGCTCCAAGGTCTCAACCCCGACTTTCAACAGAATATGTATACCTGACTAGGCCTACCCTTCAAAAACGCCATGGTTCAAATCAACCCCCATATCCCTCGCCATACCCTGCATCTGCTTCTCAATCTCATCCTCCATGCCGCCACCCAAATGCAAAAACTGCTTCACCTTCGTGAACCAGAAGTACACATCGCTTGTGAAGAGCACCACCCGGAAGAGCATGTGGCGGGCTAGGTTCCGCATTTTCTCACCCGTGGGTAGGTCAGGGGACTCGACTAGGGCGCGAGACGCCCAGGTTCCGGTGATCTTGACACGGTTGACGGGGGAGCCGAGGAATTGGTTGTTGGCCTGGACGATGCGCAGGTTACGGCCGATGAAGATGAGTTCCTGGGGCCATTTGGTGCCGTCGCCGAGGATGTCGCGCATGCCTTTTCGAGCGGCCTGTTGCATCTCGTAGTGGCGGTGGCGGCGCTCCACCTTTGAGAGGCCTTCCAGGCTGGTTTGGACGGTGCGGTCGCCGCCTTGGTAGGGCCGCATGAGTGTCGCGGAGGCGAACATGTCAGCATTCGTGATGCCCCAGTCTGCGGCGACGGAGCGGAGCGTGGCGTTGTCGAAGGCGAGCAGGGCTTTCCAGAATCGCGCGTATTGGTGCCGGAAGTCAGGGTTCATGTGGATGTAGAGGCCGTGGTCGATTAGCACAAGCTCTGCTTGGCCGGAGGGCTTGCGGCGCACGAAGATGTTTCCTGGGTGTGGGTCGCAGTGCACGATACCCCAGAGGAACATCTGTGCGGAGAAGAGGTCCACCATGGTGGTCATCACGTCTTTCAGGGACAGGCCCAGCCCGCCGCGGTTGTTCCAGCCGCGCCAGTGGTCGCGGTCCGGCTTGAGGTTGGCACCGTTGGAGTTGCGAGGAACACCCTTCTTGTTCTTGTTGTTGTTGCTGTTGCTGCTAGGCGGGTCCAAAGGAGTGCCGTGGCAGCCCGGGCTGCCTTCGCGCCAGCCGCCGCGCCAGGACTTGGTGATGGCGTCCTTGTCCCAGAGACGCACGCCCTCAATCCACTCCGCCGTCATGACACGCTTCGAGCTCAGCTCGCGGTGGACCTTGGGGATGTAAACACGGCCGCGCAGACGGGACTCTCCTGCAACGAGGCGCGCCATGTTCTCAGAGTTGTCGGCCTCGTTCTCGAAGTCCGTTTCGAGGTACAGACGTTCACTGACATAGGGAACTAGGGAGTAGAAAGGGATCTGGAACATGCGGCTATAGATCCAAGTGACGACTCTAGAGGACAGAAACATCACCAAATCAGCATGAGCTTGAAAGAACAAGGTAATATGACAACTCCAAACCTACTTGAAAGCCCATAGATCCCACAGAATCTGCTTTGCAATCTCCCGTTTCTGTATCTTAATCGCCACCTCACGACCATCCGCCAGTCGGGCCCAATGCACCTGGGCCACGCTGGCGCTAGCCCGCGCCTGCTTCTCCATGACGCCCTTCTCGGGGTCGCCAGAGAACGACACCCCGAAAACCTCCTCCGCCGAGCGACCGAAATCCTCACGAATGACGCGCTCAACATCCTTCCAGTCGTTCTGCGGCGCGTCGTCAAACATGCGCGCGAACATCTTCTGGAACTCGGGCGGCAAGATGGCCGATTGCATGGCAATCGCCTGGCCCATCTTCAGATACAGCCCGCCATTGTGCCGCAGAAGGTCAGATAGACGCTCGGCATTGCGCGCGTGCAGAGCCGTAATGGACTCAGCGAAGGGCGGGTCCGGGCGGAAATTAATCTTGTAGTCGGCGGCGACGATGATGCCTAGGCCGAAGGTGCGTGCCGTGCGGGTCAGACATTGCTCGTAGAAGAGCGAGTCGACGGTGTAGACGGTTCCTGTGACCAGGGAGAAGTATGCCAGTCGTCGGAGCCACTTGCGAGTGCGCGAGTAGGTCTTCGCAGCGACGGGTTTGCCTAACGAGCTGGGCGAGGGAGGCACGAGAGGTTGGAACTGGCCGGGATGATGCACTGATCGTGAGGGCGCATGGTGGAGTCGATGACGCAGGAGGGGACGCAGTTGGGGACGAGCCGAGCGCCAGGAGGCGAAGAGGGAGGCCATTCTTCAGGAGGTCATTATTAGAAGGGATATCAGATTTGATTGAAAGTGGGGAGAAATTGAATAAGAATAGAAGTAGAAGTAGAAATAAAGGAGAAGGAGGTGCAAAGGATGAAGTTCGTACGAGGCGAACAGGCCGAAGGATTTCGGCGGGTTTGCATCCGCGGAGACTCCGACGCCCGACTTTAGTCTTTAGTCAGATTGTGATGGCCTTCATCATTTTATCATTATCATTATCTCAACTAGGTCGTACTTATCACATACACAGTCCTGAGGACACAGCGAAATGACTACAACTCCTGCATCCCCACCCCCAACGACCGACACACCTGCGCATACTCACGCATGTTCCCCGGGATGATCTCCTGCCACAGTTCGTCCGTCTGCAAGTAGGCCAGTTGCTCGCTGCAGATCTCGTCCGACGCCATGGGCAGCAGACGAGGCAGATGCACCAGCGCCGCCCGCAAGAACTGCTTCTTGAAGCAATTGCCGAACTCCGCCAGCGTCTCGTCGTCCGCGCAGATGTCGCGCCCCTGAAGCATCGGTCCGCAGCGCTTCTTGATGATGTCCGCCACGTCGTCACCCAGCTGCATCATCTCCTCCTCCTGTCGCGGCGAGTCCACGCGCTTCATCATCGCCCGCACCGCCGGCACGAAGGTGTTGTTGCGCGTCCAGAGATCCCAGTGCGGCACGGTAGGCTGGCAGCCGCGATCGCAGATCTCCGTCTGGAATTGCTGGAAGACGTCGCCGGGTCGGCCGACCAGGGCGGCGACGACTTTGAAGCAGGCAGTGCCCATTTTGGCGGATGCGAGGGGCGAATTGCCGAGGATGAGGAGGAGAGGGCCGAGGAGGGAGAGGAGGGAGAGGCCGGGGAGGCGCATTATGACGGAGGTAAGGAACGAGGAAATCGTAAATCAGTTGTAGGAATGTAGAGGATTGGCAGACAGCAGTATCGACAAGAATGTGAAAAGGAAGAAATGGAAGGAGAGAAAGTCGAGCTGAAGATGGGCAACCCAATTCTGGAGGATCGACACTCCCCGCATTTCTGCTGATTTTTGGTTCCTTTCAATTTGATGGGGTCATTGGATATTCAATTATGAGTGGTCATGAGAGGAGCCTGTCTGTGGCACATGGTTACATCTATAATAGCGATGTCATGTCATTCATGGCTTTGGCAGTTTGTGTATTGTGAGGCTTGAGATGCTTGAACCGAGCATGAGGAGTATATATCTCCACCTCGGCATATCCCTTTCACATTCACCTTTTCTTACTCTTTCTGAAAACAAAAGCAGTGTATCTTCATTATTATTACAATTTATTTGTTGGATCTTATCTCACCATCTCTGTATTTCCCTCTTCAATGTTGGATCTTTATTATCTCACATGGCTTTCTTCCCTCTCCTAGAGATGACCGACAGACACTCCTGGATCCGACGCTCTGCCAAACCTCGGAATATCGGCTCAGGGCACTCCTGCTGACCCAAAGGATCAAAGAGCAGCTCTCGGGGTAACTATTCATGCATTTTCCTGTCGACAACCCCGAATCTGGGGTTTCGTGATCACTGCAGCCTGAGGCATCTATCATCCGACCTCAACGTCACCGCTTCTCTTCTCTACTTTCATTCTCCTCTCTTTCTCTCCCCAATCGCGTACTTCCCTGGTGTTTGAAACATTATATCCCACCGACTGTACAATGTCTCTCACTCTCGCCGAAGTCGACTCCCTTGAAGCCATCGTCATTGTTGACAATGAACTGGACCCTCTTTCGCCTCCCCCGCCGGACACTGTGCAGGTGTCCGGTCTGATGGGGACTCTGGCCATGAACTCTCCTCACACTCTCACAAACCGCGGCGATGCCTCAAAGGAGCTTCAAATGGAGGATATTTGCTGCTCGGCGCATGGTCTCTCCATTCTGGTGGTACGTCTGCCCTCTCTTATCAGTGAATACATGACTGACCCCGCCAGACAGCCACCAAAGGCGATGTAAAACACTCGGTGCTGTTCGATGCCGGCCCGGAGAATGACGTCTGGCGTCGAAATGCTAAGCGCCTGCGACCGAATCTCTCGGCGGTGGAGCTGGTGCAGCTCTCTCACTGGCATCGCGATCACTCCGGTAGGTTTTCCATCGCATCCCTCGATCGAAACATTTGTTGAGATCCACAGGCGGTCTTTTCCAGGCGATCCAAATGATCACGGAGGCCAAAAAGGCCGAAGGCCGTTCGGACAACGTGCTAGTGGATCTTCACCCCGAGCGCCCCGAATACCGCGGCTTCAGCATCGGGGGAACCATCATCTCTTTTCAAGCGGATCCTACTTTTGAAGAACTCGAGGACGCTGGTGGAAGGATTCAAAAACATGCCGAGGCACATACGGTTCTCGACGACTTTTTCTTGATCTCGGGAGAGATCCCCCGCCAGACGCCGTACGAAACGGGCGTCAAAGCCGGACTGCGCTTCGACAAGGAGGAAAATGATTGGTTTTCTGATGAGCTGATCGCCGACGAGCGTTTTCTCATGTGCAATGTCAAGGGTAAGTCTCCTATCTATAACTTCAATGGCCTTCGTGGTAGACTGACAGCTACTATAGACAAAGGTATCGTCTTGTTCACCGGCTGCAGCCATGCCGGAGTCGTCAATTGCTCTCGACATGCCATCGACTGCCTCGATGGTTCGGTGCCTCTGCATGCCGTGGTAGGAGGCTATCATCTTGCCACCAGCGACGCCAGCCAGGTGGAAAGCACCGTCCGTGACCTCAAGAAACTCGACCCTGCCATTCTTTTGCCGGGACACTGCACGGGCTGGAGGGCAAAGTTTGCCATTGAGAAGCAGATGCCTGGTTCGATGGTGCCGTGCACGGTTGGTACTAGAATTACTTTCTAGTCAGACCGCAGTTGTACCCCAGATTACTGGTAGCCTGTGCTTTTCGCAATGCCAATGGTAGTACAGGAGGTGCTCTGGGTGCTGGTGCCATTGTTAGGAGACCCCATGGCCTTCCTGCTTGTCAGCAGATATGATTGATACGATTGAATGAAACAACATGTTTGTTCGATACACTGTCGAAGTCCCTTTTCTACCTTCTGGATGGTTCAAATCAACGGACCATGAGCCCGATCTATTCCAAGAGTATGCATGTCCGTCCGATCCAGCGGCCTTTGGATGTTGCGTACGAAGCAATAACGTCTGTTTCTTCTGACCTATGAGTTACCCTGTGAAATTTGAAACGGTCCACCCTATCTTTTTATGATTTGGGCAGCGATCTCTCCACATCACACTATCAAACGGCACGGGCTGTGAGCATCTGGTCTTTCCCTTGTCGAACCTCGTGCAGACTTCCAACATAGGCATGGTCTCGATCATGTGTACCCCCATTAGGCTTCTTGTTGCAGTCTTTCCAGATATGGCAGGCGCTTTTGAACAGCACTTGCTTCTCTGCCCAATGCATATCGAAGAACCCCAAAAATCTCGCCGTTCTCAAACTTCATGCTAGGGCTATTCCATGCCGACTGTGTCTTTTGTGCCTGTCTACTCAAGTGACAAGGACAGATGACTCTACGTGTCTTGAGAAAACTTTTGAGATAGGTATACACCAACGTCTAGGGTAGACAGACTGATGAGTTTTCCGGCAATACAAAATATCCTACTAACAGCTCAACTTGTTCGGGTTGCGTTCTCGCTTCTCTGACTATTTTCCCAGGACATATCAATAAAATCAGAATCAATCAATGACAGTGTGCGGAGTCTGCGCTACAATGGAAACAAAGCATGGAATGTCTATGATCATGTTGTGCTGCATCTACGCGGCGCCCTGGAGACTACAGAACAGCGGATGTCGAGAGCTATAAGTTGGCATCGAGCGAACAGACTTCGATGTTGCAGTCTTTCGTGCAATTCATATCTCGGTTCTTCTCCTACAAACTATAACAAATACTATATCGTTCCCACTGATCTTTGATAACACCCAACTCTACAACGAGCTATCTAAACGCAAATAGACCGTCGAGTTACCCCAGATCTAACTACCGAAAGTCCAAGAAAATGGCCAGTGTCCAGCCTCTCTATCACGAACTTACTTTATCAAAACCACATAGTTCAATTCCACCTTCCCAACCAAGCCAAGTCTCATCCTTCTCATTTTCCCATCTAACCAGCATGTCCCAAACTGAAACAACCCATCACTCTCTGATTCCAAATCATCTCCATTCCCACCAAGCCCGACTCATTCCGATCCAAACTCAATCCAACCCAAACACAAACCCCGCCAAGGAAACTATTTCCTATCCCTTAATTGCCAAGTATGAGTTATGTATGTGTGCATGTATGTACATATTTCATCTCTGTCGCAATTGGCAAAGCGTATACGGATACAGACACAGATATCATCTGTTCAGCTAGTTAGTGTCACACCCACTTACCATGATCGTCTCACTGCCAAGGAAGCCTGTGGCATTGTAGAACTCGGAATTTGCTTGGCTGGGCTTGGTCGAGTCATCGAGTGACCTGACTGATTATTGTGAACGCCGAACGGTCCAAGTAGGACAGGATAATCCACCGATCTACTCTACACCCGTCTGGGCGAGAGTCGGGTCGTGTAACCGGCCCCCTCCCCCTCTTTCTCCTCGTTTTTATCCAGCTTGGGTTGGCGGAGAGGATGAGTTGTATCGTTAGAGGAGATCAAGAACCTGGGCAAAAAAGAGGGAAAGATAGAAAGACTTGTCTGGCGTCCTACGGAGTACTTTGTGTGTTAATGGTGCAGTACTCCGGTTAGGTTCTGCGCAGGGGAAGAATTACTCCGGAGTAAAACTATATATTCCAAGAAAATAGCATCCTATACCAAGACCAGCCATTCGGAGTCCACTTCCCCGTATCCCCAGCAATTGAATTGATACGAGTCCCTCCTGACTATTTAGTAGTATTTATCAGTTATCTAACTACAGCATGCAATTCACTACCCAATATCTACTATGAACCACCACCTATACCAAGACCACCGACAACTCCCCAGACCACAAACCAAATAACCAATCCCCACCAGTCCCTGCACCCGTACGTATGTAGATCATTCCGATCCTCCGCCCAACATCTAAAATCGAACCGTGACGTGATACCCCAGGATAAACAAGACAAGGCGGTGCGGTGCAACCCCTAGCAAATCATCCCTTTCCTCCCACCCCGGCCTTGTCCCATCTACCCTAACCACTTACGTTCATCGTTATCGTCCAAGACCCATTCTGCAGCACAAGATCTCATCCCTTCTTTCGTGACGACGCCGCTTTGGCTTTCCGCCAAGACAATAATCCGGGTGGAATGCACGGTATGTTCTTGGCGGTGGAAGGGAGGGTAAAAAAAAGGGGGAAGGGAGGTGGAAGTAACTAGTCATGCAGCTACCTTTAGTTAGTTAGTTATCTGTAATTACGGATAGTTATCATGAATTTATGATGGTGGATGGTGAGGTTGTGGTGGATGTAGTGGGTGTAATGGGTTTATACCTTCCGTCGTTGGTTTTGCAAAACTTTACTCCACTTGTCAATTTAAAATGTTACCAGTACGTCATTATTCAGCCTCTATAGCTCAGTGGCAGAGCGCTTCACTTGTAGCTAAAACTGCGCCATGAAGAGGTCGGTGGTTCAATCCCGCCTGGAGGCAACGGTATCTTTTTTTTTCTTTTTAAGAGTTCCTATCCTGTGTTTTTGCGAATCTTTTCCAATGTTTTTTCTTTTCTTTTCTTTTCTTTTGCCCCTTTTTGAATAGCCAGGACTTGATTGACTATTAGCTTTACAGGACAGGAACTGTCAATCAAATACGAAGAAGGCAGATAGTTAAACTAGACTGCAGATACTCGAATGTAGCTACCTAGTCTACAGTAGTCAGTAAGATATGTACATCATAAACCAGCAAGGCATCCATCTAAACCCCCATTCTCAGTGGACAGTATGAATAGAATAGAACCCCTCATGAATACCTCTCGAGGCAGTGCTAACGCCAAGAACGATCCCACCGTCTGTCCTACCAATCTGTGCCATCGCCATCTAGTTTATCTGTGCGGCGTTATACAAGTCCATATAGTGAGTTACTCGGAGTATTGGCACGAAATAGTGCCGTTGTCTATCATCTAGGATTTACACCGTTCTGTTAATTATTTCCTATCTATGTAATACTCCGTAGTTTGGTTTTGGTTCTCTAAGCCACCCATTTCTAGTAGAAGAGCAAACAGGTAAGTCTACCGATGCGATGGACAACGTACGTACCTGTACTTTGTTGTAGATCACGATATATCATTGCCTAGGGTTCGATGCATAATTGACGTGCCTATTCCATCCCATCCCATCCCGGTAAATCTTAATCGGCAGTACACCTAATCTCTAGAAATAGAATAGAATCTCCATGAGAAGCATGAGAGCAATGTATTGACTGGATAACTCGCGCCGTTCTCTCCAGGCAGACAGAATACCTAACTTAACCTCACATACTACATGCATACACACATATCGACACAGACACAGACACACCGGCCAAGACAAGGACCATCCCACGCAACAGTCCCAGAACCGGAGCGCCAAGAGCGAGCATCGAAAAGCCTTGCCGATGCGGACGCTTGGCAGTCCTCCCGTGATCCAAATAATGCGGGTTATTTGTATCACTTTGTTTTACCTGTTAATGTTATCGTGTCTTGTGGGATGTGGCTGGGGGAGGGGATTTGCGCTGCGTTGCGTTGCGTTGCGTTCCGCTTACGGTGTATTGAGTTGGTGGTTGGGGGTAGTGGATTACTTGGCGCAGTCTTTTTTTTTTCGTTTCTTATGCCTTCTTGGATAGGATAGATACCCCATATGGGGAGACTGACTCTAGACTACTGTATGGAGTAAGTCTAATTCTACCAGGAATGTGTGCTATTCATAGAAAACAGAGATGGCGATGACGTTGTCGGAAGGCCTGCCCATACGGCACGGCGAAGGAGGATGGATGGATGCCTAGGTAGGAAATCTTAGACCTAAGCCTCTCTAATCCGTAGGTAGTCTTCCAGGAACCAGACGGTAACTACGGATACCAACACTGACTTGTGACTCCTATGATGCCATACCTCATGCCATGCCGTGCCATGCCGTGCCATGCCACAACTGCGATGCTTGAAGGCCGATGGGTCTTGGCATCTACACAGCCCCTGAGGATCAACGCGGAGGTATGCGACAAGGACATGGGCGAATCTTCACGCAGATAGAAACCTTTAATTTGGGGCGATGGTTTGATCGTGCCCGTAGTCTAGTCTAGAACATGCCTTCGGGACCGGAGGTATCTTCCTTCTTAGACAATTTGACATCATAGTAAGTAGTAAGTAGTAACAACGGAGTAATACACCGTATGACTGACTGTATGAGAGGAAGGGAGTCAAGTGGGCGAGCATGAAACCGACAGTAAAACTTTCCCTGAAGCTTCTCCAGTCCAAAATCCAATTCTTCACCTTCTCCGGAGCAAGGTGCCGTCGATCAGATTGTCTTCATGACGACAAGGATAAACACACGGACATGAGCAAGGCCATGAATGAACAGAAACGGCCATCAACCTGAATCGAGTAGGTGAGTCGCCTCGTTTGCGGCGCCATGAGATAGCGATCTACAACGCGACTGACAATAGTGTGGTGAACGAACACCACTCCGGTTGTCGATCGCCGGTTTGTTTTGGTTTCAGTTTCTCTTCGCTTGCTGGGAAGATATGGAGGGGGAAAGGTCCAGATTGGTCGGTTCGAGGTTGCCATTTCTTTTTTTTTATTTATCTTTTATTTGTTAGACAGGCTTACGGTGCACAGTAATAATAGCTATCGGCATGGGGATATGCAGGTGCAGAGGAAACCAGACCTCATTTAACAGTATGCCCCGGATTCAATCTGATACCCTCCTTGAGTGCCAATCTTATTAGCCGGTAATTATAATTATGATCATGTTAGCGATAAGGATCGTCTTTCCTGGCCCTGTTTGCAGCGGATATCAAGTCCAGACCAGCCACGTAACATGTACGGATAAAACAAATGATCTGTCATCCCTGGAAGCCCTTGAATAACTAGCTAGAAGGGGTGTGAAGAATAAGACAAGAATGCAAGGAGTCAAGCGAGAATGAACCAAGCCAAGAGTGCAGATATTTGCGATTATGCGGGGAAGGCAATGGAACAAAAATACATACAAAAATACCAAGACCCTTAAAATGGAAAGATAGGAAAAAGAAAAACAAATGATCCATGTAGATGATCCCTTGGCAGTGAGATGGACAGCCGACGGATACGTTGTACTGCACGATTGCAGGACCCTGAATGATGTGGTCGGTACGGAGTAAAGTTTGCGTCATGATATGCAGGGGAATAGCATCATGATTGACAAGAGTCTTTACTGTCTGTCTCCTGAGTCCCGAGTAGGTAGGTGAACCTAACTAGCTGTCTCGATAGGAAGTCAGCACCAGACGGCTAATACTCCGTGGACTTCATACAGCTATAGACAATCTACAGAGACAATGACAATCAATCAAATCATATGCAAATAATCAACCCCATCCTCAATATTCAGAACACCAAGTAGGTCCTTCCAAGTCCCAACGGATGAACACCTACTATTGCCCTTCTATTCTCTTGGCAACATATCTGATCGTCGTTGGAACAAGTTTGAGACTTGTCTCATCTTCTTTGTTCTCCCCCTTCATGAATAGAGAACACTGAACAAAGAATACCGAGGAAAATTTTACTTCGGCTCTAACAACTACGGAGTATGGTCGAATCTTATCCTTGGTTCCCATCGGAGAAAGAAAGAAAGAAACAAAGAAAATGCACCCTCCGTAAGAAACTGCATGGAAAATTCTGGCCGTCGCCGTAACCATGGTTCGTTCCCGATAAGTCGCGTCACCTCAACCATGGGCAGAGAGTGCGAGGGCGAAACGTGCCGATTCCGAGAGCGCGTCGCTGCCGAGGGGATATCCCGATGTCTGGGCCTGTGCAAAGATTGCAGGCCAGAACCAGACCCGGAGGTTGATTTCCCTAGGTTACTTCCAGTCTAGAATAATCATCTAATCATGAAATCAAATGACATGACATGATATGATCTCACCATGGCTGGACTACTTACTATCGTGAATGAGTATGAGGGATATACGAAGCTAAGAAGGAACTAGGTGCCGCGTAGCCGATGGACGGTAGGGCCGTACCTACAGTAGTCTACAGTAGTCCGACCGACCAGACCTGAAGCTAAGGCACTTGGAAGTGGCATAATTACAGTAATGCATTTCTAGGCAATTGACTATCTGAGTTTAGCGAGCGAGTCGGTCTCGGTCGGGGATAATCCCCCGACCGGAGATGATTGGACTTTTTCCTAAGGGCAAAACTGCCATTGCCAACGCCGATTGGCATCTGCAATTATCCCCCCTTAGTCTGAGTCGTTTTCCTGTTATCACTACCCATTGCAGATTGGCGTCATGCCTGCCTGCCACCGTGGCACCCTACAAGCCCGCCGAGTCGCCGATTTGACAATAGTTCATCGGGCGGAGGGGAAAATGGCTCATACGGGGGGGGCCGACGGCATGCGTTCTGGAGTCTGGAGTCTAGATGAACGGACGGCCGACCAGAAACATAGTTCGGCGACGCTATTCTGTCCGAGACGTTGAGTAGGTAATAGATACTGAGATAGTAGGTCATACAGCAGAGGCACGGACTCACGATAGTGGGCTGAATTACGAGGACCGCATCACCGCAGTCATCTGCTATTGCCATATCAGTTAGCTTGAGCTCTCGCCTGTCGAAGCCTCGAGGGCCGAGTCTAACTGCAAAAGGATCGCGATGAGCAGGAGCAGGTTGGAGATTCCGCCCCGTCTGGGGCAATTGAGGTCATTCCTCGTAAATCTAGCAATCTACGGAGTAAATCTGGCCTAGCAAACGACGGGCTGGCACTAGAGGCGTTACGAGTCCGGAGGAATGGGATGACAATCGTGGAGAAGAAACAAGACACGCATTGTCGAAAGTCGATTGCGGGTTGCAATTGAGGAGTTGGTCGAACTTGGCACCTTGGCAGAGGATGGCTGGACGATGGAGAATTCAATTCCGTCGAGGGTCACGATAGTTGATGTTGCAACTTGCCAATAACCTCTCTAGTCTCGGAGTCGAGGTACCAAAAATACTCAGTCGAGGAGGAAGGAAAACAGCTCCAGCTCTTTCATCTCCAATTGCAGCAAGCTAATCTCTAGCTAATGCCTCGGAGTTAGAAAATCCCTCACCAGGATCCTCGATGAGACAGCTTGGCGACGGGCGATCGCCGGTGGGGTGGGATTGCGCTGTGGTACTAGAGTAGCCTGGGTGGTTAACTAGTCCTCATATGAGAGCAAATATGATTACCTCGTCGTTTAGCGCCGGCGGAGGAGGTGGCAACAACATGCGACCATTTGGCAATTGTGAAATGGGGGCAATTTAGCACCGGTGAGCAACAAAGGCGTTTGTCCCGTTTGGGCGGTAGCGCAGGTGAGCTACTGTAGGTACCAGGCCAACTAAGTCCGCTCTAAGCGGGCGGCGGGTTTCATTTGCGGGTTCCCTCGGGGAGGTCCTGCGAATGCCATATCTCGGTAGTCTTAGTGTCCTACGGTGTACTACTGCTACGGTAGGAACAGGACTAGAAAGAAGCACC